ACTGGCACATCGAGAGACCCAGTCGCAAGCTGGAAAACAAACACCATGGTCCCTACCTTGTGATTCGGACAATCGGAACCCACGCCTACGAATTGGACATCCCGGACACCGTTCAGAAGCACCGAACATTTCCTGTATCCCTCCTTCATGCCTCCGCTGACGATCCCTTCCCTGGACAAATTCCACCGCCACCACTTCCGGTAATCGTGGACGACCAAGAAGAATGGGAGGTTGAAGAGGTCCTCGACAGCCGGAACCTCAGGGGCAAACTCCAGTACCTGGTGAAATGGAGAGGCTACGCGGCACCAACATGGGAACCAGAGGAGAACCTTACCGAGGTACAAGCTGTGGACGACTTCCATCGACGATACCGCATGCAGCCTGGACTAGTCGAGCTTGCTCTCGTGGGAACTCGAGCCTTAGGAGGGACTACTGTCACGGCTCGCGATGGAATCACGAAGGGAGGGTCGGCACAAGGACCGGGAGAGTTGGGGGGCAGTGCACAGGCAGTGCACCGGCAGTGCAAGGATGAGTCGCAGAGGATTGGGGGCTGTGTGCAGGGAGCAAGGATAGCGCAGTAATGAGCCGCAGGAGATTGGGGCTGTGTGCAGGAAGCAGGGGTAGTGCGGCTGCGCAGGGTATGAGTCACGGAAGTGGGGTACTGGCAAGGTGGATTTCTCAGGGTCTGGCACACGCCCACGGTCATTGCCAGGATGCGGGAAGAAGTGGAGGGTTTCCTATATAAACGGGCCGTTGCCCCTCTGTACTTAGTTCTTCACGCAACAACTTGTTAATTCAATCACTGTTACCTCTGTCCTTGCCTCGGCTGCCGTCTGCGCCGTAGTCCTTGTCCCTGCCTCTGTTCTCAGTTGCCGTCTGCACTGAGCCCTGCCTTACCTTGTCCTCCGAACCCGTCTTGCCTCTATCGAACGCAGAACCCGATCCCCAGCCCGACTTCGCTACCTGGAGCCTTGCCCGACCGTGCCGGTACAGTGGGAGGGGAGATGGCGTGACACCCCGAAAGGTATCGGAGGTCACGACGGTCGCAAGAGATGTGATTAGATAGTCCGGGTGGTTAGAATAGAGTTGCGAGCCGAAGGGATAGTTAGAAGCGATCATGAACAAGATAGCAAGGAGGAAGCAAACGGATTCCAGAGTCTAGACAGTGATCGCAGATGCGGGTGATAGGGATAAAAGTCCAGAGGACTTTGGGATCTCCGTTCATAGGGCCCCGCAGTAGGAACTCCGATCCAGGGAAAAACTGTTATGACGAGAGAATCGCACATCGACCTATGGGGGCAGAGAACTTCGAGCGAAGAACTCTGCCGGCGCATGAGGGAGATAATTGCTCAGGAACTCTGATCTATCTTGGGCGTGTGGTGTTTACCACCTGCCTAGTCGAGAAGACTATCCGAAGAGAGCTGACGACGACTCAAGGCTAGGCCGCAGAACTCCAATGCAAAGGAAGCAACGGAGCTACGTTCGGCCTCACTCTAGAGGAATCACGTGCTGTTGATCGGGACGACTATAAGTCGAACCGAGCGGGCAACTGAACCAAAAAACACAATCATCGCACCGAACAAACCATCGAACAAACACCCTTAAGATTATTCCGTTGTGAATTATCGAAATCCCTGACTTTTATTCTACACTCCATAATACCATAGACTCCGACGACACAAACTCATCCCAGTCTCACAGTAATAAAGTCCACTGGGAAAGTACTATACCACCCGGCCAAATGTATTTTGATGGCTGAAGGCCATCATCCCATTAGCTACTTACTGCCAGGATTTCTGAACTGTGACACCCGGAATCAGATACACCCATAAAACTGCTTCCTGAGAAGTCCAGACAATATGCGAACATTATGAGCAAGAAAGCAGCCGATAAGCTTCCTGATCACAAGTCCTACAACCATGCAATTGATCTCAAGGAAAGAGAGACTCCTTCATGGGGTCCTATCTATGCGCTGTCAGAGAAAGAACTTGAGGCTCTCAGGGAGTGGCTCAAGGAGATGCTCCAGACAGGCAAGATTCGAAGATCCAAATCACCAGCCGGGGCGCATATATTATTTGTACCAAAGGCGCACGGTAGGGGTCTCCGATTATGTGTCGAGTATCGTGGTATCAACAAGATTACTGTAGCCAATCGCTACCCACACCCGATCATGGCAGAGTTGCAAGACCGAGTCAGGGGTGCAAAAGTCTTCACCAAAATTGATCTGAAGAATGACTATCACCTTATCCGCATCAAGGAAGGTGACGAGTGGAAGACGGCTTTGCACTGTTGATACGGATTATACGAGTTTTGGGACATGCTGTTTGGGCTGAGCAACGCTCCAGTGACGTTCTAGAACATGATTAACCACATATTTCTGTATATGTTGGATTTGGGACTGGCCGTGTACATCGATGACTTACTCATCTATGCGAAGACGCAGGAAGAGCATGTGTCATGGCTTGCAACGGAATGACGAAGGAAGGGTCGGCGCAAGGATCGGAAGAGTTGGGAGGCAGTGCACAGGCAGTGCAACGGCAGTGCAAGGATGAGTCGCAGAGGATTGGGGGCTGTGTGCAGGGAGCAGGGATTGCGCAGTAATGAGCCGCAGGGGATTTGGGCGGTGTGTGCAGGAAGCAGGGGTAGTGCAGCTGCGCAGGGTACGAGTCACGGAAGCGGGGGTACTAGCAAGGTGGATTTTTCAGGGTCTGGCACACGCGCACGGTCATTGTCAGGTTGCGGGAAGATGTGGAGGATTTTCTATATAAACGGGCCGTTGCCCCTCTGTATTTAGTTCTTCACGCAACAACTTGTTAAGTCAATCACTGTTACCTCTGTCCTTGCCTCGGCTGCCATCTGCACCGTAGTCCTTGTCCTGCCTCTGTTCTCAGTTGCCGTCCGCACTGAGCCCTTCCTTGCCTTGTCCTCTGAACCTTTCTTGCCTCTACAGAATCCCAGTACCTGATCCCCTGCCCGACTTCACTACCTGGAGCCTTGCCCAACCGTGCCGTTATACCTAGGGCCTGGTCCGGATGGCGGGAACAGAAGGTTGAAAAACAGCTTTCCGGACACGCTATGGCCTCCTCGAATCCCTCGCCATGCCCTCCGACCTCATCAACGCCATGCCCATTTCGAAGTTCTGATCAAGGATGTGCTATTCCTGTACCTCAATGATTTCTGCACTGCATTCATCGACGACGTCTTCATCTACAGTCGAGTCCTGGAAGAACACCAGAAACAGATCAGGAAGGTACTTCACGCACTGTCTGCAGCCAGCCTACATCTTAAGCCCCGAAAATGCCACTTCCACCAAACGGAGGTCAAGTATCTAGGACTGATCATCACAATAAATGGAATCAAGATGGACCCAGCGAAAGTCTCCTGCATACTGGAGTGGGAGAAACCTAGTACCGTGACCGACGTGCAATGCTTCCTGGAATTTGCGAACTTTTTGCACCTTTTTATACTCGCGCTTCAGGATCAATGGGTGGTGCCCGTCCGACACAGCATGGATGTTCGCTAAGCTCAATTGCGCGGGACTGTATTTCATGGGCCATGTCTTAAGACCGTCTTCGACAATCGGCGAATACTGGAAGCCGAGGGCTATGGCTCGGCGCCAGAGTCGCTACTGGTAGAAAGGGGACCTGTCACGCAATACCTCTAGTTTCACAAAAAGTCTTGGAAAAGAAACACACTAGCTAGGCGGACGGCCCAGGACTTGGTGGTCCCTTCTCATGTATGGATATTCAAAACGAATCGACACACGATGCCGGAGATATTTTCATAAAGGATGAAGAGGGCGATCTTTACGAAGTCATGGCTAATTGGAAAACCGTACGGGGGGTTGTCGAGTACTGGGATCCCGATGGTGTTCATGCGGACGGTATGGCCTACTCAATCAATCCGTGGGAGCTCCCTGGCTCCACGCAAGTCGCCATCATGACTGGGATCACCCATTGTAATCCCATAGATATTCTAAAATACTAGCGGCGTACAACTCTTAGGTTCGAGGGGATTATGGTCGCCGTGCTCCGAGAAGTTGATCACATCCATTGCAAGCTACTCGGCTATTTTAACGTTGCTGCCCGTAAACTGGGCGCAGATGATTATCATACCTGAGCATTTACCTTTATGTTAGTAATCGTCAAGAATGCTGCAACCATTCGTACGGTGCGGTACCTAGTACCTAGTATGTCGAGAAAACGGCATTCTAAAGAATGCCGCATGTAGTTTTGCTGCCTAGTATTATGATGGCCATCGCACTAAGGAGGGTAAATGATTACGTATTGAAAGGCGTTGGGCATCCTACCTGTAAATGCAGCATTTAGATCGGCTTCCGCAGTCATACAATCAGGCATTTATCACTAGCATTTCAGACAAATGTGCACTGTAAAACCGGTACAGAGTGTTACAACTACGGTAGCGCGACAGGATTTCGGGCATGACGCATTCATATGAATCTGCATTACATCGGGTCCTAAATTCTATCACGGTACTGAAGCAACATGGAAATTGCACAATTCAAGTTGCACTCTGGTCCCGAGCAGCCCATATTTTTTACCACTGTAGGTAATACATAGACTCAAGTATGTACGGAGAGACCAAAAGTTGTATTTCTATGGGAAAACATGTCGCACATCACTGCCTCTAGCCTCAGCCCGTATCTATGTAGGTAGGTGCATGGTTGGTAGAGCTGGCCATGGTGTTTCACATACCTAGTCCGTTAGTTTTGGAGGGCGCAATCAAAGTAGTACGTCCCGTCCGCCATCCCGTTTGAGTATGGACAGAGTCGGACGGCAGTCGACTCCAGTCCCTGGGCATGGCTACCTTGGGTGGGAACTGAAGGAATGTATGTACCTGATACCTGCCACAAGCCGATACGTACTCAGCCTAAGTGGAAATTGTTTTTCCTTTTCCCACACCAACAGCACCTTTTCTGGATTAGAGATTCGGAGAGCAGAACCAGAGTCAAATCATGAAATATCACTATATCACAAACTCTTCCCCCAAATCCCGCCCACCGGGCCATCTTCAACGGTGCAAAACATGCCCTTCGCTGCTCGCATGTGCTTCTCTGAGCGCTTTAATAGCCCCAGTAATCCCTTGTCAAGTGGACACACCAAGCTGCCATAGCCCCAATCCACGTGTGCGTTCCATAATACCCTATCTTCCTGCCAACGCCGGTGGTGCCTTCAGCCCTCAACCCGGCCTCACTATTTCCCTCCATGTATCAGCACTGCTCACCCACTCCAGCCCACTCTCCACCTCAAGGTCACTTACACATTCACGACCCTGAGCACCCACAGGCCCGCGAGGGCATAAGCGAGGACCCTCCTGTTAGCACCATTCAGCTCCGCCAGCAGCGCGAGCAGCAGCCCGGTGGGCACGGTTTCCAGATAGTTCTGGTGCGCGCGCACGGCGATGTACAACGGGTCTGTCCCGCCGGTGGCGGAGGAGTGCTCGCCGATCAGCGTGTTCGTAGACTTGCGCGCGCGGATCACCCGGTGCGAGAGGGTTAGGAGGTACGCGGCAAAGGGGAGCGACATTGCGGCCGTCGTGGCTGTGGGTAGGATTAGCATGCGTGGAGGAGCAAGGAGGCGGGGTAGGGGGCGGGGGCGCTTACGCGCGAAGAGAAGCGCGTTGGAGGCGCTGCGGCCGACGGTGCCGGCGACTTCGCGGCCGATGGTGCCGGCGGCATCGCGGGCGGTGGAGGCGGCGTAGTCGTATGAGCGGGAGGCGGACATAGTTGTGGTTTTTTGATTGAGATTGTGGGAGAGGATGAGGATGGTTGGGAAGTGAACGGGGGTGGGCGAGGTGATTTGAAGTATCTCGTAGGGGTGGGGGGGATGGCGACGTCATGGCCGCGCAAAGGGTGGGGAAAAAAAGCGGCGGCGGAGGAGGGTGCGCGAGTGAGGTCATCTATCGAGGACGGGAAGCGGGCTGGCCCGTGCATCGGTATCGATGTCTCGATTCTCGAAAAAGAAGTCCGTGTTGCCTATCACCCACTCCCACGGCGATGAAGAACGGACATCTATTCGATCTTTAAGCAGAAGAAACATCCTCATCGTCAATTTGAAAACACCACCGTGATATCCGTTCATCCACCAAGCAGACATGCCAATGGATCCTAAAAAGCCAGCCTTAAACATGAAATACAACCTACAACCGCAATAACCCCAACCCGCTTGAAAACGCTGAGAAAACAGAACCAAATTATAATATCCCCAAACAGCCCGTGCCCAGAATCAAAGAAGAAGAACTCCACCACGCATTATCATACTCCCGCCTAAAACCCCATCCCTCCCGCGGCCATCGGCTTCCCACCCCCCGCCAGTGCCGCCTCACTTCTCGCGGTCCCCAGCCTCTCCGGCGCCTGCACGACTTCGACTATCTCGACCCGATCCCTCCGCCGCTTGTGAATCCAGCACATCGACACGTAGAGTAATGTCACCGCGAGTGTCGATAATCCGAGGACGAGCGCAATCACGGAGAGGACGGGGAACGAGGTTTCGTGCGAGTACTTTAGGCGCGAAGAGGAGGTTGCGGCGAGGAGGGCGGGGCTGATGGTGTACGCAGGAGCAGTGGTGTAGGACGGAACATTGTCGGAGGAGGTGGCTATCGCGGCGGATGGTCTACGCGCGAGAGAGGTGATGGCCTGACGCGTGAAGTTGGGGAATTTCGTGGCGATTGTGGGGTGTACAGTTGTGAAGGACGTGCGTGTTCTCGTTGTTCGAGTTCTCTATAAGGTGGCGTCAGCATGCGAGGTACATCAATGCCCACGGCGGCGATATCTACCTCTGCCTCCGTCGTCTCCAAATCCCGCGCATCCACCCCCGTCCCCCGCAGCAGACACCAAACGATCATACAAACGAAAGACGAAACAAAAGAAGGAGTAGATGAAGAAAAAAAAGTCAAAGGAGTGAATCCGCACAACATCATGACGAAGGACATGTAGGTACAGGGTGACGATTGCGATAACGGTTATGTACCTGTATGTGACCGGTACAAAGCACGGCAGAGAGGGAAAGCAAGGGAAGGAGAATCAAAGGAATGTATGCAAAGGCGCGCCGGGTCATGCGGGGGGGAAGATAACCCAGTATCTAGTAAAATACCTCGCCTCGGGTAAGGGGTGCGGTATTCACATAAATTTTTCATTGGGTTGAGTATCCACCTCTCCGTCGGTTGTGTTGGTGATCTTCGAGATGCGAGTGGGTTGTGCGAGTTCATGACGGCTACTGGTCGAACCCCGGAGGCGGGCGCTAATTGCCCCACGTAGCGTCGTCGCATTTCCCCGGTTCCCGACATCCTGGTTGGCTGGCGTTGGATCCATCGTCATCATCGAGGTCCCATCTCGCGGCGGCTATTGGTCCATAGGGCTGACTGGAACCGCACTCCCCCCCACCACACACACCGATGCCAGGCGTCCCAAAGATATATGACAAGCGAACGATCGCGAGACGTGGAGCAGCTGCGGTGGTGCCAGACATGCAGCTGGGAGTGCGGCGGAGAAGGGATGTGTGCGTGGGCGTGCCTGCAGATGCGTGAAGAGTTCCTGCATTGCGACGCGCGGGTGCCGGAACTTACCGGCGGTGCATAAAGTCGTCGTAGGCATCCAAGTATATGGGGGAAAGTGTTTAAAATATGCAGTAGGACTTCCGTTATCGGCGGTGAAGGGCTGAAGGATCGGCGATAGGATATGGAGTGATTCATTTTCTGTTCGGCTCGAAAATTTCCGTGTAACGGTGTGTGAGTGGATGCCTGTGGTTCTGTGGACGGATGCTTTTTCCCTATGTCTTAGGGGGCGCAGTGCGTGTTTGCTGGTTTATCTCTTGGCCCTACTGGAGAACGAATGCGGTGAAAAATAATAATAGAGACTGGAACCATCGCCATACACCATCCCAAAGGTACCATCATTCCGCGATGTGGTTATCGCCGGCAGTCTTGACTCCCTAAGGACCTTGCCCCCACGTTGAAGAGCAACATCCATCTCGGCAATCCGGATTGGTGGCGTCGTGAAACGGAATGGAGCCATGATACCATTAGACAACAGTATTTCACACGCCTCCGGACTCGACGGGGATTGCCTCTGTATCGCCAGTACCACCAGTTAGAACTTAGGATATTGTAGCCCCGCTTCGCAAAATCCGCCGATTGGTTCGCATTATGAAACGGAAAATACGTAGACTCGGTGTGATTGGTTGACTCCGGTCGAAACAAAACCGGATTCGATAGCTTGGCCAGGCCAAGCCCGGGAGAAACCCCCTTTTGCTCTTATTCACTGTTGCAGCAGCATTGGACGTCGCGATCGTTTTAGCTCGCATATCGTACCCAGCACACTACCGTCACTGCGGTGAGTCTCGGTGGTCAGTGTTTTGCTGAGGATTCTGGATCGTTGGTTGGTTGGTTCGTCACTCCCATTCGTCAGGAGCATATTCGATCCGTTTTCCGTCGCCGAAATGCCTGATGACCTGGCACTCCGTTAGCAACGATCTGTAGTCTGTGAGAATAGTTGTTCTCGACACTCCCAGCCCCGAGAACCCCACATGAAGACTGTCTGAATCACGAACAAATCGTCAATCTACCGGCAAATCATAGTCTATCACCCGCTAAAAATCCTCAGCTTCACTCTTCCCCGAAATTCCTGGCTGAACCTGTCAGGGCTATCGTGGATAAACTCCCGCTGGAATACTAAGGAGAGTCCTCATACCCAGTCTTTTCGTTGATGCCACTCTAAGCGGCTGCACTTCGCGTGGCAGGCAGGGCTATGCACTAGCACAAATATTCGCCACTGACCTCGAGCTGTAGCCTGTTAGTGTCATGATACACGACACAGATCGTCGCCCTGACCTGGATTTTGCCAACAGAACTCGATCACAGACATGCATACAATCTCTTGGCAACGAAAGAGGAGCTACCCTCGCACCAACCGCGGACCATGGTTTATCACCCGCTCCTTTTTTCGCCCGGGTTGCTCCAGCATCCAGCCCGTGTCGCGTGGTAAATTGTAATACGACTCCCATTGCCGTACACGGAAGTGTGATCTTCCTCCATCCACGACGTTTCAACCAAGCCGCAGACCTTTGATTCGTGCTGGATGTCGATCATGAGCCTGTAGTGAACCAATCGACGATGAGGACCTGGACTCCTGGAGTTGGTCGGTATTTGGAGGAAAACGCAACAGGCGGAGAATCCGGAACACGGAACACGGACTCGAAGAGGTGCCAGCGGCAACGACGCGGTAGCGGTGGATGGGATGGATAGTACCACTAGGTGGATTGTTTCTGGGTTCCGCATTGACGTTTTTCTGGGGCGTAAGCCCATCCCTCCTTCCCACACCATCCGTGTTCTGGCTCCGGATCCAATTCTGGCATCGGTGACGATGGCTACTCTTCATCGCTCTCCCCCCTCGAATGTACTATGCGCCGTGGAAAGCCGGCGATGCCATAGTTGAGTCATGGAGTCGATATTCGTCCTCCGTACTCTTCGATACCATTCCAACCCCATGAATGATGAATCCGTGACACTGCAACCAGCGCCGGCAGACCATGCTCAGCTCTTAAAGGAAATTCCTTGATTTCCGAATACTGTCGATTGAACAGTCATAGTGACAGCCAGAGAGAAGCTTGAACCGTATCATTAGATAGATGATGTATAGATCATCGCCACCGGGGGTTGACTCGAATATGCCAGGATTACGGGCATCTTCCGGTATCCTGCATTCGCTCTCTGTCGACTCAGTGCTTCAAAGGTCTCGGCAGCTCCCGGGGAACCGCATGCGTCCGGATTCCGGCTACCACTCAATAAACGGTACCATGATCGGCCGAAGCGCCTCTCTGAGTCCAGTCGCACTCTTACTCGAAAAGTTGGCGCGAATTACCGCGTCGGTCTGAGCGACTAGGTAGCCCGGATCGAATATCGACGAAAGAGGGCTAGCTCTCTGATGGCGAGAGATGGAACCAATATTGCAGGTGGTTCCGGATTTCATCCTGATATGTGTCGCGCCTTGACGAGGCCCTGTGGATGTAGAGGTCGCTGAGGGTGGATGTATCGCCATCGGTTGCCGTGGATCAATCCGGCAAAGGAAGACGGCCTCATTATGGAATCTCAAGGACTGTAGGGCCCCGAGTCTAGATCCTGCCGGTGTGGCTGCCTGCCGCTGCCTCTCGAGCGCTAGATTCGTGAACGGAGACTACTAGGGATTCCTAGCGACGATCAAGGATATTGAATTATCGAAATCCCTGACTTTTATTGTATACTCGATACCTATTAAGACTTCGACGTCCCGAAACCGTTCCAGTCTCACATTAAAACAGTGGTTAAATCGCGATTTTTTAACTTAAACAACTACTCCACCAAAAATTTCACAAAAACAATAACTACTCCACAAAAACAATAACTACTCCACAAAAACAACAACTATTCCACCAAAACCGATCGGAACACTCCGAAACTCAGACAGGTCTGTGGTCGTTCCTTCCGCAAAGAGTATCGTCGGGATCCTAATCATCCGGATATGGACGAAGAAGTCGATAGTGGGAAGTAGCTCAACCTTCAAGTATGCGTGCTCGAAGGCCCTGTGATGGTACGACTCTCTGAATTGCGCTATGCGTCTTCTTGAATCGACTATCGGATGAAGGACTCTGTCGGCAATGGCGAAGATTATACATGGGATGACTCCCCAATCCCCGGAGATGAATGAACATTCCTCTCCAGGGCGCGACATATTAACACCGCAACTCCAAGTCACACCCACTGCTACCGCCGATATGCACATCAGCAACTACCCTTCACGATCAAATCCAATCGACAGGAGGCGAAACACAGGAGACATACGTGTGAACAGTTCGGAATTCTCCATCCTGACCACCAGAGTCGGGAGTCGCCATGCCAGCTCCGGCCCCGACTACCAGGGTGCGACTGGGGTAATCACCCCGGATCCGGCCCCGACCACCAGGGTCAAGGGTCACAAATCCGAATCCCGCCTAGACTACGAGGATCTGGGGTCGTGATGCCAGCTTCGGCCACAACCACCATGGTTGAACTTGAGGAGATCTCAGCTCCGGCCATAGCCACCAGGGTTGAGCTTGTGGACCTCTCAGCGGGCCCCACGAACGATCGTCATTCGCCAGCCAATGACGAAAGCAAGAGGTTTGTCTTTTATTTCGTCAGTGTACGACGTACGCCATCGTAGCGGTATCCGGTCTCCGGCTCCAATGGGTTCTTGTAGCCGCGAGTTACCCGAATAGTCATTGACCAACCTGTGAGTGGCGGGAGGATGTTAGTCGGGATGTGAGAAGGGGGGAAAGGGTGACTAACGACTGAAGCTCCCGGCAAAGTAGTTCCGATAACCAAAGCGGGACGTTCCTCCCTCGAACGATGGGAGCTGCCCTCCCCCCTGAGGGAGAACATGAGTTCTCCCTAGAAGGTGGGCAATTGCCCAGCCTTCGCGGGGGGGGGTGTCCAAGGGTGGAAGACCTGCTTCCTACCTATGAGTGGAGAATGTTAGTATGAAGGAGAATAGTAGTGTAAGAGGTTGACGAACCCCCTGGGGCGACAGTATCACCGCTCCCCCCTAAGGAGAACATAAGTTCTCCCTCGAAGGTGGGCTTTTGCCCAGCCTCCACGGGGGTGTGTCTCCTGGCCCTGAATCTCCTGGCTGCGAATCTCCTGTGGACCTATGAGTGAAGAATGTGAGTATGGATGGCAGTAGTGATACAGGAAGAGGGTGACAAACCGGAGATTAGCTCGTACAAGCACGCTAGGTATGCTCAATGAAGAAAAGAAAAAGTTCGTAGTTGAAGATCTCTTGTTGTTGTGATGTTGTTAGGTGAAGAGGATGAAAGATGAAAGATGAAAGTAAAAAGAAGAGGGGGGAAGGGAGCGAGGTGTTTATAAGATTCGGGGGGGACATCAGATTTGCCCGAAAAAGTGCGCTAGCGGGCACACACAATCGTGAGTCCGCTAGCGGCGGCGCAAAATCTTCTTATAGAATTGTTTAGAATTGTTTGTGTGGTCATGGGGCAAACACCAAACTTCAAAAGTGGTTTGGTGATTGAGGTCGAGTGAGAGAAAGTGTGAGGCTTGCAGCCGAAACAAACACGAACACGTGAATGCTTGCAGCAAACCTCGTCACCCTGCAAGCGCGGCTTGGGTACATAGGCGATGTAGATAGCGAATCCGATCTACTGGCTGGAAAATGTAGCAAGCAAGACATACCGTACCCGGTATCGCCGTGTTGCGGTTCTACCAACCGGCGATCCATCATCCGCCCTGCGCCGATGCCCCCGCCGAACCTGTCAAATCTGCCAAACCTGCCAAACATCTACTCCAGTGTACTTTTGTCCACCGCGGCGCTTTGCAAACCGTCCTCCTTGATCAAAACCGTCGTCATCGACGAGAGCATACGCAAACTCTTCTACCGGTATCAGGCAAGCTATGTCCGCTGCTCCCCAACCAATCCCTCTTGCCAGCATATATTACATGTAGGAGTAATTGTGGACGAATATTATGTACTTACTCGAGTAATTCGCGCAGCAGAAAAACCACCACCTGCCGGCAGAAGTTTTCCTGTTCCAGCACGCTCGCCGATCACAGGCTAGTAGCCGCCCGCCGGCACGGCGACAACCTCCAGGCGACAACCGCGTTTCCGGCCCGTTTGGCACCATCCTCGAACTCTACCGGTACCGCACCTGCGCGCCGCGGAAATCACATCCTCCTCCCGAGTCCCGACTCCGAGTCCCGACTCCGCGCGGCGTTCTCGGCCCTGATACCTGGCCATGCTTTTCACGCGTCTTCCCGAGGGCTCTAGTTCCTCTAGTGCGGACGGGACGGCAGCACGCGTTGGAAGGATTCGTCGCGCTATTTTTCCTATACACACGCCGCGGGTGGTTCGACTCACTAGTCGTGTGCGGAATGCCGTCATAATTTGTCACGATTTCACGGTCATCCGGGATTCTCTGGTAATCATACCAGCGATTTGTGGCTAATCAGGACTACTCGGAGACGCGAGTAAGGAAGGGAGATCTAGCTGGGTAACTACGTCATTGTCATGGTGGGGATGTACTAAGGATGGCAGGGAGGTTCGGTGGGCGGAATGAGCCGTTCACTACGGTTCCCTAGCGGGGATAGGTAGGCGGAGCTCACCGTGAAGATGGATTTCACGGTCGCGGTGATGAACAGTTATGGACTTGACGGTGAGTAGTATTGGACCCTCCGTACCATGTACGATGTACCTAATCGACCTGACCCATGGGCAAGGAAGAAAATAAAAGACAGACGACCAGACAAACGAAAACAGACATCAATCCCATCCTATCTACAACTTCTCCGCCTTCTCAAACTCGGCCAACAGCGTCCTGAACTCAGTCCAATCCGTCATGACGTTGTAGGCACCCTCCTTCAGCAGCGCCTTCTTCATCTCCTCCTGCTTTTCCTTCCCGTGGTAACTGCCGACATAGCCCATCACGGGGATACCCGCACGCACCGCCGACAGGGTTCCGCTCTTTGAGTCCTCGACCGCGACGCACTCCTTGACGTCCTTGCCCAGCTTTTCGCAGGCAAACAGGTAGACGGCGGGGTCGGGCTTACTCGTAGGCTTCGGCAGCGACGTAGCGGCAGAGAACACGTGGTCGGCGGGGAAGTAGACGTCCTGACCGACCTTCTTGATTGACGCCTGGACCCTGCGCAGGGCGCTGCTGCTGACGACGGCGAGCCCGTACTTCCCCTCCTTGTGCAGCTCGTCGAGCACAGGCGTGCAGTTCACGCACGGCTCCGCCTTCTGCAGCAGCGTCGCGATCACCTGGTCCTCCTCGTCCTTGACGTACTTGTCCTCGTCCTCAGGCGAGATCTTGAGCGCGAACTTGGCGCCCAGCGCGTGCAGCATCCCGCGGAAGTTCATGCCCACGAAGTCGGCGATCAGCTGCGAGCCTGTGTAGCGGTCGGGGATGTCGTTGGCGGCGAGGATTCGGTTCAGCACTTCGGCGCACGCCTCGAAGGCGAGGTCTTCCGAGAGGACGAGCGTGTTGTCGCAGTCGAAGAGGAGGTGAGTGACTTTGACCATGGTTGCGGTGGTGTGTGTGTGTGTGTGGAGGGGGGAGGTTTCGAAGGATGTGTGTATTCGTGAGAGGTATGATGGATTTAGGATAGGGAGGCGTGGATGGAGTCGACTAATGCAGATGTCTGTCAATACAGCCCACTCTTCGCGGGGGAGAAGCGGGGGTTAAAAACCCATCGCGCGAAGCGGGGTAGCGGTCTCCAATTGTTCGCACACCATGGTTGGTAACAAGGCCCCCAGTCGATGCGGTCGGGATCTGCACTGCACTGCACCAAGATACAGGTAGCATATATCTCGCACTTTCTGCGTTTTCGCGCACATGTTTGTTGGATGTTTCCCCTTCGCCGGCGGGGCTACGCGGGGCCAATCGGAACGCGCGTTCGCGGCACCCCTTCGATAGCTATCGGCCAGGAAGGGTGGCAGGGAGGGAGGGGCGATGCACGCCAATATCGGGGGACATGGTGCCAGGATCCGCGATGACTGAGCCGTTGCTGTGGATAGTGCGATAGTGCGGAATCATGGTGGTGGTGGTTGGCGGTGGCAGCGGGTGGCGGTGGTGGCGCACCGTCAACGCGGGGTGGGATGCGGGGATGGAGTGTGGGGGCGGGGGCGGTTGTGTGCAGGGAACGTCATCATATCTAGCCCCGCGGCCGCGGCCGCGCGACTACAGCGCGATGGGAAACAATTCGAACGCCAGAAGAAAAGCAAACGGAACCGTTTGCATCTGCGATCTGCGATGGAATGGGGAAGAATTAGGAGCAGAAGAAAAAAGAAGAAAGAGGTGGAGTGTCGGGCAGCTGTCATCCGCCCTGCATCTTTCCATCTTGATCCGCAAGCGAGGGTGAAGAGAAGAGAAGAGGAGATGGATGGCAGGAGACAAGTGATTGGAACGCGGCTGCGGGATGTGAGGAGAAGATACGCAGATGCGCAAGATGTGCAGCAGGGAAGTTTCTGTCCCTTGATTGCCAGGCACTGTACCGTAAGTGGTGATCATGAAGATCGCCCATCGATATCTGGATTTTGCAGCTGACGCTTCTCCTCCTGTTTATCTCGCCGTCGAGATGGACTCGCAGCAGCAGCAGCATGCGCAACTCCTATCGGTATCCGGAAGTCCTTCCCACTTATCTCTGGCTCGTATCTGCCGGTACCGCTGTGGGGTACATCCTTAGGTACATCCTCAAGGTGCTTCCCGCGCGGGGAGATGCAGTAGTCCGTCGGCGGGAAGCATGTAACATTAGGTTTCGTGGAGTCAAAACGGACACTAAGAGGGATGCCGAAACGGCGGGAAGGTGAAGGAAAACTAGAACAAGAATGGCGAGTGTGGAGAAGCGGGAATTGGGAGTCAGGGGAGGACGTCTAGTCGATGGTACATACGGTACATGGGCGTAAATGAAGTCCTGGGTGGGAACGAATGAGCCGTGATATTGCTCCTATATCGCAATAATTACTTAGGGATGGCCGAGCCAGGCGCGGGATGTCCCGATGATAGCCTGCGTGGCGGGAAAGTGCTCGAGACAGAAGTGAAAAAACTAGCACTCTGATAGGCTCCCAATTGCGGACCTGGACTGCGGCGGGAGAGTGCGTGGGATGGAAGTTGCGGAAGTAGATCACTGATAGGCTCACAAACTCGTTTTCACTCCACACGTTTCCGACTGCGGAAGCCTGAGATAGACTTGTCACGTTTCTTGTATAATCTATGGTGATTTTAATCGGCATATCATACCAAAAAACTCTGCTCATTCCCGTAGACCATCCCGGATGGTCCACTCCTACGACCTCGACACCACGACGATCGCATAGGATGGGCCTCTCGATTCGGCAGACAGCACGAACGGGAATTATTTTCCAATTATATCGATTGTTAGGCGGTCGGCCGGGCCGAGCAAAGCGCGGGACTCGACACTGGCTACCTATGTACCTACTCGGTGAGCATTTATCACGGATATTAGAGGACGGTAGATGATGCGCAATTGGCACTCTGTAACTTGTTTCTGCGACTGAGCAATAGAAACACGTTCGGTGGATGGCAGTTCTCTTTGCGATAAATGTTTTAAAAAGGTGCATCTCAGCAATAAGGGATTTCCCGCGGGCTACCGACGAGGGGGGTCTGTATCACGTGCACTGGCGTAAGAGCATGGCATACCTGAGGCTGAGTCATTGAAGGCGGGCTCGGGCTGTAGCCTTGCAGGGGGTTCTTTTGTATTTACAAGTTGCGGCTTTCTTGGTTGGACACGAGAATTCGAGGAGGATTCGCTGCTCAGCATGCCCAGAGCCCCCTCCTTAGCCCCTCTTCGACGATGAAACACGGCGATAATTGCGGTCTGGCCTTACCCTAGGTACTTCGTGTTGTAGTTGTGAATGATCCCAGTGAACACACGTGACCGCGATCCACAATTGACAACTCACAACCCAACGGTGATCATTCAAATCCCGAAAACTATTTCAATGCTCACCGCATGGTCACACCTTTGCTTCATCTCGCCCTCCTCCTCCCGTTCCTCGGGTAGGATATCACACCGCTCCTCTCACTCTTACATACTACCTTAATCACCGCCGCTACCATCTAAATCACTCGAATCTCTTACCTTAATCACAACCTTAATCACCACCACGAGATCAGCCAGACGCAATGACTCCCTTAAAGAAGCAATCCACCTCCAGCAAGCTGCTCGCCAACTCCGACGACCCACCCGACGAGCCTCCAACCCCAAAGCGCCCCGGCAGACTACTTCGCTTCCTCGTCGGCTCCGGCGCCGAGAAGAAGAAGCCCCCCGACAAGGGGAAGCAGAAAGCCTCGTTCCCGGCAATTAGTCCTGTGTACCACGAGCCGATAACATTTGCGGATGTCACTGGTAAGGGGAAGGGGAAGGCCAAGGGGAAGGTGGTGGACCCCGGCCAAGCGAGGCGGTATGACGGCGCCTTCGAGAATACACGCACGCCGGGGGAGCCCAGCCATCCCATTGCTATTCCCGGGGCGCGGGGAAGGGCACAGACATCTCAGACGGCGCAGACACTGACGTCGTGGGACGGCCAGGCTTCGATGGTAGAGAGCAGGGGTATGGACACGCAGACATCGCCGACGGTCGATCCAATCCAGCGGTCGTTACCGCAGCTACGGAACAGGCGGGTTTCGATCGTTGCGTTGGAAAACGAGACTAGCAGTCTACCGCCGCCGGCGCCCAGGCCGCCTCTGCAGCGGAGGACGGCGGACACGGAGGAACGACTGCCCGAGCAGAGGTTGACAATGTCGTTGGCGCCACGGCCGGATAATCCGATGGGAAGGCGGCCAAATATGGCCTCGCTGGCCGACAGGATGAGCACACCAAGGCCTGCAGCTCTGGCTCGGCCGTCGAGCAGACAAAACCATGGAACTCCGCCGCGGCCGCGACAGCAGCAGGTTCGAAATCTCGGCAGCCCGACCTCACCACGGACAAGGCTGGTGGATGGAAGTTCTCAGGATGCAGAGTCCCTAAGGGATTTGTACCAGCAGCCGGAGGAGAATTTTGTAATCGACGTGAGCCCGCTGCCTTCGCCGCAGACGCACGAGACCGACGGCGATAGTTGGCAAGAGCAGCCATACGAGCAGAGCCTGGGTCGCAGCAGTATTTACAGCCAGGGATCATACGAGCAACGAGGCAGAAGCATCTTTTACACCCCAGGACCACACGAGCAACAAGACCTCAACCCCAGGAGTCCGCCCAGACCGCGCCCCGAAAGTGCTTCGCCTCACGAGCAGCTCGAACTCGATGGTACGCCAATATCCCCTCCCCCGCGACCCCAAAATCCTCGGGAGGGTGGGAGTAGCCCGCGGAGCCCCCGGCATGACGAGCGAGTTAGTTCCAATAGCAGTCAGGGCTCGCCACATCCCCGGCAACAGCTTCCCCGGCGAGTTAGTAGCGACGCCATCACCGTACTGCAGCTGCAACGTCAACAACAGCAGTCGCATCAACAGCAGCTTCCCCGGCGGGTCAGCAGTGATGCCATTACCGTACAGCAGCCGCATCGTCAGCCACAGCAGCCGCCTCAAGAGCGAGTTAATACCACCAGCGGCGAGAGGCTACAGCAGAATCCACATCAACAGCCTTCCGAAAGACCCCACAACCACCAACGGCGTCAGTCGGAGCAACCCCAGCAGTATAATCGCACCGGCATCGAGAAGACCAGACCCCCTCCGAAGGTGCGCGTTGGCAGTGCACCGCAGCACACCATACCGCGCGGCGGTTTGATAGGGCCTCCGGCGATGAACCCCGACCGTAGCAGCGGACTCAAGGCACGCCCACCGAAACTAGACATGACAATCCGCTCCAACATAGCTCCGCACGTGGCGGCGAGTGGTACCCGTCGGGAGCCGTTCCTCGACGCGATCAAGGGGCTGCTGAACGCCGAGATCGCATTCGACAAGAACGAGATCCCGCTGGCGCTGAAGTACTACAGCAACTCGAGGCAGACGCCGCACATCCAGTTCAACATCGGGCAGCTGCACCTGTTCAGCAGCGCGCCGGAGCTGGCGGTGGAAAACTTTGAGCGCTCGATCGAGCTCGACCACTGGTTCTGCGTGGGCTGGATGCAGCTCGGCGGGATCCTGTTCCAGGACCGCAGGTACAAGGATGCCATGTTCGTGTTTGGCGAAGCCCTGCGCTGCTTCAGGAACCGCGAGGAGATCGACTACGAGCAACTGGGGCTGAAGTACGTCGTCAAGCACGAGGAGGTCCTGTGGAATAGGGCGGCCGTGCAGAGGGCGTTGGAGTTGGACGAGCTGCGCGGTGCGAGGACTTACCAGGTGCCGATTGGCTCTCTCTTTAGGGTCCCAGGTAGGTGGGCGCGGTCAAGGATGAAAGCCGTGGGTGATGGAACCGAATGGGGTTTCAAGGGAAAAGGGAGGGTAGTGGCGGAATGCGAGAGTGTTTATCAACTGGATAGATAGAGCTATAGATATTTTTTCCGATGGAGTGATGATACGATGCAAGAGGTCATTTGTTGGACTTGATTGAACCTGCACTGTCACATGTGGCGCGCCGCAACAAAGTTGAATCAACGAGTGACCTGCAATGTTTTTGCATCCATGGCGACGTGGTGAAGGTTGAAGACCCAGCCAACAAGGGTCGCTTGAGGGTGGTGGGCCAACTAGTGAAGCAAGAAATGCACGCTCTTGTTGCAGTTACGCAACTTGAGAATCACAGCGATTACTCCTGGGAACGATGTAGGTATAATGTGATCTGCTGAAGTCCGAGAAGTTGTGATGCAAGGCTGGTGAGGCCGAGGTTGGAGAAATCGGAGGGGAAGAAATATGACATGATCGCGTGGCTGTGGATAGGACGATATGCAACATACAGCAATTGCCAGACTGTCGGCATTAAGACATACTATCCCATGGATCGTAACGCGCTGGAGTTCCAAAATCGCCTCAGAAATGGCCACTCCTCCATCCGCCCAGTCGCACCACCAACACCCCGGAGTAGGGCTGTGACTAGATAGAGTTTTTATTTAGATACGATTAAAGGGTTTTAATCATATCATGGTGGTTCTACTGATGGTTTAAGGCCAATTTCCACCCAGAAGCGCAAATTCGCGTGATTTTCACAGCTTTCCACGACCATACTGGCCCACCACCACATGAAATCTTGCCCTCAATCCCTAGAATTCGTAAAATATGATGCAGCTGCTCTAGAAATTGATGTGACGCAGCGGCACCCCCCAGACCTTACGCGATCATTAGGTTTTGGCGGCAAATGTCGACATTTTTCGTCATCTCAAAACGAGCCTACTTTGTGTCCGGTGGTCTATGCCAAGACTTGGACAAGGCGACAGAAATCATGATAGAAAGCCCGCGGCGTATTATCGGCGGTTGTAGTGGCTGAGGGAAGCATATGCGCATGGGCTAAAGATGACGCCGCGGCGTGGATGGTACTAAACAAACATTGTGGCGCAAATTGTGGCGCATATTATTGCTAATGGAAGAAGATTGTGGCGCGGCATTACTGGTGCTGGATGAAGATGGTGTCGCCGCTCCCGGTTTTGCTGCCACTGGACGCTATTCACCACACGAGAGTCGGAAATACTGGCAAATTTGGTGGGGAAAGTGCTGAAAATAGTGGCATTTTTAATCACTACCGGACTGCAATCGACTGCAGTCCAACCCCGTCCAGCAAATTGACGGACGGGACGGACTACTTTTATCCCGTCCGCAAAAAAGGCATGGACAGAACTGGATCTTGGTAGTCCGCCCGGTCCGGACTATAGAGAACACTGCCCGCTTCAAGGGTGTGATTTATCGAGCTGCCAGGTTTCAGCGAGTGATATACCGTGCGGCAGCATTTATTCATCGATGCTTTGTCTTTTGGAGAGTTGGTGACCCCCAAGGGCTCTCAATACATCATTTCTTTGTATCCCGAAATGGTCATTACTTAGGTGATTTTCGTGCTGAACGAGGCAGGTTTGTATCTGAAATTGCGACTTGTCAGATGGCGAAGATCTCTCATGCCTCTTCTCGTTTATAACCTCAACCACAAGCGTGAAAATTTTCAAAATTGACTAGACTGTAGCTAGGAGCCAAGAGAACAACTCTCTCCGCAAATTCTTTGGACGTATATGGCTTACTTTTAGAGATTTTCTGGGTTGAGTGGAGGCGCGTGGCCCTTTTGGAACTCTAAGTCTAAAGTTACGATCCAAGGGATAGCATCCCGCTTCCTATACGGCGAGGTGGAGACGTCTACTATAGATGCACCCAACCTCTTTTTTCCCGGCGAAAGTGGAATTCGCGCGCCTGTAGAAAGTAACGATAAAGTGCTTGCACTTCAAGCAGTAATATAAACGCTGATATTTGTCTCTTTGATCGAATACTCAGAGACCCAAAAACGGGTGAGGAACAAAAACTTGATCAATTCGAAGAAAGTTCTATGATAATGATGAAACGAAAACAAGACGAGCATGGACGACAGAAAAAGTGACAGCAAAAACAATTAAACCGTTAACGACCGCATCGGGTCTCCCATCAGAAACAATTGGCATCGCCCCCAAGCAAACAAAAACAAAAAAACAAACTGTGATCCCCCAAGTGAAATCATTCCGATTTTGTAACACCTCGCGACCCTAAATCTGTTGAGGTGGTAATTCCACCCCTTGGAAAGCCCGATTTGTGGGTCCTTTATGTAACTGCAATCCATCGAAGCAGCAGTGGTACCGGGAGATTTATTCCCTGACGGGGCAGGCATCTCAGCCACCCCCGCGGGCCAGTTTTCTACATAGACCAGACCAGTCGGCCGACCAGACCTTGCCAGGCTCGGTCGGCCCAGGTCGGCCGACGTCGGGTTAACTGCCAATTCTATCAGCCGCAAAAAAATCCTGAGTGTCTAGCGGTTTTAGCGCATTTCCGGCTTCAAATTTTGTTTCTTAGTCCGACCTATCCCGACCTATGCTTGGTCGGTCAGGATATATCACGACCAGGCCTGAAATTTATGCTCGGGATATAACCCGACCGGCCAGACCAAGTTTTGTTTTGGTCGCGATATATCCCGACCGACCAGACGAGTGTTTCTTTTACTCGGGATATATTCCGACCGACCATACCAGAGTTTTTTTTGGTCGGGATATATCCCGACCGACCCGACCATACCCAAATTTGGTCGGGACTGGTCTGTGTAGAACACTGCCACGGGCCCGCAGGCCACCACAGTAATTAATGGCTAGCATCTGCTCTTCGAGGTTTTGTGAATCGGAACTGACGTCGACCAGTATGAATAGGATGGAACAGACTCACTGGCCCTCTGGGAGATTCACTCCCTAGCGGGGCAGGCATCGCAGCCACCCACGTAGGCCCGCAGGCCGCACTTGATCTCCCAAGTGAAATCATTCTAACATCGTAACACCCCAGCCATCCAGCGCGAATTATTACCTAGGACAAAGGACCAGAATGCCAATATACCATCCAGAAAGGGACATATCCGTAAACATAGACTTCGAGAGTGTACTACACGCTCGCGGCCACGGCCACGGCCACGATCCCGATAACCACCAGAAGCGTCCAGGAAGACAGTGTGTTGGTTGTTCCTGCGCTGTCAGCTTCCGCCGAGAGGAAGGATGACGCGGTAACACTCGTGAACAGCGCGTCGAGGCTGCCGGAGGCGAGGCCTGCCGTCGGCGAGGGGGCGCGTGGACTGCGAGATCGCCGGTCGAGGCGACGACGGACTTGGTGCTGGAGCCTGGAGGCTAGGGTGACCTCGGCGGAGTCGAAGGCGATCGATGTGGGGACGGTCTCGACGCTGCCGGTCTCGGGGTCCGGGTACAGAGTCGAGAGGATTATATTGGAAGCCTGCAGGCATGGCAGCCACTCCCGCAGGCCCGCAGGACATAAATGAATGGTTTCCTCCTCGTCCGTCATTGTCGTTAGCATACGTTGCGTACACTTGAACATGGCCCACATGAGTAAATAGGATGCAAGAGACTCACTGGCCCTCTGGGAGATTCACTCTCTAGGCATCGCAGCCACCCCTGCAGGCCCGCAGGCCACACCTGATCTCCCAAGTGAAATCTTCCGATATCGTAACACCTCGCGACCCTAAATCTGTTGAGGTGGTACTTCCACCACTCGGAAAGCCCGATCGGCGCGTCCTTTATGTAACTGCAATCCACCGAAGCCGCAGTGGTATCGGGAGATTTACTGCCTGACGGGGCAGGCATCTCAGCTACCCCCGCAGGGCCCGCAGGCCAGATCGTTTTCCACTTCCGGGCAGTGTTCTACATAGACCAGTCCCGACCAAGTTTGGGTATGGTCGGGCCGGTCGGGATATATCGCGACCAAAAAAAACTTGGTCTGGTCGGTCGGGTTATATCCCGAACATAAATTTTCAGGTCGGATCGGGATATATCACGACCGACCAGGCATAGGCCGGGATAGGTCGGGCTAAGAAACAACATTTGAAGCCGGAAATGCTCTAAAAACCGCTAGAAATTAAGAAAGTTTTTGCGGCTGATAGAATTAGCAGTTAACCCGACGTCGGCCGACCTGAGCCGACCGAGCCCGGCAAGGTCTGGTCGGTCGGGATATATTCCGACCTCCTAAAGCCTAGGTCTGGTCGGTCAGCCGACCGGTCAGGTCTATGTAGAGCACTGCTTCCGGAGGCCCAGGCCAGATCATCTTCCGCTTCTGTGTACTGCCTTCGATCCCAACAGTGCGTCTTGGAGACTGTCGTGAACACCCATCAAAGCGGTGGTTGCGGATAATGCGCGACGCTGCACACGCACTAGTAAATGTCAGCATATTCGTGGATTAAAACTAACGATAAACATTTGCGGTGGTGCGCGGCCGATCCCATTGAAGGGTTGTCAATCAGGTTGAAATTGATGATAACGTTGCGAATCTCCGTGCGAGCGCTTAGTCACTTCTCACCGACGGCGAATACATTTGGTGATTCTTTTTTGTTTAATCGTTGAGTGCATGTAACCTGTCTAGATCATGGCAATATCAACCCGTACACCCCCGTTTCCACGCCGCTGTCCAACTCGACTTTCGCAGAGCAGCCCGATGTAGCTTTCCCTGCCCCCACGCTCATGCCTGTCCCCAAAAATGAAGATAGAGCGCAACAAAGAAATAATACTAGGAAAATACAAATTCCGCATCCTCCTTTCGTTCCTACTCCAAGGCGCCTCTCTCGGAAGCCGCCTCCTCCTCGAGCTGCCGCAGCACCTCCTTCTCTGCGAGCTCCCTCATCTCCCACTCGTAGACCTCACTTGCTGCATCTTCCTCGTCAGCCTGTGGGATCCGCCTGCCCACGGGCCACCACAGTGGGAGAAAGGAAGTCGGGGATGGCCAGGCTGCACTGCTTGTCTGCGCAGAGGTCGCGGATCGTGAATCCGTCCTTACTGAAGAGGTGTTCCCGGGTCTGAGTTTTGTAGCGGCACCAGCTCTAGCGAGCATTGGGGTGTTTCTTCATCCATTGGAGATACTGGCCTGTAAGGCACTGCAGTGCCCTGGCTTCAGTTAGTAGAACCTTGAGGCCAGGTGCTTGGGGAAATCGCTGGAATTGGGTCGGGTTTTTCGCTCGATTTCCGGCTGTACCGACATGCATCCTATCCGAGAGAGATCTCCAGTTTATTTCGCATGCAGCCTATCTAGACTATGCCGAAGCCCATCACAACGGTAGAATCCAGTGATAAGTACAGCACTTTACGCGCCGAGTGAGATACAATGGGAGGAATACGGCTGAAGAGTTCGTTGATAGGTTAATCGTTAATGGGGGAACGAGGTTCTAATTTGGTTCTGCGTGAAGAGCGTGCACAGACAAATATAGTTGTAGTCACTACTAGGAGTAGGACATCACGACGATCGAATACCTACGTGAAGTAGGAACATCAATTAGGTAGTTGTTTGCGAAAGCCTTCATCGTGCAGAATCTAAATCGACCGACTTTCCATCGTCTGCCTAAGCTCGCAATTACCATGACTCTGACTCCATACTTCCAGAGCCACTGCCCATCCACATACGTCCTGGCACGGATGGCCACCGAGCAGCAGCGGATTAAGGCGTCCGCAGCGTATGTACTAGATGTTCGTGCATGGAACACTCCCCAAGTGTCTGCCGCATCCGACGTTCTGAATCCTCTAGCAACTGCTCGTATCGTAGCTTTGAAGCGAGGGGGTTGCCCATGTGCAGATATTCTCGCTGGCGAGAGAATTGGCGGTAACCTAGATAGTTTCGCTGAGAGGTCTGCCGACTCGTAACCGACGTCTCGCAAATCTAAGTGATCATGCTCATGTCGGTGTAGTTGAACTCGGCGGTGGGTTCGAAGGCGAAGCGCGAATCGGTCGTGGCGGTGGAAGTGGGGTGATTCGGGAACCTCGCGCGTGGCAGTGATGGCGTGGTGGACATAGGCGGTTGTCTTCGTGAGGAGAGTCGTGGAATGGTGCCGGCAACGAGGTTACTGAAGCTGGCGGTCATAGTAGTCGGATAACGAGGGCGATGTTGCGGATGAACGGCGTGATAGTCGCTTTGGTTCTGTTCGGGTAGTAGAAATATGAGCAGTGAGGGGTAATGGGATATCTAGGGAGATGAAGGAAGGATTGATGAAGGAGACTTAATTTTGGGGGTTGGCGTGTAGCGATTACTACGTCTGCATTTCTCTGGCATGCTTGCCTCGTTCACGCAACATAGGTCACTCTCCCTTCTCCAGCTGTAACACTTTGCATGATAGCAGCATCCTCAATGTCTCATGTCCCTTCGTCGACTATTCCACATGCCCGTGGTTCGTCCCTGTCAGAAAGCTCATCAGCCTAGCGAGACCCGGCCGACCACCAGTACAGCTCCTCCTAATCGCTCTGCAGATCAAAGGGCTTCTCCCGCAGACGGATATAGGGATAAGCAAACAGTCGAGGGTGTGAGCAGATGGATTGTCACTTGGCGGCCAGCATTTGTGCGAAACGGTTCCCACTCGCCTGCCGCCCGCCGATCCTTTCGCCCTGGCGTACCTCTCTCCATAGCTCAATATGTGCCATTCGCCTGCTTTATCAGCTATGATTTGCGGTAGTAGCCCTAATACCGATCGTCCCATTCTCCTCCCTCCAAAGATCCACCGCCTGATATCCACCTCGTATAAGACCCGTAAAGAAGCCTAGCATCACGTAAACAGAAAACAAAAGTCAAATGAAAGGCACAACAATCAGAGCAACCGCTTTTCACCACTTCCCCGCGAAACAGCTTCCAACGTACGACAAACCCAGATCCAGTCCTCGCGGCACAGCTTCCCACGTACCATCACACCCTCAGTAGATCCAGCACATGTTGAAAGTTCCCAGCAAAGCCGACCGTTCCACCGCCCTAACGCTGGCGATTGCGATTAGGCCGCCGACGGATGATGCGAAGCCTGACGCGGCCGGTGAAGCGGATCCGATAGAGCTTGCGAATGACCATCGTGATGATAATAAAGATCCAAACGGGTGAGAAGATGACGATGAAGTCTCGAAGCTTCTCGCAGCAGAAAACTTTGGCCGGAGTCAGCGAAAGAGTGGAGGAGAAGGAGGAGATGGGCGCACCGTATTCAGCTGCGCTGCGAGGGATGACTACGTGCATACTGGACAGCGGGGTGGTTCGCGGTTGCCGTCGTGGCAGTGGAATCGGTGGGAGGAGATGTGGAATCGCCGCTCGTCTGCCTCGATGGCGGTGGTGGTGTGTGGTGGATCCGAGATCGATTCGCTGCGAGTCGGAGCGGATGTTGTGAGAGGAGGGAGAGTGTGCAGGCAGATTTTGTGCGAGGAAGGGAAGAGGGATTGCGGGCTGGAGGTAAAGCCGAAGGAACCCATAACAAGGCTGGTCACAAACGTACTTCAACGCCACACCTGGAGCCACAGCTAGTCCCGGGAAGTCGATAGAATCCAGGTCTTTCCATGTAGGTTTCCGTTTAAAGGTATCGGTGACATAGCTCTGAGTACCATGCAGCAACACCATTTCCCACACACGGTTGCGAAGATCCTCCACCACCGCTGCAACCACTGCTACATCGAAACAACCATCACAACATCTACCACAACATCTCGAGAAATTACTCCCCGCATCGCATTCACATTGCAAAACTCCTCCAGACTCCAGCGAAGTCACTACCACACGCGAGACACCGAAGCTCGCGATTCCGACCACCGGCGATCAAGTTACTGTTAACAACCATGTTCGCCAACCCCAAGGACATAACAGACACCGAGACGGAAATCTGTGAGTTGTCGCCGTCACCCTAGGATCTATGTAACAGCAATCCACTGACCATCGTGTTGCAGTCATTTTCTTCAATACTCTCCACGTTTTCACCCTCACCCTTATTGTCGGCTTCGGTGTGTGCTTCTTTATGTACTATGTTCTCCGCAGCGAATGGGAGATCCAGCAAGAGGTGGCGAATATGCCAGTGTTTAGGAATATTCCCGAGTTCGGCGACGACTCAGATGAAGATGGAGAGGAGATGGTGGGGTTCATCGCAGAGCGCAACGAGGGCTCCGGAATGCGGGGCTTGAGGGTGAACATGGAGGAATAGTCAGGCTTAACTGTGCGTTTCATTGCTTCTACTCGGGTTGGTACATACCATCATTTAATGTTTAATGGTTTCATGAAATGAACGGAAACCGGTCGAAAATGCAATGACCCATGTCGTCACTACTACCCTCGTGACTCCCCACATCGTGCCGCAACTTATCAGCCATGCCCCGCACTGACTGCTCGCCGTGGATTGGGGGTGCACATCAACGCTTCATTCGTCCACCATCGACTTCTATTCATCGTAGATTAGATGTAACTAGAAAAGCCATCTGTCCATCGTTCATAACACATAACAGCAATCGTTATGCAAGACATGTTGTGCGGTAAGACACCTCCGCACAAGGAAATTGCAACTACTCATGATGCCAGATGAAAACCAAGCTTACGGAATACATAGGCGTAGTCCCAGTAGGCCAGAGAGAAGAAGGGAGGGCAACATGGTTATAAATCATTGCATAGCAATATCCACACATCCACACTCTGTTTCCACACCAGTGAAGCCACTGTCCCGCCCGATTCCCGTGGAGCGGCCTGATGTCTCTCCAACTACTCACCGCCCTGCCTGCCGCCCAGGTCAATACCAGCGATGTTGATAGAGCGCACCGACGAAATAACCATCTTTGAGCAGTGCGAGCCACCAATCTTCTGCTGATCGCAGCCGCGGAGGTCGTTGATGCCCATATTCTTGGGCTTTGGGAGGACACCGTTGATCTCGGTGATGGTGGGCGACGCCTACGACGTCTCGCAGATGAACAAGCCCACGGGTGGGATGGACGAAACCGCCGGAGCTGCCGACGCCCATGTACATGTACGTGTTGGCGTCGGTGGGGTCGACGGTGATGGTGAACTTGCTGGCCGCGAAGGAGACGGCGGGGACGTCGTCGGACTTGGTGATCGTCTTCTCGGAGGACGGGAGGGCTGAGGCGCAGAGGCCGAGAACCGCGAAGAGCGCGAGAGACGTGAGGTTGAAGCGCATCTTGACGAGGTTGAAGGGTTGTGTGAGGGTGTTTCGTAGAACTCGCGGGTCGTTAGGATGGTCGTGGGGTAATGAGCTCTGGAGTGAAGGAAGGGATTGTCTGGTTGTGGTGAGGATGGAAAGAGAAAATGAGAAGTGGGAGGGGGGGGGGGGGGGGGGGGGGGGGGGGGGGGGGGGGGGGGGGGGGGGGGGGGGGGGGGGGGGGGGGGGGGGGGGGGGGGGGGGGGGGGGGGGGGGGGGGGGGGGGGGGGGGGGGGGGGGGGGGGGGGGGGGGGGGGGGGGGGGGGGGGGGGGGGGGGGGGGGGGAGGACGGGGGGTTTTGTAGGTGGAGGGGGATTTTTTTGCCGCCGCTCTGCTAGGGCTAATCCTTCAAAACATGCAGTAGCGCGGTAGGGTCTAACGTGAAAAGAAAGCTTTCTATGGTATTTGATCAGTTTCCAGCGACGCACAGGTAAGTTTGATGCGAGAGCCCCTCGTGTTTGTTTTCATAGTTGCGCTACACCGGTTGAAGCGCCGCTCCCCGGACCCCTGTGTTTGCTGGGCCCTTCAAGGCAAACAAACTTCAGCATATCTCTATCATGTTTGCCAAGAAGATTAAACAAACTTCCCACCGGCATCGGGGTCATCCACTACAGCCTGGCATAAGGATACACACTTCGCACAAACAGCTGGGGTTCGAAACCCACGATAGCCGGCAACCAAAGAAGCTCCCCCCATGTAAAGTAAATCGGTGGTGGCTACTGGATGACTATACACTGCGCAATCCGTGATGCCTAGTCATTACTGTTCTACTACTACGATTGCGCAAATCCGTAAGACGATGGTTCCGAACGACCTCCCGGCTGCAGAATTATGGGTTTTGTCTATATTTCATCCCACCCCCGCCATTACCTTCCTTCTACTCGATCCATGAAGGCGATCTCTCCCAACCCCATGTTTCTGCCCACCTACAGAAGCCGCTCCACAACCACCGTTCGGGCGATGATCTGACCGCCGTAGAGAGCTCGTAAAGGTTTGCAAGCGACTGTTCTGACGAGTACGGAGCGGCCACAGGTGTTTGAACGATCATGTCTCCTGCGCGTAGCTACCAAGTTTCTTCATCGTAATCGTCCGTCAGAGCTTACACAAGAGGTAAAGTCTTCGCTCATCATTTTTGAGGCTTGACGCATAGATTATCACACGACAGTCTTAGTTTTTCGCGGAATACAAACCAAGGCTCCCCATGCGAGATGGCAATGTCAGATATAGTTGCGTATTTACTTTGCACTTTAATATGCCCGAGTTACTCGGGTGATAAATGTTGCGGGTACCGAGTCACGACGGAACGCCCGCCGAGTGAAATCAACACCGAAGGGCAGAATAGCCTTTACGACAAACGTCTATAATGTGATGATTTTGTTTCGACGTTTCGACCTCACCACCATGAAATCCCGCCACCACGCAAGCCCACCACTGCATAAACCCATTGTCGCGAGCGACGGAGAAGCTGCCGGCGGGAGGAAACGGATGAGGTTAGTTCTTAGTGAGCATCAACGTTGGCGGAGCCAGCGCGTCACCTGCTCAGGCTGCTTTCTCCGTCGGCTGCTGCTTCTTCTTCTTTCTCTCTCATAATCTACACAATAGACGATCAACATCTACATCCTCTCTCTCCTTGTGTGTTCTCCTGTTGTCGACCCGCATTCCAGTCTGCAGAGGCATTGGCGAGTAGGTAGACGGGTGTTTTAGTGGTGGTGCAGTGGTTTTACGACGACTCTTTGCTAACGCCGGGTCGATAGGCGCCCGGATGAGGAAGGGAGTAGACACAGAGGGGGGAGCTGAGATAGGGGGTTGATCGTCTATTCGATCAATGGTGATCCAGAGAGCAGAAGAAAAAGAAACCTCCACTCGACCCAGTCACCCAGCGCAAGTCCCTCTCCTCGCTCAGTAGTCGACCCGCCCTGCCAACCAACGTTGATGCCCGTAGCCAACTACTAACCACATTCGTTTTCTCTCGCCGACGGATGTTTCATCGCTCGTCACAATGGTTTTACGTGATGGCCCGTGGGGGGTGGCGGTGGGTTTGAGTAGTGGTTGGGTGGAAACGTTGAACAAAACTATGGCATTAAAGACGTTCGCCGATGAAAGTATCTTATTCTTGCGGAATACAAGCCAAGGCTCAAGATGCGAGATGCCGATGCCACGTGGAGGTACGCAACTTACGCTTACCTGCATATCGTATTTGCACTCCAGTATGCCCGAGTTACTCGGTGATAAATGATGCAGGGCAAATTGTGCGGGGTGGCGAGTCAGGACGGAAAGCCAGCAGAAGGAACGCAATACCTAAAGGCAGAACAGCCTTCGATGTTTACACACGGAGGTGAAATAGTGCATCCGTTACTATTCGGACTACTTCACATCACTTTTACGAATGGTACGCTCTTCGCCCTTCTCTTCACGGGAATACTATCTCGTATAGTCGATCAGAAACCTGTGCAGTACCTACATTGTACACACAAGTCCAGCAAAAGCCATGCAATCAGTGCAAACACCAACCGATGCGCCACATCCATCGCAGCTCCTCAGTCATCATCCCAACCCGCCTCCACCACCGTGCGCCACCCAAGCGCCACCAGGAACGCCTCGAGGTAAGTCGAACCGCCCACATTCTCCCACGTGACCTCAGTCCCATCCCTCGCCCACCTCGGCAGACCATCCCTCATAACAATCGCGTTCCCACTCAGCATTCCCACCGCCTCATCGACGCCAATCAGGTCCGCATCATAATTCTGTTCATGCGTGCCCACGAACCTCTTGCCATAGTCCTCCTCCCTCTCCGGCTGCGCGCCCAGCACCTCGCACAAGTAGTAATGACAGAGATACAACCTTCTCCCCGCAAGGTTATGCAGCGCGATCCAAAACGGCTCCGTATTCTTCTGCTCCTGCAGCTGCGGCGCAGCGAGCGGCTGCGAAGTCGCGTTGTAAGTCGGCAGCAGCCGCACGTGGTACCCGCCCTCCTCGAGCGTCTCGCGGATCGCGCACGAAGAGAGCGTCTCGCCGATGTCTTTGCGCCCCCGCGGAAGGAAGAATGTCTTGCCCCCCCGAGGCGAGGTGTCGCTCACTAACAGCACGCGCCGCGAAGACGGGTGGAAGCATAGCGTGCCCGCCGCGAGGACGAAGTGGCTGCTTGGGTAGTGCGGTGGGGGGTAGGGCGTGCGTGCTGCTGTGGGGGGTGCAGGGGCGGTGGCGGAAGGAACGGTGGCCGCAGGAGCGGCGGGGGCGGCGGGAGTGAGCGCTGTGCTGGCGAGTGGCGCAGTCGGAGGAACGGTTGGCGGGTGAGAATCGGTGGCCATCGGGTCGGATTCGCGGCGGTGTTGAAAGCAGCTGCTGTTCGAGAACAGGGCGATCATGGGTGGCTGCGACATGACGACTGTGGAGGGGAAGGCCGATGACGTAATTTGCAGGGTTGACGGCTGTGTCGTACAGAGTCCGAGTCCGAGTGCGCTTGGGGTGTGTGCGCGTGGTAAAGAGACGGAAAAGTTGGTAAAGAAACGGAGAAGAAGATGCAAAAAAAAGACGGAGCAGAAGATAGAAAGAGAAATTGAGGTAAGTTTCGTTGAAAGATTGTGAACCGGAATTCAGAGGTGGTGTTTACTTGTACGGCAAGCCGTGAGTACGGTTCTCTCGAGATACTCACATCTCAGCACTCGTTCACGAGCCATACATCGTGCACTTTCGCAAATGAATCACGCCTGGCGGAGGTCAGGGAAAGCCGCGACACATCGCTCGAAGAGAGTCGGGTTGGACAGTGGCATGGAAACGGGGGTGTATGCGTGGATGATGCCTTGATCTACAAGGGTCGAATGCAATCGATGAATAAACCAAAAAAATGAATTTTGTGTTTAATCAGTGATTGCTTGCGACCTAACCAGATCATGGCAAGCCAAAAAAATAAAAAATGAATGAATGACGCCTGTGTACTTCCCTTCACCGTCGAAATAATTGTTCCAATCGCGCAACAAAGGTGGGCGAAAATAGAGAAAGATAATCGGCCGAGTAAGACGCAAAGACAGAGAAGCTCAAATGAACAGGAGATCAAGGTTGCATGAAGGTAGTCTCCTCCGTCGCTACGCCCACGTCCTATGTTCCTACCCACCATCTGTCCACCCCGGGAGACCACTTCGTAGATCCACGCAGATATGCCAGGTTACTGTTGGAGGGTGTGCACTCAGTTCATTGATCGCCCCGATGATCGCCAGCTGAGACACACAAAAACCATCACAACACCCGACGGGCGAAGCCTGCCGCTTCCCGCCCCACCATCCCTCAAACATGCCCCATATTCGCTGGATCATCGCTAGATCATTGCCATTTCTCCGCTCTTCCTCCTCCCTCCGCCCTCTCCAGTTGCTGTAGATACTCGGGCTGCTTATACGGGTCTATTCCCACACGGACCCGATTAGCCATCATCCACTCCCATTCACTCCTACATCCATGCCACCATTCCGAAAGCGACTACCCACCAAGCGTGGGATAACTCCTTGAGCTGTGCGTCCCGTCCTCCCTGTCCCTCACCGCTGTAGCGGATGTGATGGGCACGAGTGGTGTTTGGATCGCATACGGTGTCTCGGGATCGCCGACGCGGATTCGACAACGCCGGCGGCGGACGATCCAGAAGAGTAAGATGGCTAGGAGAATGATGACCCCGACTATGCTGACTGCGATACCGGCGATGGTTCTGGGCTCGAGGGCGGCCGAGGGAGGCGGGGAGGAGGAGGAGGAGGAGGAGCGGGAGTGGGTCTATTCGCACAGAATCGAGTCAGCAGGGGAGAGATGTAATCGGTGTCAAAAGAGATGCGGACCTCCGCCGTCGCCACCGTCAAGATACCGAACAGCAAAAGGAGTAATAGTGACATTGGATACGAAGTCGACATCATTGAGAACAAACAGCGAGGGAGACACCGGAGCTTTAAGCTCTCGCTTCATCTCTCGCGTGCATCATTTCGGGGGTTTTATTAGACCATCTCTCGCCTTCGTGTGGAACCAGTCACGGCGGAGTGGTGAGGTAGCTGCGATACAGGGGTAGTTGGTAGGGCAGCATGGTTCGGGCGGTCGCGAGACATGCAGATCCGTGATTCGCTACGGTAGACAGCACGGGAATTGAGATTACGATTACGATGAGGTTATTTCGTGTTGATGAAGATCTACTCGACACCAGTGGCTGCCTCGCTGAGTCCAGCGATACTGTTTGCCGCCCGCAGCGAGCTGGGGAGTTTGACATCTCTGTCGTTTAGCCGACACGATAGTTTTCGCCGACACACATTGTTTGCTACACACACGTGCGAAGCCCCAATTCTACGCTAGCGACAGCCCACGCTAGAGCCCTACCAGGCTAACAACTACCCACGCTAGCGCCCTTCGACGCTAGCTTCTGTTCTCCCCATAAAACCCCCCTTCCCCTCTCCATCGAACTCTCTCCTCCTTCTTTCTTTACATCATCTCTTTACATATTCAACAACACCACAATTCAGGTAACACCTGCCACAATATTTTCTTCCTCGCAACTACTCGAGCAGCTTCAAGGTACCTACTCCTATCGATTATAGATTCAATATCATCCACCAATCGCGGGCGCGCTCAGCGCATGCATCACACCGCCATCGCCCTTCGCTAACTTTATCCTGTGAGCAGAATTCATTCTTTAAGCCGGTCGTTTCCGCTTCATCGGCTGTGCCAACGAAAAGGGAAACCGAAAAGACACTGCCGAAGGTGGGCTTGCCGGGGTAATATTTTGGCCCCGGCTTCTGGGTGGCACCTCGTGCCACCCAGCTTCTGTCGCCGGACAATGTCAGGGTACGTGCCCCTTACACTGGTCTTCAAGATTATCATCAACTAATAGAATACACAGCGCAGATGGTGGGCCCACAGGGGCAATATTCTTGCCCCGGTAACTGGGTGGCATGAGGTGCCACCGAGATTCTACAGCCGGAGAATGTCCGCGTAAGTGCCTCCTACACTGGTCTTCAAAATTATCATCAACTAATAACATACGCAGTGTAGATGATGGGCCCACCGGGGCAATGTTTTGCCATGGTTGTGTTTTGGTGTGTACTTAGTCTTGTTGCGGGCAAGACTAAGTTCACCGCATTCACTGTTTGTGGGCCGTGCTTGTTGCGGTAAGTAACAAGTTTTGTCACAGCGGATTTGAGTGGTAGAAGGAGACAGAAGCTAATGCTTAGATACAGATAGGGAACCGATCCAAGCGTGGCAAGAAGCGCACGAGGAAGGGTGTGAGGAAAGGCCGAAGCTAGAAACAGCTTGCGGCCCAAGTCAGGCCAGACTGGCTGATAGTAGTGGCTGCGGCCGCTCCAGCATTCCAACTTTCGCACCCACAGGAAGTGGGGAAGTGAGGATCCCGACGGGATCCGCGAGATCTCAGAGGCTCCTGGTAGTGTTCACGAGGAATCGGGCGGCTCTCGCGAGAGTTCCGTCACAGAGCTACACTCGGCAGTCATCGACGCAGAGTGTCAAGGCAATGTTAGTATTCATGCTCCGAACACTGTGTACGAAGAGCAATGCTGATACCAAGAAGCTCGTCAACAGGATGTCATCACCGTTGTCAAGAAATTCCGGGTGAGTGGTTTCTGCCTCCACGAAGTCAGCTGGTACGGCTGCGGCCGTCGGCGACTGGCCAGCCGTGGGATGCGTCCCCCTTACAGGCTACGGCCTCGGGGGGATATCTCCCCGGACGGGTACGCCCGTCCGTGGCTGGCCGGCCGCCGCCAGTGTCTTCCTCCCTCTGGGAGAAGACATCTGGACTAGCCACGGCAGCTGGCTGATTACTTCTTATGTCTTCGGACATCTGATCTACTCACCAGTTCGCAGCGTCAAGTTGACCACTACTGCTGGCGGAATGCTTCTGCCCCGGCTAAGGACGGCTACGGCCGTCGGCTGCTGGGTGAAGAGGAGTCCGAGCAACCGATGTTTGTTTTTTTGTTTCATCGGGGCCAGATGAACTACATGGAGGAGAGGTGTGGTATCACGATTCCGTGAGCCATACCAAGCTGCACCATACTAACTCGGCCTGACATTTTTCAATTGGGAGAACTCACTCGGCAACACGTTGCCGGCTGAGCTGTGGAATGAGAACGTCAAGGCGCTCAGCGAACCAGAAACCTCCCGCAGCACATTCCTTCGAAGAGGATCAAGCGTGACGCAGCGTACCATCACAAGTCGACGAATACCATCAATACCCACTCTGGTGGCCTGAAGGGGACGTCGAGGTGGAAACCCGACTCGGAAAGCTCGATGCTGCCGTCCAGCTACGTTTCGAACGATTTCAGCAGGCCTTGTCGCCCTGCCGCTGGCAGAATGTTTCTGCCGCGGCGGTGTCGCCTAGGACGGCTACGGCCGTCGGCGACTGGCCGGCCGCCGGCAGAGTTACTCTGCCTGTCCTCTTGGGCGACTGCAGCTGTCGGCAGAAACATTTTGCCTGGGGGGGGGAAATGCCTCCCGAGGGGAAGGCGGAAGCTCATGTTCGACGAACTGAGCGAATACGTGGATACGGTCGAAGAGCAGCGCACGGTCACAACGCCATCGATTTAACCCAGTGTGCGTTCTCATCTCGAAGATATCGCCATGAGGCGTACTAGCTTTCAGCTATTGGAAGGCGCGCGGAACAACGGTTTGCGCAATTATACGACTGAAGTGTGGGGGGTCCCGACCCCTCATGTTGATCTTCCCGGATGGCGCACCGCACAACTCATGTTTGTGGGTCCCGGACGGCTACGGTCGTCGGCAGATTTATCTGCCTCGAGGGGTATTCCCCTCAGGCGGCTACGGCCGTCGGCAGCTGGCTGAGAAAGAAATTAGGCGCCGGATCAATCGGAGAACGTGTACCCGCCGTTAGATGCATGAGACTGGTTAGGAATACGAACATCCACGGCGAACTATTATGCGAGATGGGTCAGTCCTGGCATTTCTTTCGGTGCTTTCCCCACAACCAACTGTGGGGAAACCGAGTTTTTGAACGAAATTCAAATTCCTGAACCAAAGTCCGAGTCGAATTTCAACCTCGACGGCGGCCATTACGCATGCTCATGCATTCCGGGCTTCCAAAAGTTTGCACAAGCCCTGCGGGGCTCAGACTCTCTAATTTTCCCTCAAGCAAAAGAAATCACAAGTAGGTGTTTACCAGTCCTTCTCTACTCCTTCATGGTCTTCCGCCCCCACCACGACTATGGACTGCTGACTTGCCAACCCTAGTTTCTGCATGGATGGCCACTTTGAAAGTTGCCAAGAAAGGAGGCGACATCACCACGGTGATGGAGGGGTTATTGTACTTTGATTTCTTTCCAAATGTTTCTATTCTATTGTTTCTGTTAACTTCAATCATTTTCTGTCAATTGCAATCAATTTCAATCAATTTCAATTATAATTCTTCGTGTCAGGACCTGAATCTCATGAACTTGAACTTGCGCGGCTCGTGGCCGCGACGGCGTTAGACTTAAGTGCCTCTTTCTTTCTTGTTTCTTCATGTATTGTGTGCAACCCATCTAGATGATGGGAATCTGTGCTCGCCTCTGTCTGTCTATTAGAAATGAGTGCGAAGATAACACCCGAATTGAAGCGCTAGTCGAGTGATATGCATGAACAAGTTGCAGTAGAAAATAAGTCTCAATGATCTTGACTCAATTTGCCACTCCTGTTTCTAGGAAAAATGGCAAAGAACGATAAAGCAGATGTGAGACGGCACCGTATTAGTGGTAGCCTGCTGCTCCACTAGAGTACACACCGCGAACACTTCGAAGTTCAAATGTCGACAAGTTACACAGGCGGCAATTAGGGTGGCTTCACGCATGTTCGGGATCTTAGGTAATACGTGCGAGTTGGGAGGAATGGCCGCTGGAAAAGGTCCAATCGGAGTGGGATTGCGAGAGACGGAGATGGTAAGAAGCTGCACGACGCCGGCGGTGGTGGTTGTTACTCGGCGCTGTGATATATCTTGGGTGGCCATTAGGCTTTGTCGGACTCGGATCGAATTGGAGGTCGTTTCTTGCGTATTGGCCTGATGTGCTACACTTGTTCACTGGGATCCGAAATTAGAGTGCATTGCTTCTGTCATGATATCACGAATTTCAGTATACCGCGTCATGCGTGATCACTCTGACTTCCGTCATCCGTTCTCACGGGAGGTGGCGAGCGGCCTCTATCCAAGGCACCCCCGCGCCCTCCTCTATATATGCGTCTCTTCTGGCTATGATAGACTGTAAACTACTTCAAAATACCACTTTTCTTGACAGCTTCCATCGGAAGAGCATGGGTAACGAACCATGCAGCAGCGGACGCCACGACCAGCCACACGCCACACTCATTACCTATCACTACGCACAGGACGCCGACTCCAACCGTAAACTATTCCATTATCGTGACGAGGCAGGCCTGCTCCTTCAGTCCCCACGCGCAGAGGGGAAAAGCCTCAGCCTCTGGCTGGGAGTGGCAGGAAGAAGTGAGAGGACAATTCTGTGCGAAGACTTATCTCTAGATGACATCACAGTGATTGCAGACCGGAAGGCAGCGAAGAAAGAAGCAGAAACCCCCCGGCCTGGTTTCACCATGTCGACAGACGGATCACGGTTGGAGGAGGGCGGCTGCGGATATTCAGTGGTGTGGGGAAAAGGCGCGACCAACCGGTATGGATACAAAACCCATATGGTCGACAACCAAGAGGGCTACGACGCAGAGTGCGCTACCATAGTGCAGGCTCCTTACACACCACCAACCGCCCGATAACCAACCGCACGCAAATTGCAAATAAGAACAAATACAACCCGCTACCACCATTCACCCCATGGAAAACATCATGCACACCACCGCATGTACATAAGTAGTTATAGTAAGCTCGTAGCCAGTATTCTACACAACGTAGAGTAAAGTTGACTATTGAACTCTAAGGTGTCTTCTCGGACTTGATTCAAAGCCGTCGGGAGTCCAAGTTCCTGATCGATCACATCTCCGTCGGCACACGCAGGTAATTGCGACCGATGGCCCGACGTCGCGGGCATGCTTATGGGCCGTATGTACGGTACTCCTCCATCTGTGTAGTTTGCACATGAAATAATACTCGGGAGTCGGGATCCCACTCTCGATGCAATGCCGGCGGTAGGAGAACTGTACATAGAAGCTGCCACATTGCCATGATCTACCTGCTCAGGCCCCACGTAATTACTGTACAAGAAGTTAAAGTAGAGAGATGGTGTTGATGATCACAGATGTCGTCAAGAACTGTGGAATCCAGATTGCATGGTTCTCACGCGGCGCTGGCCGCATGTAATACCCATCAGTACCGCGCCCGGAGATGCGGCGATAACAGTACCTCTTGGTATCAAGCATTACTGACGATTACGGACTTGAACTGCTCCTAGTTTCGTGCCCGCCCTGGGCCGCATGCAGTACTGTTCAGTACCGCCCCTACTGTGTGTCTAGTACGAGACAGTACGGTTGTTTTACAGCAGAAAGCCAGCGGTACCACTCAGTGCTCGTCATTACCTAACAGTACAGCGCAGTAAAATGTGAGCGGGGCGCGGCTTTGCTGATTAAGACCTAGTAAGGCCCTGAATATGCCCGCCATAGGTGGTTTCTCATATCTTCCTTGCCTCGTTCAATGCTTGCTGGTAGGCAGCAAGAGGGGAAGTGTTGCAAATGTCTGTCTAGATTAGTCATGGTAGAAGGCACGGGCTTTTACCCCTATTCCTATATCTTCTTTTCTCACGAGGCTACAGCCTTTACACTTCAATACTACACTGTTCACCACCACATCTTACTCCATATTTCCAACAGCTTCTGTTGAAGTTTTGGTGATAGATATGCAGGATAATATTCGACCGGATAACATGTCTAAGGTGATGTCTAGCTACGTGGACAGGATGAGGCCCTTTCGTAGGTGCCACGACAAAAGATCTTAAGCGTGCAAACACAAGAGAGCAAACTCGTGACAAAACAATGAAAAAACGAGTGATAGCCATGAAGGATCAATGAAACAAAGACGTGACAATCAACAGCTTCCATCGGAAGGGCATGGGTGACGAGTCATGAAGCAGCCGACGCCATAATTAGCCACACGCCACACGCCACACGCATCACCTATCACTCATCATTCCGCACAGCGCGCCGACTCCAACCGTGTACTATTCCATTATCTACTGGTACACTCCAATGCTCTCCCTTCGCAGCTTCATTCCCTAATAACCCACACCCAAGGGCCGCGGGCATCCTGTACGTCCCCCTTCCCCGGGGCTCCACCCAAACTGCCATCACGCGAAATTGCTACGCTTACACTTCACACACATCACATGCCGACACGCGTGGCACCGCAATGCGTGCCGAACAGCGCGACGCGGTTGCAGTGGTAGCAGAGGAAGCTAATAGCTAGTATACTGCTCTCGCCGGGGGTGGTGGTGGTGGTGTTGGGCATGTTGTGCTGGATCTGGATTCTGGAGGCTTGGAGGCTGGAATGGAGGCTGGAATGGAGGCTGGAATGAGGGCTGGGGTGTTGGTGGCCGTGGGAGACGTGGTGGTGAGATGACATATCGGAAGATATGAGAGGGTTATATGCGTCGGAATAGGAGGCGGCAAGACGCGAAGATTCGTCTCGGAGGTGGCAGATGTGCTGCGGCGGGATCGAGACGAACGAGAAGCTGTTTCGTGAAACGGGGCTTGATGCGCATAGCTTGGGTGGGGTAGAGCTGCTAGATTGTTGCTTTCTTTCAAGAGGGTTAACATAATGATATCCCCTTGCTCTGTGTGCCTCACGAGCAAGAGTATCTTCTGCTGGCTCACCCGTCGGAACAGTACAATGTACCTGCAAAGTCGCTCGCGGGTCTGGGTCTTGTATCGACACCATTCATCCAGAACAGACTTCAGAGTCGCTATTCCTCTACCGTACTGGAGATATGCTACTAGTTTTCGTATCAAATTCGACGCAAACCTAGAAACCCGTGGCGAGTGCGAGTGCCCTCTCATGATGCGCCACCCCAAACACAGAACGTACCGCGTACCGCCCGGACACCACCTGTGATCGTCGCAAAGCAGGGGCGGTGTTTCCAGATCATTCCGCCCAGAAGCATCTCCACCTATCCCAATCCCTCATCAACTTACCGCAGCCCCAGGGTCCAGGGACGGAGTTGAAGTCCCGCGCCCGTAGGATCCCTACATACGCCACGACGTGCATGATCCCTGTTTTTGTTTGACGTGGCTGCCGATCGGCCTTTATATATCATGCGCACCGGCCGGGATCCAGTGGTGATACGTCACAGTCTGGTCAGCACACAGCATCGAGAGGATTGTTAGATCCTTGCCGAAGGCACCTGGCACCTGGCACCTGCGAGAGCCACCGGCCCCGCTCCAGCTCCCCTCGGCGCGTAGAGCGAAAGAATGGCCGTGAAGCGAGACAACCTACCGGTATGCCCCCCCCCCCGATTGTGCGAGTCGAGTGACGAGTCGCCGACCAACTGGGCCACGCGAAATCGCATCCATCTCGAACCGCGCTACGGTATGCTACCACCATACTACCACTCACGCGGAGTCGAACCCGGTCGTCAAGTAAAACCCCCGAGATACCGCCATATATGCCGGTAGCCCGCTTCGACTACGGCTACGCTGGCCCTATCGGCATCCTGCTACACTCGTTTCGTGCAGACCTTGCAGTAAATGGCTATATTGTCCATCGTCGACTCCGTCGCCACCACCGTTGGCAGCATTGAGGCAGTACTCTTCGGATGTTGCATTTGCAAGAAAGCCGTAGTAAGGGTCTACCTGCCGTGGCGTTGGATACGTTGCAAGTGTCAGCATAAGAAATGTCCGGAGTGTTGGAGTCTCATCCAGCCGAGGGTTGGGGATTGGGGCGGGGTGCATAGGAGGGGGAGGGGGGGGACGATAGTGGAATATTGAATGTGGAATCTGGTTGAGTATCAATATCGTGTGTGGGTCATGAACCGGCGTAGCTTGTGGCCAAAGACCCCCGAGAGTATCTAAGTACTCATGAGCCCCAGACCCCCGATATCTCGACCAAGATAGAATACGGGCGTAGAACATGGCGATATCGAACATCCGTGTGGATGCATCACCCCTTCGAAAGTAACAAGCTGGCGGGAGGAATACCAGCATTCAACTTCGGCACATAAACGTCACTGCCGATGAAACTGCTTCCCGTCCATCTCGATCCCGACGTAGGTAGCACAGCACACAGTGCCTCCGAAACGAACGCTAGTCCCGAGTCGTATCCTATTTCTGTGAATATCCCCCCCTCTTGGTCTCCCCCGGTCTCCACTCTCACCACCACGCCCTCACCGCTGCCCCAACACCGCAGCCTTCATTCCCGTCCAGACGCCTCGAGATCCATCATCCAGCCCATCACGCCCCACACAACCCCCACCACGACAGTATCACGGCACCGCACGTGTCCGCACGCGATGTTTGCGAAGTGTACGGTATGTGTATCAATTCTCCGTCATGGCAGCCTCGGACTGGCGTAGGCAGAGCCCCCCAGACAGTCCCAGTAGGCGACGGCGTACGGGTGCCGTATTACCAGTAACCAGTCATCACCGAGTAGGTGCAGTTGCACGTTGCACGTTCGAGAGTACCTAGTCAGGTGATCTGTTTTGTTCTTTTGGTGGGGTCGGCTGTTGGCAGTTGCCACGTAAACTTTCCGGGTGAAGAGATAAAAACTTTAAAGCTTAAACCACTGTGTCTTTCTTCACCGCAGCCTGCACCGTGCGGGCACCATGTCTATGGTCGTGTGGACAATGGATTGCCTGGTTTACCGTTAGGACCGTGCTCTGCCATGCGTACTGATGAGTGCCGTGGATGGCGTTTGGTCTGTAGTCTGTGGTCCGTGGTCTGTGGCGTGCGGCGTGTGGCGTGTGGCGTGTGCGGGGCGCAAGTAACATTTCGAGAAGCCAAAAACAACTGATGGGTGATCACTGATCAGGTACCCGTTGACAGTTGTCATCATGGTACCCCGCTCCTTGTACCGAAGTAGAGAGTCCGTATTCGCGACCAGGTTGTTTCCGCTCAGCCTTATATTCTAAGAAGGTTTATACTAATAGGATTACATATATATCCGCCATGTTCGCCCCGGCAGCCGGCTTGACCCATCCATGATCCACCCACAGCTGTCGAATTAATCCCCGCACCAATATCGCCCCCGTTTCATCTAGCCCGTATTACCACGGTTCGCCCAGTGCCCACCCACCCACCCACCCACAAATAGAAAATAGAAAGTAAGTATCGTATCGTACAGTAGTAATCCTCCTCCAATCCTTCCAACGCCTCACCCAGTCGCCCCCCGCTCTACTGCGTATTCATTATCGCGGCTGCCGCAAGGAGATCAACGGCGACAAACTGCCCCCAAACGGTTCTCTTGGTAAACGGGCCGAACCAATTAATATCGTAGTCGTCGCCGCTCCTCGCCTGGGTGTACATCATATTAAAGTTCAAATTAACGAACCCGCGCATCTCCGTCTTGACGTCTTCGTTGGACGTGGCCTTGTACAGGCGCACCAGCGCGCGCAGGAGGATCGACCGGAACCCCGCGCCGTCGCTATTGTCCACCAGGCCTTTGCCGTCTGTGATAAGCCCCGCGCCGTCCGTCCAGTATGCTGTTTCCATTGAGGCGTAGGCGACCTCCTCTGCTTCGTGGAGGAATGTGGTGTCCCCTGACGCGTGGAAAAGGGAGACGAGCGCGGCGAGGTACACTCCTGGAGTGGGGTTAGTAAAGTGACGGAGTGATGCGCGAAGGGAGAGGAACTTACCGGTGTTGTAGGTGTAGGCACCCGGGCTGACGCTGCACTTATCGCCCTCGACGCCGTCCCAGTTGACAAGCAGCTGGCCTGCATCAACAGTGTGGTTCCTGAGGAACTTAATAGTCCCTTGGGCGACATCGACGAGCTCATTGCTTGCGCCGACGGCCTCATTGATCCTCGCGGACGCCTGGGCCATGAGGCCGGTAGTGATGCTGTTGAGATAGAACTCCTCGGGCTTAGTAGTCCAGTAGGTGCCGTACTCGAGCGCGCACTGGTCGCTGATGACGGCGGTGCGCTGGATCCCGCCCATGTTCGGCGCGATGCCGGTCTGCACCACCAGCGAGGTGTCCTTCACCCACTGCCATAGCCGTTTTGCTTCAGTGGCGCATGCGGCGTCGCCATACACCTGGTACGCGTCCACGCACGCCAGCGCCCACCACAGTGAGTCGTCGTTGAATTGGTTCTCGAGCCCGACGGGATCGGATTGGCCGGAGTCGCCCCGCTCGATCAGCCGGTGCAGCCCTTCGGTTACTTGCTGCTGGTGCGCGGGGCCCATGAATAGGTCGTAGGAGGCAACGGCGGCGTAGGCGTTGCCGACTTGCCACCACGAGATGTTCTTGAAGTCGAAGTCGGCGTCGCGGTAGGTGAAGAGGTTGGCGATGGCGTCGTTGGCGGTCGTGGTGATGTCTTTCTCTAGCGTGGTGAGGGGCGTTGAAGCCCACGCCGGGAGCTCGACGGCTTTGGGGATCACCCGGCCCTTGTAGTGCGTGTGCGAAAAGCGCTCGGGGCGGTCGATAGTCAGCGCCCATTTGCGCTCGGGGACGGCGTTGGGTGCCGGGAAGCCGGTGGCGGAGCCGATCAGTGGGAGCGCATACAGCAGCGCGGTGGCCATCGATGAGGTGTACATTGCGAGTTGTATTGAGTTCTGGTGGGGTAGGAGCCGCCTCAAGGTTGACACTGGTGAAGGAGGGTTTAAGGAAGGGATATAGTTAATTCGCACGTCGAGGCGGTGTTTGCTGTGGCGAAATCTCAACTTAGCGGGGCCCCTAACAACTCTTTATACCTGATGTCCCAACCTTCTGCCAGCGCGGGAAGCTGCAGCTGCCTGTTGACATCCATCATGACGGCTTCTGAATGGAGTATCGCCTCTGGGGACTCCCCGGGAATCGTCTGGCCGGCATGCCCGGTAAGTTTTGTATTATTGGAGTGTGGCTGAAGCAGCCAGTAATCTTGGTACCGTAGCAGCGCATGCTTGTCGGACGTTAAATCGCATGGACACATGTTGTCGTATCGTCCCGTCGCTATTCCTAGTAACCGGTCCCCAGTTGAAAGGATGTACCTGCATGGTGTTTACCAGGAGGCCCGGAGAGATTCTGGGCTGACTCCCGACGAGAAGACAACAATCAGAAGGCGAATTGGTTAGATACCTCGCAGAGAACACACTATCACACCCAGATTAGTAGGGCCACCGGTGGAGCAGTATATTCATATGGGCGCCTACCGGGGACCCGGGGACCCGGGGTTTGAGGGCGGCTCTTCCTTGCGAAACTATTAGCCGGGATGGAGAGATCGTCGCATTTGTCTCATTTCGCTTGGCCTCGTCTCACCGAATCGTTCAGGATGGTCGGCTATTCGACTGCAATTGGTGGGAGCGCTCCGCCGCTCACCGGGCTGCGGCCTTCGCATTGGTCGAATCCTCAAAGAGAAGCCGCGCAGTCGCGGTAGTGCGACGGCGGTGGGGATAATGCGAATTTCTCGGCCCGAAATGTGCGGAGCCTGAAGTTGTTTTCTGACGAAAAGCCGACAGATACTATCTGCGTATCCTGCGCAGCCAAAACGCGCGTCGCGACACTGAAGTCCAGCCGGAATTGTCCTTACAGTTACAATAGAGTACAAAAAACCCGATGGTTACGCACGCTCCGGGCTTTTCGCTTTCGCGGCTGTCTCCGTCGCGTCATGATGCAATTGAACCGTGCAGCTCGCTAGCGTGTGTGTGTCTCGGAGCTTCATGCAGGTACCGCGATAATGCCGGCCACAAAAGTTTCCACTCACGGGTCTTCCAATTTATGCACTCACCGATAACTAATTACTGACTGCTACATAGTAGAGATCGCTCCCTGGTCCGTGCAGGTCCCAGACGAATGTTCTGCCGAAGCGCGCGGGCTTGCGACGTGTATAGAGTTAGCCCTATCAGATGCACGGGTAAAAACGCGTGTGGCCCGGTACCGTTGGGGTAGGTGCCTATCGGCCCCTGGATCTCGGCGGTGGATATACTGGGCGCAGAGTTCATGCTTCACTCACGATGCTATTATCCGATGGCATATTCTTTTGACCCGGTGTGGGAGTCGCGTACGAATGTTCCGAGACAACGCCAGCCGCTAAGAAACCTCAGTTCGAAGGCAACGGTGGAGGTTTCGTGTTCACCGTTGCGGTTACCAGACTACCAGGCCAATAACTTCGGTGAACAGTCCTCCGACGACAGCCAGGTCCAAGTAGTACTCTGACACGAAACGAGTCTTTCTCGAGTCTCCAGTCTCTCATTAGATTTGCGCATGACAGAAATCCGCCAAGATGTGCAAATGTCGCATCGTGGCTTAGAGACTTCGCGAAAAGTCAGTCGCAAGGCAAGGAGAGAAGAATAGAGTGGATCGATCGAGAACGTACTACATAGAAGGCACTCGTCAGTGATGTCCAGACTCCACCTCCGTTCCGAGAGTGTAACTATAACTTTATAGTGGAGTCTAAACGCGTGTAAGCACTAGTCCTGATGAAGACGACGTTATAGTTTTATGCTATGCGGTAAGATGAGTGAGTGATCATGAATAACTTGTATAGTGGACAAAAGTGATGTCCGTCGTCGTCTCCCCCTATGTTTACCGCGCGTCAGGCGGTGTTTAGTCACAGCCCTATGGATCTTCAAAATATTTTGTACGGCCTCATATCTCTCGTAGTCCCGTCTTCAACTCCCTCTCCCCTGATGTACTGTAGTAGAATTCCGCTGACTGTGCTGGCGACGGTGGATGTCCATCTCATGAATTGCCCAAACCTCTTCGGACACTCCTATGTAGCCGGGGAACGTTGTCTTCTCGAACAATAGTCCATCCGTATTTCTCGCAGCATCGATGTGATTGAGTAGGGGGCAGATATGATGGTGAAACCAAAAGTATCGTCGTCAGTGCCGATACACCTACGGACATTCGTTGGAGGTGGAGCCGGACGTGTGTGGTACCTAGCCGATCCAGTCACGTGACGATGGTCTTGCACTAGTCCGGATAAGGTCAAACACTAGCCGTCTGAAGCGGAACGAGTGAGATACGATGCGACTGTGTGCGTGAGCAACGACCTACTTTGGCACTTACGGCAATGTGGCGGCGAAGGAGAAGCTCAACTTGTTCGCCCAATGAGCTGTTTTATACCCTCATCCTGCAGATCTTCCTCGTCGCAGGGAATGAGATGCCGCGCTTTTCGAGGGGAGCGGTGTGAAGGCGATGATCGACAGGAAGGGTTCGACCCGAGGCACAGTGCTGAAGCGTCTCATCGTGGGGCTCAAGTCGCATCAGCGACACTACTGTTCGCCAGGGTTTATCATGTTACAGGTGAGTGGCGATGCATCTTACGTGCCGATCTGAAGGTATGGAGCTAATTAATCAACGCAGGTGCTATTACGAGAATGCGAATGAGTTCAAGTCCTGAGGCGTTGGGGTTACGTTTTACATCTGTTTGCCCGCGGCCACCCGCGGCACAAGGGCAATGTGTCAGCAGCAGCAATCTACACTCGCTTCCCCTCGTGGGCCACCCGCGACGTCAACGGGTGGCAAGTGTCAGCAAAACGAATATCGCGGGCTAGGTGGAGATTGTCAGGACTCAGGAATAGTTGGAGCGGATACACGGCGCTTAAACGCAGGTTGATCATGCAGATGGTGAGTAGTATTCCCGCCTAATAATTTGATACATGGAGCTGATTCAATAATCGCAGGCACGTTTTCCACTTGGGTATCGTGGGCTTCTAGAGCCTGTTCGAGGAGCCGGCGCACGCGAGGAATCGAGTCGCCGGATTCATGCTAGCTTGCCCGGCTTTGAAAGGAGTATCGACTGGCCGGCTTCAGTCTCGACGGCTTCATTCTGGATGGCGCCCGGCGTTGACGACATCGGATAGCCGGATTCACTTTTCCCTCGACATGCAGCATTGTCTTCATCTGAATACGTGATGACTCGACGGATTCATTCTTTTCTCGGCGTGAGACTCGCCGGATTCATTCTTCCTAATCCCGCGCTATCCAGCATTGTCTTCATCTGAAGAGGTAAAGTTCGACGGATGCATTCTGCCATCCCGCGACATGCAGCATTGGCTTCATCTGAAGACACAAAGCGCGACGGATTCACTTTTCTCCAGCGTGAGACTCGCTGGAGCCATTAATCCCTCGACATGGAGCGTTGTCTTCATCTGAAGACGTAAATACTCACTCGCTATGTGCACACATAGTGACTAGTGGCATGTCATTAAGATGGATTTACTCGTCACTAAAATACAATGACCCGCCACTAAATTGGATTGACTCGTCACTGAACTGCCAACTGATATTTTACTTTTCAACCAATGCAACACAACTTCGAAACAAATCGTGATAAAAGTTGGGAAAGCAGCACCATAGCGAGCTTGAGTGCTTCAATAGAATATAAAAGCATTTTCTTTCTCCCTGTCGAACCTCGTTGTCCAGTAGACTTAGTCCAAAATAGGGTGGCCGTGCAGCGGGCATCGCGTACCGACGAGGGTACCGGATACCTTTTTAGCTCCAGCGCGGGCACATTATACCTTCGCCCGTGAAAACTTCGACAGCGACCTAAACTAGGCTCTTGCTGTCGAGTCCACAAACCCCGCTATCCGCCGCCGCCGCCGCTGCCACCGTTCCACTACAGATCACCCGGTCACCGGCGTCGGCGCCTCTGTCAAGAAAAGTGGTATTCTGAAGTAGTGCACAGTATATCGTGGCCAGAACAAAAGGCATATATGGATAAAGGAGCGGGGGTGCCTCGGATAGAATTTGCTTGCCGCCACTCGCCACCTCCGTGTGGCCTCGGCGATGGGTTTCTCGTGCTTCTTCTTCTTTCGGATCTTGTAGGCTTGTGGTTGTCGTATGATGATCGTCTGGCGGTGATAGGGAAGTAAAGCACGAGGTAGGAATCATTGGGTTGGTACGGTAGCTTGATGGGGGAGGACGCGAGGTTCTCACCGGTTTTCTTTTCATGGTTGAATGGAATTAGGTTTTCGTCTCAAACTTTCAACACTCAGCTCAATGGTTATCTCAGCTATTGGTCTAACTGTTGGATGCAGACGTCCGATCGCTCTGGGGGAGGCCTGGCGCCAGAGGAGCTCTCGCCGGAGGTGGTGGCGACAGAGCTTGTCCGAGTCATATTTGGTGCCGGACGACTGGCGACCGGATCTCAAGCGTCCGGACCTTAGGCGTCCCAGTCATGTCTGATGCCCTGAGCGTGATGGGGTCTACAAGCAGCCCACCGACAGGACGAGCCTGGAGGCCATGTAGATAGCACATGTACATAGAGGACCTTCTGCCGCTGCAGAAGACAGAATAATCAAGATTTTATACTCCTATATTCGACACTAATGGTGGGCTGAGCCTTGTGGGAGCCTATTTGTATTTTCGAACGGCAGTATACACGGCGTCGATTCCCCGCGGTATGTGTTGGGTTAGGGATATGGAGTGATAGTAAAGTCAATGCACACGCGGGCGCTTAACACCCTCAACTACAGTTACACGCGACGCTGTGGGTACATACTACGCGGAACAGAAGCGAAACTCGTTGTTCCACATCGTTTTATCTTACCGGGACTTGGAGAATCGAGAGCATCTACACGCCTAGGCAGCACAGTGGTTGGTGTCATATGTTAGGTCGCAGTACACTTGAGCCGCTGGTACGATATAATGATGCTGATACCTAATACCTACGGGCCGTGTCTTGCTAAGTATGTCCTTTAAACAGACCGATCAAATCTAAGCCACAACACAAACCTGCTGTCTGTTGCAACTAACGCTGCTCTTCCCACCCTGTTTTGTTTGTGCGACAACCAACAGTTACACTTAGCCCTAAAGCCCTTGGTGGGGCGCATAATCCTCGCTGGCTGAACTTTGAAGTAAATTCCGCTCTCCTCCTACTCTCCTCCTACTCTCCTCCCACTCTCTTCTTCTTTCCTCCACAACACCGTTTTTCCTAAATCATCACCCAAACTTCCTCCTTTTCCATTCTTCTTTCTTCCACAAATTACAACACACTTCATCCTCACTCATCACGGTGGACAAAATAATCAACCCCCTTTTCTCCCAAAGTGAGTTTTTCACAAGTTCAGCTTATTTCCACAACACGGCTAACGGACTTGGTTTCCAGAGTGAACTCGGCTCGAGACGTAAGATGGCTAGAGTAGCCCGACTACCCACGCCTCTACAATGGCTGCTGGCAACCTCTATGGTGTGCGCCTTGGTCTGTGCCTCAGCGGAGTAAGTAGCCAGGATGCCATCAACCTTGTTACTACGTGTGCTAATCATAAGCCAAGCCTTTAAAGGAGACGGCAATGGCCCTATGGGGCTTGCCGCTACAGCCACTCGGATGGCAAGACCAGCGGCTCGCCCTGTGTCGTTCATTACACCCGCTGCCTCGGAAGCTCCCACCGACACGGTTTACCGCCGTGTCCGGCGCCACTACCATGGCGCACATTCGATCCTGCCCGCGGATGGCATCCGCGGAGTTACCATCCGGGTGTTCATCAAGGATGCATCTTAACTGGGGTGGCGGCGATGAAATCCAAATGCGCCTGCGCGAGATCGACATCGTGATGGAGTTCATGAGCGAGGACACGGTGGTCTGCTAGATCTGCCATGAGAGGGCCCCAACATCAAAAATCGCCGCCGAACACCATGACACCGTCGCGGAACATGCCGCTATTCGTTCTACCCACTTGCGCCGCGCGCGCTTCTTTTTTTTCAACATCAACAAATCCAATCATCTACCGAAACGATAACAAGACAAGAAGCTTGAAAAGCGTGCGGTGAGCAAATACAATTTGCAGCCTATGATTCCAGCTAGGACGGTCCTAAAAATGAATCAGCCTATGACTTTTATCTGGTTGTCTCTTTGGCTGCTGTGCGAGAGGATGATTTTGTCCACTCAAAGAGTGTTGATCACCCTAAAATTCCCTGATCTACGTTCTCCCAAATCTTAAAGTGATAATAATTGTTCATCGCTTACTGGTGTGCACATTTGCTGTTCATCTTATCTCGTCTTCACCGTCTCATGCCTCCGGAATCTCTGGAACAATATAGCCGCCGCAGGACACACGACTCCCTCTTTTGAAAGGCACGAGAAATAGGTTGACTCAATGTATGATTTGTATGAGAGTTGTCCTTTCATCGACGGCTTTCTACCGACTATTATATCCTCCCGCCAGCGACCACCCACACCTGCGTACAGTGCTGGCCTTCCACCACCGTTCCTTTATACGAAGACCTCAATTTTCTTCGCAGGAGCAAAAAACTTGCGCCCAACAATGAGGCCGGGACGGTGTACAGGTCCTACCCGGAGTCGAACCGGGATTGCCGGAATCAGAATCCGACGTGCTAACCATTACACTATAGAACCGTTCATGTCGCAGCGCCAGTTTTAGCGGCAATGGACCTAGCGCGGCATGGCGCTGAGTCTAGACGGTGTTGGGGGGCCACTTTGACGAAGATCCTGGCATATTGTCACATTAGCTCGGATTTTGACATTTGCGGAGTAGCGCCGTATTAGATTTCGCTCATGCGGCTTTCGCTGGAATCGGTTGCTTTTGGCGAAGAGAAGTCGTCTTAATTAGTGTGATGTGAGCAGTGAAAGTTCATGAAATCGGTTGGAGTGTGGCTGCGCAGTGGTCGAAGCGTGGCCGATTACTCTGCGAAAACCTGGGTACCGATGTCTGATAGGCGGCGGCGGCGGTCCGCCAAGCGGTAGAGCTGTTGTGTCTGTAGTCGTGTAGCGGGGTGTTGCGCCACTCCGGCGGAGAATGGACTTCAGCGGCACTGCGCGTGTAGAATATCGAACATTAGAGGGATGCAAACCGATACGAGTGGAGATGACAGGAAGGTGGCTGGACTTACATCAGTAAAGGTCGTTTTTCGGATGTGCGACTCTGAGGCAGCCCCCACCGACAAAGCACCTTCCCCTTCGTTTTCCCTCCCTGACATGCGCGACATGATTCATGGTTGACGGTCCGCTCCAAATCTATGCGCCATAGTCGACTAACAGACGTTTACACGCTGCAGAGGAGCAGGGCGTTTAAGTGTGGTACGTCTTTGCCGCTCACCGAAAATGAACTTCAAGAGAATCCTGCTTCATATACTCATGATGCTTGATCGTGATTCTTGATTGCGATTCTCGATTCTCAAGGTTCAGTTGACTCGCTGATGCCGTCGGCCCACCCCATCTATCCCGCAGACTGGCGGCACATAATCTTGCCAACGGAATAGTTTACCTAGCAGACCAGAACATAGCCTATCTACGTAGAATGCAAAAGGTGGCACGACACATAGAAGTTCAGGTAGCGGCGGAAGACATAGAAGTGCAAGCAGCGACGAATGACTTCCGTCGGTTCACTTTCCTTTCTTGTTTCTTCTTTCTTCCCTACACTCTTCACAACAATCATCCAACATCATCCTAACGACAAAAAATATCTACCTCCTCAAAAACAAATCCTCCAACACGATGCACTTCTTCAAGTACCTCCTCCCCGTTGCAACTATCTTCCTCACGGCTGTTACCGGTGCCCCCATCGATCACGATACCGCCGTCGACGCCTTCCCCGGCGATGACCGTCCCTCTGCCGCCGCGATGACCAGCAGTGTCACTCCCGACGTCTCCAGCTCCGGCATCGCTCTCAATATACTCACGGCGGGCAACGAAACCTTTTCCGCGGCGACCAAATGCGAGACCAGCTGGGGCAGCCCAGTGAGGCAGCACGTTCTCCAGGCGCTAGCCAAGATCAACACGAAAGCCTGGTACAAGCCGGAAACGTCCTGAAAGTCCCATTGCGGCGACGTCGCCGAGCATCAGTCCGCCCGCATCGTCTTGTGTGGAAAACCTGAGGGAATCATGTGCTTGTTCGTCAAGTCTGCTGCCGAGGATATTGTCGATAGGTGCTCGTCCGACGGCTTTGGTTGGTTTCCTAGGGTGGGCGGGCAAAATCAGATTGAGAGCTTTGGTGTCAAGGTGATGGTCGTATGGGCGTAGCCACAGTAGTGGGAGAGTACAGCATACGGTTATTGGAATCAATTGACATAGCTGTATCCGGGAATCCTGTGAATTTTACGTTTCGCAAAGACGAGTGAATGTGACCTTCCTCTTCAAAAAACCTAATATATGAAACTTTGGGTCCCATTATGAACTTGCCAGCCATCCCATCTACTCCCCTGTGCATCGCGTCGGTCGTAACAATTCCGTGTCTACTTCCATCACCTGGCGTTTAGCGACACCTCCCATCGAAGGCCCTTGTACACGCCTCAATGACAGTTCATTGAGTGCTCTTCTTGGGTATGCACATGTGGCTGACGAAATATCCTCATAGAAGAACTTCCGACGTCTGCGCGTGGTCGTAAGTCCTGAAGCGAGTGATACAAAAACCGGGCGGTTGCTACTGGCGATGTTCCGACAGGTACGTCTACAGTGGTTGATATTCGAGCATCCGAAGTGAAAAATATGTTTTCGTATCACGGAATTGCGAAGTGACTGATGTTCGACAGTGGAGAGTTCACAGCAGATGCAAGTAAGCCGTCGAAAGGGTGAGATCTCATGATCAAATCGCAGCAAGACTGCTTCAGATCACATTCTCTACACGTTCTCGGATTCATTCGGACGCGTAGGTTACCTCCAGCCTGTCTTTTCCCTACACTTCTAGGTATCTCATGCCTCCGTGATTTTCTATCGCAATAACCTGAAATCGCAACCAAACAGAACTCTAGGCACAACCGCTACACCAACTCCATCACACTTACTCACCTCTTGTCTTCACGATCCTCTCAGTCTTCACCCTCTACGCCATAGCAACATGGCCTCAGCCCTCGTGTCACGGGTGGTCTCCCGCCCACGCCGTACGAACCGCCGAGCCGTCGAGCCGTCGAGCCGTCGAACCGTCGAACGACATCGAGTCCCGCTCCATCATCCATGACTCTCGACATTCCGTACACCGTCATACACCCTGAGTTGAACCACTGACCCATGCCGACCTACCGCATGGAAGCACATGATCGCACCACGTCCGTCCACTAGATCGCATCATCACACGCACAGACAATAATCCCGTTTTCTTCGGCAGGTTAGGTAACCTGCCTGCGAGACCTCCGCAGCTTCAACCCCCTAGCTTCACCGAGATCGAAGGCAGTCTGGCGAAGCTGGTTTGTTCTCCTCAGCCTGACTAACACCGTCTCGTCTCGGGCAACCTCAAAGACGGACTGGACGGACGTTTTACAGCCCTGCCTCCTAGAGTCAATATCGTACGTAGATACAGCGTTGGGAGTCGGGAGTTGCGACCGTTGCCTCTGCACCTCGTAGAAACGTTCCTGTTTTTAGACTATCCTCACACGGTCGGACAAACCGTGCGAGTCAGGGTAGCCGAGTATTGCATCGTATGCAGGAGTCTACGCATGCATTCTCTAGAACCATTCTAACGGTTCCTACAGCGGGTGGCGCTGCGGCGGGCGGTCTTGCTACGAGATTAGAGGACGAGTATGAGTAGCTTCGGGTGCATCGTCTACCGATAGCTATCTCGAGGCTGATACCGATGCCCTGCTACACCTATGCACGTGATGCCCTGCTACACCTATGCACGTGATGCCCTCCTGTATTTCAATAGCTTGCCTGTAAGTAATGTGTAGTATGCTCCAGCCGGTTGATCGGACTCTCCACACTGTCAACCTACTGAGCGCCGTTTATGGGAGCACGAGCGGTGCTGGAATATTCACATGTTTGCTCGTGTTTGCTCGTGTTTGCTCGTGTTTGCTCGTGTTTGCTCGTGTTTGCTCGTGTTTGTTTCGCTCGCATGCCTCGCACTCGTACTAACCGTCAATCTCACTCGGCACCACTTTGAAGTTTGCTTGCGATCACCCGGCGAATACTATGTGAGAAAATTGGCCGTCGCTAGCGGAAACTCACAATTGTGAGTGTCCGCTTACCCAGCATTTCAGCTAAATCTCCTCCTGGATTCTCTATAAGAACCCCCCCCTCCTTCTTTTCCTCCCTTCTTCTTTACTCATCTCTCTCTTCACAACAATCTTCTTGGTCTCTTCCTTTTATACTCGACTCTCTTAGCTCATCTTTACACACACCACTCTTTCACATCCCTACTCCCCACGGAATCTCCCCAATTACGTCCTTTACACCATGACGTCCAAAGCCACCGACTCTTCTTCACCGCCTCGGCGGTGCCGTCGCCCACGCCCCGGCGCCCCGTCACCAAGATTATTGTTTCGAACCAGGAATAACTTCCGGGTCTCGACCCCCACTGCCTCGGCGGTTCAGTCACCCGCGCTCAACTTGGGGAGAAGAGGAGTGGTTTGGGTACATCACGAAGCTGGTAGGCCGGCAAATAAGAATTGCCTGGCTCTACCGGCCCAATGACACCATTCTGGATGGGGGTCACTATCCGTACAAGAACGAGGTATGTTTCCTTTTACACTTTGTTTACATTTCGCTGACACCGAATCTAGCTCTTCTTCTCGGACCACTGCAATTCAGATGAGAATTCCGACCCACTTTATGCAAAGAATACAGTTGGCCGGATGATTTGTGTGGTGTTCAACCCAAAGAACACCGAATAGATTGGATTCCGCCAATTAATCCATCCGGCAGAAGGCGCAGACCACCGAATACGTCTTCATTTCTACATCGAAGAAGGATCTAAAACTCAGCAACTGACAACGCTGAAGACAACTCGGTGGGTGGCTCATGCATCTGGTTTAGGCGCCTTCCCCCGCTGCTCATAGCTGACCGAACCTAGGACATCAAGGACGTACTGTTTGTCCGGGGCTATGGCGCTCAGAAGGGCCGCAAGAAGCGTGAAGTGGAGATACCACCTCGGCGGCTCTGCCCCCCGCGCCCCGGCGCCCCGGCGCCTCGGCGCCCCTGCGGCCGTGGCCGCCGCGTTCCACGTGTTGGATGTGACGCACATGGTGAGTGGCTCATGATTTTGCGTTACTCATCCTCCTCCTGAGCTCATCGCTGACGGATTTTAGCAAATCGAGAAGGACTGTAAATTCTGCGAGACTTCGGTGGAGTTTGAGCAGTTCCTTGCACATTGCTTTGGTTTTTTTTCTCCGTGTATCAAAATTACTTGCAGTTTTTAATTACTTCCTTAAATTTATAACTTTCTTTCCTGCTAGTCTGCCTGTTATGTATGATCAAGTGAATGGGGAGTCTGTGTGAGACGAACAGTACTGGGTGGTAGATTCGCAGTCGAGTAATTCGTAAAGTGAGCGTTCGGTTCCCGCTTCGCCTCGGGTTGACCGCGACGGTTGGTTAAGAATTGTGGCAATTCAGCAGACAAGCAAGGGCAGCACGGCACTAAGTGCAAGAATTTGGCGACGCACTTCGGCGGCCGTCGGCGAGATCTCGCTATGCGGAACGTAGAGCGTCAACATTCCGTGCAATTGAAACGGGCCGCCTGGGGCGCTGGGCGGCTATGCCAATCAGGAGCATGACCATCTATGGCAATCCGGACCATGGAGACGCAAATGGCTGGTGGACAGCTTGAGGTTGTGGGAAAGTCTGGGATGAGGAAGGTTGCTAATTAGACCGGAGATGTATGTACAGTGCTAGGACAAAAAGGATTGGACAGTGCCCATTTTACACCAAAAATGGCCATTTTCAGCCACCGATCCAACAACCACAACGTATCGAAAAAAATCAGAGACCATCGTGAGACCTCTATAACTACACCGACAAGGATATGCTAACTCCTCGCAGAGCTCTGAGTCGTTGTTGTGGAGCAATACCATACGGGGGAAAAGTTAATAGTTGCCAAGTAGCTTTTTGTATGGGAGCCCCATACAAAATTTCATGTCACTTTTCAACTCCTGCACAATACAACGTCATACAGCCCCAATCTGTGATGAAAGTCGTCAAAGTTTTTACTGATGAAGAAACTTGTGATTTTAACGCTTCTGTGAAAGAGACGGTTTTTTTCCACCAGGTGGAGGGTATGTTTGGGTTGCATGAAAATGGGCATTTTTGGTGTAAAACGGGCTTTGTCCAATCCTTTTTGTCAGGGAACTTTAGAAATGCCGTTGCCAGCGGAGGATGAGGGATAATAAACGGTGGATTTTTCCGCCTATGTACTTTCGCTAGATTATTTAGCATGGATAAATCTTCCTTCGATTACTCCTCTACACAGAATCGATCACCGTTCCGTCTGTTACCTCTTGTTCCTTTCTTTTTGGACCCAGTGGCTTGTTTTTCAAAAAGGTCTGCAGTCCCAATCGGCGAGTCGATATTCGCAAAAAAGCTCCAACATCTCGGACCAAAAGGCGCAGAGAGTATAGCAGAGTGGCGAGAACGTATCCACGAGGTTTTAAACACTGTAATCGATCCTGACGAGATGGAAAATATTCACGAATGGAAGATGAGCGAGTGATATCACATGTCTGTGGAGATGCGCCATCCTTCTCCGTGGGAGGACGGCGGCATCGCACGGGGGACCATGGAAGGGCGGTGGTATACGAGTGAGGAATGAGGCTTACATGAGAGAGAATGATGAAAGAACGGGAAAATAGGGGTCGAAACAGCACTGATGAAACAATGGGCACAGCCAGAGAAATTGACATTCGGTACTCTAAGCAATGAAGGTGTAGAAAAACAGAAACGACCAAGCTATGCGCAGGTGCTATCTACAGCTCCTCCAACCATCGAGCCCACAAATATCGTATGGATCAGGGGTAGGAGCGCGTGGAGATGAAGCCGGTGTCGGTGTCGGGGTAGACGTTCTCCTTCGCGGTGGTTGACTTGTTGGATGACTCTTGCTGCGGATTCTCGATGTGGTCGACATGCAAAGCTTTGAGGGTTTCGGACCTGTTGGAAGACTCCGGCTGCGCGTTTTCGATGTTCGGGCGGTCGGAAACGTGAAACTTGTTCTCGAAGATGTCCTCGAGGGTGGTGATGAGACGGTTCTCGGCGGCTTTCGAACTCTCGGCCATGACGTTGTCGTACATGGTGATCTCGATGCGCGGTATCCCAAAATTGGCGGCATTGGCCTTGCCTTTGCCCTTGACGTCGGAACCTCCTCCCTGCCACTCCGGCTGACCGTTCCGCCTCTGCTCCTTGAGTCTCATCCTCCTCCTGTGATCCAAAAGGGTCCTTGATCGCACTCCCCTGGGAAGACCGGAATGCAGCACCGGCGCGTCGTGCAAAGGGGTGCGGGAGATGAAATCAACGTCGGTGTTCTCGAACGGATCGAAGTCTCGGTTTATCGGAGTGTAAACGGTAGGTTCCAGATCAGGCGAGCTTGGGGGCGAGATGCCGCGTTCGAGATCGGCGGGGGGTCTGGAGGTCAGGAGGGAGAAGATGGAGAACGAAAAACACATGGTCGATCGGTTTCTCTGGGGTCGTGAGTGAGGTGGAAGGGGTAACGAGTGTGATGCGTTGAATGGTAGGGTAGTGGCCCTAGTTAGTAAGGTAGAGAGGGAGGGTACTGTACCAGTGAATGTAAAGTATTAAATGGGGGGGAGGGGTTGTTTAACGGAGTTGACCCTGACTGCCCGGATTTTGGCGCTGACTCACCACTGTTGATATTTACAACGTCCGCAATTCCCATGGACACGCAGTCACTCGGAACTCCCGCCGAGACAGATTTTGTGAATAGTGACTGAATGGATGAATTATGGTATGTTTATTGTGTCTAGAGAAGGGAGGCTGTAGCCTCCAGTATAGGAAAGGGGCGAAGGCCCGTGCCCGCAAGAACGAGTGAGATATTACAACAACCTAAGTTAGAGCGTATCGCAATCACGAAAACAGCACGGTGCAACGACCGTCGGCAGAGTGCTGGTGCAGTCGGGACAAAACCCAGACTTGAGAACACCTGTTCACGAACTGCGCGCAGTGGAAGGAATAACAGAGAACCCTGTGGACGGAAGTCCCCAAGAAAACTGGTCGAAGCGAGGACGGACTGAAGATCAGGGATCTGTTCGGCCACCTGAAGTACAGCGAGCCCGTCCTCCGGATGCCGGCCGTCGGGTGCCCCTCCGCTTCGTGAAGAGCAACAGAAACCCCCGGGCAACACCTCGGACGTGGCGGCGCTGGCGGCGGAGCGCACCAGTTCCATAACAGGGTGCAGGGAGAAGGAGAAAGAGCGGCGGCGGTGGGGAGAGCAATGGAAGCAGAAGAGAAGCGGCAGGCAATGGAACCTGTTTTCCTCCCCCACCCCCCCCCCCCCCCCCCCCCCGACATTTGTCCTTCCGAAGTCCTGCCTCAGGCACACCAACTCCCACCTCGGAGAGATCCATGGACTGGGACGCGGTGAGAGCCAGAGCGGAGGAAAGGGCACGGGCCGTACGACCTGATAACCTGGCAAGCGAGGAAAGAGATCAGGCTTTAGACTGGCTGGAGCCTTACCAGTGTTGGGGAAGTGACAGCCTTCAATCCTTGCGGGAGTAGTAGCAGACGATGTTGGAGGGAGGAGTGGTGTTGAAGGCGGAGGTGAGGAGTCCGGAGTTTAGATAGTTGGGAAGGCTGGGGTAGAAGATTGCTAGACTATGGCGACCATCATCTTCCAAACCTTTCCTTTCCTGCCAGATCCGCGGGTCGAAAAAAAGCTCTAGATACCACCACGGCCGGTTGCTGCGCCGCTGCCTACCAACGTTGTTTCCTATCTATTGTCGTGGTGTTACCCTACCGACTCTATGATCTAGCCTACCCAGTCCTACAGGAAATTCTACTTTTCTCTGCCTGATGCCAGTGTGTAAAAAATGATACGTTTTGAGATGTGGAAGCTCGGAAATTTGAAAATCCGCCGCTATATCCCTTCAGCTCGCATACTTCTATAGGCTACATGTCATTGGGGCCGGTAGTCAGTACGTACATTACTACGTGTATTATGCCTCTGTTATTGACCACTCTCTCAATCCACCCTCCATCGTCCGTCTTTGTGAGCCGTTATGCGGATACGCCCAAGTACTTTCGCCTGTCGTAGACTGTGAGGGTTGTATCTGGCCGCAAGCGGGCGTTCGACGGCGGCGGGTGTCCCGCGCACACACGAGTCCTCTTAAAGTCCGACGTATTCTCTGTATCCTTAGTCTGGAGCCTGCCAGAGGACTTGTCATAATATCACGAACTTCCGTGTACCGCTTCACTTGCGTGGACCGCGTCATATACAATCACTCGCTATGTCGAGATACATCGGTTAGCCGTTCTCACGGAGGTGGCGTGCGGCGGCGAGCGGCCTCTATCCGAGGCTCCCAGCGCCTTTCTCTATATATGCCTTGTACTCTGGCTATCATACACTGTACATTACTTCAATATGCCACTTTTCTTGACAGGACTGACGCCCAGCGAACCGAGTGAGAAAAAGGGGAGCTGTAGTAGGCTGCCTGATATGCATGAGAGCGGCCTGTTGTATGTAGTGGACCCTCATTCCAGGCGCGGTCAGATGCCAAATCCACGTAGATGGTCATTACTACGCTGTGATTAAGCTCTGTACCAGTTGAGTGCCGGTACGCGACCTATTTTGCGTACTGCAACTGATGCCACAGAGGATTGCGAATATGCCCATCCAATGTTCTTCCTAAGCCTTCAAACACCCCCGCCATAATCTATTATACATAGCTCAATCCCCATCGTGCGTGTATCATAGTCACCCTGTCGTGCTCGAATCGTCATGTCCGCCTGCTTCCCGTGTTGCTTCCAGAGTCGAGACCGCAAGGTAGATATCCCACTCTTCATCCCTTCACCCATCTCCTCGGTGTATCACACTGCTTCGGGGTTATTCGGGCAGGCTGGGAGGTACTAGCAGGGTGGTTGTCCAAATTTCCACGCAATCATGGAGTAGACTCCCCCAGATCCATCATCCCTGATCACCAACGCGGTGGACGGGGGACCAGTGGTGCTAGGTGGTGATTGCGGCGGCGGTAATGGCGTTGCCATTGACGATAGTACTCAGAGACCAGTGAGCGGTTCTTGAGGGCGGAACTACTGGTCCTGATCTCGGCACTGGACGGCCAACGAAGGAGTCGCAATGGGCCGAAGTTCTACTCTGCATCGACTCACAAATAAGTTACCAGTAATTATGCATGGAGAGGCGAGCCGGTGGTGAGCAATGCCTGTGGATGAACCAAGGAATGAAGAAGAGCGGTAGGCTGGCGGATTGTTCTACTTGCACGAAGCTGTGGAAATATTAGAAATGTCCACCCAAATAATGACCCAGAGGGAATAGGAGAGAAGGGGCACACATCTGGAGAGACATACCAGGTAAGGCGGAGAGACCTGAGCTAAGACTTTCACGCCCAAGCGGATCGACTATGGTGAACGTTAATCGGTCTCGTTATAGATTTCCTCGCCGTCGTGGGTCACTGATGTAGTCTGACAATCGCTTGTCAGTATGTCTGGAGTTATTGTATGAAATTCTGTATCATCCTTCATCGCTCCGTACTCGGGCACTGCAAAAGGTGAAGATAATGGGATCACTTCTCAACACTCGCTCATCCGACTTTATGCTACGGATTCTTCCCTGACGATTAAGTGCGGCTTATATGTGGCCCCATACGTAGACTGTATTACCGATAGAGCCATGCAGATAATCATCCAACACCGAGCTTCGGGTTGGGTAGAAGTGTGGTTCTTGAAGGGGGGTTGTGCGAGTAACATCGTCTGCGTGGACATTGTGCTTGCTGTGGTTATATAAGTAGAGCGAGACAGTCAGAGAATGAAGATAGACTGAGATTGGTTGGAGTGTTTCACAGACTCTACCTGACTTAAAAGTGACTGCAATTGCCGCCGCCGCCGTGTCCGCCGCGCCTACGAGATAGTCTACTCGATGTCGCCGTAATCACTGCCGCAATTGTCTCCATCGCAGTTCCTATAATGCTTATAAAAAGACGTGTGAGAGTAAAAAAGCGCACGAGAATCAAGATCGCGAGAACGCCAATTTATTCCGAAATTCCCAGTTGAGCCGTACAGGTACGCAGAGCAGAGCACAGTAGTAACAGTAGATCAATGGCGAAGAAATCCGTGCACCTAGTAACCCAGTACCCCGTGCGCCTAGTATCCCCTCTCCCAGAGACTCCTCACCGGCGGATTCGACGAGACGCCGTTCTCCGCGAAATCCAAGACGATAGCCTCCTTCCACTTGTCAAACTTCCTCGCGTAGGGCTTGAACTTGATAGCCTGGGGGACCCAGACGCACATGGCGACGTCGTAGTCGAAGAAGTGATCGCTGTCGTTGTGGATGAAGTTGAACAACGCGGCGCGGAACTCGATGAGCTCGGTGTAGAGCTCGCCCGGCGGGACGTTCCTGGACTCAATCAGAGCGTCAGCCCACTTCAGGTACTTGTTGAGCGAATCCACGTAGTCGATCGTCGCATCCCGCTGGTGCTTGATGAAGAGCGTGCGCAGCTTGCGGTAGCTTGCGATTCCGGCGGCGGTCGAGCTAGCGATTCCTACGGCCCGGCGCAGCGCGGGGGCTGTGAAGTGGTCAGCATATGTAAGCAGATTTTATTGACGGGGGGTCCTACAGCTCGGAGCCGAGATAGAGGTAGCGATCGGGACCGGGGCGGACTTTATGCTCGTAATGTCCGGCGCGGAGTGGATGGTGGTGGCGCTCGGGTTGGTGACAATCGTGCCGGTGGCTGACACGACGGAGAGTCGGTGGGCAGTCATGGCGGAGAGCCGGTTGGCACGGTGGGGGTGCACTTTGGGGTGAGTATGCGCCATGGCCGGTGTTTGGTGGTTGTTTGGGTTGAGGGGACTTGAGGATCCTTTCGCGGCCAAAGAAAAGTGGGAGAAGAGTGAAGCCATCGCAGAGGGCAACAAGAATTTCATGAGTCGTCACTCAGTTGTAGCAGGTGTTCGGTTAGGCTTTGAATATCAAAAGAAATAACAGTGATAAGCACATAGAAAATCTGAGCTTAATATGAATGACTTTCAACTCACAACTCTGTGAGTATCGATTACTGTCGTTGGTGATCGAGCATCGAAGGGGCGCTTCATAAGTCGGGTAAGCTTATCGAGCAGCGGCGCCGCCTGGTACAATCTAATCTCTTCAGTGTTATCATTAAAGTATCATGTGCGATAATTACAGTATCCATCGCCTCCGTGACTCCGCCACGCAGCGACCGCTTCCTTTGTTCGCATAAAATGTGAGCCTTCCGGTCACGTGATTACAGCCTCGCTCGCAAGCGGTCTCAGCCTTGCCGACGTGATCCGTCCGCTTTCACATATTAAGGCCGGGCCACCAGCTGGAAGCCACAGACTGGTTGGTACGAGACTCCGGCGTCCGCAATAACGATCTGTTTAATTTCATGCCGCACTTCAACTAACGTCACATAGAACCACGAGGGCTGCACATTGCCCAACGCTTCGCTTATTTCATGCGACATTTTACACTCCCTACACTCCCGAGACCATGGCCATCGCATTTACTCTGCGATACAAAGCATTTACACCTTACTGTAACGCACCATTTGCAAAAAGATCTATTGGACTGCGAGCGGTGCGGCGTGGATCATGGTCGGCCTTTCTGGTCCACAAGTTTTCTCAACGGTTTTAGCGCGAAAGTCTCTGGACTGTGAGTTAACATTAAGGCTGTCATGGCCGAATAGTGTCCAGAGAAAGGCGTTGTGTCCGAGTGGTTAAGGAGAGAGATTAGAAATCTCTTGGGTTCGCCCGCGCAGGTTCGAATCCTGTCGACGTCGGTATACCTTTTGATGTTTTTCCTTTTGCTGAGAGTATGATGCGGCAGACCCATGCTGGTGGGCTGCATGGGTTGCGACCGTCGCCTACGCTGAATTGGCAATGGTGGCGATGTGGATTTATGCGGTTGCAATAAGCATCTGTTAGCGCCGGGATCTACCGGCGATTCCGTCGCTTAATCAGACCCTGCCGAAACGAAACCCTGTGTACTCGTGTTAAACTTGAAGACGCCGCCGGCGCGGTGCATGTAGCCGATACTGCAGTGATCCCTTACCTTCTGCGCAGCGGTGGAGATCATGCTGCAGGTGCGGGTGATATCGTGCTTTCCGCAGAACGAAATGGCGCCGCCGTAGTACTTGTCAAGCTTGGTGCACTTGGAGCCGCCCATGTTCTTCTGCGTGCAGTCGTTCCAGCCCGTGTGCGTGGCGATCTTGGCGATTAGGTAGTTGACTTCCGTGAAGGTAGGCGAGGCCCACGTCGTGTGGCAGGAGACCCAACCGGGGGTCGGGAAGGAAGATGGACCGGACGACGAGACGGAGAATCGCTCGACGTCGGTGGTGTTGACAAAGTCAGGGTTGATGACGTAGTCGGGGAACTCGAGCTCCTTGTCGACGGCGTGCTCCTTAGCATGGGCTGGGGACTTGTTGAGCATTTTGGTGACGCCGCTGGAGATGAAGGAAGGGGAGGGAAAGCCATCACAACGACGGATGTAATGGCAGCGGCCAGGAAGATGACGAGTTCAGTGACAGGCATGTTGTAGATTGGTTGGTTGATTGTTTTGTGGCAAGGTGTGGTTTGATGAGGGATTGTAGAGGAGGATTGGACGAAGGTTGAGGATGAGAGGTGAAGTTGCACGGTATGTGTGAGGCAGCTACTAGTAATCAGGGATCGGACTAGCAGCACTACTTTTAATGCTACGAGCGTGCCAGAAGTGCTCGTCATTTCGACTCACAGCCGTGCGTTAATATCAGACATCCAGTAGCCCTCGAGCTAGTAGTTGTACTGTTTCAACTCCCTTCTATTGATCTTAGTAGTCCTTGTAAATACTGAGAGCCGCAGAGCTGGTAATTCAGTAGAGGGATTTTTGGTTCACTATTTTACATTGAGAAAAAAACACCCCCCCGATGGGTGCGGGGCGGCGTTTCTACTGCCTGACCTGCACATGATGCAGCATAGTTATTCAATAGGCACGATGCCATGTGTCCACAGTTGTCCATGCCTAACCGCAGCTGTCTATGCCTAACCGTAGGTGTCGATGCCTGGCCGCAGCTTTCTAGGTGTGATCGCAGTTAGCAAGGTTCTGCGCACAGCGTAACACTCTGACTACTAGATAGGCACGGTACCTGGATTGAGAGCAGTGCATCAGTGATCGCAGCCAACCCCACGTAATATTAGGCTAGCGTTGAAGAAGCCATTGTGCGGCCCATTCAGGAAGTAGCAGTCACTTCCCACAATCACGTGTGGTGGGCGCTTGCAATCTTCAATGCGCTAGCGGGTTACAGCTTGGATTCTTCCTCTCTTTCTCTTCCTCTCCCTCCTTCACCCGTATAAACAACTTCAACTATCATCCTCCACCCACATCACTTTGATGAATCCCCTCCAAAACCATCCTTTCACTTCATCATTACAATGCATCAAGCTTCAGAACAACCTTCCTCAACATCGACACCCACCGATCGAACAGCACCACCATCATCACCGCCCACAACAACATCGCAGACGCAGTGCCGCTCGTAACTCGTGCCCCCGGTCGCCCTGAGGGAAACGTACATGCACGAGAAATTGTGCGTGTTGCGTTTCCTCAGGGACGATCTGGGGAACGATTGGCCCTCAGTCGGGAGGATGTATAACGAGCATTGGTATCCCGATCATCCTAAGGGTGTCTACAAGGGCGCTCTGTACTCACGGTACAAGAAAGAAGTACCCAAGGGTGATGGTGGCAATACCGCAATCTTAGGGGTTGATGACGACTGGGTGTGGGTGAGCGAACGATACAGGGCCGTTCCGCAAGCTGACCCCCCAAAGGACAAGCCAGGTAGGTGTAGTCTTCCAGCTGCGGTGGTGCATGCGCCAGTGCTAATGTTTCCCGCGGCGACCGAAGAGCAGAACAACGAAGCGACATGTGTCGTCGAAAACGGTATCACCATCAACCAGGGAGATGCCATGGACACGTCGGAAGATGAAGATGAAGACGAGGAGCCACCCGCGCCCCGGCGCCCAGGCGCTCTCACTATCATCACTGGTGCTTCGTTTGCGGTCATGATCTCAAACTCGGTGAGTAGCTCATGTTTGCGCATTAATTGTCTTCCTCCTCTGCTCGTTGCTAACCGAAGCTAGGAAACAAGGAAAGAAAGGAGGATAGTGGAAGGTCTGATATGACCTAGGTAGTGTCAAGGATACGGATGATAGAGGTAGGGATAAATAGATAGATAGACAATGTTGAACTGATTCTCTACTTCTCGTCGGGCCAGAGATGCCCTCTATACACACGTTCGTCTTGCCAAGGCAGAATAATCTCATGTAGGAGACACTCAGATCCGTCGGGTTCTGAGACGAGCAAATCTTGACACCCATCGCCATCGCGTTTCGCGTTGTCGTCACAAACCCGAAGAGTGGCTCATGATTCTCCGTTGCTTGTCTGTTTCATTCACTCATAGCTGACCGAACCTGAGAGACAAGGAAAGAATGGAGGATAGTAGACGGTCTGATAAGGCCTAGGTAGATGGAAAACGTTGCTGAAATGCGTATTGTCTTTCGCGTTACTTTATTCCGTTATGCCAGTGCGATTGCGAGTAGGTAGTTTAGTGAATCTACTATCGAGCTACTATCAAGGACCAAAAGTTTTTTACTTTCGCATTTCGTCTTTCCATCGAATACTCTCCTGCTCCCTAAGTAAGTATGTCTACATTTCTCCGCGCCTCCATGAAGTTACATCTCGCATCACGCACCCCTGCCCTCCCCCCACCTCACCTCCCTCTGCGCTATTGAAACGTATGACGAACAATTCCCGGCGTTCGATAACCCGTCCTCGAGTTACGCGTGTCGATGACCAGCTCGACCTCGATATTAAGCCTGATTGCCCCCGTCAGTATTGGGGCCCATATCGATTCTATAATCGGGCGTAACATCATTCCTCTCCAGCCCATCGTACCACAGGGTTCTCGTGAATACATTTCGTGACGGACTGAGTCTTGGCGGAGTTTCCTTCCCAGCCGGATGAGATACGGTGTAGGTTGGGATGGTGGATGAATAAGGACCTTTGAAAGTATGTGTGAGATGTAGACGACCGATCGCTCTGGGGAGTCCTGGCGCCGGAGGTGAGGCGTGCGAGTCATATCTGGTGCCGGACGACTGGCAACCGGATCTGGGGCGTCCGGATGTTAGGCGTCTCGGCCTTAAGCGTCGGAGCCATGGTTGGTGTCCTGAACATGATAGGTTCTACGAGCAGCCCGCCGACAGCGCGAGCCAGGAGGCCATCTAGCAAATGTATATAGAGGACCTTGTGCCGCTGCAGAAGAAAGACGATAATCAAAACTTTATACTCCTATATTTGACAGTACAGTGTATGTAGGAGAAAGGCACCACTCGTTCTGGATGCCTGGGTTCTTGGACTCTACGTAGCGATGTGTGGACTCGGAATTTGGCACGGCGGTCGGGAATCTAGGTGGCAGCTAGACCGAGACTACCCGATAGAGAGGAGGCGGTGATGTTTGCAAGCTGCGTAAAGCATGCTAGCGGGCGGCGTGTGTGGCGTTCAATGGAATGATTCACTGGATGTTGCTGGCGGATGCTCAACTTGATGACGCTGGCACAGAGCGACAGGATGGCTCCGCACAAACCATGTTACGCAGTCAGGACCATACGCCGACCGCAACATCCTCGCATTCGCATCAGAGAAACCAACTCCGGTCGCTACAGGGAGGCGTTCGTACTATTTGGACTTCACATGGCACGGCATACTGTTTGAATATGCAGGGTGCCTGGATTGATAGCAGTGCATGAGTGATCGCAGCCGAACCCACGTGGTATTATGCTGCTTGAAATTTTTAATGCGCTAGCGGGTTGCAGCTTTGTTTCTTCCTCTCTTTCTCTTCTACCTCGCACTACTTCACCCGAACATACCACTTCAACTACTATCATCCTCCCACAACATCACTTTGATGAATCAACTCCAAAAAAATCATCGAAATCCATCACTATAAGGAACTATCTACCCGAGTATGTCCCGAAGACCAAAGCCGTCGAAAAATACTACAGTCTCAACTAGGTAAGTGTAACCTTCTAGCTGCTGCGGTGGATGCGCGCCTGCTAATGTATGCTGCGACCGAGGAGCATGATGGCGAAGCGACATGTGTCGCCGACGACAATGACACCCTGGAGCAAGATGACGGAGCCGACACGTCGGAAGACGAAGACGAACCCCAGGTCACCCTGAGGGAAAGCTACACACACGAGAAATTGTGCGTGATGGGTTTCCTTAGGGACGACCTGGGCAACGACTGGCGCTCAGTCGTGAGGATGTATAATCAGTACTGGTATCCCGATAACCCTAAGAGTGTCTGCAAGGACGCTCTGTACTCACTGTACAAGAAAGAAGCACCCAAGGGTGATCGTGACAATGCCGGCATCCTCGGGACTGATAACGACTCAGCATGGGTGAGGGAATAATACTGGGCCCTTCAAAAGCTGACCACCCAAAGAACGAGTCAGGTAAGTGCAATCTTCAGCTCTGGCGGTGCATGAACGATTGCTAATGTATGTCGCGGCGACCGAAGAGCAGAACAACGAAGCGACATGTGTCGTCGAAGGCAGTAACACCCTCGAACAAGGAGACGCCACCGACACGTCGGAAGATGAAGATGTAGAAGAAGAGCAACCCGCGCCCCGGCGCCTAGGTGCCCTTACTGTCATCATCGCCGCGTTTGCGGTCATCGTGACCTAAAACTGGGTGAGTAGCTCATGATTCCGCGTTACTAGTCTTTTTCATCTACGCATCGCTGACAGAACCAAGAGAACAAGGAAAGAGAGCAGGATAGTCGACGGTCCGATAAGGCCCAGGTGGATGGAAAAAGTTGCTGGGTGTCAAGGTGCTAAACGTGTATTGTCTTTCGCATTACGTCCTTGCATAGATTACTTTCCTGCTACCGAAATCTTCGTTCCGTTATGTCAGTGCGAGTACGACTAGTATAAGGAATGTATTATCGAGTTACTGAGGACCACACGCCGATGGCAACATCCTCCCATTTAAATCAGGTAAACAAACTCCGGCTGCTGCGAGAAGTAGTTTGTACTGCTTGGACTGCACATGGCGCGACATACTGTTTGAAGATGCAAGATGCCTGGATTGATAGCAGTCCATCAGTGATCGCAGCCGACTGGCCCAGGTGGTATTACGCTAGCGTCAGAGAAGCCCTTGTGCGGCCCATTCAAGAAGTAGCAGTCACTGCCCACAGGCAATGTTCAATGCGCCAGCGGGTTGCAGTTTGCTTTCTTCCTGTCTCTCTCTTCTACCTCTCCATCCTACACCCGAACATACCACTTTAACTATCATTCTCTAACAACATCACTTTGATGAATCACCTCCGAAACCATCACCATAATGCACCATCTACAAGAGTATGTCCCGAAGACCAAAGCCGTTGAAAGTCCATCTCATTCATCCCACCCTCCCCACCTCACCCTTAATCTTCATCCTCCATCATCCTCAAAGCTTCACCCACACCGTCACAAAGAAACACCCTTCACTGCGGCAAGCTTTAGATCAAGAACTCGAAACATCAACAACCACCGAGCATAACACCACCACCACCACAGAAGCAAAATGGCAGACCCACTGCCCGCTCCCATCAGGACCTCAGTCCTCGATGTCTCCGATGTTCCGGAGACCAAAGCGGCCGAGAATCCCAGGCTTTCCGAGGAACCCACCGCCGTTCCGCAGGCCGACCATAACGAACCAGGTAAGTGCAGTCTTCCAGCTGAGGCGGTGCATGGGCGCCTGCTAATGTGTGCCGTGGCGACTAAAGAGTAGGACAACGGGGCAACATCTGTCGCCGAAGACGATGCCACCCGGGGATAGGAAGACGTCATGGACTCGTCCAAAGACGATGGCGAAGCCGATGATTCCCTGAACCAAGGAGACGCCACCGACACGTCGGAGGACGAGGACGCAGACGAACCTCAGGGCGCCCCTCTGAGGGAAAACTACACGCACGAGAACTTGTGCGTGATGCCTTTCTTCAGGGACGATCTGGGGAACGACCGGCGCTCAGTTGTCAGGATGTACAATGAGTACTGGTATCCTGATCACCCTCCGGGTATCTACAAGGATGCGTTGTACTCACGATACAAGAAAGCGGTACCCAGCGGCAATCTCCGCCTCGTTTGCGATCGTGACGTAAAATTAGGTGAGTAGCTCAGGATTCCGCATTACTCGTCTTTTTCCCCTATTGGTGGCTGACCGAACCTAGAAAACCTCAGAGATCAAAGAGCACAGTGGGTGGACTAAACTTGCCACCCACGCACCGGCGCCACGGCACCTGGGCGTCCTCACTCTCATCATCTCAAACTCGGTGAGTAGCTCATGATTCCGCATTAATTGTGTTCCTCCTCTGTTCGTAGCTGACCAAACCAACGGAACAAGGGAGGAAAGGAGGATAGTGGACGGTCTGATAAGGTCCAGGTAGATAGAAAACGTTGCTGGGTGTCAAGCTGTAAAACGTCTATTGTCTTTCGCATTACTTCCTTCCATGAATGACGTTCCTGCTACTCAAATATTCGCTCCGTTATGCCAGTGCGATTGTGACTAGTATAACGAATGTATTAACGAGCTACTATAAGGGCGTAAAGACAAAATTCGCTCTCGATGACTTCCATTGATTGCTTTCCTGTTATACAAGTAATTATGTCTACTTGTATCCGTGCGTCCAAAAAAAGACACATTACATCCCTCATCCAGCACATCCTGGCCTCACCCCTCATTGCGCTATTCACAATCATACCAGAGGATCCGCGACGATCTGTCTCCTTTCGTTGACCGATGCGTGTTGATGACGTTGTTGACCTCGATGTTAAACCTACTTCTTATGAGTCGTCGGGTCAATATCGATGCTATAGTTGTGGTTAAGATTCCTGTGTGGCATTGGGCAACACGGGCCTCGTGAGTGTGTTCCATGGCGGACGGTCCTTGGCAGACTCAAATATAGAAATATAAAATCTTGATTGTCGTCTGTCTTCTGCAGCGGCAGAAGGTCCTCTAAATACATGTGTTTTTTAGATGGCCTCCAGGCTCGTCCGGTCGACGGGCTGCTAGTAGACCCCATCACGCTCAGGGCACCAGACGCCTAAGGTTCGGACGACTAAGATCCGGTCGCCAGGCGTCCGGCACAAGATATGACTCGGACAAGCTCGAGCGCCAGCACTCCTCGAGCGATGCTGACGAGCGGTGCAGTGAGGCAATCCTAAAGTTTCTGGGAACCACGGATGTGAGGAGGAAAGCACTAGCAGACCTTGAGGCTGGACGAGGATGAGGACGAGGCGAGCATCACATCGGGGGCGGAGCAAGAGTGTCCAGCAGGATACTTCGTCTGCGGCCACTGCAAGGAAATGGGAGAGGAGGATACGCGGGGATAGGTTTTGGAGCGGAAGCACATGACGGGGAAGAGAGGCAAGGGACAGCTAGAAGAGCGGGCATGTGGGCCCATACCGGCCTTTACTGTCGATATACGTTTTCTTTGCTTGTGGCGGCCCGAGGGGGATGGGGCAGGGGAAGTGGGGCGCCTAATCGGACTGGTCGGTACCGGGGCTTTCACCTTGACTGGCCAGGGCAGACAGGAAACGGAAGTCGTGGGTTCGGCATAGTGTCGATAGACTGCATGCAAAATAAAACAGGAAGATCTTTGTCACTGCTGCAGCGATGAGACGTCTACAACCGACAGGCAGAATTTCTTTCTAGCCGCATCCGATCCAGTGTATTTTGGCGTGGTGGACGAAGAAAGATCGAATGCACCGAGTGGTATTACGCGAGCGACAAAGAAGCCATTGTGCGGAGCATTCAGAAAAAGCAGTCACTGCCCACATGGATCTGTGATGGGTTGCAATCTTCAATGCGCTAGCGGGTTGCGGTTTGGGGTTTTCCTCCCTTTCTCTTGCACCTCTCCCTCCTTCACCCGAACACACCACTCCAACTATCATCCCCCAACAACATCACTTTGATGAACTTTCACTTCCAAAACCACCACTATAATGCACTATCTTTGCGAGATACCTACCGGCTTCCCACAAGCCTACCACCCAAAGGACGAGCCAGGTAAGTGCATCGTTCAGCTGTGGCGGTGCATGGGCGACTACTAATGCATGCCGCAACAGGGAGACGCCAGCGACGCGTCGGAGGACGTGGACACAGACGAACCCCAGGTCACCTCCCCTGAGGGAAAACTACACGCACGAGCAATTGTGCGTGATGCGTTTTCTCAGGGACGATCTGGGGAACGACTGGCCCTCAGTCGCGAAGATGTATGAAGATCATTGGTATCCCGATCACCCTAACGGTGTCTGCAAGGACGCACTGTCCTCGCGGTACAAGAAAGCGGTACCCAGCACGAACCGCCGCTGCGTTTGCGGTCATCATCGCAAACTCGGTGAGTAGCTCATGATTCCGCATTGGTCGTCTTTTTCGTCTGCTGGTGGCTGACCGAGCATAGGAAACCGAAGAGGTCAAAGACCACAGTGGGTGGTCTCCGTCTCCCACCTGCGCCGGGGCGCAGGTGGAGTTGGGGTCCTGCACCCTGGCGCCTCGGTGCCCTCGCGGCCTTCACCACCGCTTTTCAGGTCAATTTGACCACCTCAAGCCCCCTACGCACCGAGACGGAATCTCGCTAAACCCCGACGAGTGTAGAACCCAGAACGCAGTTCTCAAGCACTTTGGCAACGTCACGCACCAGCACCACAAGGCCATCGAATTCCGGGTTGCAATAGTTCGCAGGTTCCGGGAGGAGCCCAACCTCATTACAATGCCACTACACAGCGAGGAAAACAAGAAGGCTTTCACTAATCGAGTGACTGCGTGGAGGTTGTGGGCCCCAAGGTCACGCCCCTGCGCGATCTAATGCACGGCACAATAGTGAGTCTGGCCTTTCGCGGCAAAGAATGTCGTCTCGCAGGCAACTACGTGGTGTACTTACTTGTGACGGTGATACGCTCGCGTCTCGCACGTCCGAATACGTAAGGCATCGACTACTCCGCTGCCATGAAAGCAGCCATCAGCACAACTACGCAAACATCAACCGGCGGCAATTTCGATCAGGGTGCATACACTGGCTTTTTCTTCATCGCGTTCAACCCGCCTGGATGTTGCTCTGTAACTTCTCGTGACTAACTCGGTGAGTAGCTCATGATTCCGCGCTACTCGCCTTTTTCATCTGCTCATAACTGACTGAACCTAGAAAACAAGGAAGGAAAGGAGGATAGTGGACGGTCTGATAAGGCCTGGGTAGATGGAAAGCATTACTGGGTATCAAGGTGCTAAACGTCTATTATCTTTCGCATTACTTTCTTCGATAGATCACTTTCCTGCTACCGAAATCTTCGTTCCGTTATGCCAGTGCGGGTGCGACTAGTATAAAGAATCTATTACCGAGCTACTATCAGGGCGCAAAAACAACCTTTGCTCTTGCACTACTTCCCTCCATTGATTACTTTCGTGTTAACTACATGAGCACCTATGTCTATTTGTAACCGCGCGTCCATGAAGTTACACCCCTCATCCAGCACATCCTCGCCTCCCACCCCTCACTGAGCTATTCACACTAATACCAGAGGATCCGCGGTGATCTGTATCCTGTCGTTGACCCATGCGTGTCAATGACGTTGGCATCGATGTTGAGCCTACTTCCTCTTATCAGTATTCGGGCCAATATCGATGCTATCCCCTACATGTCCGGGGCGTGTGTAAATTTGTTGCACTGAAAAGCATGCCCGATTGGGAGGTAAAATTGCGCCTACACAACCACAGAGCTCACTGTCTCGATCAATCTGGTTGCAGCTGTGCTGGTAACAGTCACGGTTGCCAGGTAAAATGACAGTCACCGTCGCCGCCTCTGACCCACGGCACTTCAAACATCCTCGGCGTGAATACTAGAGATATGAGTAACAGCGCTGATACAGAGATTATGAGTCCGGGACTCAAGTCAAAAACAGGCAATCATGTTGCAATCAGGCCTCCGGTGGATACTACTACACCGGTGGCGGCGGCGGGCTCTACTACTAGAGTACACTACTAAATGTTTAGAAACGCATCGGGTGGAGGGAAGTAAGCATGTGTGCCGCTAGATACATGATGGTAGAGAGCATGTTTCTACTAACTTACTCAAGTTGCTCTGCGGAAGAGTACACTCGCCGAATGCTTTTGATATCACTCGTTGCCAACCTTTCTACATCGGTCCAGATTGGGCCAACTTGGTGCGGTACAACAAATATACAAGCGCCGAACATGAAGGGGATACTCTTCTCACTCGATTAACAATCCACATTGAACGATAGCCCCCCCAACGACTGTTTGCTTCGCAGCTGCTTCACTCTTCTCATACCAGCACGACGACTGGTACCGACAACTTCTACAAGACAACCTTCCGTCCTCTTCACCAACACCCCACACAAATACCATCCCACACCACCTCAATACTGACAATTAACGAATCTTCCTACAAATCCACAAACTAAAGTAAGTCCACCTCTTCCTAACGGCGGATACCAATCGCACGCATACCTAACACGCATCGCGCAGCCTTAACCCTCGTCATCACCGGAATGTTTCAACACCTCCGCCACCTCCGCCAGAACTCCCCCATATTCACAAGACACCCAGACCGCAGCCCGATGTCGTCGCCATCCCCGCAACCACCGCATCTCTATCCTCCCAGCACCCCCTCCCCCTCCCCCTCCACCACCTCCTCCTCCTCCCCCTCCTCCCCCTCCTCTCCCAAGTCCCTAGCCAAGCTCTGGCTGCACTCAGTGCGCTTACCGCGTTCCTCCTCCTCGTCGCCAGGCTCATCCAAGTCATCCACTCCGCCCACAAAGTGGAGAACCATCAGCAACGACAGCAACCTCCTGCTGCAGGAGCTGCAGTCCGCCGTGCGCCCGTTCACGCCGACTGCCACGCCGATCTCGGCCGCGTGCGAGGCGCACAAGCATGAGCACCCTCTCGTCAAGGCCGCGGTCAAGCGCATCTTCGATCTGCGCCATAGCTATGAGTACGAGTCCATCGCGAAGATCACGGTCCAGGCGGCCGATGTTCAGCGGAAAGGCGGATGCGCGGCTTGCGGGCTGAAGGAGGGCGCCGATGGTTGGATGCTGGTTGGGTTGAGGGCCCTGGGGATGAATGCGAACGACGAGATGTATCGCGTCGTTGAGCGTGAGCTGCAAGAGATCCTGCCGGAAATGGAGGCGAGCGTGGAGGTCTTGTTGGCGCTATTGGAGTTGGAGAGGAAGATGGAAGCGACGCAAGAGAACGGAAGATTGTGGGAGTTCGAGAGGAATGTGGAACTGCCGGATGAGATGGAACTGCCGGAGGAGGACGAAGAATCGTTGGAGTATGACAGCCAGGAGGAACTGACGGAGGAAGAGGACGAAGGATTTTTGGAGTTTGTGAGGAAGGTGAATCTGAAGGAGAAGATGGAACTGACCGAGGAGAACGACGAATTTTTCGAGTTGGAGAGTCAGGTAGAACTGACGGAGGAGGAGATCGAAGGGTTCTCGGAGTTGGAGAGTAAGGTGGAACTGACGGAGGAGAGCGAAGGATTCTTTGAGGTGGAGAGGATGATGAAACTCTTGGACGAGATCGAAGAGGCGTTGGAGAGTATGGAGGTGAGTCTGACTTCGCTGGAGATGAGGGCTATAGATACTGACTATGGAGATAGGGACACTTGATTGAAGGCTTGATTCACGATTAGCGGCATTTGCTAGCGACGGGTAATAGTGGTGCTTTCATCTCAGGGAAAACATTACATAGTAAGATGAAGGGCCCTTAAGTACTCTCTTGATTGTTGAATGTAGGCTGCCATCCGGCAATGTCCAACTCTGTGTACCTATGCTAATCATTGGGCAAAAAAAGATCTCGAGATGGAGAAACACAGCACACACGGTGGAGAAAGGTTCAGCTGAGGGAAATTTGATTTTTGCGCGCGTGCTTTCTTTTCGTTCTGTACCTAGCGAGTTGAATCATTCCTGGCATGTACTCCTTCTCATCACGTCGTACTTATATGAAGGGAATACGGCATGACACCGCAAGACATTCAATAGAGAGTTAAACTAGAATCTGCCTCTGCAATATATGGCGATAAACCTACTGGGAGGAGTCAGGACAACCGGCAAGCCGGGAGTGGATCATGGGATGTCACACAATATCCGGGATCTTCGGATATCACTCGTCTTTGGAGCGGTTTTCGCCGGTTCGCGCCCGAGCATCGAACTGTCTTCGCAAACCCACAAAGCGCAAAAATTCAAAAAAGGATATTGTGAATTACGTGAATGATATGATATGTACCGTAGAACATATAATACATAAAGCTCACGACCGTCAACAGCTTCTTACGAAAAGTCTGCAAACGCCAAGCAAGGGCCCGTGCTAGACCGAAACAAGTACTTCAGCGAGTGATAATTCATCAAAACCAAAACGAGAGAAATGAGTGATTATCCATGCATTTCGCACATTCGTTCCGCCCTGCAGCTCGACTTTGTCACACACCACCCCATGCCATACGCCTCACCATTGTCACGGCTCTATCACCCCTCACATCAGGATACGATGATACGATGACACAGGCCGACATCATCGATGATGGATTCAATACACCCAGAGCGTCAGTTCAAGAAAATGCAGATCCCAATCCGAATGAAACTATTAGCCCAGCGCTAACTCATCATAGGAGTTTTCGAGTTTGATCCTCGCCGCGTCACCGTCTCAGCATGCTCATGCGCAAAGTTAACGCTTCCCGCCACCACCGCCGCTGCCATCAAGGCACGCCCGATCTGCGATCCATTTACATGATCCATGGATTCCAGTACTTCCTCCTCCTCCTCCTCCGCGGGCGCCTGAGTTGTTGCCGCTGCAGCCACCGTGCTTCAACTATCTGACCGAAGGATAGTGAAGCTCTGGGTTCAGAAAACAGACGGCAGCAGCTAGAGGATGGACAATGAGAGCGTGAAAGTTCCTGAAAAGCTTTCGGGGGCCTACCGGGGGAGCCTGAGGCGATCTTCCGTCTCCTGCCATTAAGGGAATGGTCACCATCGTGACAACATCCCGTCAGAAGTTCGAGCTGCTTATTCAACGATTTGCCTCGCCTTCTCTTACCCTACTACCGTACCCCATCCACCAACGGAGGCGTCCCTCGAGCGATAACTCCAATTCTACATCAACATGCGTCTTCTTGAATTTCACACATTCCTCGTCATCATCGCCGAACCACCGGAGATATTCAAGGAACTCGCCAGGGACTACGAGGTCTCCAGATGTGTGGAGGATGAGATGGAAAGCGAGTTCCCTACAGAATACATACTACAGTCGCTGTGGGTGGGACTTGGTGTGGATGTTTGTCGAGTATGGACATGGTTCTGACTCCGCCGCACCACCGCCGCACCACTGAGCTCGCCGCGCGGAAATCTAGCCCGGTAGAGACTACGAGGTCCCGATGATGTGGAGGATGAGATAGAAAGCCAGTTCGGTTTTCCGTACAATCGGTGTGGGTGAAATTCAGTGTCGATTTTTTTCCAGCATGGGCTTGAGTCTGAGGCCTTTTTGGAGACGCCTGGCGCAGGTTGCATACGGAGGGGAAGGCCCAAGGGATTTGGTACGTAAGGCAGAACGTTCACGATCGACGGCACAGCGTGGAGACACATACCGGACGATTGGAAAGGTGAGGGAAGCGAAAGGAGCTTGATGGAGCATGAACGGAAATGTCGATCAAATCGCACGGCAAAGTCGGACGATACACAGGAGAGTTTTGAACTTCCTATAAATGCCATCAGCCGACGAACTTTCTGCCGCCGAATGCCGGCCCTACGTAGGATATCCGCGGAAGCGACTCGGGAGTCGGTCCCAGGGTTTTGAATCTTCCCGTCACGATCGAGGCCGGTACCAACAACGAATTGAGGGCGGCACGACTTCAATGTTCGCATTGCTGAGCGATGGGTACGATCGGCCACCACGCCCAAGCTCAGTCGCGCGACTATGGTCTCCTTACTTCTGTACGGCCTTCGACGTTGTTTTACGAGTAAGCGTTTCACACTCCGTTGGCCCCGCGCTTTGCGATTCTGACGTGAAATTTAGTGCGCTTTGATTGGTCGCTTGCAGAATCTCTAGTTCGCACTACAGACTTAGTCTGCCATTGTCGCCAGCGATTCAACCGAGTCCGGTTTTTACATGTGCTTTGTCGCGATCATGGGATGAAACCTGAAAGGTGGTGGTGCACTCGGACTTGATCGTCGCTCGACGAACGCAAGGGCGGTGGGCGCCACTGTTTATCGCTCATGCGATGCTGGGCAATATTCGGGAGTACCCGGTTACACGATAGGCCACACAGATATGTAGGCCATGCACCGTGTCTTGATCGAGAGACGGAGCAGAGACAGGTCCAACCCACTTGCGTCCATTCGCGAGGGTCCACGCCGCGCCACGCTGGCGCGCCTCACCTCATGTCGCCCTAGTCACTTCGCTGTGCCAATCGGGGCGCGCTGTCCGCCCATCTAGATCGCGCACTAGACCTGTCTACCCTTACAGGTCTCAGTTCGTGGCGGCGGGTTCTCGGCAGTCTGGATTTTTCCTGCGACGGCACGGCGTGCACGAGAAGTGGATAAGAAGAGTGGGTGTTCCGCGATCGATGATGCTATCGATTTGTCCCCGGCTATCGTCCTGCATCATTCCACGCATTTCACGCATAATTCCTCGCATTCCTCGCATTCGTCGCATTCCTCCCTCGCAACCACCATGTCGGGCGACGCCGAAAATTCTCCCAGCGCGGCGGAACAGTGCGCGGCGTCGCGCTCGGCAATAAACTGCTCGAACTCAGTCTTCCCCGACGACCGCGTCACCTGCTGCGAAACGGCGCGCGCATGCACCGAGCTCCAGGCCGCACTCAACGGCAGCTCCATCACCTGCGGTGGCAGCAAGTTCTGCTTCTCGCAGTGGTCCGTCGCGTCCGGCTACTGCGTGCAGGAGCGCGATGGCTACGTCGCCGAAGTATACCCCCGGATTCCCACGGAGGCTCCCCCGTCCGCCACGACAACGGGCCGCCCAGGATCGGTCGCTACCGCTACCGTCACGACGACGCAAACCGCCGGTACGAACTCCCCCACATCCTCCTCTTCCTCCGACGCGTCGACCGCGGCTGCGCCCACCACACCGGCTCAAGGCACGACGGGGGCCGCGGCGCTAAATCCATCCTCTGGGGCTACGGGACTAAATCCATCGTCGGTGCCAGGCTCGTCCAACAACGCCGTCAAGATCGCAGTGCCAATCGTTGTCGTACTACTACTCCTTCTGGGCGGCGGCCTCTTCCTGTTCTGGCGACGACGGAGAGCACGCCAGCAGCAGCAGCAGCAGCAGGGGTACCCGCACACGAACGAGCTCGAGAAGGCGCCTGGTGCTCAGGACATCGCGGAGCTGCACGAGCATTTTACTGGTAACCGCGCATACCCAGTCGGTCAGAGTCATTGGGCTGATATCTGTGTAGCCGAGCTGGCAGTGCACTCGCCGCCCGTCGAGTTGCCGGCGGAGTACACGTGGAATATGGGTAAGAGTGTGGCGGCAGTCGATGTCAAGCCTGCCACCGTGGCGTCGGCCGCGGTAACCCCCGAGCGGATGTCGCTGGAGAATTCGGTGCGGGAACCGGGAATGAGTGTGCCCGTGTCTGGACTGGTGACGCCGCAGCGGAGATCGCTGGATGGTGGCCCGGCTAGCCCTGTCAGCCCCATGAGCCCGCTGAGTAGTATGGACATGGCATTTACCGCGCCCAGCACGCCGCTACGGGGGTCGCTTGATGGTCCCGCGCGACCGAGGAGCTGATGTGGGCGGGGGTAGGGGTGTGTTGGGCATCTGCCGGAGCTCTGGGTTCGCGGGTAAAAGTTGCTTCGGTGTGTATAAATTAATGGCGACTGTATATATGGGATTGCATTACATGGGAGGGACGCGGAATGACGGGCTTCAGCCTGACGTCGGAATCACGGAGTGTGGCTGTGGGGGCATGAGTGGACGGTTACCGGGTGCCTGCACACGAGATGTCAAAGAATCTAAACTTCCAAATGCAACGGGCAACTCCTACCGATCTACCGGAGTCCGGGACCCAGTTATGCGGTTTGTTTAAGCTCTCGTGTTCATTTCGCTTATCGCCACATGGATCAGGCCAATCTACTACCTAGCACACCGAGAAACTGTAAATTTACACGAGTGATGCCAATATCCGTCGATCCGAAGAATGGGGTGCTGAGACTTGGAGGTTTGTGGCGATATGTACACTCTACTATCTATCACTCGCTTCCTCCCATCCATTCCGCGGTGTGCTGGGTGTCGGATTTCACTATGTAGGAAGGAGATGTGTAAAGGAAGACAAACACTCGATATATTCCGCATGTACAATATATGCCTGACAACTATGTACCAACACCCATCATGTCCGCTAATATCTACAACAGCACTGGCACCGCCCCAGGCTCGAACCTACTCTCGCCGGTCCTGATCCACTCCTGCACCAATCCGTTGCCGTCATGTACATAGAGTCTTACGCACCCATTACCCTGGGCATCATCGTTCCACGCGACGACGGCGGTCTGCGAGCCAGCCGTTGCCTGCACCACCGGCACGAACGGGCTGAACCCCCAGGTCATGGGCCCGTCTCGCGTGCGAATGATGGTCTCGTTCACGCGCCAGCCGCCGTCGAGCACGTAGGCGCGCATGACGTGGCGATAGATTTCGGCGACGCTCGGTGGCGTCACGATGTTCGTGATCGCGACCGAGGTGTGTGAGCCGGGTGGGAAGACGAGTTTGCTGAGGTTGTAGCCGCCTGCGAGGGGGTTAGTAGGTTGACCCGGGATGGGGGGGGGGAAAGGTACACACCGATGTTCCACAGGTTGTCGATAGGGTTCCACCAGAATTGCGTGTGCTGCCCATTATCTAGCTGGTAGTTGATGCTGCAATGGATTGCCGTGGCGGCGCCGATGGCTGTTCCGGGTGCCGCAGGGAGGTACTTATCGCGGCCGGCGCCATCATCGTGGAAAGCCATATTTGCCACATCGTACCAGCATTCAACGATCCTGTTGTCCTTTCCTTGGTAGAAGACCCATCCGAGGCCTCCTCTGGCAGTGCTAGTAGCGTAGCCGAGCTGCGAGTACGGCGCCGGCTCGAACTTCAGCTTCGCGGGAATCGCCATGCCGTCCGTCCACACGCCCTTGTCGTCCATCGTGCGCTCGCGCAGCTGCCACAGCGTGTTGAAGAAGATGACGCGCGGCTGGGAAGGGAGAAGTTAGCACGCACGTACGTGCCTACACACCCAGGGAAGGGAAGGGGAGGAGAACTGTGAACCAACCTTCTTCCCGCTACCAAACGTCGCCGCAGCGGCAATGGGCGTATTCGCCGCAACATTCTTCGCCTCCTCGACGATGCCGCCATCTTTCCACACGCCGGCCTGCGTTCCCGCCTCGATGTTGCACACCGAGTACCTAATATTCCCCGCCGTATCGACATAGTACAGATGCGTCTGCTTATACCCATCCAACCTGAGCGCGGCGAACGCGGACCTCCTGCGGTTCTGCAGGGACTTTCCCTCCTCCACCGCTGCTGCCGGGACAGTGGTCGGCTCGATCTTCCGGAGCACTGGTAGCCGCGCGCGGAAGATGTCCGGGCTCTGGTACGGCGCCTTGCTATCCTTGCACGCGGTGGTGGGGTCCTTAGCGACTACGTCGACTTCGGTCACGATCCGGATCATCTGCTGCCGGCAGAAGGTGCGTGCGCGAGTGAGTGAAAAGGCGTTCGGCTCGTAAAGGGTCACATCGGTCTTCTCGTCGGTGGTGAGGTCCGCGGGGAGGTAGACTGGCTCCGGGTTCTTGATGTATAGGGCGGATTCGTCGAGCACTGGTGGATGGCTGTGAGCTACGGTGAAAGAGTGTGCGGGGTATGTGTTGACTTACTGATATTGATGTTCTTCCAGTGGAGCTTGTAGTCCATGTACGCGTCGAGCAGATCGGCGGTGTAGACACCCGCATTATCGTAGTTCAGGGGGGAGAGATCCTTCTGGTCGATGACGAACGAGCGAAGACTCGTGTACCGTGTGAGGATTGCACTGGTGCGCTGAGGGGTCTGCGCAACCAGGTCCGCAAACTTCGAGGCCGCAGCTGTCACGGTAGAGATGTTCCACACCTCCTCGGGCCTCTTCAGAACACCGCCGCCGGACCAGCTGACGCTCACGGTCGTCTCCGTGTGCTGGGCGATCTCCGAACTCTTGATGCCGACCGAGCCGCTGGCCTCGATTCCGACACCCCCGACACTCAGCGCGAGTGATGCTCTGCACGGTACATCAGCACGCAGCTCCGACAAGATGTGGCGAGGAATAAGATAACTCACGCAGCCTTGATATCCCTCAGTTTTGATTTATCGAGGACCTTGATGCTGATGAGGGCATTGAACTCTCCGCCCTCCAGAAAGCCGGAGATGAAACAGTCGCCAAAGACCTCTGTAAACTTCTCCTTCGAGACATTTGCCAGCTTCTGGTATTCATACGACTCCTCGAGGATCTGCGTCTGGTTGATGACCTTGACCTGCAGCAGGAAGTTCATATCGCTCTCGCGGAACTTGTTGGTGTCGACGAACGCGCCGGAGCCCGAGCCCTGGATCGTTCCGTACTTGATCGCCAAGCTGCCACTGATGTTCATCGAGTCCGACACGTCGGACAGCTTGTCGACGTGCCGAGAGTTATACGTCACGATCTGAGAGTTGGAGCGGTTCTTCACCGTGCCGGTCTCGGCTAGGTCTGTGATCGTGTTGCCGGTCTTGCGGTCGGTCACTTTGACCGCATTGTCCACGCAGATCTGCTGCGTGTAGGAGTTGAATCTGGAGGAGAAGTTAGTCTGTGGCGATCAAGATGCGGGGATGAGTGTGTTTACCCTTGGCCGAGGCGCATGGCATTCTGGTACGGGGCGAGGAGTGTAGACATTGTTGCGGTTGGAGATTCGGGATTCTCGTGAAGAAATTGGAAGGTATGAGAGGAGGGATTGATTTCTCGCTCGGGGTGAATCCAAGGGAGATCTCTGAGTTGGTGGTGATGTTCTTTCGTGCCAGCGATCGAAGGTTATATAGGCGTCTCGCTTCCTAAATCCTGGTTGCAATTGATCTCGCTCATGAGGAATCTTCACGTATTCAGCTCCTCGTACATGTGATGGACTCGGTGGCAACATCTCAGCTGCATTCGTCGACGGCCATCCCGCTTTCGAGTTGCCGCTGTTGAAGCAGTAAGTATGCCACGCGACCCGTCCTCGCTTGCACGGTAGCTGAACTTATCTAGTCACTTGTGGAGTTGTACTGCTCAGCTCATGAAAGATCCGATTCCGCAGCAGTTCACGAGTCCAGACCAAGTAGCCGGGAAGTGCCATCTTATTTTTCGTGAAGATTCTCAGCTGAAACTCCACGCGCGTCGATCGAATTCGACTGGGTGCATAGCATAAGCCACGGCGCGTCTTCCTGAACTCTCCCCGATAGCGGCCTCGCCCTTGGATTCCGCCGCTGCCGTCGCATTGCGCTAACGTGGCGATCGTAGGCTGAATGCACAACATCCTTGTGGCGCGGTTGGGCTGCAGTTGGCAAGGGTTGGGAACGCCTCGACTGGAGAGTCCACGTGCGGATTGTGGAGAGCTAGATCGTGTGCATGCAGAGACCGGCAGCATGCGATCCAAGAGTTCAGCTGGGCTGAACGACGCTCTGCCGTTTGGTGTTGCGGGAAAAGGCACTTTTTTTGGTGAGGGTCTTCAGGTCGTACGACTTGCGACGACGGCTCTCGCCACTGTTAGAGAAACAGTCTAGTTTGCGATTTCGAATCGTGTCCTCTTTTCCACGGTCAACCGCTTCGAAATTCGTTCTCGCTTTAGCACCGGATGCGAATTGGATTTCGAATGGGGTCTTGCCGGCCTCCTTCTTCTCCCATCCTCGCCATCCTCTCCTCTCATCCGCAATGTCCGATCCCTCACAGAACACCATCCAGCGTGCAGTCTCGAACGGCGGTGCTTTCCCCATTCCCTGGGGCAGTGCTTTCCCGAAGAGAGTCTCTCTCCTCTCCTCTTTTGACTCATCTCTGGCCGTCAATGGCAATCCCTTCTCTGTGCAATCCCCATTCGTCGCGAGAAATCCCTTCATAGCCAACGATGAGACAGAATTCGTGCTCGATTGCAGCGGCCGTACTGCAGGCAGCGGCGCGTTCAGAGAGGTCGTTACCTCCGGCTCCAAGTCGACGACGGAGCACCTGAGTGTTGGCATGGGCATCACTGTCGGTTGCTCGTTCCTGAGTGCTTCCGTCAGTGGGAGCTATGATCGCACGGTGACGGGCAACAGTGATGTCGGTACCTCTCTTGCCATCTTCCCTTCATATGTAGGACACTGAACGAGAACACAGTACCATAAGAAAAGCCAGCACAGCCACTACCGTGGTCCCTTGATCAACTGCGCGAAGCTGCCGGACTTCACCGACGATGCGCGTGCATTACTCCAGGAAAACCCCAAGGAGTTCCGGCGGCGCTACGGCGATTACTTCGTAAAAGCTGTACAGCTGGGCGGAGAGAGTGCACTGATGGTCTCGCAGTCGGCGAGCACCACGACCACAGTCGATGTCAGTTGCTCCTCCCATCCACCCATCCACCCCTCTCCCCCCCAGCTCGCATCCCCGTGGCTGACCATCCCCCCTCCAGGCATACTCTGTAACCGTAACGGTCAAGATCCTCTTCATCAAAGCGAAAAAGACGTGGTCGGGGCAATTCATCTCCTCGCTCTCCGACCGCACACTGTCGTTGACCTGCTTCGACACGGTAACGTCCTCACACGTCTCACACGCCGTGAACGCGCAGTCGCCAGAGTGGGTGATCGCGGACCTTGCCGCTATGCTCGAGGAGTACGATGACTATGCGAGTAACCTGCAGGGCCGCGTGACCGATAGGCTGGATCAACTCCTGGGTAAGGGCTGGAAGGAGGGGATGCCGATTAGTGAGGCCGCGGTGGGGGAGTTGGTCAAGAGTGGTTTAGTCGTGGAGTTGGTGCTGGCGCCGTATGAGACCGTTAGGGACTTTGTGGAGTATAAACCGAGGCCGGTCGAGTCGGAGGTGGCATTGTCGCTGGTTCTGCCGGCGGAGTAGGATCGGTGCTTAGAGTGTATGTAGTATGTATGGTTTCTTTCTGCGATACGTAGTATTTTTTCGTCGAGAACGTTATTGTCGTATGTCGTGGACGTCCCGCAGACAATGAGGACGGTGAGGAGGTTGTTGTTTTGTCCACCGCCGAGGGCTCCGCCTAATGGCCACCTCTGACTGGCCTAACCCAATGTGCTCTAGAGTAGTGCAATCCTTCTTCCGACATCATGGTCGCACGTTCCCCAGCCATTAGTTATCTAATCTCCGATGTGATCTCCTCGTATCTTATCAATCTTGGTCACCGCACCTCTCAGAATAGCAGACAATCATTGTCAGGATGATTGAATTTTGGACAACCTCTTCACCATAAAACTTCACTTAATTAAGCAAGTAGAGCTGAAGAAGCGATCAGAAATAGAGTAGTGTACATGGCAAATATGTGGCTAAGTAGCAAAGTGGCACGAACAGGGAATTAACAGGCGAGGATGCAGCGAGAAAGCGCGGCGACGCCGAACCACCAGGACGGGACCTCGTTGGTTCGCTTAAGCAGTGAGAATTTAGAATTCAGCACTGTATTGTAGTTATGATATAAAGGAAGAAAAGCATCACGGCCCACAACTCATCCGAAAGCCAACTGCCGTTCTGATGTCGTCGAAATCTCGAGTCGAATATCGTCGCAAATAGTCAAATTACTGCCGAAAAGTAGCCATGAAGCTCTCTGTGCCGTGAAATTGGCAGGAAGTATTGGTAGAAGCGAAGGTACGAAGAATGGGTGTGAAGTTACCCCTTCCCCAGCAGCACGCACAGTCACAGAGAGCTTTGTGTCGGATGTCGATGGACGTCGCGACTCGCGACTGCCATGCTGTAGATTTTATTTTGACTTCCGGGGAAGCCGACCCTACAACGGAATGTGGAGCGTCTTCGCCGGCTACGTAGAGTCTTGACAGTTCTGTACATATGAGGTATCTACGTACTCTACGTTGACGAGTTTCCACCATCAGCTCCCCTGAGGTTTACGATTTACCTTGGGACAAGTCACCCTTCCCCGACAATCCATTAGCTGAAACGAAACCTGTGTTTCCCCAACGGACATATCAATAGGGATAGTCGATAGCCTTGGTCCCGGTGTGATTTTGCACTGATCGGTAGTAACTGACAGGTATCCGGTGACTGAGGCCGGAGGTGCGGAGTCGTGTATCAATCTATATACTGTAACTACGGTTGCACCGACGACGCCAAGTTCTTCAAGACATTGCTACCAACCCGCACGGTACGACATGAGCGCATAAATGTCGCGTATATTCGGTCGGCCGGACCGGTGAGAGTTTCGGGCAGCTGTCATCGAGAGTATATGTTCAGCCCGTTTCGCTCCGAGAAGAATACCTCCTCACCACTAGGTATCTCACTCATCCTTACCACCATCCAGCCAGTCCTTCACACCTACGCCTGTCACCAGTCGTCTCCATAATGCATCCTTCCACCCGCCTCGTCCTGCTCCTCCTCCCGTTGACACTCGCGCTTCCCTCCCCGCAAGTCTTCACGGCAGCCGGCCTGATCCCAGCGAACAACTGCACAACTAGGTGCGCATCCACGATCAAATGCCCAACCCTATTCCCCTCCTCGTGCATCTGCCACAACCAATCGGTCGCCGACTGCGCGAAGAAGTGCGGGCAGGAGCCGACCCCAACGCCGCAGGACTGCACTGTCAAGCCCGACAAGTGCATGACAATCTGCCGCGGCACCTACGACTGCACGGGAATGTGGCCGCAGAGCTGTTACTGCGATAATAAAGTCACCATTGCCTGCTCGTTTGAGTGCGGAGTTAGGACGCCCGAGTTGTGGGAGTGTCCGCCCCTGCCAACGTTAACGTTGGCGCCGGCGGAGACTGCGAAGGTTAGGGCGTAGACTGGCGTGGGTGGTGATGAGGTCGGCTGGCGGTACCGTTCGGGTTGGCGGTACCGTTCGGTCGGGATGGCGGATTGTGTTTGAGGTCAATGTTGCTCGGTTTTGACTCTGGTGGATGCCGGGGGGATTTGAGTTATGGTTGCCGGGATGAGTTTCCAAATCCATGTCACAGTATGTAGAATGTCGAACTTTGTTTTTTTTTGCGATCACGTGCCATTACGTGCTACGCAACCGAGTGATATGAGCACCAAACCAAGAAATGCATGCTGATGAGGGACGGAGCGTCAAGGCCTCGGAGGTGCGTATGTTGTGACCCTGATGATTATGACGTACGGCTGCTAAACAAACTATAAGTCTATAAGATGCTGAACGGACACATGTGCAGTCACTGAACGAGGTAATGTTGCGGTGTGCCAACAAGTTTCTCCCTACAAGACGAACATCGACTGCTATTGTATGTGATCTTCAACCAGCGTTCCGAAAGGATGATCCGTAGCTACAAGGACGTCGTCCGTAGTAGCAGACCACGATCGCATCTCCAGAGTATGGTGCAGCGAGGCAACGGGCTGTCGGTGCGATAATACCATCTATCCTTCTCCAAATATTACTCAATTAGGCCTTTGCTAAGCTCATATGTTGCTCTTGTGTTCAGCAGATATCATTCGTCGGTATAGTATAGTGGTTAGTACGAAGCTTTGTGGTCCCACAGATCAGCTTAGACCCATGTTCGATTCATGGTACCGACAATCATCAATCATTCTTTTTTCACTCACTTGTTTCAACTTTTTGGGCGGTTGGAACCTGGGACCCGGCAGACATGATTAATGCGGGACAGCAGAGTTACCCGCACTCGCACGTGACCCTCAACATCGATCGTCGGTCAAATCACCACTCCCTACAGGTTAGCTCGTGTGAACGCAGAGTTTTACATCGACTGTGAGACAAGTTGCGGAGGGGGAAAGTGGGGGTGACGATTCGAAATTTTTTCGGAGCCCGCGAAAGGGATTCGAGAAACCTCACCGTCAGAAAGACGGGAGGTTCTGTAAAATGTTCTGCTCGTGAACGTGAACGGAACAGGGGTAGAAAAAGAGGCTCGCAGGTGTTGGCGGGTGCACCGAAAAACGGAGGTTCTGTAAATTTCCGTGCTCGTGAACGGAACTTCAGTAGCCGGACCTGGCTCTACGAAACGAATGTATACAGCTCACCAAGCCGCAGCCTTACCTTTTGCGGATACCACCTCCTGTCCGCATCAGTTCTCACGTTTACACATAAGAAAAAAACCATGACACCCCTCGACGCGGGCAAAAACAATGTCCTGCCCATGCGGGACAGGGCAAAAATAGGTCCTACCAGGAGTCGAACCTGGATTACCGGAATCAGAATCCGATGTGCTGACCATTACACTATAGAACCGGCTGATGTTTGTGATCAAAAATAAAGTATATACACCTAGCACACAATACCCGCGAAGCAATAATTGATGAAAACGGATGGCGATGGCTGGTTGCTGAGCGATCCACGCACTTGTCGTGGTGATCTAGTCGGTAGTCCAACTTTGCAATACCCGAAAGAGGAGCTTTGGAGGATGATGGCTGTATATATGCAGTTCGGCCTGCGAGACAGGCGGTCGACGCCATGCAGACATGAGATCATATTGTTGGCCCGAAAGTTGCTGGTGAGCATCCGAGATAGATCACTCGGACTACCGTTCGGTAGTCAACGTTCAGATGCTTCACACTACCATTGTTTTATAGCTCCAACCTAAAGTCTTTTACGTTGATCTGATCTCCCAAACATCTCTCGTGATTGTGCTTGGAATTTCCATTCTCGGAGATAGATACACGAGTGCATATACGTCGAAAATAATCGCAGCGATTGAATAGGAGAGAGTGAATCCTCAGGCGCAGTCAGGACTGGTTTGCACTCGATCTTTTGCGCCACACAGCAGGATGATCTCTACAGCGCACCGCCTGTTTGATTCAAAAAATTCGCAGGTTCTGACGCCGGAATAATTTCCGCGCAGACCACTCGCGCACCACCGTCCGCCGGTGACCAATGAGCTCTGACTACGGCAATTACTTTGATTGTTCGAGAACTAGATCAGGTTGCTTGAAGCAGTCTGAGATCCGAAACCTAGAATATGACCTGTAGGCTGCAGCGCCATTCCGCAGACAGACGTAGACGAAAGAAGTCCAGAAAAAAGAACAAAAAGAAATGTGACAGGAGTGGGACTTGAACCCACGCTCAGTTTCCCGAACCAGGAATCGAATGATCGTATTAAGGTGACCTTAACCTGGCGCCATAACCAACTCGGCCATCCTGCCTAACGATGTACTCTGCAGCTTATTAGCTGCTATGGACTATTTCGCACGCAGTCTTGTGCAGAAATCCGCCTAGCGTTGCGGGGGCAACATCAACCAGCTTCAATGAGGACTCCCATACGTGCAACCTCACCAACAAACCACCCCACACGACCCATTTACAATACATCCGACCCACAACCATGTCGTCGACCATTTGCCTCAACAAAAAGCCCGCCGAACTGGGAACCCCCAAGCCCGCGCGCACCCTCAAGCCCAAGTCCACCTCGAACGAGTGGGATAAAACGTACGCCCTCCCTTACCCCTTAATCTCCATTCCCGCTTGATACAGTTGCTGATCCGCCTGTCGCCGGCGCAGCTTCATCACCATCCTCATCGCCCTCATTGCGCTGATGGTCCTCCTCCTGGTCTCTGGCGGAACCGTCTTCCAGTGCAGCGATACCGTTTACACAGGCCATGGCCACCAACTGTACAAGCCCACCATCGTCGACCACAACGGCCAGGCTGCGTAAGGAATCTTTCTACTAAATGTTCACATCCACGTAACTGACACCCTGTAGGTTGAAGATTCCGGACCCCGCCTGCAATGTGCAGTGTACCAAGCTGAGATCCCCCGATTCTTGGCTCATCTGGTATGTTCTCTAGTCTTCGCGCGCTCGAAAAGTATTTCGGAAGCTGAATGGTGCACTGTTCATAGGGTGCTGGCTGTTTTCATGATGCTGGTGATGGTTGTTCGTGTGCTTACCGGATAACCTCGGGCTTGGTTTGGGTGGGCGGTACGTCGATAGTCAATACGATTCATCCGCTCTATTGTCTGTTGTCTTCCTTCCAATTAGGCTTCTGAATACTGAGGCGGTATAAGCTGTATGGCGTTGGGGAACGGGTCTAAAAGGTGGTCGGATATCTCCCAAGTGCGCAGCACGAGTGCCTCCCATTATGCGACCTGAAATCGTAGATCTACAGGGACAGTACTTGTGACAACATCGTCCTCCCTGTTAGATAGGCAACCACCGGACTGCCTCCTGAGTAGCGGCTCTGACGTGCTTGAATCGCGTACGCCTTGCCGCGGCCAGGGACGTCATGAATCATCCTCTCGATCGTCGCCCGGGCTCCCGTTTAGATGGTGACTCAACCGCGGATGTACCGCCTCAGATCCATGGCCGCTTCCATTGGTCTAGTGATGGCTGCGATTCGGCTTCACCGTGAATTACCGCCTATTCCTTTCCCTCGTTTCGGCTTTCCCGGGAAGGTGAAAACGTTGCCAGATCGCGCTCTGCGCCCCTTCATACCAGGTCACTAGCCTCTTCTTTTTGATATTCATTTAAACCCCCGTTGACAACCCGCTTTGATTGTGCCCCGTAGGAGCCCACGATAGATATTTCAAGTGAGGCGTCGGTAGTAAGTCAGCTTCCAAGAAAGACGTCACTCCGTGGCGGCCGCCAAGGAGGCTCGAGTCCCAGAGCGCTGAGCTCATGTTCGACACAGAGGCCAATCGAGTCTCGCGCTCTCGCTTCGATCTCTCCTCTGTATTTGCGACCTCTCCCAGCGTCGCGTCGAACATCTGCCCAAATAACGATGTCCAGACTTTGGATTGTCTCTCTTCTATGAATGCGATCGATTGCCGGTCATGGATATGGGTGAGTGGGTGTGTCTTCCTCAAGATCGTCGCTCGGTACTAAGATGAAGAAGTGCAACCGCGGAGATAGTAGGTGGAGCGATGCCGAGGATCAGCGCCCTGCTCAGGTAGGGAAGTAGGCATTTTCCACGAATTGCAAGAGTACCCGAGCCTCGAGACGGAGGATGTCGACGAGAACTTCGAGGTCATCGCCAGGAGGCACAAGGTCGATTACGAGGTATTTGTGCACAAGGCAGCACCATCCTTGGCGGCAAGAAGTTCTTCCAAAGCGACAAACAGGCAACACGGAACGCAACGCCGCGCTATTTAAGACAGTGAATAAATCAGCCAAGGCGGGTTTCTTGAGTTTCTGAGGGTACACGGAGGGTGTCAAGAAGGACTTCGAGGCCATCGTGAGGAGGCGCAAGATCGATTACCAAGACTTTGTGCACAGGGCAGCACTATCGTTGGCGGTAAGAGATGGAGTGTGTCGACGAGGAGTTTCTCGGGCGATGCCGAGGAACAAGGCCCTACATGGTAGGGAAGTAGGCATTTCCCCGAAAAGCGCGGGTACTCTAGACGGAGGGCGTCGACCTGGAGTTCGCAGTCATCCTGAGGAGCCGCAAGGTTAATTACGTGTGAATAGCGCAATGCGGGGTGGGAGGCCTGGATGTGCTGGATGAAGGATGTAATTTCTCGGACGCGCGGATACCAGTAGACATGATTACTTACATAGGTCACAGGAAATTCATGAATGGAAGGAAGTAATGCGAGAGTAAATGTGCTTATTTGCGACTTGATAGTAGCTCGATAATAGATTCTTTGAAAAACTCGCACTCGCACTGGCATAACGGAACGAAGATTTCGGTAGCAGGAAAGTAATCTATGGAAGTTGAAGAAAGTTACGTCGTCACAGCCTGGCGAACTCAAAGGTCAGGACACGTAATGTGGGAAAAGTAAAATAGGACACGCAATGACCATTCGCAATAGTCATTCGCAATAGATATCGCAATGGTACGCTCAATGGTCATGCGCAACGAAGGGAGGGAAAAAACTCGGGATTTTGGGAGGACAGGTGTCGTCCAGTATAGTACTGCTTTTCTTGTTTTATGGTCGTATATAAACTGTCTATATTGTCCGCTCTTTTGTTTCCCAACCAAGTAATCAGTCAATTCAATCTTTTATTTCCTTCTCTCTCGCTCCACCTCCCGTCCGTACGATCATACTTCCACACCGCCCAACGACAGAAGGAAGTAATGCGAAAAACAATAGACGTTTAGCACCTTGACACCCAGCAATTTTCTCCATCAGCCGGGTTTTTCGAGGCATTGAAGATGAGATTCTCGGGCCGGTTAGAGTAATCAGCATAGGCCTTATCAGACCGTCCACTATCCTCCTTTCTTTCCTTGTTCTCTGGGTTCGGTCAGCTATGAGCAGATGAAAAAGACGAGTAACGCGGAATCATGAGCTACTCACCCAGTTTCAGATCAAGATGACCGCAAGCGCGGCAGTGATAAGAGTGAGGGCGCCTAGGCGCCGGGGCGCGGGTGGCTCTTCGTCTTCATCTTCATCTTCCGACGTGTCGCTGGCGTCTCCCTGTTCTAGGGTGTCATCGGCTTCGTCATCGTCTTTGGACGTGTCCATGGCGTCTCCCTGGTTGATGGTGTTACCGTTTTCGACGATACATGTCGCTTCGTTGTTCTGCTCTTCGGTCGCCGTGGCATGCATTAGCACTCGCCTATGCACCACCGCAGCTGGGAGACTGCACTTACCTGACTCGTCCTCCTTTGGGTGGTCAGCTTGTTCAACGGCCCAGTGTCGTTCCCTCACCCACACCCAGTCGTCATCAGCCCCTAACATTCCGGCATTGCCACGATCGTCTTTAGGTACTTCCTTTTCGTACCTTGAGTACAGGGCGTCCTTGTAGACACCCTTAGGGTGATCAGGATACCAGTACCAATTGTACATCCTGGCGACTGAGTGCCAGCCATTCCCCAGGTCGTCCCTGAGGAAACGGATCATGCACAATTTTTCGTGCGTGTACGTTTCCCTCAGGGCGGCGACATGGGGTTCGACTGCTTCCTCGTCTTCCGACGTGGTGGAGGCCTCTCTTTGCTGCTGGGCGTCATCGGCTTCGACATCGTCCTTGCACGTGTCTATGACGTCTCCCTGTTCGCCGTCTTCAGCGACAGATTTAACTCCCTTGTTCTGATCTTCGGTCGCCGCGGCATTCATTAACAGTTGCTCATGCACCGCCGCAGCTGGAAGACTGCACTTACCTGGCGCATCCTTTATCGCGATGGAGTTAGAGTAAGATTTTGGAGGTGATTCATCAAAGTGATGTTGTTGGAGGATGATGGTTGAAGTGGTATGTTCGGGTGAAGGAGGGAGAGGTAGAAGAGAAAGACAGGAAGAAAGCAAACTGCAACCCGCTAGCGCATTGCAGATTGCTTGTGGGTAGTGACTGCTATTGCTTGAATAGGCCGCACAATGGCTTCTTTGGCTCTAGCGTAATACCACGTGGTGTAATCGATCTTTCTTCGTCCACTGGGCGAACATGCACTGCATCGGATGCAGCTGAGAATCTAGGTCTGCTAAGGACCTTCCGCCACAAAACGCACTCACAAGACCCGCGCTGCCCGATGCAACGTAGTCGAATCTCACCCAAGTCTACAGAATCGATATTGGCCCGGATTCTGAATCCTGATACGAGGAAGTAGGCTCAAAATCGGGGTCAACAAGTCATTAAAACGCGTTGGTCAAGGACAGGATAAAGATCGCCGCGGATTCTTTGTTATCAGTGTAAATAGCGCAATGCGGGGTAGGAGGCCAGTTGTCTCACATCAGACTTATTCCTATCGTAAATGACTGGCACCTCGTATCTCGGCGCTAGTCATTGCTTCATCCTGCTTTGGTAATCAAATATCATTGTCAGACACTCCATAAATCGTAATCCGTCACGTTTGGTGAACGGCGAGGGTTCGTTGCTTCCAGGCCTGACGACTGGTGGCATTCGCTGCCATGGCCTCTCTACTCGATCCGCGACTATTTTCCCACGCCAAATGACAACCACATTCGCGGCGAGTGAGAGACGATGAAACATGCTGCTTAGGTAATCAAATATCATTGTCAGCGACTCCACAAATCTTAATCCATCATGGTTCGCGAACGGCGAGGGTTCGTTGTTGCCTGGGTCTCATCACCAGTATACGGTACCCAGCATGCTGTAATGAGGAATTTCTCACGCTAGTTGACAACCACTTCCACGGCAAGAGAGAGACAAGGAAGCATGTTTCTTTGGTACTCAAATATCATTGCCAGCGACTCCATGCATCTTAATCTATCATGGTAGGTGGACGCCGAGGGTTCGTTTCTGCTAGGGGCCAGGGCCTCACGACTGCGTTCGCTCCCACGGCCTCTCTGCCTCACCACTGGAGTCGCTATCCTGGCCTCTCTGCCTTTGTACATACTACCGTTGGTTACTCGTGGCATGTTCCTTCGTCGGTAGATTCTTCACATAGGCCTTCTTACCTTCACCGATTTACAGCGGCATTTCATTCTCACCGGAACCGACTGCGACCCTATTGTGTTCATGCGAAATGTGAATAGATTAATAATATCGAAAGGAGAGTGTGTTATATGGACACTGGACACTGGAAACGCAGATACTAACGAAACTAGACTCTTGATGCTGAATTCACATCTAGGTTGTCCACCGCCGATCACTCGGACACCTGCGGCACCGCATATTTTTGGTGGGGTGACGAGACCCCCCCTGTCTGCGAGGTCTTAACTCAGACTTTGGTGCTGAAGTGAAAATGCTGTGCCCGGCGGAGCGAATTATGGTTGGGGGTTTGAACCGGCTGACTAAAGTCTGGTGCGAGACAAAATGGAAGGAAGTAATACGACAGCAAATGTTTTTTTTGCGATTTGATAGATGTATGTCGAGAATAGATTGTTTAAACTACTCGCACTGGTACTGGCATAACGGAACGAAGATTTCGGTAGCAGGAAAGTAATATATGGAAGGACGTGATGCGAAAGATAATAGACGTTTAGCACCTTGACACCCAGCAACTTTTCCATCTACCTAGGCCTTATCAGACCGTTCACTATCCTCCTCTCTTTCCTTGTTTTCTAGGTTCATTCAGCAATGAGCAGATGATAAAGACGAGTAACGCGGAATCATGAGCTACTCACCCAGTTTCAGATCACGATGACCGCAAGCGCGGCAGTGATAAGAGTGAGCGCGCCGGGGCACCGGGGGCGCCGGGGCACGGGTGGTAACCTCAATCCACCCACAGTGCTGTTTGACTTCTTCGGTTTCCTCGGTTCGGTCAGCCACCAGCAGAGCAAAAAGTCGACTAATGCGGAATCATGTGATACTCACCGAGTTTGAGTTAATGACTGCAAACGCAGCGGCGGTTGGCGGTGGGTACCGCTTTCTTGTACTGCGAGCACAGTGCGTCCTTGCAGATACCCATGGCATGATCAGGTTACTAGTACTCGTTGTACATCCTGGCGACTGAGCGCCAGTCGCTCTCCAGATCGTCCCTGAGGAAACGTATCATGCACAATCTCTCGTGCGTGTACGTTTCCCTCTGGGCGACCGGGGGTTTGGCTTCTGCTTCGTCTTCCGACGTGTCGGCGCCGTCTGGCGTAACTGAGGGGCAGTTGCCCGGGGTTCCTGACAAGTGTAAACGTGTAAAAGTCATGCTCGCCTGGCGAATTCCTCCTCGCGCGAACAGGAGCTCGAGCAGTGAAAATGTTCAGTCCATCGGATCTGAAGCCGCACCAGGCGTAGATGCGACTGGTTGGGCTGGGACGGCGGTGAAGGAGGGGATTCATGATTGTGATGTTGCTGGAGGATGATAGTTGAAGTGGTATGTTTGGGTGAAGGAGGGAGAGGTAGATGAGAAAGAGAGGAAGAAAGCAAGCTGCAACCCGCTAGCGTATTGAAGCTTGCAAGCCCCCACCACAAGCTTTTGTGGGCAGTGACTGCTATTTCTTGAATGGTCCGCACAATGGCTTCTTTGGAGCTAGCGTAATACCACGTGATGTGATCGATCTTTGTTCGTCCACCACGCGAACATAGACTGCATCGGATACGGCTGGAAAGCAAACTGAACCCTGCCAAGGACCGTCGGCCACGAAATACAATCATGAGACCCACATTCCTCGATACGACGGAGAGGAATCTTACCCACGACTATAGAATCAATATGGGCCGATTTTGATAAGAGGGAGTATGTAATTGTAGGCTCAACATCGCCGTCAACAACGTTATTGACACGCGTGGGTCAACGACAGGATACAGATCGCCGCGGATTTTGATTTCGAGTCCATCGTGGGGAGTCGCAAGGTCGATGACGAGGTCTCTGTGCACAAGAAAGAGACGCCGCATTTTCATCAACGCCATACGTGGGGCGAAGCCCGGGATCAGGCCCTGCTCAGGTAGGCATGTAGGCATTTGCCCGGATGGCGAGGGCACCGGAGATGCGGTGTCGACGGGAATCTCGCAATCACCAGGAGGAGGTTCAAGGTCGATTGCAGGTCGCTCGCTCCCGTTGCTCCGATCATCCATTACTCGACCACCTACCGCAACTACATGTTGATATTATGCGCCTTATGGTCTAGTCCGGAGTCACTGCTACTTTCCACTATGCTTTACTAATTTTCACAGTTTTTGCATACTACCCTCATTTCCTTTGCGGCTGCTTGCCAATATCTGTGGCTTCTCATTCGAATCCGCCTCGTTGGGTAAAAGCCTTCACGCCACCAGCCCAGTCCGGCGACGAGTATACGGCGACTAGTATCGTCGCATCCTCTGTCTGAGGCCCAGCCGTCTTCTCGTCTACACGAGATCAGTTCCGTTTATAAGTAGTTTTCTGTCTCTTCTTTCTTGTTTCAGTACATCAATGAAATCAAGTTCTTCTCTCAATTTCAACACTAGACCCCTAAAAGACGAATCTGTCCAATTACGCTACGCTGGGGACGGATGCACATTCCGCACGCCTGCATGATTTGTTCGTAAGTGCAGACTATAGACAAGAAAGAGACGTCTGGTTTTCATCGAGATACGTGGGGAAATGCCGAGGATCAGGGCCCTACTAAGTTGGGGAAGTAGGCATATGCCCGAATAGTGCGGGTACCCGAGACATAGTGTGTCGACGAGGAGTCCACGCCCATCGTGACGAGGGGCAAGATTAAGTACGAGGTTGGGCGTCTCTCTGCAAAAGATCGCATCATCCTTGACGTCAGGGGAGGTCAGGAAGAAAAAACCTCCGATGGGTGCGGGTAGGTGTTTCTACTGCCTGAACTACACATGGCGCCACATGGTCATTAAGTAGGCACGGTGCCATGTGACTACAGTTGTCCATGGCGAACAAAAGCTCGCCAGGTGTGATCGCCGTTAGCCAGGTGCTGCACACAGCGGAACACTCTGACTAGATAGGCACGGTGCCTGGATTGATAGCAGTTCATGAGTGATCGCAAACGACCCCACATGGTATTACGCTAGCGCCAAAGAAGTCATTGTGCGGCCCATTCAAGAAATAGCAGTCACTGCCCACAAGGACTTGTGGTGGGCGCTTGCCATCTTCAATGCGCTAGCGGGCTACAGCTTGGTTTCTTCCTCTCTTTCTCATCTACCTCTCATTCCATCACCCGTACATACTACTTCAACTATCCTCCAAGAACATCATTTTGATGAATCTCCTCCAAGTCATCCTGTTATTCCATCATTATAATGCATCAAGCTTCAAAACATCCTTCCGCAACTCACACACCACCGATCGAACCCCCGGCCGCCCTAAGGAAAAGCTACACGCACGAGAAAATGTGCGTGTTGCGTTTCCTCAGCGAAGATCTGGGCAAGGACTGGCGTTCAGTCGCGCGGAAGTATAACGGGTGTTGATATCCCAATCATCCGAAGGGTGTCTGCAAAGACGCCCTGTACTCAAGGTACAAAAAGGAAGTACCTAAAGATGATCGTGGCAACGCCGGCATCTGCTTGACCGACGACGACTGGGTGTGGATCAGGGAACTATACTGCACTGCTGCGCAAACCGACAACTCAATAGACAAGCCAGGTAAGTGCAGTCTTCAAGCTGCCGTGGTGCATGGACGAGTCCTAATGTATGCAGCGGCGACCGAAGAGCAGAACAACGAAGCGCCATGTGTCGCCGAAGACGAACAGGGAGACGCCATGGACACGTCCGAAGATGAAGATGAAGATGAAGATGAGGACGAAGACGGAACACCATCACCCTGAGGGAAAGCGACACCTACGAGAAATTGTGCGTGATGCGTTTCCTCAGGGACGATCTGGGGAACGATTAAGCCGCAGTGGCCAAAATGTACAACGAGTACTGGTATCCTGAGCACGCTACGAATATATGCAAGGACGCACTGCCCTCGCGGCACAAGAAAGCGGTACCCAGCACCATTCGCCTCTACGTTTGCAGTCATCATCTCAAACTCGGTGAGTAGCTCATGATTCCGTGTTACTCGTAATTTTCATCTGCTCATAGCTGACCGAAGGTAGAAAACAAGGAAAGAAGGAGGATAGTGGACGGTCTGATAAGGCTTAGGTAGATGGAAAGCGTTACTGGGTATCAAGGAGCTAAAGGTGTATTGTCTTTCGCATTACTTCGTTCTGTTATGCTGGTGCGAGTGCGAGTAGTTTAGCGGATCTACTCTTGAACTACTTTCAAGGTCCAGAAAAACATTTGGTTTAGCATTACTTCCGTCGACTGAAAACTTTCTTGTTATTCAAGTATGTCTACATCGTACAGTGTGTCAACACGGATTTAGTGGGGTGATGCCGAGGATCAACGCCATACATGGTAGGAGAGTTGACAATTCCCCGAGAAGCGCGGGTACTCGAGACATAGGGCGTCGACCCGGATTTTTCGGTCATCATGAGGAGCCGCAGGATCGACGACGAGCTTGCCTGTCTTTGTGCACCAGATGGCACCATCCGTGACGGCAGAAAAAGACAACCGCGATGAGTGCGGGGAGCCGTTTCTACTGCCTAGGCCCTGAACGCCACGTGGCACCACACAGTCATTGAATAGGAGAAGTGCCACGGCACCGCAGTTGTCCATGCCTGACCGAAGCTCTCAAGGTGTGATCACAGTTAGCAAGGTGCAGCACACAGCGGAACACTCTGACTAGATAAGCATGGTGCCTGGATTGAATGCAGTCGGTGAGTGTTCGCAGCCGACGAGCCCACGTGGTATTACCCTAGGGTCAAAGAAGCCATTGTACGGCCCATTAAAGAAATAGCAGTCACTGCCCACAAAGAGTTATTGTGAGAACTTGCAATTTTCAATGCGCTACCAGGTTGCAGTTTCTTTTCTTCCTCTCATTCTCGTCTACCTCTCCATCCTTCACCCGTACATACCACTTCAACTATCATCCTCCAACAACATCACTTTGATAAATCCCCTCAATAATCATTCTTTAACTCCATCATTATAATGTATCAAGCTTCAGAACAACATCCCGCAACATCTGTCGCCGGCCACTGAAAGGCCAACTACGTCTCCCACCAGCTCCCAACTCTCGCTCACGATGAACCTGCCGGTCATTCCCCGCGTCTCTACCGGTGAGCTCTCCAAGAAAAAGCGCAAGCCGATCGCCGCCGTCGGCTCCGACAACAAACCGAAGAAGACGAAGACCGTGAACGATGACAATAATGCACCTTCCTTTCCCCCCCACCACCTCCTCACATTTCTACCTTCCTACTCTACTTCCCCACACCTCTACCTCCCCACCTACCCCATCTAACATCCGAGAATTATAAAAACCCGACGCGTTGCACCAATTTCATTCGTCTTCGCTTGCAGCTACTCAATACACCAATGACTAACGATACCCCCTCCACAATTCTCTTCCCCAGCTCCCAGGCCTCTTTCACGATGCACCTGCCGACCATCCCCCCGTCTCTACCGGTGAGGCGTCCAAGAAAAATCGCAAGTCGACCGCCGCCGCCTCCGAAAATAAATCAAAGAAGACGAAGACCGCGAACGATAACGACAATGCACCTGCGACTCCCGGCCCGAGTACTGCGACTGCCGCACCGAGTACTGCGACTGTCGGATCGAGTACTGCGACGCCAGGCCCGAGTAATGTGTGACTGCAGGCACATGCGCCTCGGCACCGACGCACCCTCGCGGCCTTCACCGCCGCGTTTCGCCTCCTCGTGACTAACTCGGTCAGTAGCTCATGATTCCGCATTGCTCGCATTGTACCACTGCCCGTGGCTGACCAAGCCTAGGAAACCGAAGAGGTCAAGGAGCACACTGGGTGGCCTATGCTTGCCACCCGGGCCACGGTGCCCCGGCGCCGAGGTGCCCTCACGGCTATTACGGCCGGTTTTCGCGTCGTCGTTACAAACTCGGTGTGTAGGACATGATTCCGCGTTGCTTGTCTTCTTCCTTTGATCATAGCTGACCGAACGTAGGAAACAAGGCATGAAAGAAGGATAGGGGACGGTCTGATAAGGCCAGGGTAGATGGAAAACGTTGCTGGGTGTCAAGGTGCTAAACGTCTATTGTCTTTCGCATTACTTCGTTCCGTTATGCCGGTGCGAGTACGAGTAGGTTAGAGAATTTACTATTGAGCTTCTTTCAAGGTCCAAAAAAAATATTTGGTCTCGCATTACTTCCGTCCATTGATTAGTTGCCTGGTATCTAAGGATGTATACATCGGAGAGTGTGTCAACGAGGAGCTTGCGGCCACCTTGAGGAGGTACAACATATAATGCAGAAACCGAGATCTTTGCGCTCACGACGACACCATTTGTGCCTGCAAGAGCATCAAACAAAGCGACGGCCAAGCACAACAGAAGGCAGCGATGAACTGTTTGGGGGAGGGAAGAGAGGGATTACAATCGAGGATTTGGAACAAGTTGGGCAAGAAAAACAGAGGTGGTCTTGATGATGAGGAGCAGAAAACTCCACTCGAATCCCGATACGGCGGAGGAACTAGTAGATGGTGAATTAGTTAATGCGATACTGTTGCTCATGTCCACCAGCTAAGGCTTTGGGATATTATCACGATGGTTCATGTTGTAGAGATGGTGTTCATTAAGAGGCGGAAACGAGTAGGCAAGGCAGTGAAGGGGAAAACATTTGACGTTGCGGGGAAAGAGGATCGGAAATTAGGGATGTGACAAACTCACCTTGCCTCGTTTCAATAATCCTCTATAGCACCCCACCGATCTACATTCCCACAGCACCGTGCTTCATTCCCACGTAGGATCTGCAGATCAAAACCACTAGATATCACGCCCGTATGAGAACAGAAGATCAAGATGTTTCAATGTATGCCAGAAGTCGAACGAAGAGCAGTTGCGTGGAAGACAGTCATCTCACCGATTTGCCCCTAATTCCACAATCCAGCTGAGCTTTGAAACTACGGCGGTCGAAATTGAGCAAATAGTCCCCTGTTTTGCGTTGTGCATTGCACATTTAACATTTGACATTTCGCTTCTGGCCTTTGACTTTTGGCGACACGGCTTCTTGAAACCGACCGTTTTGCAACACAGCGCTGGTCGCCCCCTCCCCCCCCTCCCGCCCCACCACCACCACCACAACAGAGCACCCACCGAGGCGGAAAGAGGGCGAAAGAAAAAGAGAAAAAAAGAGAGAGCAGAAAGGAGCGAAAACGCGAGCGAAAATTGTGAGAGGATAGTCAGGTGACAGCAGGCCGCCGAGCGAGAAGTCGGGAGGTGGACTACAAAGTCGCAGGACTGTGCCAGGGCGCTCACGCCGCCGGGCGAGAGGATTAGAGGGTACTACAAGGCGGTAGAGCTGTGGGAGGTCGCAGGACTGTGGCAGGGTGCTCCTACAGCTGGGTAAGACGAGGTGGCAGGACTGTGGCAGGGCGAGATTATGTGCGTGGACTACGAGGCCGCTGGACTGTCGCAGGGCAGTCCCGGCACCCAGCGAGACGTTAAGGGGGGGGGAGACCTATCTCAGTGACGAGTCATTCCATCTTAATGACTAGTCACTAATTGTGCGCATAGCAAGTCAGTATGTTTCATGACTTAGGCATAAATTCCACTCATCTGGCCTGTGCTGATCATACCGTGCGACTGGAGACAAATCAGACAGATATGAGATGCAAACAAATCACCAGCAAAACTCTTTTGATGATCATATTACGATATCGTGGGGTTCTCTCTTATCTACCCCACTCATCCAGTCATGCCCCAGTCGTCCACCAAAGCCGGCATCACCCTCGGTGACGCGCCATGTGCAGGTTCTTCCCACTAGTCATCCACACAAGCCGAAATTCGCCACGGAAGCCAGTTGTCGTCATATACTTCACTACTGAGCAGCAACCTCAAGGGAAGAAGGTAGAGAGAGAAGAGGGTTGATAGGAAGCGCAAAGGGATAGGAAAAGAAAGAAAGGGACAGTGGGGTGAAACGATGTAAGGTGCGTTCCAGCCTAGGCTGATAATACTCTGTTGCGGCCCGTAAGGCCTTGGTTGTCGGAGCGGCGTGTTTGATCGAGTGAGTTTTGTGCACGACTCACGAGGAAGGTTTCAGTTCGTCTGGGACGACTATAAGTACAACTAGAGCTTCAGCTTGCATAATAAGAACTACATCTTCTTCTTCTTCCGACTGCCTTCGAATCGGATCCCCTCGCGTGCGCCCCAAACCTCCAGATCGTGCATCAACAGGTTATTAGCCCTCTGCTTCCCTAGGGAATTCATCAATTAAGTCAACAACTACCCCATATTTTACTAACAGTCGTCCAAATGGAGCGAGTTGTGTTGAAAGAACACAAATACACCGAGTAGGAGGAATACATCAGGGACGAGCTCCTCGCCCGCGCCCTTTAAGGGATCGTTCAGGGCACCACGAAGCCACCCCGGAAGCCTACACCAACCTCAAAGACGAAGACCGAAGCCGCTACTGACACCGAACAGATCGACAACGAGGAGACACCGGAATCTACAGACCCCAGCTACATGAGCGATTTCCGTCGCTACCTCATCCAGCGCGACACGTACAAGGACAAGATTGGCCTGGCCACAGCGGAGATTCGACGTTCCCTGGACCCCTCTGTGCGGAGGCGGTATGCAGACAAGAAGTACATGTCAGCACCAGACATTCTCTAGGCGGACATCGAGAAGGACTTCGACCGGGTGGCCAAGATCGACGCCAACGTTGGTCTCTACAAGCTGAACGCTATCCGCAGGGCCGACGTTGATAGCGCGGCTGCTTACCACTCTCGAATTCTGGAGGTAGCTAAAGAGTTGCGCAACGTGGGCACCGTGCTGCCGGAGACGGTTTTAGCGTTCTACATGGTCCAAGGACTCCCGACGGGTGATGTGTGGCTTGATTTTCGAACACGTCTCAACTCAAGTCACAGTGCCGGAAGCTGCCAGAAGATTTTAGACCAGCTCCAGATCTTCGAGCGCTTATATGCGTGGGACCGTCATGATTTATTTGCAATGTACCAACACCGAGTTGTCGACCGCCCTCTTTGCGAAGAAGGGTATGGCCAAGAAGAAGGATGGAGCTTCCGGGGGATATCAGGATAAAGATTCTAAGGCCATCTAGTGCTACGGTGGCAGCAAGAAGGGACACATAAACTCAGCAAGAAGGGACACATGAAGTTCGAGTGCCGGTCAAAGCAACTCTGGAAGGAGAACTCTGACTCGAAAGACAAGGAGAATAAAGAGTCAAGCAAAGAAAATGTCGTGAATGATCAGGCAGCGTCAAGCGCAGGAATCGGTTTCTTGCTTCTCTCTCGAGAAGACGGGGACTCAGAACCACTTACTCTTCGACCGAAGGTTGATGAAGTTTGCGAGACTGTTATTACCGATCGTTGCGCGACACCCACCGATTGGGTGGTGGATTCGGGGGCAACGAGCCACTGCACTGGAATGGATCACAATTGGATTCGGTACCGCGCGATCGCTCCGGGGGAGCACGCAGTGATCTTTGCGGATGAGATCAAGGTCAGCGCAGCTGGGATCGGTGATATCAGGCTGTTACTGCCATGTGGAACAAACTTCGAACCGCGCCATACTCCGCAATGTACAGCATGTTTCTGCTTGCGGCAAGAACAACCTCATGAGAGTCTACCAGATCCTGACGGTTGGAGTCAAGGTGGACTACAACTTTGACGGCAGGGTCACCCTCTTCACCAAACAGGATCGGAACATCGTTGGAATCGGTCCTATACCGGGCAAGTCGTTCTACATGATTGCTGACCATGCGGCTACGTACCATGTTGTAACACCGGGGTGGTTCACAGTTGGCACGCTCACAGCAGCGGGCAAGGACAGTCTACTGATCAGAAGAGAACAGCACTTGTACAATGGCGGTGAAGTGAATGTGGAGGCCCAACTGATTCGCACGGCGGCTTGTTCTTGGAAACAACTGAGAAGGGTTGATGATCGGCTAATCACGAATAGGGAGAGAGAGTAAATCCAAGAGTAACAAAGTCTGATTGTTATGGCTTAACTCCCTGTGATGGTAGTCGATGCCTTCTCTGCGGCGGAAAGTCGTCGGTCTTTATACCGACACGACTCACCACGCCTGATGTCTAACTATGAGCGCTCGGGAGAGTATTACCTCAATAATACACAAGAGTATCTCGCACGAGATGTGGGCGATGGCTCTAGGCACTGGGTCTTCGGGTACCGAACCCTTGTGTATCTTGGATTTTGGTGTTTCCGAGCTGAACTCGTATGCACCCTTGAGTTGGTCGGCGACTACAAACGACGGAGCCGCAGCCTATTGGCTCGATTACTTCCGTGTCTTTCCGGTGACTACTATCTCGCAGATAGAATCCGTCTTCTTATTGTTTATGACGTGTCTCAAGCGCCGGAGCAATAGCGGGAATTTCTCGGTAGAAGGGTGCCGCTGCGGTGGCCTCCTCTTGTTGAGGCAGGTCTGAAGCCTGGGTGTTTGCGGCCATGACGATTCGCTAGGTGAAGAGGTAGAGACGCAACAAAGTGTAACGGCACGGTTGGGCTGGGCTCCAGGTACCGAAGACGGGTGGACGGGTGGACAGGAACTGGGGTGGGCAAGGGCAAGACGGGTCGGGAAGATGAGGTAAGATGGGACTCAGTGCAGACGGCAACTGAGAAACAAGGGCGGAGAGAGGAAATGCGGCGCAGACGGCAGCCGAGGCAAGGACAGAGGTCACAATTGTTTCATTAACAAGTTGTTGCGTGAAGAACTAAGTACAGAGTGTAATAAAGTACACTGGCAAAGTACTATACCACACGACCCAAAGGTATTTTGATGGCTGAACGCCATCATCCCAGTAGCTACTTAAGGCAAGGATTTGTGAACCGTGACATAGGCACTACGTTGCAGTTGACTGTACAGTATTGTGAGCGGAAGGTGGAGGTGCGGGAGCTGCACTGGATGGCCACATCGTGGAGGTCCATCCAAGGGATTCCGAGGAGAACGGGGGTAGTGGCCTAGTTTGGTGACAAACATAGTCATTTTCTCATGGTGTTCCTGTGAATGTAATAAAGTACACTGGGAAAGTACTATACCGCTAGAATAAAAGGTATTTGGATCGCCGAAGGCCATCATCCCTGTAGCTACTTGAGGGAAGGATTTCTGAACCGTGATAGTGAGATTGCAACGGTTTCACAACGTCAAAGTCTTGATAGATATCGGTTATGGAATACAAGTCAGGGAATCTGATGATTCACAGCGAAACAATTTTAACGGTTATTGCCGCGAGTGTTCGGTGTCCTGGTGGTGCTGGTGTTTGGGATTTCCGTGGTGATAGTCGAGTGACTATATAGTCTCCTCATACACCAAGCACGTTGTCGGAAAAACTCTGTCGTGGGAAACTCTTTTGCAAACGCGGTCTGGGTCATGCGCTGTCGTAAGCGCTTCGAAGAGTCACCCACTGAGTGTAGGCAATACAGTCGCTGTAAGATGACGCAGGGATAGTGGTTTCGACTAGGCGAGAAGTGCTTACTACTTCCTACCCGAGCGTGGCTCCGAGTAAGCAGTACACATCTTTATGTCGGCACTGAGAACTTGCCCGGTTCTACACGCTTCAATTCGTCCATACATTGGTACTCGCGCGTTCTAACAGGTTCCATGATCGGCGTGTCTTTCTACGGGGTTCCATGATGCACCGCCTCAGGCCATCTCGGCCGTATCGGACTTTACCGTGCATCGCCTGTGTCGCCGATCACTGCTTAGACTCTGGATCCCCTTTGCTCACTCCTCCCTCACTCGTCTCTATGCTATGACTATGTATTCATGTGTTCCAATCCTTCTGAAACCAACCGCTCTTGCTGTGACTACCCGAAAGTCTATTGGGGTGTCACAAGAGTACACATTTCACATACTTCATTTTCATTGTAAGAGTAACTCTCGATAAGGTCTTTCATTACAGTGGTGCGTAGGTGGGTAAGCCGTTTGTACCATCGTTTGGATTCAGCGATGGGTAGCGATGTCATCGCTTGTTGATCAGGCACCGACGCGCTCAGTAGAGCGTGAGAAGTGATCTGTGCGTCAACGTGGTACTGTCTGCCGTTACGGTGGCCGCCTGTCAAGGTAGATTATGATCCAGGTGAGGTGATAGTGCAGTAGCCGTTGACGAAGAGCGTACTGTGTCCTCGAGAGTCGAACTCTCCGACCGAGAACAGCGAGATACGAATGGTAGGTGTATGAAGTGCCTCAATTGGGTGATTTTGGACTAGTAGGGAGCCGTAGTGGGTGGCAAGAATGCAAGAATCATCGCTGAGTTTGATTTCGATCGGGTTCATTAGGCGGTTGTAGGAGGTAAACATATTAGGGCTGCCGTTGTAGATATCTTGTGAGGCGCCGAAGTCGAGTATCCACTTAGAGGGTGCTATTACGATGGCCAGAGCGAAATAGCCTACTCTGGCCGAGTTGAATTGGTCGGCTAGTCAATCGAAATTTTCTGGGTTGCTGGCGAGGTTCTCCCAATTGCGGGCCGCGCGTAGGGCCCTGGCTGGTTCTCTGCTCTTCCAGTGCTGGAGTGCCCGTACTCATAGGCTGCAGTCTCTCATCGTGTGGACAGCCTTGAGGCAGTGAAAGCTGACGATGCTATTAGTCCGTGCGTGTTTGCGGGTCTTGTTTCTTCCGCAATCTTCCGTGGTGTGGTTTTCCATATTGCAGTTAGTGTAATTTTATGTCTTACGCTGCGATTGCCTCTGTTTTCCACCTTTTCCAGATTTGGAATAGGCTTCGTTGCCGGATGTCGCACCGAGGTTTGCGTCGCCTAGGCTTTTCTCTTGCACTTCATCCTGCTCATCCTCCGTGAGAGCAGTACTTATCGTTGCTCTGGTGACTTCTGGCGTGCGCTTCAGGTAAGCAATAGTGTGTTTGAAGGTGGTAGGTACGGTGAGAAAGATATGGTTTCGTAGGGCTTGGTCTGTTATTGCTTCGGTGGAGGCAGCGAGTTGTGTAAAGAAGGATTGGAGGCGTGCGATGTACGATTTCATACTCTCTCCGGCGACCGGGCGGGAGTCTTGGAATTGGTTAGCGATGCTAACTCTCCCCATATAGGATAAGGTAGAATCTAAATGATCCCGTAGAGTCTTCCACATCTCTGATGGGGATCTAAGCTCTTCGATGAATACTGCTACTGCATCGCTGCAGGAGAAGCGCATTGCTTTGGCATCGTTTGCCTGTCGCTTGCGGTAATTGACCTGGGCAGCTCTGGCTGCTACGGAGTTGCCGGCCGGAGGTTGCTCTTCTTCTTCACCGGCAACGATTTCCAGTGCATCCATGGCAGTCAGAACCAGCGACAGGTCATTCTTCCACTTTGGGTAATTTAATTCGGTGAGCTTGTTGATGGTACCCCACTTGGAAGCGTAGACAGTCTTATCGGTTGCCATTTTGGTTTTTCGATGGTGATTGTGGTCGAGCGGATTTGTGCGAGTGTATTTTCTTTGGAGGTGAGGCGCTATGCCGGGCTCATAACCTGTTGTGAATAGTGACTGAATGGATGAAGTACAGTATCTCTAGTGTGTCTAGAGGAGGGAGGCTGTAGCCTCGAGTATAGGAAAGGGGCGGAGGCCCGAGCCTGAGCCCGCGATGATAACGAGTGAGATATTACAACACGTGTGCTGGTGGGCGGTAGTGAGTGAGTTCCAATGATGCGTCTCACTGCTGATATCATCGAGGGTGATCCGGCACGGCCACCTCCTGTATCCCAACGACAGCCACAGGATCCTCTCGCATATGTCGGCAGAGATAGGACGAGTATTTAGTAGCGCTGAACTCGTGGTGACTCACCGCCGGTATGGTTTAAGGCCTGAGAGCATTGAGGCCAGCGAATGTTTGTGATTTGGCATACTTCCGCCACTGTGGACCTGTCTTCTTAGTAGAGTAGCTTTACATTTCATGTAGTGTCTTTTCCTCCTATACTCTGCTATCTTTCTTTCTTGAGAGCGCTGCCGGCGTGGGCCTGTTTTCTATTTCATCATGCGAGAGAGAGAGAACTTCAAGTTTGTCGTATGTGGCCTAACTAGACTTTGGCGACCATCAACTTCCAAACCTTTCCTTTCCTGCCAGCTCCGCAGGGTCGAGAGAACAGAACATCAAATGTTGTCTCATGCGGCCTTGCTAGACTATGACGACCAGCACCATCCCAACCTTTCCTTTCTTGCCACCTGCGCGGGGTCAAGAGAAAGCTCTAGTTTCTACCACCACGGACCGTTGCTCCGCCGCGACCTACTATCATTGTTTCCTATCTATTGTTGTGGTGTTAACCTATAAACTCTAGGATCCAGCCCGCCCAGCCCAACTTATAGCCTGGGCTGAGCTGCGAGCGCATCGGCTCCAGCCGAGGCCATCAGATCAATCATCAGCCCACCAGCTCCAGCCCAGCCCATGGATTTTGCGGGGTGTTGCCTGCATTGGTAGGCTCAACATCGTGGTCTACAACGTCATTGACACGCGTGGGTCAACAACAGGATGCAGATTGCCGCGGATTCTCTTTTATAAGTGTCAATAGGGCGATGCGGAATTTGACGTCAGGATATGCTGGATGGGTGATGAAATGTGTCGCACACGCGGATACAAGTAGAAATAATTACTTGTATAACAGGAAAGAAATCACTGGAAGGAAGTCATGCGAGAGGAAATGTTTTTTTTGCGCTTTGATAGTATCTCAATAATCGATCCTCTAAACTACTCGTACTCCTGTTGGCATAACACCACGAAGATTTCGGTAGCAGGAAAGTAATCTATGAAAGGAAGTAATGTGAAAGACAATAGACGTTCAGCACCTTGACACCCGGCAACATTTTCCATCTACCTATGTCTTATCAGACCGTCCACCATCCTGATTTCGTTCCTTGTTTCCTAGGATCAGTCAGCCACCAGCAGAAGAAAAGACGACGACTAATGCAGAATGATGAGCTACTGACCGAGTGTGAGATTATGACCGCAAATGAAGCAGCAGTCATGAGAGTGAGGGCACCGCGGCGCGGATGGCTCTTCGTCTTCGTCATCGTCTTTGGACGTGTCCATGGCGTCTCCCTGTTCGAGGGTGTGACCGTCTTCGACGCCACATGTCGCTTCGTTATTCTTCTCTTAGGTCGCCGCAGAATGCGTTAGCAGTCGCCCATACACCGCCACAGCTGATGATTGCACTTACCTGACTTGTCCTTTGGAGGGTCAGCTCCTTCAATCGCCCAGTGGCGCTCGCTCACCCACACCTAGTCCGCAGGTGCCTGCAGACTCGTGGCTAGGGTCGCAGTACTCGGTCCGGCAGTCGCAGTACTCGGTCCGGCAGTCGCAGTACTCGGTCCGGCAGTCGCAGTATTCGGTCCGGCAGCCACTTACTCGGACCTGCAGTCGCATTACTCAAGCCGGCAGTCGCATTACTCGGGCGTGGAGTCGCAGGTGCATTGTTGTCGTCGTTCGCGGTCTTCGTCTTCTTTGGTTTATTGTCGGAGCCGGCGGCGGCGATCGACTTGCGCTTTTTCTTCGAGGGCTCACCGGTAGAGACGGCTTGATGCATTATAACGATGGAGTGAAAGAATGATTTTGGAGGTGCTTCATCAAAGTGATGTTGTTGGAGGATGATAGTTGAAGTCATATGTTCGGGTGAAGGAGGGAGAGGGAGAAGAGAAAGAAAGGAAACCAAGCTGCAAGCGCCCACAACACGTTATTGTGGGTAGTGACTGCTTTTCCTGAATGGTCCGCACAGTAGCTTCTTTGTCGCTCGCGTAATACCACTTGGTGTAATCGATCTTTCCTCGTCCGGAACGCAACACACACTGCATCGGATGCGGCTAGAAAGAAAACTTTGACAAGGACCGTCCGCCATGAAACGCACTCACGAGACCCGCGTTGCTCGATGCGACGGAGAGCAGAGAGAGATATCTTCCTGTTTTTTTTTGCATCCAGCCTATCTATACTACGGAAAACAAACGAACGCCTTCTCCTGCCCGGCTTGGCCAGTCGGATGCGGCGCCACACTTCCTCTGCCCATCCGCCTCGGGCTGACACAAGCGAAAAGTAGATTGACAGTGAAGACCGCTGTGGACCTACATGCCCGCTCCTCCTGCTGCCCCCTAGCGACTCTCCCCCGTGTTCCGCCTTTACCTCTCCAAACGATATCACCGCGTATCCTCATCTCCTACCTCTTGAAATCTTACGCACGACTATAGAATTCATCTGGGCACAAATAATGAGACGAGGAAGTAGGCGCCAGTGTAGGCAACAGCCCAGCCCAAGCAGAGCCAGTCCGCAGCCCGGCGAGTGTAGCCCAGGCCGGGCTGGTGGGCCGTGGCGAGGGAGTTTAAATGATGCGTCTTACTTCTAATACCGTCGAGGATGGTGGATGCGGCACGGCCACAATCTGTATCCCAACAATAACAGCGACAAAATCACCTCCCGCATGTGTTAGCACAGGAACGATGCGTGTTTAGTAGCTCAAAACGCATGGCGACGGGCCGCCGGTAAGGGTTGAAGCCGGAGATCATTGAGGCCTACGAACATTTGCGGCATTGGCATGCGTCCGCAACTGTAGACCTGTCTTCTTTGTGGAGTAGCTTTAAATTTCATGTACTGTTATTTTCTCCGTGTTGTCTCCTGTCTTTCTTTCTTGAGGGCGCTGCCAGCGTGGGGCTGTTTCGTAGTGTCTATTATGAGAGAGAGAACAGAACATCAATTATTGTCGCATGCGGCCTTACTAGACTATGGCGACCACCAACTTCCAAGCCTTTGCTTTCCTGTTAGCTCCGCGGGGTCGAGAGAAAGCTCTGCTACCACGGCCCGTTACTACGCCACTGCCTACTGGTACCAACGTTGTTTGCTATCTATTGTCGTGGTGTTACCCTACCAATTTTAGGATCCAGCCCGCCCAGCCCACCTGATAGCGCGGGCTGGACTACCAGCTGATTGGCATCAGCCTGGGCTACCAAAACAGCCCACCAGCCCCAGCCCAGCCGATGGGCTTTGCGGGATGTTGCCCGCACTGCCATAAAGGCCGCATGGATGACTTACTACATAGCGTGGTAGACAAAGGAGTATCGATGCAAGTCGTGTGTAGGAAGGACGGACCTCTGTTTCTGAATAGCTGGCTTCTTGCACTCTCCGTAGCAATGTGTTGACTCGGTTTGCAGGGCGGTCGAGAAGGCGGCTAGGCGCAGACGACCTGATAAAGAGGAGGAGAGAATATCAGTGGTGGGCGGCATGATGCTTCCCCGCGCGCGTGTCTTTGGATGGAATCATGCAATGACCATCGCACAGAGCGACAGCATCGCTCTCGCCCAAGGCATGTTTTGCAGGCTGGACCTCACGCCGATAGCTACATCGTCGCTGTCAGAATATGGGACGTCCGGAGATGACGATGTCCCTAGTACTCCAAGGGAGTATCCGGCATTCCCAGCACGGGTGACGGAGAATGGACCTACTGAAGGGATGGATGCAGGGATTTCCTGATCTATGAAGCTTGTATATAGAGAGAGCTCCCTGCTCCCGATGTTCCTTTTGTATCGACTACTATTGTCATGTTTATCTACCTCTTATATTCAACACTCGAATTCTCCCCGATTACCCTAACGGAATGAAGATTGACCGCAACTGCCCCGATGAAAGCTGTTCCTACGGCGGTGACCAAGTGTGTCTGTCTAAGATTCGGATTCCACTCTGATCACCTTCCCCTGCGTCTGCGTCTGCAATCGGTTGAGAGGGCGATTCACCTCATTGATGACGGCGTGCATGAAAAGTTCCACGAGCGCGACGTGCTGCTCGCGATTGCTCTCGTTCCAGCTACTGTCATTCGCTACAAAGGTTTTATGCTACGCACTAAGCAAGCCCCGTTTCCCCGTCACATTCTCCACAACCCCACAAGCCCCACAATCCCACAATCCCACAATCCTACTGCCCCACCACCCCACCACCCCACCACCCCACTTATCCACTTCTCCACTTCTCCACTTCCACTTTCCCCCTTTTCTTCTTCCTCATCGCTCCTGTTATTTAGCTTGCTAAACAACGCGCACGATTTTCGACTTCGATCTCGACAGCAATCTCGACTTCCATCTCGAATACAAATTTCCAACGACTACGGCTTTGCTGCAACGCGCTTTCTTCGACTCATCTAGAAGACACACATACACAGCTTACTTCACGGGTGAGTCCTTCTTAGCTATATTTATCGGGATATTTTCCTTCCTATTTCTGAGGCTTATTGCTTCCGCAGAACATCTGAGCTACAGCGGCGTCTTCTTGGACGCTGCAGTTTGCGCTCTGTTTCTGGTTGGTCGGCGCCGTTTTCCGCTTAGTCAACGTGGGGTCCCCTCGCAGCCTTCCCCGCCACGTTTCACATCCTCGTGACTAACTCGGTGGATTCCGCATGAGTCGTCTTTTTCCTCTGCTCATAGCTGACTGAACCTAGGAAACGTGGAAGGAAAGCAGGATAGTGGACGGTCTGATATTACCTAGTACGAGGTAGATACAAAAATAAGTGGAGATCAAGGTGGGAAACGCCGAGTCCGGGGCCACGGCCCCCACCACTGGGCGGCTTTGCCGCCCGCGCACCCGCGCCCATCGCCGCCGATTTCGCGGTCGTGATCTGGAAATTGTCGAGTCCGGGGCTATGGCCCCCACCACCGGAGCGGCTTTGCCGCCCGCGCCCTCCCGTTAATCGCCGCCGCGTCCGCGGTTGTGATTTGAAGCTCAGTAAGTACCTCATGATTGCGCATGAATTATCTTCCTCCTCTGCTCATAGTTGACAATTGTTCTACACAGACCACACCAGTCGGCCGACCGACCAGTCATAGGCTTTAGGAGGTCCAGATATATCCTGACTGACCAGACCTTGCCAGGCTCGGTCGGCCCAGGTCGGCCGACGTCGGGTTAACTGCTAAATCTATCAGCCGCACAGAATTCCTTAGTGTCTAGCGGTATTTAGAGAATTTCCGGTTTCAAATATTGTTTCTTAGCCCGACCTATCCGACCTATGCCTGGTCGGTCGAGATACATCCCGACCCGACCTGAAAATTTATGATCGGGATATAACGCGATCCATCAGACTAAGTTTATTTTTGGTCGGGATATATCCCGACTGACCAGACGAGAGTGTTTTTTAGTCGGGATATATCCTGACCGACCCTACCATACACAAACTTGGTCGGGACTGGTCTATGAAGAACACTGTAGCTGACCGCACCCAGAAGAGAAGGAAGCAAAGGAGGATAGTGGACGGTCTGACAAGACCCACGCAGTGTCGGGAATATGGAGGATAGAGATAGAGATGGATAGATAGAAAATGTTCAGTTAATCCACTACTTCTCGTCGGGCCCGAGTGGCCCTCTATAAACGTTTGTTTTGTCCAAGGCAGAATACTGGTACGTAGGAAAGACTTACAACCTTCTACTTCTGAGATGCGCACGGTCCACGCCGGGTCATCATGTGTAGCCTTTGGGATTTTAGGTCATCTACAGCCATGCGGACGTCTAAGCGTGTAAGGCACACGGAAAACATCACTGCGTATCAAGGTGCTAAACCTCTATTGCTTTTCGCAATACTTCGTTCCATTATCACTGTGCGAGTGTGAGTAGTTTAGACAATTTCCTATCGAGCTACTATCTGTGACCACAGTTGTCCATGCTTGGCCGCAGTTGTCCGTGTCTGACCGCACCTCTCAAGGTCTCACCGCAGTCAGCCACGTGTCATCGCAGTTAGCCAAGCACTGCACACAGCGTAATCCTCTGAGCACTAGATAGACACGGTACCTTTATGCGTGGTCACAGCCGACGAGCCCACGTGGTATTACGCCAGCGTCGAAGAAGCCATTGTGTGCCCTATTCAAGAAAAGCAGTCACTTCCCACAAGCAATCTTCAGTGCGCTAGTGGGTTGCAGCTTGCTTTCTTCCTCTCTTTCTCTTCTTCATCTCCCCCCTTCACCCGTACATACCACTTCAACTATCATCCTCCCACCACATCACAATGATGAATCTCCTCCAAGTCATCCTTTTACTCCATCATTATAATGCATCAAGCTTTAGATCAATATTCCACATCATCCAGAACCACCGATCGAAGACCACCACCACCACCACCCACAAGAACATGGCAGACGCATGGCCACTCGCAACACAAAACTCTGGTCGCCCTGAGGGAAAATTACACGCACGAGAAATTGTGCGTGATGCATTTCCTCAGGGAAGATCTGGGCAACGCCTGGCCCTCAGTCGCGAGGATGTATAACGCGTATTGGTACCCTGATCACTCTAAGGGTGTCTAGAAGGATGCCCTGTACTCAAGGTACAAAGAGGAAGTACCTAAAGACGATCGTGGCAACGCCGGAATGTTAGGGGCTGATGACAACTGGGTGTGGGTGCGCGAACGACACCGGGCCGTTGGACAAGCTGACCACCCAAAGGACAAGTCAGGCAAGTGCAGTCTTCCAGCTACAGCCGTGCATGGGCGAGTGCTAATGTTGCGCTTAGGAGTCTTGTCGCCGGTGATGGCGCTTTCGGGTGCTGTGATCAGTGGAATTTGAGCTTTTCTTTGGCACAATGCCGGATATCCAAGGGATATCCTGTTTGGAGGAACAAACGACCGAAGAGTAGAACACCGAAGCGACATGTGTCGTCGAAGACGGTGACACCCTCAAATATGGAGACGCCACCAATACTTCGGAAGATGAAGATGAAGAAGAAGAGCCAACCGCGCCCCGGCGCCCTCACTCTCATCACTGCTGCTGCATTTGCGGTCATAATATCATTTTCGGTGAACAGCCCATGCTTCCGCGTTCCTCGTCTTTTGCATCTGCTGATAGCCGACCAAAGCTAGGAAAGAAGGGAAGGAAGGAGGATAGTGAACGGACTGATAAGGCGTAGATAGATGGAAAACGTTGCTGGGTGTCAAGGTGCTAAACGTCTATTGTTTTTCGCACTAGTTCGTTCCATTATCGCGGTACGAGTGTCAGTAGTTTAGACAATCTCCTATTGAGCTACTATCAAGTCCCAAGAATTAGTTCCTTCCATCGATTACTCTCCTGCTGCCTAAGTATGTCTACTTTTCTCCGGGCCTCCATGAAATTACATCTCCCAGCAGGCACTCCTGCGCTCCCCCCACCACAACTCCTCTGCGCTATTGACACGTATAACTAAGGATTCCCCGCGGTCGGCAACACATCATCAACTCACGCGTGTCAACGACCTGCTCGACTTCTATATTAAGCCTGCTTGCTACCTTCAGTATCCGGGCGCATATCAATTCTACAGTCGTGAGTAAGGATCCTCTCCCGCGTATCGGGCGACACAGATGTCGTGAGTGCGTTTCGTGACGGACGGGTCTTTGACGTAATTTGTTTCCCAGCCGCATCCGCAGCTGTGTAAGTTGGCGTGGGGGATCAAGATAGATCGATTGAAGTATGTGTGTAGGAAATAGGAACCACTCATTCCGGATAGCCAGGTACGTGCACTATCCATAACGAGGTCAAGACTCCTCCCCGCGGCGATGAGTGGACTCGGTTAGCAGGGCAATCCCCACTCCGAAGTCGAGATTGTTAGAATATGTGACGTCCGGACTCCGAAGATGACGAGGTCTCTAGCGTACTCTAGGGTGTATCCGAGCACGGAAAACCAACCTCCTGAAGTAATCGATGCAGAAATAGTCTAGTCTATGAAGCTTCTATATAGAGGAAGGTCGCCGCTCACAATGTTGTTGCTATATCTACTATTGAATACTACAATTATCATTTTTATCTACCTCTTATATTCAACAGCAGGATTCCATTATGTTTGTAAGCTGCATGCTGCATGCCAGCGGGCTGCGGGGGTGTCGTCGAATGCAATGATTCCGTCAAATAGAAGAGAATCTTAATTCTTGTCATGTTCATTTACAGCACAGTTTCTCCGGACCGTAGGTTCTCATTACCTCCAGAATCTCAGGTCCCTCCCATAGGCCATCATACACCATACCGATGACGATACGCGCTGAGGCTTTGTCTGCCAGAATTGCTGTGGACTGCCATCATCTCTGCGACGGTCATAGCCACCTTCCGCAGGCCCATCATTCCTGTGGTCTTCATCCACACATTCCGGACCCCCAACTCTGACAGATTCAGTGAGTATTGGTGGCGGACGCTCAACTTGATGACCCTCGCACATACCGACGCCATTACCCTCGCATAAAGCATTTTTTGCTGTCTGCACGGCATGGCGATAGCAACACCCTCGCATTCTCCCCGCTGATCTGACAAAATGGAGTTCGACCGCAACTTCCGCGATGACAGTTGTACCTTGGGCATTGACCAGGACATTCAGCCTAGGATTACAATGTCATTCTGATCACCAGCGTCGCCTTCCCAGTCTGTAGAGAGGGCGATTCGCGTGGATGATCACCCTGTGCATGGAAAATTATACGAACGCCAAGTGTTGCTTGAGATCGCTCTCTTTCTAGCTACTGCCACTAGCTACAACGGTCTTCTGCTCTGCCCTAAGCAAGCCGCATTGCTCGTCACATCCCCCACCACCCCACCACCCCACCACCCCACCACCCCATCAACCCACCAACCCACTTTTCCTCCTTTGCTCCTCTTCACTTCTCCACTTCTCTACCCCTCTAATTCTCCACTGTCCCACTTCTCCACTTCTTCAACACCCCACTTCTACACTTCTCGACTTCTCGACTTCCTCTTCCACCTTTTCTTCATCCCCTCTCTCACTACTCTCCGGCTTTAACCCCGGCACCACCCCCGCACCCCGCTCCAGAGAGCGGTTCACCACGCGGAACAACGACCTGTGGGCCGCGGCCCCATGCGTCGAATGCGCAATCAGATCCGCCGCGCAATTGAGGCGATTGCCGGACAGGACCACGAAGAAATTACAAAGGCCGAGGATGATCCCGTCAAGGCAGGATCATCTATAAACACCGACCGGGCGAAGCTCCTCATGGTGGTCAACGGCTTCAAGAAGAGGCTTGAAGATATTCCTAGATACACGGTTAGACCTACACTTAAAGACCTAGCGAGCCCCAGCCCATCCCAGGCCCTATACGATTACATTCGTGACAAGTTCAAAGGATCAAGGGATGGAATATTCCATTTTGACTCAGACGAGGATTCCGAGGCAGACGAGCTCTTCCTGAACGCGGAGCAGATAGGTTCAATCGAGAACTGTGAGCAAGAGGAGACCAACAAATACGAGGCAGACGTTACCTTTCACTATTCCAATGAGGACCCTCTCAGCCCAGGTACGCTGTTGTTGAACGAATGCGCCGTTGCGGACCCCGGACCCACGGCCTTTTTCGATTCCTACCAGTCGCCGCGTTCGCTTCTTCCCAGCCACTTCTTTAGGTGGCTGGCAACCTGTACACCGACAAGAAGTGAGATGAGCCGTCGCGGACCCCGGTCCCACGGCGTTCTGAGATCCACTGGAATCGCCCTCTTCCAGCCTTCCTCATCTCTTTAGGTGGTGGGCAGTCCCTACACCGACAAGCATTGTCGGTAGGCCGGCCTAAGCCGGTCTCCCAGGAATTAAGAAGCCAGAGAAGGCACTCGTTCCTGGGTTGGTGCTTGAAGCGCAACGAAGGCGAGGCTTATCCTGTGCGCGGCGGGGGTCGTTGATCAATTTCTTTGATCGCCGTTGCTGCGTGGGCCGGGGGGAAACGATGTGGGGTAAGGATGACGGGTGCTGGGAAAGCAGGCTGAGGGATGGAATGACCGCATCTACGAAGGAGCATATATCGCAGGTACGAATCAGGATAAATCTCAAATATAATTTAGGATGTATCATAGCCAATCAGGTGTATGTTCGCAGCTACGCAGGAAGATATATCGCAGGCGCGAATAATGATGAATTTGAGCTACGAAGGGGACATCAGGAAGAAACATTTATCCTTTGGGGGCGTGTAGACGCTCCTGACTCTGGTCACGCTGAGAATGCTAAGGCGCTATCGCACATTATGAATGCCTGGCATCTCCAGTATTAACGACCAATGCCCAGTCATTATCAGTCTGAACGACAAATGCCCACTCATTTCCATACATGAACGACAAATGCCCAGTCAATTCCGTGTATGATTGGAGACACCGAAAACCGTCTGCGTTACCTCTCGCTGGAGTAGTCAACCAGCCAGAAATCCCTTCAGTGCACGGTGTTTACGAGTAGGCGATATTTCCTGTGTATTTCAGAATATCTATTCTATTGCTATTTGTACTATATACCCCGCATAGAACATGTACATGCCTCATTATTTGGGCTAATAAACCCTTCCTATTCCTCCTCCTGCCCGTCGTCATCCTCCTCTCAGTCCACGCTTTCCTCTGCCTCGTCCATTTCCTCCCACCCTCCTCCGCCCGTCCGAGCGGCCACATGCTCCTCTTCTAGGCCGGCATGGCACAAAGGAAGGAGATGGCATCCACGAAGAGACACTCGGCGAGTATCAGTATGTAGGGAGCACGAGATATGGATGCAGGAGGCTGTATCGTGGGAGGAGACTGTATTTATTGAGAAGGCAATATCAGCGGCAGTTCCGGCAAGACGAGTAGCAGTGGGGAACGAGCGCGAGGTGGAGGTGGTGGTGAACGAAGGCGAAGTGGCGGCAGTGTTCTACATAGAACAGACCGGTCGTGATAACTGATAACCTTATCAGCCGCAAAAATTTCTGTCATAGTTATGCGTGCGGAATGTGTGGATGACGACCGCAACAATACTGGAAGTGTTGAGCTTCCGGAATGTTACTATAATTGTCGCAGAAATGCTGGCAGACCACAGAAATGCTGGCAGAGAAACCATTAGCACGTGATGATTTACTAGAGGCTGTGGAATGTCTCAAAATCTGGCAGAAGGATGAGATGATTGCGGCGACTCAGGCGGATGTGAAGGAAGTTGGGGAGATGTTAGCCGCGCTATACGAGGAGGATCCGGTGTAGAACAGATGATTGTAAAGATTCCAGATTTCATCGTGTATAATTTCTTAGCCCGACTTATTCCGACCTATGTCTGGTCGGTCGGCATATATCCCGACCGACCAGACCATTTTTTTGATCGGGATATATCACGACCGACCAGACCAAACATTTTTTTAGTCGGGATATAGCCCGACCAATCCGACCATACCCAAATTTGGTCGAGTCTAGTCTATTCAATCTTCTGCGCTGCCTACGGTTAGGCAGTCCGTTGGGGAGCCGGTATGATCGAACCGTGGGTATAGGGAGTGCGGTGTGTGGATTTGTGGAGTAGCGAATGTGGGAAGGACTGATGTTGGAACTTAAAGAAAGTAATCAAGGTTGCGCTGCCACTGCCATTATGTATGTTCTGGCCTGCTGGGCAAAATTGGTTTTTTATAAATAAACCGGCCTGCGGGGCAAATAACTGGATATGCGATCTGACTGGACTGCCGAGTCAGAAAATATTCTGGGCGGACCGGGCAAAATTATGTGCAGATACGCGGACATCACAATAGTTTTCTATCGACTCAACACTCAAATCTTCCCACAGAGCTCATGCAGTCAATCTACAAATCATCGTCACGTAGGTTTTCACCCTCCTTCTCTTTCTCAACCCCCGTCCGGCTTCCCCTTCTGCTTTCTCTCCGGCTTCCTCTCCGCTCCCATCCTCTCCAGCATCTCTCTGGGTACTATCATCGCCCTGGATGGCCTTTGCTGTGTTCATTTTAGCCGTAGGCCGAGCCCTTTTCTGGCTAGATGCTGTCTGGGTACCTGAGCGGAGACTGCAGCGGCTTGATATTGGTGCTGGTAGAACAGCGGTAGCGGGTGGTGGAGTGTTCTGTCCATCGATACTGGAAAGTTTGGAGGAGACAGCTGGAGCTTCTGGTATTACTGATGGTAATTGTTGCATTCTAGGAGGGCGGTGAATTAAAGCAGCTTCGGTACGAGTTTCCAAACTCGACGGATTATTTTAGTCAAATTGCCTTCCATGGTAGTGGACTGAACAGTTGACGTTTTTCTTCATGCAACGGCACTTGCTGGTCCAGCGTGGAGGCATGTAATTGCAGGAGACGCATATTCGCTCGCGAGTTTATGTTTTTGCCGTTGCTGCTTGAAGTTTAATCGTGTTGGATAGCTTATCCTCGGGAATCAGTTTGCTGGCTTCTATATAGAACTATGCCACGACTTGAGTGAGTTTTACTTGCTAGCGCCGGAAAATTTGCGGCCAGACTGACCTGCTCACAAATATGCCCGAAGACCGGTCTGTCCATGAAACATTTCCCCACTGTCCGTTCACCTCGTATATCCGGTCACTTCGTCTGGGGGCGGGTCACTTGGTCGGATGGCCGGTCCATTTATAAACTACTAATTTTGCCCGGCAGGCTAGAGCATATATCAACATTTTCTTCAGAGGCGTGCGTCCGTGAGTATGAGGTCAGACTGATGGCTAGTGCTGTGGCGAGTGCTGATAAACTTAAAGAACCACACACAATTCGCCACGCATAGTCTCCGTCGTCTTCCAAAAGATTCTAGATCTCATGTTCCTCATGTTCCTTTGTTTCGTCGTCGCCCTCCTCTTTCACTTCCAATTCCTACTCCTCGTCATCACCGCATTGTTCATTCCCGGCCCCGGCTCGCCGGTAGCGAGAGGACATTTCTCGGGTGAATTATATCCTCTATATAAACTTGCTATCTAGGTGGCCCGCTGGCGCGCTGGCGAGAAGACGCGCCCTGATCACCCAATATGTCCAGTGCTATCCCCATTGCAGCGAGAGAGAGAGCTGAGTGCATGGCAGCGAGAGGGGGTTGCTTAGGCGAATCCAGCAGAGTGGCCATGGTAGCAAATCCAGGACACAGGCCATGGTAGCGAATCTAGGACATAGGCCGTGGCAGCGAATACACTAGACCAGGACTAGCAGGACGAGCAAGATGAGCACGACGAGCACGACGAGCACGACGAGCAAGACGAGCAAGACGAGCAAGACGAGCAAGACGAGCAAGACGAGCAAGACGAGCAAGACGAGCAAGACGAGCAAGACGAGCAAGACGAGCAAGACGAGCAAGACGAGCAAGACGAGCAAGACGAGCAAGACGAGCAAGACGAGCAAGACGAGCAAGACGAGCAAGACGAGCAAGACGAGCAAGACGAGCAAGACGAGCAAGACGAGCAAGACGAGCAAGACGAGCAAGACGAGCAAGACGAGCAAGACGAGCAAGACGAGCAAGACGAGCAAGACGAGCAAGACGAGCAAGACGAGCAAGACGAGCAAGACGGGCAAGACGAGCAAGACGGGCAAGACGAGCAGGACGAGGAGCAGTAGGGGTAGACGATATCCGACAGAGCGAGTTGATAGAGGAGATAATAGTTGATATCTAGCGAGAAGAAATTGTCAACGGTAGTTCCAGCAGGATGGTTACACTAGGGCAAGTAGCAGTAGGAGATCAAGGGCGAAGAGGATGAGGAGGTTTTTGAGGGTGCGGAGGGTGTGGAGGGTGAGGACACAGTTTCGGTGGCAAGATGAGCAGGGCCAGAAACATGGCCCGGAGGTATTATTCAGTCGGGACGGGTGCGGTTAGGAGGAATAGAGAGAGAACCCATTGGCGCCGCTGCCAGCGGGTTATTCGTTCTTCCTATGTTTTTACGCGATGTGCTAAGTGACGTCAGCATGGCGCGATCCCAAGGTTAACAGCCAACTATACACAGGTGTCATGAACCATAATCTTCTCTCACCCAATATACCAGAGCGACTATTTCTCCAGAGCACCTCGTACACCAGGGCAACGATTACACCAGAGCTATGTCACGGGCTACTGTCGAAAGGTTGAAGGCTGCGATCAGATGACGGCAACGAAGAGAAGACCGCACGCAAGACATGATGGGACGGAAGAGTTGAGCGAGCACAGAAGAGTCAAGGAGTGGAAGTGTCCAGGGAGCATGGCAACAGCACGGAGGATTTGAGGGACGGGCCAGTCAGGGGCGAGGCAGGGCGAGGCCGGCGAACGGTCCAGGGAGCCAGGCGAGGCCGAGGAAGAACGCCTAGTAAATGGCGAGTAACGAGAAGAGTTGAGGGAGCAAGGGCAATGCCAGGGAAGAGTAGAGGGGACGGGCCAGTCACAGGCGATGCTGGGGAAGAGTTGTGAGAGCAAGGCGAGGCCGGGGAAGAGTTGAGGGAGCGGACGGGGTGTAGATACTAACATTGTTCAGATAGGCCACATGCAAGTAATGAATAACACAAAACTCCCACTGATTTCTAGGTATGATGTTTCGCCCAACAGCGTTCCAACGAACGTTCGAACACCCAACCGCAGCTGACGTCTTTCCCAGGGAGGATGCTGGCGTGGGTCAGTTCACACGCTTCCAGCTGACTCAACGCGCCGAACGTCGCAAGTTTTATGAACGAAGCCGACTCCGTTTATGGAGAATTTGTTTTCCTGATTGATGTGTCCGAGCCGTTAAGGAGGATATATCGCAGGCACGAAAAAGGATGAATCTGAGCTACGAAGGAGGATGTGTCGTAGTCATGAAGCGGGATGTATCGCAATTATGAAAGAGGACTCTGTCATTACAATTGAGAGAATGTTGGCTGCGCTTTTTGAGGAGGATTTAGTGTAGTATAGCTTGAGTCTACATCAAAGAGTTGCTTCTAATTACTAGCTTAATAAAATTTCTGCAAGATCAGCGCTGTTTAACCCGGCAGAAAATTCTGACGTCCGCAGAAAGCCGATATATGCACAGTTGGTCGTGATACACTTTGTTTGATGGTGTGGCGAATCAGCATAATACCAGCACTATCCAGAGGTATGGATGGTAAGCAGCGGCGCCGGCCGGCGTCGCCGGGAGGAGACGTCAACAGGAGATATAAGAGTCGGTAGATAGCCGTCGAAGATATTGCAACTCTCATACAAAACATCATAAGTTCGAGTGAAACTCCGTGCCTTTCAACAAACTTCCTCCACTAGTCCAGACAAACCCCCAGCTTTGTGTTGACCTGTCAATGTGAACCACAGGTGGTGAGCCCACCACTGCTCCCTATGGAGACCGCTGCTAACATGCTCCAAACTCAGACTACATCTTCCGAAGGAATACCTGTTTCAGCAGCCGCAAGATTGACAGAAATATCTTCAGCATCAGTAAATGCAATCAGATGAGAGTTCGGAAGAGTGGTGGGAACGTATACTTAAGGACGAGGCTACCGAAGAGACCATGGAACCAGGCGAGGCCGCGCAAGAGTTGAAGGACCACGCGAGGGGTAGGGAAGAGTGGATGGTGCGGAAGCGATTATGGCACGCAAGGGTTCAGACTCCGGAAGAGTCCAGGAAGCAAGTCGGGGCATGGACGAGTTGACGGCACGGACAATGTCACAGCTCGGAATTGATGAGGGAACAGTAGAGTTCAGGCCCAAAGCCCCGGAATTGTCGAGTGAGCGGAAGAGGTGAGGGAGCAAGTGTTGAATGTATACTAAGGCGCCAGGGTAGATGGCGAGTGTACTAGAGAGTGGGGGAATTGGAAGGTGGGGAAACGGTGATATGGGGTAGTGGGGTAGTGGGTAGTGGGGTAATTGAGGGGAAGGAGGAAAGGGGGGGGGGAGGGCGAGTATGTTCAGATGATTGAGGCGCGCAGGGCTGGATATAAGTAGCGAGTATGTCGCAGTAGCTAGACCGATAGCAATCTCAAGCAGGACTCGCTCGTACATTTGTTCAGCAGGTTGACGGCACGGAAGAGATGAAGGATGAGGCCATAGGATGCATTCTTCTGCGAGCCCGAACTGCTGCGTGGGACTGTTTGTATAGAATTTTGAAGACACTCTGATCACCTTCGTCAGTGACTCCAATAGGTTGAGAGGGGGTGTCACCTGGGTGTTGACCGCATGAAGGCAAGATTATACGAGCGCGGAGTGGTGTTTGAGATTGCTCTAGTTCTAGCTACTGCTACTCGCTACAAACTTATTCTGCTCCGCCATAAGTAAACCGCATTTACCCGTCGCATCCCCCACCACCCCACCACCCCACCACACCACCACTCCGAATCCCACAATCCCACAATCCCACATTTCGAACATACCACCTCCCCACCACCCCACTTCTCCTCCTCCTCTCCCCCTCTTCTCTTCTCCACTTCTTTAACACCCGTATTTTCCCCTCCTCTACTTCTCCACTTGCACTTTCCCAGCGTTAGTAAGTTTCGGAAAGATCGCCTTGGTTAATCTGCTCGCTACCACCGGTGGTGCCACTATATGCACCGAGACCTCGTATTTGACCTTGCGCCTCTTCTCGATGACCGTAAATTGCTCGTCGACACACTCCGTCCGTTTCCGCTATTCTCGCTATTCGAGGAAATGCCTACTTCCCTACCAGAGTAGGGCCGTGATCCTCGGCATTTCCGGAGATATCGCGATGAAAACGCGACACCGTTTTCCTGTGCATAGTGATCTTGTAATCGACCTTGCGCCTGCTACTGATTGCCGCAACATTCTCACATGTTTGCGCTGAATTTCGCAGCTTTGACCATCTTCTCGCACTTCTCGTCCCTCTGCCAGCGCGCGACCCACGAGGTCGCGAACTCTAGCAAAGCGATAAAGCCCTCTAACATTTGCAGCTTGATGTCTTCAATGGCGTCCTGCTCCAGCTTTTGAATCAGCTGTTCGTCGTTGTGGCTTCAGGTTTGCTTGAATTTCTGCAGAAACGAGTCAGTCTTTGGGTTGCTTTTTCATTCATTCTTTCTTTGTTTTTAGCGACGACGCGACAGGACGGAACTGACCTGTGTTGTCTGAACGAGCAAGCGGTCTTGCAGGCGCGCAGAATGCACATCTACCCCGGCGTAACCAGTGTAGGTAGGTGGACATGGTTCGTTGTTTATGTGACTAGTCTTGGTCGTCGAGCGATGCGATAATAGGAACGACGGCAGCGAGCGACCTGTATTCCACGTGCGCCTCCTCTTGATGACCGCAAACGTCTCTTCCACACCCTCCGCCTCGGGTACCGTCGAAAATGGAGGGAAATGCCTACTTCCCTACAGGGAAAGGGCCTGACCCTCGGCATCGTCCCACAAACTCTTCGCCGACAAACTCCGTCTCTGATCAAGAAGAACATCGCCCTTGTCCTAGTGCATGTGCCCCACTGTACTTGGCATCCTTCACTCACTCGAACAGTGCTGTGGTGCGATTGATAGTAGTGCCTGGCTGTTGCTTTGATCGATCGTCTTGCTGTCAAGAATGGTGTCGTTTTGAGCATAAAGATATCGTAACCGACTGAGGAAATTGTGCCACCTCCTGATGTCCGCGAATTTCGGATGGACACCCTGTCACCCTCCGTCTCGAATAGTCTCGCTCGTCTCAGAGACTCTCGCTCCCAGGAGCAAATGCCTACTTCCCTAGCTGAGCAGGGCCTGATCCTGGGCATCATCCCACAGACTCCTCATCACCAAGCATATCGCCCTTTTCCTAACTTTGCTCCCAGATGCTCCATTCTAATTCCCCTCTTCACTCCCTTGAACAGTGCAGTAGTGCGTTTAGTTGTGCCTGGCTGTCGCTTTGATCTATTGTCTTGCCGCCAAGAATGGAGTCGTCTTGCGTACAAAGACATCGTATTCGACCTTGCGCCTCCTCGCGATGAACTTGAAATCGTCGTCGATACACTCCGTCTTGGGTATTCGCGCTATTTGGGAAAATGCCCACTTCCTTACCTTACGTACTTTCGTTGGAGCTGTATGTTCATCACGTGAAACGTCAGTACGATACTCAAGCAAAGCGATATCCGAACGACTAACCTCCGGAAAGCCATATCATCAGCATGCATATTCTCGACCATTTGATCGATTTAATCAGGGTACCAGGCAGCCTTGCGATGAAAATCTCTTAGCTAGGTCGGCCGTATTCGTGATCAATTCGTTCCGTATGAGCGTCGGTTGAGTTTCGGTGCAGTACCAAAATATTCCCACAAATTTGGCAGGCTGAGAGGTCCTGCCATGCTACTGTATGATGAAGATGTAGCTATAGACCGTGAAGGAGGGTAGACCTTATCGACATGTTAGATGTCTGCAAAAACGTAACCAGACTGTAGGAAACTTACCACACTTCGCCGGTCCCTATCTTGAAGACTTGGCCTTTCTTCATGTGGGTCTTCAAAGAGTTCTAGACTCATAAATGTAATCATCAGTCTTTTAGCCGGTTGAGCTACTAGTTTTTTCTTGCAGATATTTCAGGCTATGTACGTACCGTGATGGAGAGTGGACCTTATCGACATGTTAGTGGTTTCTTCAAGAATGGGCTTTCAAAGCTGACGATATTTACCATACTACGCTGGCCATAATTTCTGGCCCGGATCCATTTGGTTCGTCATGTAGGTTGAGGATTTGAAGCGGCATTTTGAGACCTTTAGCAGCACGAGCTCCGGTTTTGGACTTGCATGGCCATAGCGGCTAATATTCACCGTGAAAGAGGGTAGACCTTATCGGCATGGTGAGTTTTCTGCAAGGACGGGAAATCACAGCGAAGGAAACTTATCAGATTTCGCCAGCCATGATTCCCTACCATGATCAGTCATGCGGTTCCTCACCAACTTTGATAGGTTCAGGTTGAGGAATGCCAACGGAGTGTATCTTCTTCGGTAGGCTGAGGGTTACCGTCTTGCCACTGCCGGTGGCTGACCCTATGGACCGTGAAGGAGGGTAGACATTCCTGAAGAGATAACACACTTTTTTCATAAAAGCCCTCTCAAAAAGGATACTTACCACATTTCACCGGCCTGAGCTCCTCGCCCATCACGAGGTGATTCGTCCCCCACCTTCGACCCTCGGAGAGATGCAGACTAACGAGCAACATCATCTTTGATATCTGGAAGACGGCACTCATGTCGTCCTGCGCAGGTATCTGCAGCCAAGGCAAAGAAGAATGGTAGACCTTTTGCTATTTTAGTACAGTGCACGAACATAGAGACCCGAGTAAGGGTTTCTACATACCACACTTCGCCAGCGATGACTGCGAGTCTCTCGAAATAGGGATCGTCACCCATACCCAATCATCGGCGATTGAGAAAAGCCGAGATCTGACAGCTTTGGCAGCATGCGCGTCACAGTAGTTGGCTACAGCTGTTGACCATGAAGGAGGGTAGACCTATTCACAGAATCAGTAATTTTTCACAGGTATGAAGATTCAAAAAGGATAGTTACCACACTTCGCCGATCCCCATCTTGGCCTTTCTCCACCTGGTTCTTCAAGCGGTTTTAGGCTAAGAAGCGTCATCATCAGGCCTTTAGCTGCTTGATCATCTGTTCTGTTCTTAAAGCGGTTTCCGGCGATGTTAGCACCGTGAAGGGGAGTAGACCTAACCGTCATGTTAATGGTTTCTTCAAGGACGGGCTTTCAAAGCAGAATATATTTACCATACTACGCGGGCCATAATCTTTGGCCGCCATCCATTTGATTCTTCATATAGGTTGAGGCTCAGAAGCGGCATCATGAGACCTTTAGCAGCTCGAGCTCCGGTTTTGTACTTGCAAGTGAAAGCGGCTACGCTACCCCGTGGAGGGTAGACCTTATCGACATGTCAGTTCTTTATCCAAGAGCGGGCATGCAAAGCAAGGGATATTTACCACACTTCTCTCGTTCCAATCTTCACCTTTCTGCATGTGGTTTTTTAAGTAGGTTGAGGTTAAAAAGCAGCGTCATCAAGCCTTTAGCTGCTTGAACTTCTGTTTTGTTCTTGCAAACCTTTGCGGCTGTAGATGTACCGTGAAGGAGGGTAGACCTTATCGCCATGTCAGTTTGTTTTATGAACGGGATAACAAAGCAGAGGATACCTACCACACTTCACCGGCCATCATTCCTTGCCTTGATCACCGTGGTTCCTTACCAACTATCACAGGTTCCGGTTATGTAGTGCCACTGTGCCAAACAAGTGTTAGATCTTTGGTGGGCTGAAAGTTTCCGCCATGCTAATGCATGATGCAGCCGCCTCTATGGAGTCTGGACCGTAAATAAGGGTAGACCTTATCAAATTGTCAGTTTCTTGTCCTAGAACGGTTATGCAAAGCAAAGGATATTTACCACACTTCTCCGGTTCCAATCGTGGCCTTTCTCCATGTGGTGTTCTAAATAGGTTGAGGTTGAGAGGCGGCATCATCAGACCTTTAGCTGCTTGAGCTTACCTTATATTCTTGCAGACGTTTGCTGCTATGGATGTACCGTGAAGGAGAGTAGACCTTGTCGACAGGTTACATTTCTACAAAAAAGGCTACCAACGCATAGGGTACGTACCACGCGTCGCCGGCCATGACTTCTCACCTGGATCCTCGTGGGCTTTCACCAACCCTGACAGGTTCAGGTTAAGCAGACCCGAGGGAGGATGAAATCCTCGGCAGGCTCTGAGCTCCCATGATGTCACGGCATGTGGCTACAGCGACGGGCCGTGGAGGAGGGTAGACCTTTCTGCAACGTTAGTACCTTTTTCCGATATGGCCGTCCCAAATACAATACTTACCACACTTCACCAGCCAGAGCTCCTCGCCCACTATGCGATGCATCTATTCGTCACCTACCTCGGAGACATGCAGGCTAACGAGCGGAATCACCGATGTTGGGAAGCCGCTCCTCCAGTCATACTACTACTACGGAGGTATCTGCGGCCAAGGCAACGAAGCGGGGTAGACCTTCCGGTTCTTAGTAAGTTGCACAAACACAGATACCCGAAGATACAGTTCCTACGTACAGCACTTTGCTAGCGATGACAGGTCTCCTCTCGTGATAAGTTTCTTCACCGATCCTAGATTGGCTGCACTGAAGAAGCGCCATCATACTGTGACAGCTTGGCGGCCCTGCCTGAAAGGTACCCTGGTTGGCTACAACTATTGACATTGAAGGAGGGTAGACCTTTTAAAAGCGTTAGTAATTGACGCAGGTATGAAGATGCAACGAGGATGATTACCACAATTCACAAGCCAAAGCACTTCGCCTTACGCAAGAGGGTTCTTCACGTATCTCCACGGCTTGCGGCCAGCGCTGGCTTCATCTGACGTCTCGGTAGACTCAGCTCCAGTTTTATCATCGATGACGGCTGTGACTACGGGCTGTAGAGAAGGGTAGACCTGGTGGGAAGTTAGTAAACCATCTCGGGACATACAGGATATCAATGGGACGCATTAAACTGAGCAGCTAACCGCTCCTCAACTTGAGCGATAAATCACTAATGATTCCGGATAAACAGCGACAAGCCTTGATCGCTTCCCTCGTACCACCTGTTGGTGGCTGTCAGTCATCGATTTTGGATTGCCCCCGAACAAATATGTTGTAGAGAGTTGATTCAAGGCCGCTCGGCCGAGACCGGTGACATGTGAGGCTAAATGCGGATGGGGTGGATCGTACCTTTCGGAATTTCTTTTCTATTGTAGTGTTGTGAAGTGAAGAGGAGAGAAGATGAATGGTTGCCGGGACGGGGGTTGAGCGACCCGGTGACTCCCCTGTCGAATGAGCGCTATCCTATACTGAGCCACATCATGTGGCGCGGTACGTGCCCGTCCCATCACGTTTTCACTTGAAGAAAGAAAAGCCAAATCATCGAGGATGTGTATCAAAAGCCTTTCTGCAAGATGTAGCGTATCCTACTGATTTCTTCATTTCATCATTGGTAATTTATGCATAAATTAATATATCCGAGCAGCGGGATTGCGGAATGTCGCACTAATAGCCCCTTCATGTGTGAGACGATAAATCCAATCTTGTGAGATTGATGATGAACGTGACGCTCGACATTTGAGATAAAGAAAGTCAAATAAAGGAAATCCGCTCGGTTGACAGCGAGTTTTCGTCAGTGGAGAGAGCAGAAGCTGAAACAAGAGACTCCAATCCTCATCTGAGTATACATGTTACATCCAGGATGATGGTGCCGAATTTCATGAGATAGGTAGGAGGATTGGTAGGGATATATAACTGTTTTTCTCCTTGCTTCTTCTTCTACTGCGGGTCACGGCCCTTCTAGTGAAACACAATATTTCTGCCGTTGGTCGAGATACCCGTGGCCGGGACCAGACAGTAGACCCGACAGCGAGACATATCTCCTCCTCCTCATACAGTTCGCGTGACCGAGTCCTGGACTCCTTCAAACCAGTGCTGAGTGCTCCTTTGAAACTTCACCATCACCTTACAGCGGACATGAGGAGAGTTCCCACTTCCTTCATGTGCTTTGAACGCCGTAATCTGACAGGTCGTGGTCAGCCGCTCGTGTTGATTGCACGTTGAGAGTTGGGATGTTGCAGCCCCTTGGGACCCAATATGATTTCCTTTTGCGGAATGTGGATAGCGCTCCCCCAAGCATTGTATGTACTCGGGTAGGGACTTTGGGAAAGTGGCTGTAAAAGAGTCGATTTGCAGGCTCCAAAGTAGGGCTGTGACTGTTGTCACGGTTATTACTTTTTGCACTCTCTCATAATTTCTTTCATTGCGGGTATTGGTCTGCTTTCTGGAGATCGCTTTGGGCACCCGTTCCATTCAATTGTATTTGCGCTAGCGTTATGTTGTAGTTAGTTCACAGACCAGCGCTCAATCTTGATCTTGCCTGAAATCCAATAGTTTACTACAGCATTCAATTGCCGACATCCCAACCTACTACGTCCATCACCACCCGACACTACCTTGATCTTGCCAGCCAATCCAACACACATCTGACCAACATCCCTACATCGCCGTCATGAGCCCTCAGGAACACCCCGCTCTTCCAGTTCCCACCGAAGTCGCACTGATGATTATCGGAGCCCTCGATGGAATCGACGAGTTCTTCAACTTCCGTCTCACCTCACGGACGAACCGAGAGCTCTGCGATCTGGTCCCACTAGCAACCCTGCGCAGGCTTCTCCAGACCTCCAGTGCGATGGTTCGGTCGCAGCAAGATGAAGCGGGTCTGGAGCTTCGGCTGTCTCGGGTGAGGCATCAGTTATTACTAGCCAGGTATGTCCTTGGTACCCGCGACCAGCGTAGGCTCTACCGCGACACGTGGGATCAGCAGATGCAATTGTATGAGATGAGGATGTGGTCTTGGCAGACTGGCATGAGAAGTTGACTCTAAAGTTGGTGAGGCACTGATCCTACTTGACAATTCCACGGACTGACTGGGGATGGTAGGCCAAATGGGCAGTCTCCTCGTCGTCGGCGTCGTGTATGCGCTGCGAGAGGACCTGCAAGCTGTTCCCTAGATCGTAGCTCGTTTCCGGTCAGTGTCTCCTTTCAAATATGGATTTACAACGCTGACAGTAACTTTAATCATCCAGCGGCCCCGCAAATACAGTACTACGGCAAAAAAAATTTACACTTTTACACATAGCGGCATCGACACGTTCCCCTACACCGACCACAGTTTTAGATCATCGATTCACCTTTCACCACCAAACATTACTTCTAGCGACGGCTGTGCAATTACGCTGCACAGAGGAGAAGCGATAGTAGAGTCGCAGGACCGGTTCTGGGATAGAGGAGGATTCGGATGTCAGAAGAAAAGTTTGTCCTGCTGCGTTTACGCTGAATGCAATGTTTGTTTTGTTGGTGATAGTTGAATTCAGTTGATGGTTGAAGGGGATTGGTAATGCCAAACGTTGTGCCAAAGTGATACTGTAAATGTATAGCCAGCAGTGATCTCGAGTGCGTAATACTACTAGCTGGTTTTCGGGTTCGGCATGCCTATCTACCACAGGGGGCCAGCCCACTGGGCAGAATGGTATCGGTAGCCTGGCCTAGGGAGAGATACTTTACTACTGGACTGGCTTATCCGGCTCCTGGTCCAGCCTAGCAACCGCGATACAATTCACGCCTGGTCCGTCCAGGTGTTGGATCCGATTCACCTATACTGGGGCCAGTCCATCTATAGATGCTCAACTCGATTTAAAGACGGACAATTCTGCCCTGTGGCTTACAACATATGTACATGCAGGGCTGTCAACCATCCATCCCGTCCGTATTTGAGGTTGCCCGGCCCAGGACGAAATTAGTCGGAGTGAGGAGGCCAAGGACTACACTCTTCCGGGGTGGAGAAATGAGGACGGATACCCTACAGGGCCCGGAATTGAATGGAACACTAGGGCAATGCAAGCGGCGTGGCGCCACACAGTGGCGCAGGTGTACTGATGTGTGGCTGTGCGGCTGTGCGGCTCCATTCCGCAGTGTCTCTCACGATAGAACTTTCACACCATCCCCATTCCTACTTCTAGCACTTTCTATCCCCTGAGGTCGATTGTTTGACGACGTTGAAAATTCTGCTCGACGCTGAAAATTCTGTTGGTAGTCACCGCGCTATATACTAGGTACTTGGCCAACTAGTAGTCAGCGTAGCACGCTAGTGCCATCAGGTACCTATAGGTACCTGGCGGGTATCTTGGCATTTCATCCTTCAGACGGAATGGATCAGTCCTCTGGAAAGCCTGCCTGAGACGGGAAGGAACGGGAGGGGACGGGACTACCGTCCACTAGTGGACGGTCGTCTGGACGGACGGTTTACAGCCCTGTGTACTAGGCCCTCAGGTATCGCATTCAATTCTCCGAACGAACCATTCGCCCACAGCAGTAACCCGCTGTTCCCGTTCCGAGTCCTGACCGAGTTAGCTTTGATGATTATCGACGCACTCCGGGAGTCCACGAATACCTCGACTTCCGTGGCACCTCTCGCACCAACAGAGCATCATCGCGACATTAGACCCCCTACACAGGCTGCTACAGACGTGTACGGAGAATATTTGGCCGCGGCGATGGGAGGCGGGTCTAGAGCCTTGACCTTTCAGGTTGTGACGCCGCTGGAAAGAATCCAGGTTTCGCCACTCAGCGTAGGTTCTCCTAAGAAGTTGCTACGCTTGGTGAATCCATGTGGTGGCGGAGGATGGGGCTCGTTCCCTAGCGTCCACATGGGTGATGTGAACAATGGGCATCCTAGCTAGGAACTAGACGAATCGACCGGGCCGGATACTGAAGGCGTCGAATCCGCGCCAATGGCGTCGATGATGATGGAGACAATCTATGTACGTTGGCATGCTACCACCCGGCCTTCAAGGATGTTGCCATCTTGTGCGCAATGACGGGTAACCTCGTAATCGACGTTGCGGCTCCTCACCCTGACCGAGAAATCCAGGTCGACGCCCTCCGTCTCGAGCACCCGCGCTTTTCGGGAATATGCCAAATTCGGTGCCATGTAGGGCCTTGACCGTCGGCATCGCCACTCCGCGTCGACACACTGTCCGATGTAGACATACTTGGGTAGCAGGAAAGTGATCAATTGACGGTAGCAACGCGAGACCAAATCTTTTTTTGGACCTTCAAAGTAACTCAATAGTAGATTCGCAGCATCGCTAAACTACTCGCACTCGCATAAGCATGAAAGAAAATAATAATGCGAAAGACAATCGACTTTTAGTACCTTGACACCCAGCAACGTTTTCCATCTACCTAGGCCTTATCAGACCGTCAACTATCCTCCTTTCCTTCCTTGTTTTCTAGGTTCAGTCAGTTATGAGCAGATGAAAAAGGCGAGTAGCGCGGAATCATGAGCTACTCACCGAGTTAGTCACGAGAAGTTACAGAGCAACATCCAGGCGGGTTGAACGCGATGAAGAAAAAGCCAGTGTATGCACCCTGATCGAAATTGCCGCCGGTTGATGTTTGCGTAGTTGTGCTGATGGCTGCTTTCATGGCAGCGGAGTAGTCGATGCCTTACGTATTCGGACGTGCGAGACGCGAGCGTATCACCGTCACAAGTAAGTACACCACGTAGTTGCCTGCGAGACGACATTCTTTGCCGCGAAAGGCCAGACTCACTATTGTGCCGTGCATTAGATCGCGCAGGGGCGTGACCTTGGGGCCCACAACCTCCACGCAGTCACTCGATTAGTGAAAGCCTTCTTGTTTTCCTCGCTGTGTAGTGGCATTGTAATGAGGTTGGGCTCCTCCCGGAACCTGCGAACTATTGCAACCCGGAATTCGATGGCCTTGTGGTGCTGGTGCGTGACGTTGCCAAAGTGCTTGAGAACTGCGTTCTGGGTTCTACACTCGTCGGGGTTTAGCGGGATTCCGTCTCGGTGTGTACGGGGCTTGAGGTGGTCATATTGACCTGAAAAGCGGCGGAGAAGGCCGCGAGGGCGCCGGGGCGCAGGTGGGAGACGGAGACCACCCACTGTGGTCTTTGACCTCTTCGGTTTCCTATGTTCGATCAGCCACCAGCAGAGGAAAACGACGACCAATCCGGAATCATGAGCTACTCACCGGGTTTGCGATCATGACCGCAAACGCAGTGGCTAGGTACCGCTTTCTTATACCACGAGGACAGTGCGTCCTTGCAGATACCAGTACTGGTTATACATCCTCGCGACTGAGCGCCAGGCGTTCCCCAGATCTTCCCTGAGGAAACGCAACACGCACAATTTCTCGTGCGTGTAGTTTTCCCTCAGGGGGGCGACCTGGGGTTCGTCTGCGTCCTCGTCTTCCGAGATGTCGGCTGCGTCTCCTTGCCGGGGGTGTCATCGCCATCGACATCGTCCATGGACGTGTCCATGGCGCCTCCCTGTTCCATTGTGTCATTGTGTTCAGCGACAGATGTCGCTTCCTTATTCGGCTCTTCGGTCGCCACGGCATACATTAGCACTCGCCCATGCACCGCCGCAGCTGGAAGACTGCACTTACCTGGCTCGTCCGTTATCGCCGCTGTCGGGACATCGAAAATTTCCGGGACTGGAGTCATGTTACGAGCGGGCTCTGCGTCTGCCATGTTGTTTCTATGGTGGTGGTGGTGTTAGGATCGGTGGTTGTGGGTGACAGATGTTGCGGAATGTTTTTCTGAAGCTTGATGCATTATAATGATGGAGTGAAAGGATGATTTTGGAGGTGATTCATCAAAGTGATGTGGTTGGAGGATGATGTTGGAGTTATATGTACGGGTGAAGGAGGGAGAGGACGAGAAAGAGAGGAAGAAACCAAGCTGCAACCCGCTAGCGCATTGAAGATGGCAAGCGCTCATCACAAGTCCTTGTGGGCTGTGACTGCTACTTCTTGAATTAGCCGCACAATGGCTTCTTTGACGCTAACGTATTACCATGCGGGGTCGGCTGCGATCACTCATGCACTGCTATCAATCTAGGCATCGTGTCTATTTAGTCAGAGTATTACGCAGTGTCCAGCACCGGCGTGGCTAACTGAGATCATACTTGGAGGCTGCGGTCAGGCATGGACAACTGCAGTCAAGAATGGACAACTGTGGTCACATGGCACCGTGCGTATTCAATGGCTATGTGGCGCCCTGTGCAGTTCAGGCAGCAGTAGAAACGCCTGTGCGCACCCATCGAAGTTTTTGTTTTTCCTTATGTCGAATAGTGATCCAGAACGCTCTCTGCTAAATTACTGTCAGAATATGTGATGTCCGGAGATGACGATGTCCCTAGTATACTCTAGTTTCTGTTCCTTCCCTCGGTTTCTTGGTTTGCCCTACGTCACTCTTTGGGAAAGGCGAGATCGGTGGGTAGGAGAAGCCGCACGAAGCCGCTTTACGAGAGTCGAAGCCCACAATGTCGTGGAAACAGAGTGTTTACATTACTATATTCTCGATGAGTCGCATGCAGTCAATGATTATAGAAAAAACGAAGGTCTACTCGACACGTTTGCGGAAGTCTGGTAAGTGCTGATTTATGCGTATAAATTGATGTTTTCTCTCTCTCTCGACATCATACCAAAACCCATCTAATCTACATAGTTTCCATTGCCGCTGCGCTCACCTCAGCGTCCTAATGTGTCCCTTTGGATAACCTCCAGCCCTCGCTCCCTGGCTCATCTTACAGCTTCGCCGGCTTCGCTTCAACATACAGGCACTCCCCCGTCGCATATACGGTCCCTTCGCCATCCTCGAGCGTACCAGCGACCCACTTCTTCCGCACTTCGCTCTTCGTAATCCTCGCGCGACACACCACGACCCTCGGCGTTGGCAGCGGCTTCTTGAATGTAACATTTAGAAACGCTGTGAAAGCGATCGTGTTTACCGGCGCGCCTAATCCGATGTCAAGGATCGCTGACACCGCGCCTCCGTGTAGAATGCCTTCGTGCCCATTCAGTCCATCCCCCACGGATATAAACGTGCATGTCTCGCTCGGTGTCGCGACGGGAAGGTAGGCGCGGAACGTGTCGTCTGTGTTGAAGGTTACCGCGGTAAGGGAGTCTTCATGGCCATCCCTGGATCTGGGTCTGCCGACGAAGGCAAAACTGACGATCTCAGTGGTAGCCGCGGTGAGAATCGACATCACCCATGGTGCAGAGGTGAAGTCTTTGTGGAGGGCGGAGATGTCGAGGCTCATGGTGGCGTTTATGGCGAGCGAGTAGTGATGCGTGGTTGGCGACGCCAAAGTGCGACTCGGGGATCCTGATAAATCAGTATCTACCCGAGGCTTCCCGTTTTGATGCAAGGATAGGAATCGCGATTGGCTTGTGGTTGGCTTGTGGACGCGCCGAAATTGCGAGGATGTAAGCGAGCTGCATGAACGATCACTCGGATGTGTGCTGCTGTACAGTGGCATCCATATGCTCGCAGCTTCTTCGGAATGTCCTGTCCCTTTTTTCTGTCTGTCTGTCTCTCTATACGCGGATGAGCAGGGTGGAGAGCAATATGGAACCCACATCGAGCTCGTGGCCAGCGGTCGGAGATAGTGGGGTGCAACGGGCGTGTGTACAGCCATGATCTGATAAGGTTGAATTTTACGATGATAAAACAAAAAAACAGACCAGAATCTGCTTCTCGCGAACATGATTTGCCTCCTTTTTCTGTGCTGCAGGCATCATCTTTCTCGCTGGTAGTAGAGTACAATTGCTCGACCATCCTACTGAGTCGCTCGGGGGTCGGGACGCCCCCTGGCCGCCATTCACGGTCGGCTTCGAAGGCGTTTGCTTACGTGATCATTCCCGACCGCCATTCTGGACAGTGCAGGTAACCGCCCGAAAATCCTATGGGCTGGGCTGGGGCTGGTGGGCTGATCTGATAGCTCGGGTTGGAGCCGATGGGCTGGCAGCGCAGCCCGGGTTATCAGTTGGCGTTGGGCGGGCTGGATCCTAGAGTTGGTAGGGTAACCCTACAACAATCGATAGGAAACAGGCTCACGCAGGTGAGACGAAGGACTGAAGTCCTCCTATGTGTGTGATTTATTTTGGATATAGGCAGCGCCACAATGAGCTGGCCGGATCGCCCTCGACGAGACTAGCAGTGAACGGATCGTTGCAAATCACTCTCTACTACACGCGCCGGGCTGCGGACTGGCTTTGATTGGGCTGAGCTGTTGCCTGCACTGATCTGAATTGGCCCTCTGCCTCTTCATTACCTGAACCTTTGCCGCTAGTAACATTATTGTCTCTTCCGCCTGTGTGCATCATAGGTATCACATCAACAGTGTTTGGTGACGAGGATTAATAGTACTAGGACAAAAATAGTTGGACAAAGCCCAGTTTTCACCCAAAGTGGCCATTTTCAACCACTGATACAACAACCCCAACGCATCGAAAAGAATCAGAGACGATTGAGAGACCCCTATAACTACACAGACAACGATATGAGAACTGGGCACGAAGTTTTGAATTGTTGGTGTTGAGCAATACCAAATAGGGAAAAGGTAATGGTTGCCAAGTAGCTTTTTGTATGGGAGCCCCTTACAAAACGTAATGTCACTTTTCAACTCCTGCAAAATACAACATCGTACAGCCCCAATCCATGATGAAAGTCGTCAAAGCTGTTAGTGACGAAGAAGCTTGTGGTTCTAACGGTTCTGTGAAAGAGATGATTTTTGTCGAGCGGGTGGAGGATAGGTTTAGGTTTCGTGAAAATGAGGCATTTTTGGTGTAAAACGGGCTTTGTCCGATCCTTTTTGTCATCGTAGTTCAGCTGAATGGCTACATTACCGGAGATGAATTTCCCTTCATTATTGACTCTTTGGAAGCTTGATACGGGTTATTATTGTCTTTGATCCAGGGAAATTATCTCCAGGTGGACACTCACATTTCAGAGTAGAGCCCCGCATCGCGAACTAGGTCGCCTTGCACGCGCGTCATTCGGCAGCCTGGGTACACAGAACGAAGTGCATGCAGATACGAAACATGCAGAGACAGTTGGCCAATCAAAAAGACCGAAGTACTCATCAACCCCGCATCTTTCGCCAACCGCGCACGTAGTTATCCCTCTCGCGTAAGTACGGTAGGAATGCAGGGTGAACTGCGCGAAAGGAGACCTTTGCTCATGTTAGCAAAAGAGCCGTCTACACAACCCCGCACACCCAAGATCAACTCCTTACTTTTCGTTCTCTACCAGGGCTTAGAGCTGCCTGTCACCTTTTGTTCACCAGTACTCCTTGAAGACTTTGCTTCAATAATTCATTGCAAGCTAACGCGGAACTCTGACATCATTGACTAATGAGTAACGCGTCCTCCAACGATTCGATCGCTCCGGTAGAGCCGGAGCGAAAGACTCCCAAGTTTGTCGTAGGCCTGGACTTTGGGACAACGTGCGTCGATATCTCTCAAACTCACATGCTGACGATGATCCCCACTTTAGATACACATCGGTAGCCTTCGCGCACTCCGAAAGCCAATCGGAGGTAAAGCTCGTAAACACCTGGCCCGGCGGAAGCATCGGTAACAATTCGGCGGATCAAGTCCCGACCAAACTTGACTACGCACAGAGTCCCAAGAAGAGATCATGGGGTTATCAAGTTTCTGATGCCGCAACGACTCCGGCGCCTCGTCCGCTGAAGTGGTCCAAGCTCCTGCTGCAAAGGCCGGATGCCGGCTCTCAATTGGCGGCGAAGCCAGCACAGCGGTCGAGCGAGATCCTACAGGAGCTCGGGATTACGCCTGTGAAGGCCGTCGCAGACTTCCTTGTCCACATCAGGGAGACAACGTTGGCGTGTATCAAGAGAACCTACTGGATGGAGAACGAGGAGGAGTCGAAAGTGGAGTAGATTTTGACCGTGCCAGCGATATGGAAGGACTCGGCAAAGGAGCAGATGATTCAGGCCGCCAGATAGGCCGGGCTTGGCGTAAGAGGGTTGGACTTTGAACTTATTAGTGAGCCCGAGTGTGGTGCAACGTATTCGCTCAAGGCAATTCAGCCAAACAATCTCTCGGTGAGTTCAAACTCCGCAAACGTTTCGGCGGGGATCACACTGCATCTCTGGTGGGCCGCATAACTGCTGATATTGTACACAGCTCGGTGATATTTTCGTCCTCTGCGATGCCGGAGGTGGGACAGTGCACATAACTTGATATCACCATCGTTTGTCAATAGCTAACGCTCGCAAGCGACTTGATCTCTTACAAGATCACTGGCACCGATCCCCTGCGAGTCGAGGAGGTGGTGGCTGGTGCCGGCTGGGGTCATTTCATTCCCGGGTGGCGTCTCGCTAACTTTCCTCCCAGGTTCTCTTTGCGGAAGCGTCTTTCACGACCAGCGATTCGAAGAGTACATCCGGCGCATTCTGGGGGACAAAATGATTGATGCTATGAAGGTCTCTAAATTACAAGGTACCCCACTAGTTACATATTATCGATTGCTGAAAATCCTGCAGCCCCGGTCGAAAGAAGGCATGATGCGTTCCTGGGAGGAAACGGTCAAATTCAAGGTCGGTTCCATATTGCCACACTCGGATGACAGTACGCGGCTCACCATTGACGATCAAAATATTCGCAGTTCGGCAACGAGATATCGTTTGGGAAATTCGAAGTCATCATTCCGGGGGTAGCTGATAGCGAGGAAATGAACTTTGAAGATGGATATCATAGTATGAAATAGTAAGCTCACCCCCTGAACCCGACCTCAGTATGAGCTGAGATCTCGCAGTGAGGATGTCAAGGGGATTTTCGATCACGTAGTAGATCGGGTTATTGCCCTGGTATCGCGGCAGGTGTCAAAGGTTTGGCAGAAAGGCGATAGCGTGAAGGTTTGTTGCGCCTTCAATAGCACCCCAGGATTCTCTAACTAAGGATTCGTACATAGACAATCCTCCTCGTTGGAGGCTTCGGTTCCTCTGAGTATCTGATGAAGCGCCTCGAAGACAAATTTGGCAGCCAAATGATCGAGGTCTTGCAACCAGTTAATGCGTAAGACCTCAGACCGCTACCACCTTTCGCGTACTTCAACGGCTCCATCCAGATGTAACAATAAACACTCGAAGCGCAATAGCCCGAGGAGCACTACTCCGAGGCTTCGATGGCTCGATAGTGATGTCCCGCCGTGCGCCCCGGTACTACGGCGGCAGCTTTGGTACACCGTTTACCGGCGCAATGGAGATGCGACCTCATACCTACCTGAGCGAGGGGTCCAAGAGTGTGCTGGTCCATGAATCGATGGAGTGGTATGTCCGGAAGGTATCCGCCTCCCTACTCCTATACTCCTAGAAACGCAGGCACGTCGGAAATAGTCTACCAAGAGCCGCCATTCAGGGCGCTCTAATTGAGCCATCAGGGTGGTCTGAGTATGGTTGCTATTTAGAAATCCTCGCCAACGCGAAGCCGAATCTCGTCACCAGTTTGAAGCTACACGCCTGTGATGACGATCCCCCTGCCTTCATATGGCAGAACCCGAGCGGTAGTGTTTCTTTGATCCTAAAAAATCTTGCAAGAACACTTGCTCAACTGCTGTAGCCGTCTATCAAGTGTGCACGATGGAAGCAGACCTTAGCAGAATCCCGCGCAGTGAGTTCAAGATGTTAACAAACATTGACAGAGAGAAGTATTACCGCGTACACTTCAAACTTCGAATGACATTGAGTAATGAGGTGAGATTGATGATATTCTTTCACTCGGCTACGCGTATCTAATGGAGTTACTCGTGTAGGTTTGGACGTACGAATTAATGTGTAAGGGAAAGCGCTATGGTGCTGTCGAGACACGGTTCACCTGTGTCCGAAAATACCTGAGCGGACATTCGGGGTAGACTCTGGTGGAGTCGATAAGGGGCGGTCATGTGCAGAGGAATAATTGCAGTGATGTAGAAGAGGATATCATTGTGGACTCGGCACTTTCACATGTACCGAAATAGAAGGTGCCCTTCAGGCTTCGGGTGAGTCGTGACGGTTTCACGTACCTAAGATATGCTTGGCCAGGCCTCCAGGCCAGTGACAAACTCTACCCAAGCTGCCCATGATACAACGACCCGGCGGTGCCACCGCTCATTTTCCTCGAATTTGTCAACTCCCTGTTAGTAACAGGTACCGCATTTATGCTTCTGCAACCTTAAAATAGATTCTAGCTATTTACGAATGTACGAAAGAAAGAATACTGATCACAACTCGCGTTTTACAAATATTCTGTTCCACCAAGTCGACCTCCTTCGGCGGAATCCGAATCCACCCCTTGGAAAGCACTGCAGCGACAATCGCCTGCGTTCCCTCCTCCATCTCGGTGGACCGTACATCCTGCATCGTCTCCTCATCGAACAAATCGCCCACTCCTACACTGTCATCCAGCCGGAAGCTCCCACGCTGACATTTCATCTCCGCGGCGAGGAAGCGGACTGAGCGGAGAGAGCCTCCAATGGCTGGGAGAAGCTGCTCTTGCAAGGTTGCATGCTGTGGAATGGAGCAGAGGACGGCGATGAGTTCTAACGACAGTGAAGAAACGTCTTCCAGAGTTTGCTTGAGTCGCGGATTTTGAAAGAGAAGGGAGGCCGTTTGGGAGCGCCAGATGGCTGTTTTCTCGTTACCTAAGGTGGAATCTGAACCGCTTAGCAGGAATATCGAAATAGAAGTGAGATGGGCGTAGCGTACCACCCTGCTCGAGAAGTGCTTCGAGATCCTTGATGCATTTCAGGATATCCACGTCACATCCTGGCATCCAGACGGAGAATATAAACTTCCCCATAAATGCCCATGCTACGCAGTCGATAAGTTCAGAAAGCCTCAAGAGGCGGATATCGTGAACTCTCCCCCAAAAGAGGTGCTGTGCCAAAATCCGTGGCTCAACCTCGGTTAGAGGCGCGGCACAGCTGCTTTGCTTGAAGCCATTGCGACACCAGCTGTGGATCTACAGATAATGTCAGAAACGTCTCCACTGCATATTCGGAGCATACAGGCCCGCCAAACCTCATGGTGCAACGTTCGAAATCGCCGCACAAAACTCTCATCCGCAATAGGCTCCAATCCCGAGCCGACGCTGTTGACAGCCCTGACGTGTGCTGTCCGGAGTTTTCCCAGCATTTCCCGCTGACGTAGATACTTCTCTGCTTCCTTCTCAGTCCCATCGGACTGTGCTTTCGCGGTATCGCGCAATTCCGAATTCGTCACTTTGAGCCGCTTGTTCAATTTCCTCTCTTTTTGAAACTTCTCGTACCAATATTACGCTGCCTCCCCATCGTACATACTGCGCTGTGGGTGGTCGGGGGTCTCCGCAAAAAACCCCGAGGGGGTGCTTGCTGAAGCCGAGGGAGGGACGCACCAGGGGATGTCGAGGGCGGTAATCCCAGTCAGACATTCGTGTCCATAGAGAGGGGCCCTGATTGCTGTTTGTAACTTGATTTGAACTTCATTCGTCGATGTTGATCGTCTTCCCGCGCTCGCAATCGACTGGCCCGGTTGAGGGGGTAAGTGCGGGTCAGGTAGTGACGCTGTTTTCGCTGGCGTGCGTCTCGGCTCCATCGATAGCATTCATCGTCGCTGAACCGGTGAAGGTCTATATCTGCGTTGGAGATGTTTAGCTTTCGGTGTACTGGTACTTTAGTGGAAGCGGAGGGTGAGATGAACTTGCTCTCTTAGGTTCAGGATGCGAAGGGGAAGTGGCCTGTATACTTTGCTACCACAAGCCGCTACCCCGCAGCCCATCCGCAATAATACTCTAGACACGCGATTACGGTCTGCGGCTGAAACACAGAATTGTACAACCCACCTAGGCAGCCAATCAAGAGAACCGAACAAATAGCCAAGTACCCCGCACGCGACCGACGTCTTGACAGCTCACAACAGCACCAAGTCAGTCCTTCACGTCACTACTCTTTCAGCTGCATTCCTCCGGTTGGCCCAGACCAGATCGATCCATCGTCAGATATCCGCACGGTTCGAAAACGCGAAATGGTTAACGGAAGCGCCGGAGCTGGCGATCGCGTCGCGGAAGAACCGAAAGGCAGCAAATTGGTTGTCGGCCTCGACTTCGGAACTACGTTGCGTCTCTTCACTGATCCTGCGCCTTCATTCCCCGTCTCTAACGGTAGCAGGTATACATCGGTTGTGTTTGCGCATTCCGAAAGCCGACAGGACATAAAATTCGTCCAGACATGGCCGGGCGCCAGCGTCGGCGCGAATTCGGCGAACCAAGTGCCAACCGAAATCGAATACACACCGGAGGGCATCAGATGGGGCTATGAGGTTTCCAGGAGCAGGCCGACGCCAGGATCAGGCCCGCTGAAATGGTTCAAGCTTCTGCTGCAGCAGGAGTGCCACGACGGGGGTGCTGGGTCTGGTTCCAAAGCCCGGCGGTCTACCCACCGGGGGAAGCACGAAGGATCGAGGTGGGATACCCGCGGTAGCGGAGCGAAAAGATCGACAACGGTGGATGAGGCATTGAAAAGGTTGAGTGTATCCAGCTCTGCGGAGCCAACTCGGCCACCATCCCAAATTGCGACGGCGTCTTGCGCCACTTCAGTCGATTCTGCACGCGAGATCCTAAAGGGGCTGGATATCAGAATCGTGACGGTGGTGAGTGACTTTCTGTCCAAAGTTAGGGAGACTACCCTCGACAGTATCAAGAGAACCTACTGGATGTAGCAGGATTTGCAATCCAAGGTGGAATGGGTTCTGACAGTGCCCGCAATATGGAGCGATTCCGCGAAGGATCTGATGATCCAAGCTGCAAGGAAGGCGGGGTTTGGCGAACGGGGCATGGATTTTGAGCTCATCAGTGAGCCGGAATGCGGCGCTACGTACGCGCTAAATGTTATCCAATCGAATAATCTCTCGGTACGTACTGAATCCTCTGCATGCGGCTCATGACTATGCACTTTGTCTACCGTCTGGTATGGCGAACTGAGCAGCTCACTGACTTTCGATCAGCTTGGGGATGCCTTTGTCCTATGTGATGCTGGAGGGGGGACGGTGTATGTACATCGTTCATACGGTAATCCGATTTAGTCGGTACAAGATTAACGAACAAAAGCGACTTGATCTCCTACAGTATCACCGGGAATAACCCCTTACAAGTGGACGAGGTCGTGGCTGGCACAGGTTCGTGTTGCTTCCCGTTCGAGGTACTCCTTTATCAGCATACTTACCCATGCATTCTTCTACTAGGTGCCCTTTGCGGAAGCACTTTTCTTGACAAGAACTTTGAAGACTACATGCGGCGGATTCTGGGGGATGAAACCTTCGATGCTATGATGGTGTGTACCCAATTTTTCCGATCCTTTAATTGCGCGCCCGCTGAATCGTGGATCCGTATGGCTCTAGCCGAGGTCAAGAGCGGCGATGATGCGATCTTGGGAGGAAACGGTCAAATTCAAAGTCTGTTTTTTCTTCCCTCCACAACCAATATCACTGGGCTCACGGCAGTCTTGAAGTTCGGAAACGAGGCACCGTTCTCAAATTACGATATAAACGTTCCCGGCGTGGCCGATAACGAAGAACTGAAAATCGGTGAAGGATGGCACAATATGCAATAGTACGTCATCGGCGGAAACGTCTCATGGGAATGGTCCGAATGGACGCTGACAATCATTTTTCCCAAGTGAGGACGTTCTGAGTATCTTTGATCCCGTGATAGATCAAATTGTCGCGCTCGTGTCTCAGCAAGTCAAGGACGTACGCGCAAAGGAGGAAAGGGTCAAGGTGTGTATTCCCAACCTCGCGGACAAGAGAATGATGTCGATATCCTAATCGAAGATCTTAGGGAATCCTTCTCGTCGGTGGTTTCGGCTCCTCCGGGTACCTCTTGAAACGTCTTGAAGGTCATACTTACCGCGGCAAGAGGATCAGTGTGCTCCAACCCGTGAACGCGTATGACAGCTAGCTTTCACCTTAAACCTGATGGATCCCGGAAATAACATCGAGCACAGACAAACCGCCATAGCGCGCGGCGCGCTCCTCCGAGGGTTTGACGGCTCCATCGTGATGGCAAGACGTGCCACAAGGCACTACGGAAGCAGCTATAACAGCCGAAACTGCAGCTTACCAGAAGCACTGGGTCATATTTACAGATGTCCGTATGAGGACGTCTTGAAGGTTTCTGATAAGATGCACTGGTACATTGTGAAGGTATTATCTCCGCGGTATCTCAAAGCAACCACTACCGGCGTGAAGAGACGAGGAATAACAGCAGCCATCTAGGGCACGGCAATCGGCCAATCCCACCGAACCTTTCGCCGCCACGTCCGTGCCCCACCCGGCGAGGAGCCAGATTTCAAATTCGAGTCGCACCTCTACGCGTGCGATCTCGACGATGCCCCTGTCTACAAATGGCAGAAACGGCCAGGTATGTGACAATGCTTCCCCACTACTCGCGTTTGAACGAACATCTACCTTAACCATCTGTCACATAAGCCGTCTATCGCGTGGGTGAATTGATCTCGGACCTCGGATCCGTCCCCCGCCGCAAATTCGTGAAGAGTAGCTGCACAAATGGCGATACGCTCTATCGTGTGGAGTTCAAACATCGCATGACGCTGGTGAACGAGGTGAGCTCAATATTTCCAGCGGTACGCATGGATCACGTGTAGCTGACGCAGTCACTCGCTCGCGTAGGTCTGGAAGTTCGAGTTGATATTTGACGGACAATGCTATGGGGCTGTGAATATACAGTACACCTAAGCTTGCTGGCATCTGGCTCTGTCGTACCTTGTATGTGTCGGTGAAGGGATCTTTTCGAATGTCCTCGAGCACCAAGCAGGGCGGCGGGCGAGTGATCGGTCATGCGATCGACTAAGGTGATCGACTCAATGGCCGACTCGACGATAAATGATCGACTAGTGATATCTCGAGGGGATATATCATGGCATGACGTTGGAATCCACACATGACTGAATTCGCTTTTTGTTTCTCTGTATCTCCTTACAAAACTCACTCTATTGCCCGTTCCTTTTCATCTGTATCTAAGCATCAACTTCTCTCACACTCTCCATCACTCGCTCGTTTAGATCCGCTGTGACAAAATTATGTACATTTTTATTGTATTTTTTCGTGGAGGAAGTACATAAAAGAGTGGCTCTTTTTCCCCATGTTGGACTGCAGTCGAGTGCAGTCACACCTTGTCCGGCAAAGCGGTTGGCGGAACGGTAGACTACTTTCATCCCGTCCTCCTACAGCTGTTTGGGACAGAACTTCTCCCCTCCCACCCCAGTTGTTCCCATTTCGAACTACTGGAGAGTCTACATCGTTGGAAGAGTATGTCAAAAGCGATCAAACATGGAGTGTATTATTTAGCTTCGTAGCATGTCAAATGAAGAATAATTATTCTAAGAAAGACAGCGTGAACACAGACTAGCACAACGCTCCCGAGGGGCTCCATAGTGACAATTGGGCCCTTCACCCAACCTTCGCACCCTGGTGCGAAGCCCGACCCACTGTGCCATTGGGGTCAATCGGACGCAGCTTCTACATGTCAGCAAAGCTCTCGCATGGGTGTATGGGTGCCGGAACGAACCTCCATGTTGTCCGAAGACATCTGCCCTTCTCTTATGACCTCTCGGGTCGAGCTTCATCGTCATGTGGCCGCGAGCATTACGGTATCGCAAGATACCGTGCATTAGGGACTGCGCAAATGCCCCGGAACTCACCGGCTGGATGTTCTCGGCTTCCGACTCGGACTCGGAGGCGCTTTCTTTTCCTTGGAAGAAATCGGACCAGGATTGAAGTTCTTCTCCATCCAGCGCTGACGAAGGGTGGTGGCCATCTCCAGGGTATCGTCATCGAAGTTAGCTCTTGTAGTAAGAAGATGCAGGGTCGACAAGATTCCGATCTTGTCGACCCATTCGAGTGCGTCTTCTTCGAATTTGATATATGCCAAGCGGTCCAGACCCTGCTTAAGCATCCGAAGATCCTCCATCGTCAGAGAATCGGCGCCCTGCTCGCTGAGCTTCTTATCGCAATTCTGGAAATTGCGTCTCCAGTACAGTAACCGGAAATTTTTGGGCTGGTCTTTCTTCAGTCTCGCAGCTTCTTCGAAAGTCATCCTCTATCCCCTGAATGGTCGGTCCAGGACCACCCAGCCTCCACGTGACGCGACGTCGGTCTCATCTCAGCCCTATGAGTGGAGAATGTTAGTATGAATGAGAATAGTAGGGCGAGAGCTTGACGAACCCCCTCGCGCATAGCTGTCACCCTCCCCCCTTAGGGAGAACATAAGTTCTCCCTTGAAGGTGGGGTTTTGCCTAGCCTTCACGGGGGGGTGTCCTGGGGGGAAGACCTGCTTCCGACCTATCAGTGGAGAATGTTAGTATGAACGAGAAGAGTAGGGGGAGGGATTGACGAACCCTCGCTGACACAGAAAATACCCTCCTCCCCGAGGAAGAACACAAGTTCTTTCCCTTGAAGGGGGGCAGTTGCCCAGCCTTCGTGGGGGGTGGGGAGGTTGCCTGGGGCGGAAGACCTGCTTCCGGCCTATGAGTGGAGACTGTTAGTATGGATTGCAGTAGTAGGGTGAAAGGGTGGCGTACCCGCTAAGAGGTTCTGGATGGACAACCTGTATCCGAGATGCTCTTGATGTTGCTTCGAAAACTCCTTCGAGTCTGTGAGTTGAGGCGGTTGGTATGGATGGGAGTAAAAAGGGAAGAGGGTGACAAACCAGTGAGCAGCTCGCGCATGCACGGTAGGTGTGCTTCATCATGAATGAGGTTGAAGAAAGGAAAAACGTATCTGTATGAAGATCTCGGAAGGTTGTGATGTTGTTAGGTGAAGAGGATGAAAGATGAAAGATGAAAGTAAAAAGAAGGAAGAGGGGGAAGGGAGGGAGGTATTTATAAGAATTGGGGGCAGCAGATTTGGCCGAAATCCTTGGCATGCGCACACTTACAGTTGTGCTTTTACGCTACTAGCGGCGGCCAATTTTCTCTCATAGAATTGTCCCTGTGATCGAGGGCAAATATCATAGTGGTGTCGAGGGAGACTGAGAGTTAGCGCGAGTGTGACGCCTGCGAGCAAAACAAACATGCACAAGCATGCATAAACGAGCAAAACAAACATGCACAAGCACGCACAAACAAGCGAATGCGTCCAGCAGCAAAGATTTGGCCGACATGCTTGGAAGACACACTATCGTGAATTTCCGCTGATTCGCATGTGGGCGACTGGGTGGTCGCGATCGCACGCGTACAGCTGCGTCTCGTCGAGGATATCTGGTTCCTGCTACCTCCCGGAGGCTACGGGAATGTCGGCGTACGCAGCCACGACGCCACTTCGCAGGGCTCGATTATCGCATCCTGGGTACATACGTAGCGGCTTCGATTCTAGTACATCTTTTTTGCGCAGAAATGTGTACGATTATATTCTATGCGTGCACCCAGCGAGCGATGGCCGCAAAGGGCGCTGCAAACGGCTCACGCAGCTGGGAAGGAGTTGTGTGATGTGGATACATCTGGCTCTCGGCCCTCCTAGAGTCAATATTGTACGTAGACTCTACAGCGTCGGGAGTCGCGAGCTGTGACCGTTGCCTCTGCACCGTCTGGAAACGTACTTAATTCTGGAAAATCCTCACTATGTCCGAAAAACCGTGCGAGTCGGGGGAATCGAATATGGCATCGTACGCACGAGTCTACATATGCGTGCTTTTGCATGATTCTCAGGGTGTGCACGGCGGGTGGTCCTGCTTGGAGAGGAGAGGACGAGGAAGAGTGGCTTGCTGTACTACGTCTACGGATAGCTACCTCGAGACTGATACCGACGCCTTGCTACCTATGCACGTGATGCCCTCCTGTATTGTAATATATTGCCCGACTGTAACGTTTGGTATGCCCCAGGCGGTTGATCTGACTCTCTACACCTTCAACCGTTTGAGCGGCGCCTACAGAATGACGAGCTTTGCTGGAAACTTCGCATGTTTGCTCGTGTTTGTTTCGCTCCCATGCCTCACACTCGCGCTAACTGTCAGTCTCACTCGACACCACTTTGAAGTTTGCTTGCGATCACCCGGCGAATACTATGTGAGAAAATTAGCAGCCGCTAGCGGAAACACAATTGTGAGTGTGCGCGTGCCAAGTATTTCGGCTAAATTTCCTCCAGGATTTTCTATAACAGCCCCCCTCCCTTCCTTCTTTTCCTGCCTTCTTCTTTACTTATCTCTCTCTTCACGACAATCTTCTCACTTCCTCCTCCTTTTATACCATCTCTCTCCTTCACCCCAACATAACACTCCCACAGGGGATATCGCATCCATCCGGCATGTAAGTCAACATCACTTCCTGTATCCCGTACTCATCGCTGAACGAATCTAGGACAGCAGCGGACGCGCTGCTAATCGACTGTTTGCCCGGAGCCCTGGCCCCCACCACCTCGGCGGCTCTGCCCCCTGTGCCCTAGCGCCTCGGTGCCCCCGCGGCCGTGCACAACACTCCCACAGGGGATTTACCACCCATCCGGCATGTAAGTCGACATCCTTTCTCTCACCTGTGCTCATCACTGACCGAACCTAGAACAGCAGGCAACAGGGAGCAAACAGACTGTGTGTCCGGGGCTATCGCGCTAGCAAGGGCCGCAAGAAGCGTGGTGCGGAGATCACCGATGCATACTTCGTCCTGTACCACCTCGGCGGCTCTGCCGCCCGGCCCCAGCGCCCCGGTGGGCATCGCGGCCCCAGTTGATGTTATGGACGCGATGAATTCGCCAAAACTCCTTTTGTCTTTTTCATTACATCGTTCGATGCCGAGCTACGACTCGGATAACCGAGTGGGATGGGCGACCCGTGGAGCTTCGGATCCGGAATAACTTCCGGAGTTCGACTCCTTCAGGTCGCCCGACTCCTTCAGGTCGCCCGCGCCCTGGCGCCCGGCGCCCCGGCGCCCCCGCGGGCAACATCCCTCCAACTAGGTACCCAAGTCAACGACAAAAACATTCATTACCTGCACCTATACCCAGAATGCCGATCAAGAGAAAGTTCAACGACGACGTTCCTACCGGCGGAAACGAGGCTGGCGACTCTCACCCGAACGACGCCATGGATCTCGACTATGAAGCGGCCAACACCCCGCACAACGCCGCCTACACCGCGTCGGATCATTAGGCACATTGCTTTGGTTTCTTTTTTCTGTGTATCGTTTGTTTTCACTGTGTATCGTTTCGTTTTACTGTGTATCAATACTACTTGTATTTTCTCATTATTTCCTTACATTGATTTATGTAGTTTCTTTCCAGGTACCTAGTCTGCCTGATACGTAAGATCAAGTGAAGCGTCAGTCGGTGTGTGTGTCGAACAGTAATAGGTGGTGGATTGGTAGTAGAGTAAGTCGTAAAGTGAGCGTTTGCTTCCCGCTTCGGCTCGGGTTAACGGCGACGACTAGTTGAGAATATGCTACTCTCAATGATGTGCCGTCCCCGTCATCGCGGCGCACGATAAGCGGTGGTTACACAAAGAACAGCACCATTCCTGCGCTTCGAATGGGAGGTTGCGAAGAATTTATGATGTCGTTGACGATAACTCCATGTGAATAATGAGCTGAACGCGAGATTCTCACCCGCCGTTTAGCCGCTCGTTTTTGACCATAGTATCGGAGGTAAAGTACCAGCAGTCATGGTGGGTCGCCCGTCGCCGCTAGCCCGCACCCCGACTATCAGGGAAAACAAATTCACCGATCTAGTTAGGTCGCATGCAATCAATGATTAAACAAAAAAAAATCACCATGAACGTAGCCGGCTGCGTGTATACAGCTTGCGATGTTCGGCGGGTCAAGTAAGTTGGGAGAGCGTGAACGGACCCACGCTACGGCGGTCGCAAGTGGACAAATAGCCAAACATGTGCGTTGTGCATTTGACATTTTACATTTGACATTTTGCTACGCGCCGTCTTGCAACGCACCGTTTTGCAACATAGCGCTGGTCGCCCCACCCCACACCACAACAGAGCGACCACCGAGACAAAAAGAGGGAGGAAAATAGAGAGCAAAAGACAGAGAAAAAGAGAGCTGAAAAGAGAGCTGAAACGAGAGCTGAGAAAGAGAGCGAAAATTGCGGGAGAACGGTGGGTGTCAGTGAAGAGCGGAGTTTGGTGGGGTGGAGATGGGTTAGGGTTTAGATGTCGCAGAGACTATGCGACATACGGTAAAGCAATGTCATCACCACCATCACCTCCACAGCTTCCTCCGCCACTGGAAGGAGCCCAGAAGTAGTTGATATCATCAAATTTGAGACTCCGAGTGATATCTGATAATACAGGTTGCAGGCTCCTACTCGGAGGGGCCAGCCCGATCCCTAACAGGAGACAACGCTCGCCCTGCCTCCCCGCTACCCGCTCCCAGAGCTCGTCCGCTCCCAGAAAGCGTCCGCCTCCTGAGTATCGGCTGCTGGCTCCTCTGCTGCCAGCTTCGCCCATTCGTCTGCCTTTTCGTTGCCAGGGACATCCTTGTGAGCGGGGCACCACCGTATGTCAATCAGCATGTCCGGTCTATTCTTCCGGAGGAAGAGATCTAGCGGTGTTAGCAGTACTAGCGGTGTGGGTGGTGATGGTGGTGGTGACGGTGATGCTTCGCAAACAAAAACGTACGGTTAATGGTGGAGATGGCACCGTTTTATCCATTCGGCCTACCTAGTTTCTGTGACACCTAAACCCTAACCCATCTTCACCCCACCAAACTCCGCTCCTCGCCAACACCTACCGTTCTCTCGCAATTTTCGCTCTTTTTTTCCGCTCTCTTTTCCGCTCTATTTTTCTCTCCCCTAAGCTTTCTCTTTTTCTTTCTCTTCTCCTCTCTCTTTTGCTATCTCTTTTTCTCTCTCTTTTTGTCTTGGTGGCCGCTCTGTTGTGGTGTGGGGTGGGGCGACCAGCGCTGTGTCGCAAAACGGTGCGTTGCAAAATGTCAAATGCAAAATGTCAAATGCACAATGCACATGTTTGGCTATTTGTCCACTTTCGACCGCCGTACACGCCACCATATCACCTGAGAACAACGTCAGCTGGGGTGGGTGAACGTTCGTTGGAACGCTTTTGGGCGAAACATCACATGCAGAAATCAGTTTGATTTTAGTGTTATTTATTGCTAGCATGTGGCCTACCTGAACAATAGTAGTATCTACACCCCGTCCGCTCCCAGACCTCTTCCCCAGCCTCGCCCTTGACTGGCCCGTTCCCAACACTCTTGCCCTGCCTGGCCCTTGACTCGCCCGTTCCCACAACTATTCCCTAGCCACGCCCTCCTTGACTAGCTGTTCGAACATCTCTTCCGCGGCCTCGCCTGGCGCCCTCGACTCTTCCTCGGTCTAGCCTCCGCTCCCTGGACTCTTCCGTGGCCCTGCCGTGCTCCCTAGCCGCCTCGCCGCGTTCGCCCTTGACTAAGACACCATGAAGAGTAGGAGTTTCTGGATGGTTGACCACTCCAACGAGAGGACACGCAGGATCGAGAGGTAACGCAGGCACATAGGTGTCTCCAATCACACACGAAATAGCCAGGGCATTGGTCGTTCGTATCTGGAAATGACTGGGCATTGTTCGTTCATATCTGGAAATGACTAGGCATTCACTCTGTGCAATAGCCCCAGGACGTTTCCAGCGTTACTAGAGTCAGGACCGCCTACACGCCCGCAACGGATCTTTTTATTCCCCTGATGTCCGTCGGGTTACACAAAGCTGATTTTGCAGAAACATTCTTAGAACAGTAAGTAGAAGCAACTCATTAATATAGACTCCTTCTATTGCACCAAATCCTCCTCACAGAGCGCAGCCGACATTTTCTCAATTGTTATAACATCCTCCTTCGTAGCTTAGATTCATCTTATTTGTACGTACGACGTATCTTCCTTCGTAGCTGCGACGCATCAACTTCATTAGCTATGATTCAGTCTTTTTCGTACTGGCGGTGTATCGTTATTCGTACCTGCGACATATCCTCCATCATAGCTACAATCATCCCATTTCTTTGCCGGCTTTCCCAGCACCTCAAGCACAATATCTTCCACCGGCCCAGGCAGCAAAAATAATCGCACAGCGAGATCAAAGATCCGCGCTGCGCGGACCACATGTTGTGGCCCCCCACACATCGCCGGGAGAATGCAACGTCCACGCCATGCAGGCCAGGTCCGTTGATCTCCCCTCGTACACCGACACGGTGCTGGCGTCTCGACCGTGCTGACATGGAAAGGTTACGAGAGGTCTTCGCTGCGCTTCCAGAACCAACCCAGGAACGAGTGCTTACTCTCTCTGGTCAGCTCCCGGGAGACCGGCTTCGACCGGTATACCGAGTGGGATGTACTACCCGTGGAGCACTTCGGATCCGGATTCACTTCCGGATCTCGACTCCTTCAGGTTGCCCGTGCCCTGGCGCCCCGACGCCCCGCGAGCAACATTCCTACAGCTACCCAAGTCAACGACCAAAACATCCGCAACTTAGCACCTCATCCCCAGAATGCCGATCAAGAGAAAGTTCGACCGTCGGAAACGACGCTCGCGACTTTCATCCGAACGACGCCATGGATCTCGACCATGAAGCGGCCAACACCCCGCACAACGCCACCTACACCGCATCAGCTCATTAACATTGTTTTGGTTTTTTTCTTTCTGTGTATCGTTTCTTTTTACTGTGGATCGTTTCTTTTTACTGTGTATTCAAATTACTTGCATTTTCTTATTACTTCGTTAAATTGATAAATTTCCTTCCTCCTACCTAGTCTGCGTGATGTTTTGGATCAAGTGAAGCGTCATTCGGTATCGAACAGTGCCGGGTGGTGAATTGGCAGTCGAGTGAGTTGTAATGTGAGCGTTCGCCTCCCACTTCGCCTCGGGTTGACCGCGACGGCTGGTTGAGAATGTGGTACTCTCAGTGATGTCCCCTTCCCGTCGTTGCGTGACAGAATAAGTGGTGGTTATGACAAAACAGGACGATTCCAGCGCTTCGCATGCGAGGTTTCGGAGAGTTTATGACGAACTCTGTCTGTATAGCTTGATCGTATTAATGTGCTATTAACACCCCGCTGTTTATCCTATCGTTCATGACAACAATATCATAGGCAGAGTCGCGACAGTCATGGTGGAGCACTCATCCCCGCGCGCCATCAGCCCGACCCGCTTTCGCCGTAAGGCTGCATGCGGCGGTGATGCGACGGGAAATAGATACATTGCTGAACCGAGCCCGCTACCGAGACCGTAGACATGAACCATGCAGAGCCCTTGTATTGCCATGGTCGGTATAACTGACTACACTGACCGCACACCCGCAGCCTTCGTCTATGAATTGACATGTGGCGCTTCTGGCGAGGGGCGGAGATCACCCGCGAGACGTTTCATAGCCGCCCACGTGCTCACCTGAGATCGAACGCTGGAGTAGCTTCGGCGGCCTCGATGGTCTCGGTGGTCTCGGTGGTCTCGGTGGTCTCGGTGGTCTCAGCGCAGTGATCCCCGTCCCCACCCATGCTCTCGTAGCAATCACTGCACTCGTGCTGTGTCACTTCGGATCGGGTTCTCGGCGGGTTCTCCAAGTTACAGACGTGTAGAATTGGAGGATGACAGCATGATCCGCAAATTCCTGTCCCTTGTCAACTTAAGATGCGCACCCGGCAAGTGAGCGCGCCCAGTCTTTCCGCTAGTTACCGTCGGGTGAAACAAGTTATTATGAAGGTAGGCGACATGCATATCTCGGTGCCGACATCATGAGATTACCAGGACTGTGAGACGATCGCTGTTACTAGTGAGCTGATGCACCAGCGGAGCGGAGAGGAGCAACTAATCTACGAAGAAGAAATCAATCGTCCGGAGCTCGGAGAATGGAGAGATTGGTCGATTTATTGGGCGAGGTATTTAAGCATATTCTGACCGTCGATATGAGGGGGGGATATTGCTCGACATTCGCTCTCTACGCTCTGCTGGACCGGACCACACTCTCTTATCGCGCGATACTTCGGTTACTTTACACTCATTCATTTTTCCTTCATTCTCTCATTCATTCACTCACTCGCTCCTTCGAAATGACCATCCTTCGCACCATCATCACATCGCTCCCGTTACTCGCCGGCGTGAACGGGCACCTCTCGATGTGGAGCACATCCATGTTCGGGCTGGACCCCACCAACATCAACAGCGACAACGCCTCGCAGCCGCTTCAGGACTACACCTTCAACCAGTGGTGGTGGCACGGCGCGCTCGACCTACCGCCCGCAGACGGCGAAGTCTTCGAGCTGAAGCCCAACTCCACTGTCGACGTGATGATCTCCTCGAACAAGGGCCACACACCGCTCGGACACGGCTGGTACGACGAGAACCCTCGCGAAGGTACCTCCCTCCCTTCCTCCCGCACCCTCTCCCCTGCTAACCCACCCCCGCAGCACCGAACCCATGGACCAACACCAACGGCTGGGGCAACATGCACGCGCCTTCCCGCCTTGATGTCGCGGGGTCCGCACTCGCAATCGCGTACAAATCCACTTCCCACACTGTCATGCCGGCGGACTTCGTCGTCTTCTCGGTAAAGTACGACTCTCCGGCGCGCCAGCTAGAAACCTTCGCCGTCCCCGACCTCCCCGCGTGCCCCAACAACCGCTGCATGTGCGCCTGGTTCTGGATTCACGCCAGCGCAGGCGGGACGGACCAGATGTACATGACGCCCTTCGTGTGCAATGTTACCGGCGCGACGAATACAAGGAAGCTGGGGAGGCCGGCGGCACCGTGGAAGTGTGAGAATAATGCGACGGAGGGATGTATGACTGGCGCAAAACAGCCGATGTATTGGATGAATAGGGAGGGGATGAATATGTTCGAGCCCGGCCATTATGCGCCAACGTATGCTGAGCCGTTGTATGGATTCGCCGATGGCGCGCAGACGGATATTTGGGAGGATGGGAGGAACGCTACGCAGGCGGAGGAGGTAGAGAAGGCGGATGATTTCCAGGTCCCGGCGGTGCCGGCGTCTACTTTGGTAACGTTTAGGACTGCGGTTTCTACGGTCGCTCGGACTGCCACCACCACTCCTACTGTGGCTTCGTGCAATGCGCGGGGTTCCCAGCAGTACGCTCGTCGCAAGGGCAGGACATTCTTCTGATCGTACCAGCAGCACGGTGGGTGGATGACCGGGAGTATAATTAACGGGGAGAGAAGTAGTACATAGAAATGTAAACGTGATGTACATTGTACAGAGCGATTTTGCTGCTGGAATTTTCCCACGCGCGAAACCTGCGAAACCCGCGAAAACAGCTGGTCCTGCGAAACCCGTGAAAATAGCTGGTACAGGCTGCAGCTTGCAGACAGTCGGCACACCCGGATACGGAAATTTTGACCATCATGGTCATCCCACGCAACGCACCCATGGATATAGACGGAAGCACCGGAGGCTGCGGGTGGATGAGCAGGACTGCGCACAGCGGTGCTCGAGGACCATGAACCATCACCCAACCACTGCAGACATAATGACACACCGCCTGACATCCCCAGCCAGCTGCACCTCCGGTGATGCCTACAGGATACCTATATATCCCTCCAACTCCAGCAGCCCGGTAACACCCACTCTATGATACGAACTGCATACCCCAGATAGCCGGCAGGGATCGCTATCTACCATGCGTTGTCTAGGTGAAACGTGCTATGGGAGAATACCCGTATTCAAGGTAGAGTACTTGATTTCCGGGATCTTGGGAGTCAGTCGTAGGACTACGGGCCGAAGACGGGTGGCGAATGCCGGAACGTATGTGATGGGAGCTAAGGCCGGTCGCAGAGTGACCCGGCCCCAGAGAGGTTCGGTATCGACTCTTGGTTCTTGATCGATCGACTCGTTGGACTTGGTGGACTCTTGGTGGACTCTTGGTGGATGCGACAGGTCACGCGACGGCCGACCACCCAGGATTGAATGCGGATCTGTAAGGACTGGAAGGACTGGAAGAACCGGTAGAACCGGAGGTCCTGAGTGCGAGTCGGTGATGCTCGCACGTCGGATAGGTGAGTCAAGGCGGATAAATGAAGGCGGAGATGCGAAAATGACTGTACTTGTATTGTGGCTACGATATTTTCGTCGGCAGCACCTGAGTTAGTGTGATGACTAGAGTGCGAGGCTGCGAACCCGTGGTGATCGTCGACATGCTAGTTACAGCGATTGATCTCTTGTTTGCCTTATCGTTTTTGATCAGTAGTGAGAGATGGGGGCGGCTACGACTCAGCGGTGATAACTATCAATGGCAGCAATGGTGATTTCGAAGTATATACTTTGTTCAAAGGCCGGCCGCGGGTGGGCGGTCTGTGAAGGTTCCGTGTGCGGATCGAATCATCGTCCTGTACGTCTTGTCATTAGGGGTGTCGCGGCGGTTCTGATAATCCGATTGCACTCAGCTCTTGGCTGGGTCTGTACGAAGAATGGAGGATGGTGTTGCATCGTGGATTAATAGGCAAGCACTCGGAGTTTCCTCGTCGGGTGCCAAAAAAAAGTGAAGAGCTGCGCTTTTTTTTTCCAGCTGGATACATGTATGCACTATCTGCGAAGCTCCAGCTGCAATTTGACGTATTGTACCCCCTTATCGTGTGTCTGGCCAGGTTATTTCTCCTCTCATCGTGCCGCACTGGCGACGGTTGGATAAGAACCGGTGATGGGTCCCGGCTCGTAGGCGGAGCATGCACACCCGACCTGGTATGTACATGAAAGAGGAATTATCTCCACGATGCAGCAGGACAGAGCTCCAGCTAATTTAACATATTCCACAGACCCGCCGTGTCCGACCAGATTTTTCACCCTCTTATCGCCGCACCAGTGACTGTTGGGTGAGAACCGGTGATGGGTCCCGCTCCCGCGCAGAGCATGCACTCCCGAGTCCCGAACTCGTGTGTACATGAAAGACGAATCATGAACACTTTCCAGAAGGGTGGTTGACTTAACAGTGTATCGCAGCGGCTCAATAGTAACTACGAAGATACCCTCAACTGAGAAATCAAGTCGTCAACGACTCCACACGACGTAGTTGTGGATGCAGCCGGCGCATGCAGTTCTGACTCCTGAGCTCGTATAGGGAATGTTCGCTGCGAAGCAGCACGCCGCACAGGTGACAGCCAAGGAAACAAGGCATGGTGCGTCCGACAGTCCGTGCGACGTTGCGTGCACACCAGAGTCAAGCGAAGCCTGGAAGGTGGGCATTCCTATCCTCGGCCCTTCCGGGAGCCGGGGCTGGCAGCTTTCATCGTCATGTGCTCGTGTGCGCGATGCGAGGATTCCCCGCTAGGACCTGGAGGTTGTCGTTCTCCCCCGCGACTCTATGAGCTTGCTTCTCGATCCTCGATTCTCAACTCTCGCTTCTTGAGGTCTGACGATTGCCGATGGTCGTGGTGGTCGTTGTGGCTATGCTCAGTGCTCACGAGTGACGAGTCACGATCAGAATACGAGCAGAGGACCATGTGTACTACGTAGCACTCCACAGCGCGACCAATGATGGCAGCCGGCACCTCCGGTCTTAGATCAGGTCGCGCAACTCTCGTGATTCTCCTCAACCACTCGGAGAGCCGGAGTTACCGTATCGTGGGCAGTGTTATGGATTATATTTATCACAGCTCCGACCAGTGTCCACACCCGGTTCGTATTCTACCTCTGTCTACGTCGTACAGCACCGTGTGACGATGCGCACCCCTGGTCCCCAGGCCTGCCATCGCACTGTCAGTGTCAAGCAGTCGCCTCCCGCGTGCTCCCGGGCCTGTCGACACCCGTACCAGCTCTACCGAGGCCGAGTTGCAGCAGCGAACCTTATTTCACGATGAGAGCCAATATGTTCAAAACCATCAAAACCATCAAAACCATCAAAACCATCAAAACCATCAAAACCATCAAAACCATCAAAACCATCAAAACCATCAAAACCATCAAAACCATCAAAACCATCAAAACCATCAAAACCATCAAAACCATCAAAACCATCAAAACCATCAAAACCATCAAAACCACCACAGCTCCGAGGCGATAATGCCAAGCATTCTTGATTGCTACTCGTACTCATACTGTCGTACATACACCAATGACCAATGACCATATCCCGGTAACCCCACAGTTCCGACCACATCCGCAGCACAATCCAATCACCGCAGACTTCCCCAGACTTCCAGTACAGTGGATACCGAGGGACATCGACGTCGACATCACCCCTGAAAAAGCGCATTAAAAAAAACAAATCGAAGAAAAATACCCCCCCGCCCAGCCGTGACCCCGCATCCTCGCCGCGTCTACCATCTCCCACCTACACTACCGCTGGCTCCTCCAGGGGCGGACACTCCTGCGCAGGCGGGCCCTTAACACCACACATCTCCGCACACCTCTGATTAATCCCATTCTGGCAATAGCAGCTCTGTGGCCAGATGAGAACACACGCCTGTCCGCCCTGACACTCTGCAAAACAATCTTTCGGTGGTGTTGTGGGCGGAGGCGCAGGCTTGACTCTGCAGTTCTCCGGCGTCGGCGCCGGCTTCTGCTTGCACTGCTTTGCGCACCGTGCGATCGCCGCGTTCCAGCAGAGGCAGGATTCGGGGAATGAGGCCAGGCAGGAGACCGCGGCGGCGCAGCCCGACGTGCACTCGTTCGGGAGGATCGTGCCTCGAGGTCGGGCTGAGGGTGCGCCGAGGGTGAGTGCTACGGCGGAGATGAGGAGGAGGAGTGTGTGGAGGGATTGCATCGTGTGTGGTGGTGGGTGCGTGGTGGGGTGAGGAGGAGTGCGTGGTAGTGCGTGGTGGGGATGGGGAGGTGTGCGGTATGCGTTGGTGAGGGTGAGGGTGGAGGAGGTGGAAGGTATCCGCCTCTTCGTCTGCGAGCTGCGGTGGGTACATATACCCCTCTGCCGGCTCCCAAGCTATTCCAGCACAATACCAACGCGTATTCCGTGCGGTCAAGTGGCAGCATCAAATCCAACACGAGGCTGGTACTCTATATTGCCTGCTCCACTCGCCTCTGCATTGTCCGCCAACTACCGGCCCGCGGGACGGCTCGCTGGCTCGCTGGCTGGGTATATGCAAGGCTTAGTACATATGCGCTCACGTCGCACGGGGCGCATGGGCGGAATCGCCCACACGAGCTCGGCGCCGCATGCAGCCGGATACGGCGGTGTCGCCGCTGCAGAAGGAAGGGGGCACCCCAGCCCGGCGTAACTAATGACCAGATGCGATGTGCCCATGAATAGCATCTGTAAGGAACGGCTCAGTTGGAGGTTCTGTTGCTCAGAGAAACAGCCCGAATCGCGAGTGAAAGACTGCGACTTCTGCAAGAGTGGCAACGATATCTTGACTCACCTAAATCTTGGCCGTATTCTTCGCCACAACCCAGCGTGAGCTTCCGCCGGTAACCCGCTATTGCACCGCGCTCCTTGTTACCGTAAGCAAGCAGGTATCCCGACCGACCGACGCTTGGCATCGACTCTCAATTACACTTCGGCACTTGAGTGGGGTCGATGTCTCTCTGATCCGGGCCCCCCTTGCATCCCCTGGAACATCAGACTCTGGTCTCTCAATGCGATTCGGTAGTCGGTACGACAGGCCACGGCCCAGCTTCGGTGGCTTCGGGGGTCTCGCGAGAAGCGGGGAGACGCTAGTAATAGTTGGAACTTGGCTGGAGTCTGGAAAGCCAAGCTTTGTGATGCGGAAGTGGGTTGGCAGCTTGGCATGGCGGGGATAGGGTTGCGGTCGCCGGTGATGCGTACCGGCAGCGCGGCGTGCCTGCTGCCGGTGAAGAACGACATAGATATCGAAGTAGTGGCTGGCGCTGTAATCGGTAGTTCTATGTCGTCGCTGGGGCTTTCGTCAATGGACGATCTCTCTCTCTGTCTCTGCCAGCGGATGTGTCGTACCCTTGCCTTGCCTCGCCTGGCCTCGCCTCCCTCGCCTCGTACTTCGCGGAAATTAGTGCCAAGGCGTGCCACGAACAACACGTGACGTCACGACTCACCACAGCGCTGACCTATTTACGGAGAGACACCCTTCCTCACACCAACATAGAGAAACAATCGCCATCGCCATCGCCATCTCGTGCCATAGAGGCGGATAGAGGCGGATCATGTCTCCGGCCCGTCGGGTCGCGGGTGCGACTGTCCGTCTACACAGTTCGAATTGGCCCCCCAGTGAGGTGATCACAGGACTCGCTTATCTAGAGTACGTGCACTACTAGTAGGTATCTCGGTGACAGCGAAGCCCAAAATCCAATCCGCTCTCTTCCGACATACTCCCGGCTGCGTCAGGAATCAGGATCAGCCTGAATTGTTGCGCCACGTTGAATCTCCCGCGCACGATTGATTTTCGGGAGTCGGGAAATATTCCGCACCTCCGCACCGGATACGGCAGGCTTCTGGACGGTTGCAAAATAGTTGTGGAGAGGAGACGGTCTAGATAGCGATGAGAGTGGCTTCGCGGCTACGGTCGTCGGTTGTTTGCACGTGCATACGGACTGCTGACGTCATCACCTGGTCGGTGGCTGGATGCAACCACATTCATCGCGCGCACTCGCTGCCATTTTTCAACTCTCTCGAAGAAATGAATCGCACGTCCTAAGTCGGGATCGCCACACTACTTACTTTGGCCGTGACTGGGGTTACAGGTACCTCGATGCCGCTGTGATTTTTGGCTTCGAGTGAGTTAATCGTTTACCTCACTGTTTGTCCTCCCGCATACGGCATTGGCCCCCCCATCTCTCCGCGTCGCTTGCCGCCTATCTGCTCTCTGGCTTCACCCATTTCCTCCCTCTTTCAACCTCGTCTCTTAAGCGACTCCAGCCACCGTGCCTGGCACCGTCCTCATTTATCCGTCCCACTTACACCGCACGTGCACCTACCCGCCGAGTCCCGACTCACCGTAGTCGTCCCCAAACTATGCATACCTTGACGCGTGGAAAAATCAAAAGCCTGCTGTCGAAATAAGCTTTTAATGATCGCCAGGCGATCTCCGGGCACCGGAGGTGGGCAACTGGTTTGCAGATTGTGCGGGGAAGACATCACTGTCCCACAGTTCCGCAGTGCACACACGTTTCCCAGTATAACTAATCACCGATTCACTGCACTCTCGCCGCTCACATGTAGATACTTGATACTGTGTAAAAGCCGTACAAACAACTACTAAGATTCTCTTTTCGCATGATCTCGCTCAGATTCCACTCGTGGTAAAACAGTGCCATGACGTAATCTGCTCCAGCCCTCCATCTCAAATTCTCCAATGCCCATGCCATCCACCAGCACCACCGCTCTTCTACTCGTCCTCTGCCTCCTTCCTCAGCTCCCACAGCTCCTCCACCACAGCCTTGCTCTCAATCTTGCGCCTCTTCCGTCTGCGATGCTCCTCCTTGCTGAATCCAGGCCCATACTCCGGCTCGTGTGGAAAACAAAAATCCTCGTCGTAGCCGTACTCTTGCGCCTGCTCCTCCAAGCGTCTGGACTCCTGTTGCAGCCTGCGGATCCGCTCGCCGACATGCTCGATATCCCTGTACATCTTCTGCTTCTTCCAAACTGGCGGAGCGGGCGGCAGCTCCGGCGCAACGATGAGCTTGCCCGTGGGCGTGAACGTGACCTGCGCTCCCCTTGGAGGGGTATCCCCGCGGCCCGCGATCGGATCCCGTCGCAGAACGACGATGACCCACAGCGGCGCGTACGTAGCGAGGGAAAAGAACGTGCCGACCGTCCTGTCGTTCCACAGCAGGGTGGTATCGTTGGTATACGAGAAGTTATACGTCGCGCCGACGCTGCGGGCGAGCGCCTCGTCGGCGGCGTTGATGTTCCCGCGGTCGTCGGTGATGGAGCCGGAGCCGGAGGTCTCGAGCGGCTGGACGACGCAGCCGTAGAAGGCGCGGGGCGCGCGGCGCGTGCTGCAGAGCGCGGACACGGCGTCGAAGAGACACTGCATGCTAAGTGAGGGGAGCGACGAAAGCGCCCGCCGCGCGTAAATGTCGAAGAGGTCGTAGCAGTCTGGGATGCCGTGGCGGGAGCGGTGGCCGTCGCGGTCGGGGTCGACGATTACTGCGATGAAGGGGGTGTCGATGGCGGTAGTGATGGGTGCGCTGGGGACGCTGGCGGGGAAGAGGACGAGGTGTGTAGCGACCCCGGGCGCCTCGCCCTTCTCGGGGATCGGCGGCGGCAAGAGCTTCGGAGGGAGTGGGTACCACTTCTGCTTCGTCTCCTTGGGTTCGGGCGCTTCGCTATCCTCACGCTTGACCGGATCTTGAACCTGCTCCTCGGACTGTTTGCCTCCCGCAATCGTGCCGCTGGCTCCCGCCGGACTCCAGAAGTTCACCTTGGGCTCCTTCACCGTCGTCGCCTCTCCCTCGTTCTCACCCTCCGTCTCCGGTGCCTCGACGGCGATAGCATTAACAGCAGTGCGCGTCTTATCGCAGCAGTCACTGACGAACCTGCGGAACCCGCTCCACCAGACGAAGTGCGGGCCTTTACGCTCATTCCTGTGCTCCCACATGTGCTGAAATTGTGCGAAATGCTTCACGCAAGTAGGATCAGTGAACAGGATATCGTGCAGAAGTCTGAGGCCATTCTCGTCGCCGATCCCGCGCAGTCCGTAGATGCGAATCAGCGCACGGATGTGCTCCGCGTAGAACGAGCGCGCACGGCTCGAGGTGAAGCGGAGTAGCGACTTCCATGCGTCCGTCTTGCTGGGTGTGCTGACGTCTTTCGAGGCGCGGGGTGGCATGGTGAAAGGCGGTGGGATGTGCGAATGCCTTGATGAACTGGGTGAAGGGCGGATCGGTGGAGGGACGGCTGTCGCTGTCACGTGGCGGCGCTCGACAGGGGTGGGGGAAGACGGTATGGGGGAGAAGGTGGGGGGGAGCTGGTGAGAGGCGTGGGGGGGACAAGGTGGGAGAGGTGGGAGGGTTGGGCTGGGGGGAAGGGGGACGGGGGGGCAGGGTGGTGGGAGCCGCTGTCTGTTGCGTGTGTGCAAAGACGATCGGTTGTGTTGGTGGAGTGCGAGCCTTGCTGTCGACTGAGCGGGCGAGCAGAAGTCTCTTCGCTGCCGCAGGAGTGTGTTTGCTCTGGCTACCAGCAACTGCAGGTTCTACTACTACCACGTACGTCGGGAGTAGCGGAGGTGTGATATGTACGATCAAGTCTAGCTGCCGGAGGCGAGACGGGCACATGACCTGCGCGCACTCCTACCAATCGAGCGGAACGGAATGTTCGAACACGCTGCAAGGTGTGTATGATACATGCACCAAACCTACCACGCCCAAAGACCCCACCGTAAACAAAGCCATCAAACGGGCGCTCACATCTCTCAGCCAGCCATCGCACATGCGACGCAGTTGCCCATACCACGCCGAGCGTGTGATCGCCAGCAGGAAAAACCCAACCCCCTGCGACCGAATACAGAATGTAAAGCATCATCGCTGGCGTTGCCTGTAGCATGCGACGCAAGGGGCCCCCGTCGCTGACAATGGAGGAAAAATGTGTACGATTATATGGTATTCGTGCACCCAGCGAGCTTACGCCGCAAAGGGCGCCGAATAGGGCTCACGGAACATGGAAGGAGACGTCTGGTGTGGATGCATCCTGGCGCTCCTGGAGTCGATATCGTACGTAGTCTATAGATACAGAGTTGGGAGTCGAGGGTCGTGACCGTTGCCTCTGCACTTTGAAGAAACGTTCTTGGCTTTAGACTATTCTTGTCAAGAATATGGATGATAGGGACAGGGATGGATAGATAGATAGATAATGTTCGGTTGATTCTCTATTTCGTCGGGCCAGAGAGGCCCTGTATATACACGTTCGTCTTGTTCAAGGCAGAATACTCTTACGGAGGAGATACCCAGGTCCTTCGACCCGGTGGAGCCTTTCGGATCGTGAGTCTTCGAGACCCTTCCGGATCGTGAGTCTTCGAGACCCTTCCGGATCGTGAGTCTTCTAGAGCCTTCCGCACGTTTAAGTTCGACAATTCTGACCCTGTCGGACAAACGGTGCGAGTCGGGGGAACCGAATATGGCATCGTACGCACGATTCTACATATGCGTGCTTTGGCATAATTCTCAGCGTGTGCACCGCGGGCTGTCACGGTACGAGAGCAGAGGTAGGAAGGGTGAATTAGTGTGTTACGTCTACCGATAACTACCTCGAGGCCAGTATTTCTGTTTTGCTACCTATGCGCGTGATGCCCTCCTGTGTCTTGCCCCTATGTAATGTTTCGTCTGCTCAGGTCTGTAGATCTAACTTTCAACACCGTCAACCTTTTGAGCGGCGCCTACGGAGTGACGAGCTTTGCTGGAACATTCGCATGTTTGCTCCTGGCTGTTTTCTTGCTCCTGGCTGTTTGTTTGCTCCTGGCTGTTTGTGTTTGTTCGTGTTTGTTTTGCTCGCATGCCTCACACTTGCGCTAACTCTCAGTCTCACTCGACACCACTTTGAAGTTTGCTCGCGATCACGCGGACGATACTATGTAACGGAATTGGATCACGCGGACAATACTATGTCAAAACGTTCGCTGCCGCTAGCGGAAATTCACGATTGTGCGTGCGCGCTTGCCCACGATGTCGGCCAAATCTCCATGATTTTCTATAAGAACCCCCCTCCCTCCCTACTTTTCCTCCTTTCTTCTTTACTCACCTCTCTTCACAACAATCTTCTTACTTCCTCCTACTCATGCTTCATTCTTTCTGCTTTTCTCCTTAGCCAACTGGAACTTTGTCCTAATCCATTCATATGCTGAGGGCATTCCCGAAATGATGGCTGCCAACTAGCAATAACTGCAGTGGTTTGTCACCATCTCTCGCTTCCATTATCCACACCAACAGTCTTTACTCTCAGTGTCAAGCAGTGTCTGAAGGAACGCTTCGATATGAAGCGTGCCACTAAAACTGTGGCGGTGAAGGTGGAGCAAACGCTCCCCTTGTTCGGGGTTTGTCACACTCTCCCCCTACTGTCTTCCCCACTAACATCATCGAATCATAGTTTAGAAGAATTCAACGCTTCTTCTGGTGGCCTTGAGGAGATTGGAGGGGAGAGGGGTGTACAGGTTGCGATCAAGCTAGTGCTTAGTTGAGGGGGTTCGTCGCCCTGTCTCCCTACAATTCTCTCCGCTAACCACCTCCACTCACAGAGTTGAAGAATTCCATCCCCGGTAGCAGCACCAACGGCAATATGTCCATGGTGCTTGCTGCCCGAAGGAGGAGCAATAGCTCCCCTTCAAGGGGGTTCGTCTCACTCTCCTCCTCACTCTCATCTACACCAACATATGCCACTCACAGTTCGGAAGAAACCTTCCGGGCCCCTGGGCAACTTGGCCAACGCCGAGCAGAGCTGGATCGAGGAAACAATTGAGGCCATGCTTGGTTGCGGGGGGGTTCGTCACCCCTTCTCCCTACTCGTTTCTCCCGCTAATAACCTTGACTCACAGATTGGAAGAAAGTCTTCCAACCCCCTGACTGTCCATGCCAGATTTGCCGGGCGTAGAAGAACGTGCCTCGGAGGCGGAGCAAAAGCTCCCATCAATGAAGAACACGAGTTCTCCCTCGTGGGCGTACGTCATCGAGCCCGCCTTCAAGAAGCGTTCGGCCTAGCTCCTGGTCATCATTGGCTTCGACGGTCACGTCGGTTGAAAGACAAGAAGAGACAGATCTCTGCATCAAGGATGTTGGAACCATCAATTTCCGTCCCCGGTGTCGAATAGCGGAGATAGTGGCAGTGCCCTGGCACCATCGATCTGTCGAAATCATCTACCTGCCCCCGGGCACTGCCACCGAATATACGTCACATCGGCTGCACATTCTCGTCCCACCTCAACAAAGCCAGTGCCACTGGTACGGGGTGGAAAGACCCGCCGGCGCTGTCGACTTCAGGGCAGACCCGCCGACATCATTTTCACGTTCGCCACCCGCGTCTACCACACCATCTCGGGCTGGAGCCGCCAACCAGATGTCCTTTTCAGCATCCTTCTCCGCGCGTACATCTGGTGCGCGCCCCCCGGGGCTGGCAGTCACTCATTCCGAGATACCCGATGTGTGTTGCTGTTGTTCATTCACCTAATGATCAACAGAACACCATCCGGGGTCCTGGGAGCCCCGATATTTTGTCGGGGCTAACCGATGTATCGGTGGGCTCCGCAGGACGAGTCGCTGTTAGTCATCAATTTAGTGACCAGCAACTATTATCGACGCAATGCTGTCAACCCCTACCACGACCTCTAGTACGCCCACCACTACCCCCTGCCACGTGCAAATCCTCGAAAAGATGTCAACCATTCCCAAGGACCATATTGTCACCTGCAAGTGCGAGTTTTCCTGCTGTCGCTGCTAGTCATCAATTTGATGATTAACAGGACTCGATCCGTTGGAAGAGGTTACCGTTACTTGAAATGCTAGAGACCCAGAGGCAAGTGCGGTTTCCAGTGGCCCCAAAATGTATTGGGGCCGCCGATGAGGAGTCCATCGTGGCCCGAGGGAGCGGTGGACTCCTACGACGACGTCGCAGGTTCGCAGCGGAGGAGAACCGTTTCCTCGACCAAATCGTAGATATATACCAGGATTACCTGCGAACACGCTGCAATACTTCATCACGGGATGGCGGCGCAGCGAGAATATCTCCGACACACCTCCGGAACAGGTTTCATTTCCGAGGCTGGGGGCCCGCGGCTTCGGCGGATAAATGTCCGCTACTGCTTTGGCACGGATGTGCCTCACAGAGGCTCCTCACAAGAACATCAGGTGTTCCTGACGGGTGCAACCGCGTACACACAAAACGATGTGCGTGCATGCTTCTCTCGCGTCTATATTGCGCGTGGGGCCGCCGCTTCATCTGCGGCAGGTGTTGAGGCTGACACCCGATGTGTTCCTGTTGGTCATCTTTGAAGATCAACAGAACACATTCTGGCGTCCGGCCGGGACCCCGATACTTGATCGCGGATCATTGTTGGAAAGCTCACCGACGAATCGATGGGCTCCGCCTGACGAGTTACTATTGGTCATCTATTTGATGATCAACAGGACCCGATCGGGTTTCCGGTGGCCCCGATAGTTTGTCGGGGCCACCGATGAGGAGTCCACAGTGGCCCTAGGGAGCGGTGGACTCCCGCGACGGCGTCGCAGGTTCGCAGCGGAGGAGAACCGTTTCCTAAACGTAACGGTGGACATACGAGGATTACACCCGACCACACTGCAAAATTGCATCACAAGATAGCGACGCAGCGAGAATATCTCTGATACACCTTCGGAACAAATTTTTATGTCCGAGGCTGAGGGCCGGCGGGCCCGGCGGATAAATATCCGCTACTCCTTTGACACGGATGTGCCTCACAGAGGATTCTCACAAGAACATCGAATGTGCCTGGCAGGTGGAAGCGCGTACACTCATGGCTTTTCTCGCGACTATATGACGCGTGCATGAGTGCCGCCGCTTCATCTTCGGCTGGGGCTGAGGCTGACACCCGATGTGTTGCTGTTGGTCTCCTTTGAAGATCGACAGACACAATCTGTCGTCCGAGACCCCGATACTTGATCGGGGCTCACCGTTGGTAAGCTCACTGACGAATCGGTGGGCTCCGCCTGACGAGTTACTTTTGGTCATCTATTTGATGATCAACAGGACCGCGATCCGGTTTCCGGCGGCCCCGATGAGAAGTTCACCGTGGCCTCAGGGAGTGGTGGACTCCTACCACTGGCACTATCGAATATCTACTTTTTCTAAAACCATTCGTTTCATGTCATCCTCCCGTGCCAGTGAATTCACAAATGTTGACTACCACCACTACCACCACCATGGTTATAAAATTTCGGGGCCACCGATGAGAAGCCCACCGATGGATCGATGGACTGCTGCGCCAGCGCCGCGGTCCCGCAGTCGAGAAGGAACACCGGTGGCTCGACCAGATTCTGACTGAATATGTCGAATACCCGCGTAAAACACTGCATCGCGGGATGGGGGCGCAGCGAATATATCTCCGATACACCTTCAGAACCGGTTTCATTTCCGAGACTGGGGGCCCGCGGCTCCGCCGGATAAATGTTCGCTACTGCTTTTTCACGGGTGTGCCTCGCAGATGCTGCTGCGGCGAGCGCATGTGGAAGAGGTTGCCATTACTGGGAATGTTAGAAACCCAGAACCAACAGCGGACTCCGGCGGCCCCGATACATTATCGGGGCCGCCGATGAGGAGTCCACCGATTAGTCGATGGACTCCACGGGATAGGCTGCGGTTGTTCATCTAAGTGATGATCAACCGGGCTCATTCCGGTTGCCCGGCGCCTAGATAGTCCGAGCATTTCTCAAGACAACATCAAGATATAACAATGTCTGCCGCCACAATACTTGATCGAGGCCCGATAGTCCGAGCATTTCTTCCGTGCCGCTGGGCACCTTCAACGCTAAGATGGCGGTCATGATTGTGCTTGGCCAAGGCCGAGCAGAACCACTTCGACAAGACGACCAAGCAAGGAGCTCGGTTTCAAGGGGGATTCGTCACCCAGTCTCCCTACTCTGATCTCCACTAACAGCCTTGACCCACAGATTGGAAGACTTGCCGTCCCCCGCACCAGGACCAACGACAATATGTCGTCGGTGCCTGCAGTCCGAAGGAGGAGCAAAGGCTCTCTCCTTCTGGGGGGTTCGTCTCACTCTCCTCCTTATTCTCGAGTCTCGACCCCACTACAGATTTCACTCACAGTCCGGAAGAAATCTTCCGTGCCCCTGGGCACCTCGGCCAAGGTCGAGGAAAGACTGGTTCAGCAGCCTATCAAGGTGATGCTAGGTTTCACGGGGGGTTCGTCACCTTGTCTCCCTACTCTTATCTCTATTATACTCCTCCACTCACAGAACAGAAGCATAGGCTCCGGCCCTCGTCTGCCTCCAAGACTAACAAGGATCTGAAGAAGATGCCCGGAAAGCAGAGCAGAAGCTCCCCTTCCAGGGAGAACATCTGCTGCCAACAGCTCCAGTCATCAACCTGGTAGGGTCAAAAGACAAGAGGAAACAGAAGATTTGCCGCTGTGGTGGCCCCGTCACCGCCACCGAACCGCTTTGACACGGTTGTGCCTCTTCTGCCGCATAGAGGCTGCTGCCAGGAACGCAGGCAGGAACTCGCCGAATGGCAACCAGGAGACAGACGGACGTTAGAGGGGTCCAGTGTGGATTACTTTACATCGTAAATGACATAGTAGTAGCTCTGGAGTCAACGTGGATGCTGGAAAATGATATTTTCTTTGTAACTTGAAATGACGCTAAACGATACCCTTTTTGTACTAGTGTAAAATATCCTAGCTGTGACCAATGTCTTTATATGCAACACATTCGTGATATCCACCTCTATGAACACCACCGTGACCACGCCGTGGACAGAACGCGTACAGTGGGTAACACATGGTGTAGTTATTGACCATGCACCTTTCGACCTTTTGTTCTTTAGTCTAATACAAGATGCTGTTCTTCACCAGAAATTTGATTACCGAGTGAGTATTGTCATTCGCGATCCGCGCCGACTCATGTCACGAGCCACACGTGTCATAATATCTCACTCAGTTACCAGTCGTTTGCACGAACGGTCCTCGCCCCCATTTCCTGCAAACGCAACAAGCTACAAGCTGTTCATTCTACAAGTACATTATTCCTCACAACAGATGTAGTATAGCCACTCTCCACATCTTTCAATGATGCCAATATTGTAATATCTAGTGATTCGATCCTTTCCTTAGTCGTATCTTGTGTACTCGTTGCGTAGTCGGTTACTCGGTCATGGCGCCGGCGTGAAGCATTTGCCACCTACCACACATCGTGTATGTCCTCTCACTAGGGCTTTAGACGTTTTCTATACAATATTCACTCATACTTCCTAGAGACAAGACCAATTCAAGACGAACCATATTTCATGTTCGGGCCTAAAGTCGTGATACCTACATAGTTGAAACCATTCCGACCTGTAGTACCTAGTATTACGAGACCTCTCCTAACTGATATTGGTGATTACTTGTTACATATGTACACACTCCTAGCATCGTCGCACCTACGAGCGCAACCCAACGTCCCCAGATTTCTGACACATGATTGTCAGCGTGTCGAGGAAGGGGCAGGGCTGTCAACCGTCCGTCCCGTCCGACTTTGAGGTTGCCCGGCCCGGGACGGAATTAGTCGAGCTGCGGAGACCAAGGGCTACAATCTTCCGGGCTGGAAAAATGAGGACGGATCCCCTACAGCGCCGTGAATTTACAGGGACACTAGTACACTGCTTGCGGTGGGGCGCCACACAGTGGCGCCGGTGTGCGGATATGTGGCTGTGCGGCTCCATTTTGGAGTGTCTCACGGTATAGAACTTTCACACCATCCCCGTTCCTACTTCTAGCAGTGTCTATCCCCTCAGCGTTTGATGGCTCTGAAAATTCTGTTGGTATCTACCGCGGTACTCCGCAAACAAGTAGTCGGCACAGCACGCTAATGCTATCAGGTACATAGGTACCTGGCGGGTATCCGGAAATTTCATCCTCCGAACGGAATCGATCAGTCCTGTGGAAATCCGGACGGACGGTTGACACCTATGGGAAGGAGTGGTGCGCCGCGTAGTCACGACTTATTGGAATATCTCGTTAGACGGGAAAATATGATGCATTCGATGCAGCAACAATCTCGTCGGCGGCGAGCTTTCGCTTTATGTACAGACTGAGTTATCACCAAAGGTTCCTCGCCCTCGTCAGCCCTGGGTATCAACGGCCCGCCGCGCAATCATATGAGCGTCCACACTCAGTCTCGACCGCCCGCCGCAGAACCTTATCCGTAACAACATCTCCGGGTTTCCAACCGTTCACACGACTAAGCAGCAGCGAGTGATGTAAAAACAACATCCTCGATAATGGCATTTCCGAGCTTCCCACTGCTTTGCACGATTTTTGGATATGGAGATGCACACCCTCCAATAATGGGTTCAGTATGCATCCTTTTTTGAATGGTCACCGAAAGAGCAATAAAAGATAGATACAGTACTAGTTTTGAATGGTCACGGAAAGGGCGATGGAAGATGTGAACAGTACTAATTTTGGATTCCTACCCTGACTGATGCTACCTATCCATGATGGGAGGGCACCGATTGAAGCTCTTGATGCTCGCCAAAGCTTCAACACTCTCCGTACCTAGCGAATGCCGACCATCAGTGAGAATCATTTTCCACTTAGATAACAGCCGCTCAACCTCAGCAGACGTGGCTGGAATAGACAGAACGTCTACTGTCATTCGGCTGAGGTTCGGAGAACGAAGTTGCTGCGGCCCTTCCAGCCACCATACAATTGCCGCAAGACTGTTTCGAACATTCCTTTCCAAGGGCAGTGAACAATAGTCTTCGAGCTCGTCGACTGGCGCAGCGTCCTGCCTGTTTCCTTTAAGTCAGCGCTCAAATCCTGCGGCGTCCTCGTTGTGTAGCAAATGTTCGCCCTGTAGGTTTTGTGCCGCTACATGTTTGTTCTTGTACTTTGCAACCCACAGCTTTTGCACCGAACCTTTCGCAGTATTGATCCAGTGTGCCCTCCATTTGCCGTTGAAATACGCCCACTTGTGGCGGGGATGCAGTAAGACGGCGGCGACAAAGGCAGGAGATCTGCCGCTAAGGAAGTAGCATCTCTCCAAAAATTCCCACCCAATTATCAGCCTCCCAATCATAGCCACATCTCCGGACCGTTCGGCAGCTTGAATTTCAGTTTTTAATGCCTGCAGAAGATAGTCAATGACTGGCAGAACCTCGGCAACTGACTTCTTCCGCGCTTCCGTGAGGAGAGTCGCCTCTTCAAACGGCCGCAAAAATTCGGCCATCTTTTCTAACGAATTCCAGTCTGCTATGGTGAGGCGATAGTCTGCAAGAGCATCCATATGGTTCGCGGTATATGCAATGATGGCGGTGCGCATACTTCGAAAAAGCATTGAATCTCTCATCTGGAGCCATGAATTCCAACGGGCATCGTAATCTCGGCGAATAAGACTTCCTCCACTGATGCTCTTAAATTCCCGGATCCGTTCAGGGCTGTCACGGATATGTATGGAGCTATTATGGGCACGTCCCAGTGGTTCTCGCTTTCGCCAGTTCCCACTTCCTCATCAGTACCAGCTTGGTAACCGCGGTCATGCACTGCTTCCCATGAGTAGCCGAATAAAAACGACATCATAGCGAGATTGATAAAGTGGCCTGAACACCGGAGGCGTTGTTAAATCGAATCAAAGTCAAACCCCATTGCGCACAGATGTTCTGCGAACGAACCCAAGCGCTCCAGGTATCGAGTGTGATGTGTATCTTGCCGAGAGCGGTTCGGGGAATCTTCTTGGTGTCCTTCTTTTGGGCCTCATATACTTCCATCGTCCATCCTGGAAGAGTGGATGAGGAGGTCGGGAGGCATTGCGCAACCTCCGAGCAAAGCGATGTGGCATAGGCGTGAAGCATGGGAGAGCATGCAAACGCAAAGGAAAGGTTCTAGTCTGCGATCATTTGAACCTGGGAAAACGTTAACACGTTCTCCTACCACCAAGTGAGCTTACTAGGTACGTACCATCAAGGCTTTATGTGACTCCTGTATCTATGTCTGGTTGGTAACCAAGAGTTGCTTCTTTGATGACATTCCCTCCTCAACTTGGTGCTTGACGTTGAGATGAGCAGCAGACCCCGAGTCCCAGACGAGACCAGACACTGCTTAGGAGCGGTTCTGTTCGCACACAAATCACATGCCCAATACTCGTTATCCCCCTGGGCAATCACCGGCTTTCCGAATGTCCAAATCCAGGAGGTTTTTGACCTCTTCTTCGGATTGGTAAGAGCCCTCCAACATTTTCAAGCCCATTGCAATGATCGCAACTGTCGGGCTCGTCAACGGAGAACCAGTCAGAGGTCACGGCGAGACCGACTCTGCCACCACCTCGCTCGCCGAGCTCGAGTCCTACTCTGAGACCGCCTCGCTTTTGCCGATGCTGACCAGCTTCGAGGAGATCGACGGCATCGAGAACCTCGAGGTTCCCGAGAACGGCAAGCTCACCTGCGAGACGACGCTCGCCTCCCCGACGTTTTTCGAGATCGGCCAAGCGATTGCAAGGGTCTCCAATGTGGCAAGGGCCACGTGCCAGCAGAAGAACGCTGGGGGGTCCAAGTGTTCGACGCTAGGCAAGTACAAGGGCGGTCAGGTCGGGATCTGCGGCCGCCACCTGCTCGACATGAGCTGCAAGTGGATCCACTGGGCGGCCTCGAAGATTCGCTTCGAGTGCGGCAACGAGCAGCTTGGACGCGCCGGTGAAAAGTCTAAGTTTCCGGACGGTACGACGGCACTCACGGTTATCGTTTTTTATATGCTCGGGGGAAGAAAAGTATGGGGAATGAAATGGCTAAAAGGGGAGCGGGAGTGATGGGGCAAAAATAAAAAAACTACCTACTTGCGCATTACATTGTGGTTTTTCGTCGTACTTCTCGTTCGTTTCTTACGTAGCAGAACATCTCCAGTGACTGGAAATAGGTGACCGTAGTGGCTCTATATCACTGTATCGTTACTTCTGGAAGGAAGATCTGATACTTATTATATGATCGGGATATTAAACTATATAGTGTGGCGTACATCGAGTGCTAAACACAGAAGGACTTCGAGCGGCTGCTTGATAGCGTTGGGCGCTGGACGGCAGAAGAAATCCAGGCGGAATTACCGCAGCTCTCGATTCTCGGACGAATATCTGCAATTCCCGGAAAAATATGGGCGCACCTTGCGATTTGGGTCAGAAAGGAAATGGGATTAGAGCCGAATGCCATATCGGAGGATAACGAGTTGGCGCAGAAGCGAAAGGAGAAAACTTGGACGACCTGGTGGCAAGGTTCTTGACGAACCCATTCAACGAGAAGCAAATCGAGGATAAGGGGAAGGCCGACAGCGTGTCGAAAACGATCGTCAGCTTTCATGCACTGTGGATGCTGATACAATGCGCCGCGAGGTGGTATCATCACCTACCCGTCACCCTGGCGGAAATCCATGTGGTTATACATATCTTCTATGCCGGCGCGATGTACGCCTGTTGGGGGTATAAACCCATGGATGTTGCGCAGCCGATTCCGATTCCGATGGACGACACGCTTTGGCAAACACTGTTTGACGTTGTTCCGGGAAATGAAGTGGTCACTGAAGAGACGCCTGGATCCGATAGAACACTCGCGCAGACCGACGAAGGGGCAAATGGCTCTGATACAACATATTAGGAGAGGATCGAGGATGTCTCTCTGCTGAGTACTGCTACCGTGAAGCTGGCTGCGAATCCTGGAGCAGCGAGGTCCGGAGAAGCCAGTAGAATGCCGGCCACGGCCAATGATTCCCCTTCAGTACTGACATTGTCTGAAGTGTTCCTGGGCACTGAAGATGACAATGACATTACCCCGATAGTTCCTGGAGATCACCCAAGCTCCTTGACTCTCCCAATCGGTCGACTGATTTCATCCCACGCTTATCCGCCCACCGATCAGTATTCCCGCAACATGCCATTGATCATTGAAAGTGCCAAGTCCAACTACGTCAACATGTTATACCGGGTGTCCCATCGTGTCTTCAATAACTTCATCTACAACCGGGGCCACCGATCGGAGCTCTACGGCATGAGTCTGAGCGCACTCAACGGGAGCCTCCACTTGCTAGTATGGAACTCCCACTTTGCCACGATCACAGAGGCACTCCTCTGGAAGCTCTCGTGCTTCGGACTCATCGTGTGCCCCGTGCTCACGTGGCTGGTATCGCTAGAGGATAGCTTCACCGAAGCTGTCGTCCACGCGGCATGGAAACTGCGCTTTGCCGGCGAAGCGAAGATGACGCCTGGGGCTGCCGTGCGAAACATACGCACAGCGAGGTATACCGCGGCATGGATGGTAGGCAACAACGCTGCCATCAGGAATGGACGTGCGCCAGTCGATGCGGACGTGAGCAAAAGCCCTGGTTGGAGATGGGTTCTCGCGGTCGATGCTACGTGGCACTTCGGTTTTGTCTACTCATTGTCCATGCTGTATCTTGCGGTCGAGGCATTCTTGAGCATTAGGAGTCTGCCTGCTGGGTCGTATGATCTTCCCAACTGGGCGCAGTCGGTTCCCCATATATAAAACGTTGGAAAGGCACCCCCGCGGTTAGGCTGTGCGGGGAGGGATGAGAGATCGATGGTTTCTTTTACCTTTGTCCGGTGGCTTTGTCATGTATTCAATATACGATTCCAGTTATTCTAGGCAGCCTTTTGATTTTTTCCCTGTCAAACTATCATGAGTTGGGTACACCGTACCTACGAGCATAGAAATATACGCAAACTATAGAAAGCATCATTTGTGTCCGGGATAATCCAACTCGGCCGGTGATATTGAACGAGCTACTCCTTCCGGTCAAGGTCTTCCATTTGATCACCACTAATCACGTCGCAATAAGTTGTTTTGTCTCCTCGTATGTTCCTCTTTAATTAATGAGACGGAAGTACATGACACCATTTCGTGCTCGTCGCCCGGCGCAACATGTCGTATATGCGGGGTAAGAAGTAGAGAAGTGGTAGGTGGCATGGAGAAATGACCGTTGAGGTGCAATCGGTTGCATGTAGGACGCGAGAATGGAAGAGAAGTCCTACAACCTCAATGCAAACGGATGGGCTTGAGGCTGTTTGTGCTACTATTTGTAAGACGACACGCGGTTCTATAGTGTAATGGTTAGCACGTCGGATTCTGATTCCGGCAATCCCGGTTCGACTCCGGGTAGGACCTGATCATAATCTTTTTGTTTTGTTGATATAGGTATTTTACGATGGCTTTGGATGACGCGGGACGTGGTGCAGAATATTGGAGAGGGGTATTGTGGCATGGTTAGGTGTGATGTTGCAGCATCTGCCCTCTTCAGGACGGGCCCAGCAAGTTGTGATCTTTCACATTCAAATGGAATAAGTCAAGTTTCATCGCATCCCCGCTGCAACGAAACACTCCACCACCCCGTACATAGAGCAGTTCTCGTGAGGATCAAGAAAATGCTGTGCGCGATATCAAATTTCGACTAAACTATGTCCTCCTCCGTTATCTTCGCCGCTAAGCAGAACCTGGTACAATCAGCCAGCAGTGCGGGCACATCTCAGGGTTTCTAAACTCTACGGTCACACCAGAGCCGCAGCAGTAGCAGATACAATAGACGGGCATTGCGGAGTTGACACAGGTCTCGCCACTGGGTGGAGTTTGGGTGAGCAGTACGTTTGAATTTGGTGTGATGCTTGGAGGTTCAATTGAGTACGAATCTTGGGACGAGCGTTGGAAGTGGGTAGTAGTTTGAGGAAAGTAAGTTTGGGATGGCCGTGGATCTTTTAAGGTAATTTATGTAGGGGTGGCGGTGCAATCTGTACGGGATCCAAAAAGGATCAGATGAAGCTCGACGACAGTACACAATTCAATTCGATGCCCGTACTATACTAGTAGCAGCTTCTAATAATCCAACGTTATTACTTGGTCACAATGGAAGAGAATCATGCCGTCGTCTGTGCTGGGATAGAAATGATACTTGGAGATTTGAAGTAAACCTGAGAATTCTTCCGGACTCCATGCCTCCATATGTAACAGTCGCGATAAACCCAAGTGAAGACTGCTATACTAGACGTTCGCGAAATTGTGTCGTATCAGCCATGTAATGAGGACAGAAACTCAGACGTATCTGAGAGCGTACATATACAGAGAACCTACTGCTCGGTGATAGAAGAAGCTTCCGTAGTATCTTCGTCTACCCACTTCGCCAGACTTCGGGTCACCCTCTCAGGAAAGCCGTTCGATGTCCTCAATCACTCTCGAGGTTCGTTTCAACATCCACTCCCCAATGGGAGAGCTGCACTGAGATGCAGAAGCTCTTGCCCATCAATCTAGATGTGGATGCTCCCAACGCTTCCTACTAGGGAGCTCACCCTCAAGTCCACGTGGTTGACAACCACCACACCGAAGCGGAAGCTTCATCACTGCAGAGGATGCCGATGAGATCCGTGAGATCTCTCAGGCTCCCACCAGTCTTCGCGAAGTATCTGACGGCTCTCATCAAAGTTCCGTGACTGAGCTGCACTCAGCTGTTGTAGAGTCGGAATCCCAAGTCCAGGCTAGTATTGATGCTCTGAACACTGTTTACAGAGACCACTGCTGATTCGAAGAAGGTGGTTGCTCGAGTGTGTCTCCCGGCGAAACGTTGGCCTTAGGCGCGCGGCAAAATCATCACCCAAGGAGCCGGTGTGCGTGAATGGCGGGAAATGGAGAGTGGCGCGCCAAAATTTGGCAGGCATGTCTTTAAATTTTGGTGCTTCATAGTCTTGATAGGCTGCGAGTGGGGGAGGGATTGATTCCCAGATACTGTGGTTCGAGGAGATTGTATATGGTATGGAGAGATGTTGGATATCGCTGCTCACGATATTATTGCTTTACCAAATTTGTTTACTTTCTTCTACCCATCCAGCACATCCAACAGAGAGAATTAAACATTTTGTGATTATGTGCTCAACCTGTACTTGATTCGTGCTGCTATGTAGTATCTACCGTTGTTGAAGATTGCCAATCTCAGATTTCCTAAAACTCTGTGTCTTGAACTATCTACTGCACGAATACCCATGTTCCTACTACTTTTCAGTTGCGAATTTGTCGATACTGGAAGTTTTGTATTTTGGCTATCGCCCATGGCTGCCATCCCCTCTACTGATGGGGCCGCAGCAACGTTATTCTTCACCACAGTGATGCGCACAATAGGCACTGCACTAAATCCCACTCAAAGCTCCTTCATTTGCTATGCTCTACCCCGGCTATTCGCTCAGGCTTTTGACTCACATCTAACCCTGTTTCTTGACTTTCGAACGCTTCAAACACACAACATGCCGGCATTCATTGCAGCGTGCCGGCGTTGCGCCTATTATGCCAATGGTGCCGCAGCGGCAGCAGCGGCAGCAGCGGCAGCAGCGGCAGCAGCGGCAGCAGCGGCAGCAGGAAAATAGTTTTACCGAGTCTTAACCTTCGGCATAGGTGAGGACGGCGGCGGGGGTTGCACATCTTTGCAGAAGTAGGATGCTAGGACACGAGGTAGGGATTCAGGATGCAAGAGCAGGAGTGTAGAGAAAAGAGGGAAGCGATTGGGGAATGACGAGCGGGCGTGCACTTATATGAGCGAACACTATGAGATCAAAGCCTCGGAGTGAATGCCAGCCTTCACGTCGACCGGCGGTCAAACAACATCATTGCGGATCAGGATGGTTTACAGCCAATCATGAGATCGCACGCGACATAACAGTTGACGCCACTGTCAAGAAAAGTAGTATTCTGAACTCGTGTACAGTAGATCGTAGCCAGAAGAAAGGCATATTTAGAGGGAGGCACGGGAGGCCTTGGATAGAGGCCGCTGATCACCTCTGTGAAAACCGAAAACGGAAGTCTCTTGACCTAGAGAGTGATCTCGCATGACGCGGTGCGCGGAAGTTCGTGATATTATGACAGCCACTATATCAAAGTCTACGGACACATTCATCACGATCCTCATTCATCGTAGTCACCCATTGCGATGGCCGACATATGTAGCAGAGCCGTCGGTTGCCAGCAGGCATCTTTCGTGACAGGTAGTATGATTCTGAGGCTTAGAGGGATACAGCATTAATGTACTTATGCGCAACAAACAGTAGTACATGAGAATCTGAATCTTTCCATAACAGGTTCACCGAACAGTAGGCCCCGAAAGACATTTGTAGTCTCTGGAGCTTATCAATCCCGGGCTGGTACGGTAAGTAATTCGCACGGAATTCGCCGGGGCGCCACAACCGGGTGGCGTACAAATCAAAATGATTAAGAGAAACCCATTAGACTCGCCTAAAGAAAATGGGGCAGACCTAGAAATAACATGGAGATTTCTTTCGTAACAATCTCGCGCCACAAGTGCAGGCTAGAGAGGTGAGGCAGGCCGCAGGTGTGAGCAAATTTCCCACGGTGCGATCTAGCCGTATCACGTCAGAGCTCAACCAGTGCATGTACTATGTAGCCATGATAATCCTTTCTTCTCGGCGAGCTTCTTTGAGGCGAAATACGGCCAGTGGAGTAATTCTGTCCAGCTTCTGCAATTCTGGACTTCACCGATCACCGTATCGGTACCGTCGATTTCCAAGCTGCGAAGCCGCGACACTGGACCGAATGAGTTGACCGCAATTTTCTGGGGCCGAGAAAACTCAGGAGGATAGCATCCCTCAACCCACAATACTGCAGTCCAATCACGGGCCGGGCCAATAGCCGAGCGGAGGATCGGATGCTGCGGATTCTGCATGCACGAAGTGCATCATGCATACATTGAACCGCCCAAACCAGCGCCGGTCCCACGGAAACGGCCTGCGCCACTTGACACGTATGGCGTCAGCAATGAGGACTTAAAACTTAGCCATCAGGGTACGTCGAAACCGGATTTTATTCGTTTACGTCGAGATTCTTTTGGAGCTGGGACATATTATTTCGCGTATACATGACAGGTGACAATGGGTGAATGAATGTTCGATGCCCGAGAGTAACTCTCAAGTCATTAGACGGACGGCTTGTCGCATTTGGCCGAGACTGGATGGCGGCCCAGGCGCTCTCCGACAGAATTTACTTGCTCGCAAACTTCAATGTTGGCAGATTGTGAGGATATCATCGGGCTAGAGACTGGTGATTGGTGTTTACTAGTACTCGCTAGTAACCTACTGGCGGCATACGCTTCTCCGTATTCTGTGAGGCTGATGATAGATATAATATCGGATAATGAATTATGAAACTTAAAAACTACGACGAGTACGAACGATGCCCACATTGAGTTCGCAAGTTTTGGTACTTGATAAAGCTTGTCTGTGCTGGTCCGACATGGTTCTATAGTGTAATGGTTAGCACGTCGGATTCTGATTCCGGCAATCCCGGTTCGACTCCGGGTAGGACCTCTGGTTGTTTTTTGTTTTCCACAGGCGTGTTTTTATGCCTGTGGTTCAGAAGAGACGAGATGACACTTTCGCCGCCTCATTTCACTAACGGCCTCACCTGCCGTCACATTAGTAAAGTTTGTCTTGGTTTGGTAGCTGGCGATCATGGTGGTTCGACAACTGCAGAAAGCGGGACCAAACCTTCAGCTGTTTTTACAGTTCCCATCGTTTAATTTGCGCTACGTATGCTTGACAGAGCCCGAACTGTAGATCATTTCCGTAGTCAAGAAATACTTCGGATCCTTGAAGGCCTTCCCCAATGATACGGCACGACGTGTTCGGTACGGCCATACGCTCCCCACTGCCCGTGCTTGGAAGTCACATGTCACCCATTCCATGGGAGGGAAGATGCGAGTTAACGTCTCCGGGAAAGGAGAAGCGATGAGTATCGGAGGACGGAAAAATTTCGACCGACAAAAACACCGAGCAACTAAAGACTGCAAAGAAGAGCAAACTAGTATACATGAATATCATATCCCAGTCACAAATTTCAACACTCATCATCGTGGAAAACGATTGAGCAATTTACGGACATGGTGGAAAGAGTATATCCACTACTCATGAAGCATCTACGTATATGCGCGCCAAGTGTCTTCCGTTTGCCACCTGCGATTCCAGCTGCTCCGATCTAGGTTCCAGCAGATAAGCCAGCGCTATTTAGTGATCGCGCCGTGTACGCACCGCCGTCTCGCATGGCAGGATTGTCGTCAGGATTTCTGCCATTCTATCGGCTGTCGGCAGATGGTTGGCACACGGTACGAACGGCTCCGACGGTCCTTTGGGAGGCTGCAGAATCGGCGGTTTGAGTCGAGCACTACTCTACCGTACTGTAGATGTTGACATTTATTCTAGGCAGCGGCCGATCTGCTGCAATATTCGACATCCACCGTGACCTCGCAGTTATGGGCTGTTTCCGGACGCGTCGAGAACTGCCGCCTCCTCCGGGAATGAATCAGTACATAACCGCGGGTGTCGATTCTTTCTCGTCTCGATCGCCGGCGAATTCATTCCAAAGGGTGTAGCCGGTCGGCAGACCAGAGTTGATATGCCGACTCTCGAATGGACGCCTGCCCGCGGACTGCACATGCACGGATTGCATATGCACGTAAAAAAGAAAAACAACCCAATTTTTCTTGCAAGCATTAGGACGTGCTTTGGCTTCAGATATACCAATGAGAATCGTCGGAAGCCTTCCCGCACATTGCTGAAGGGTGATACGTTCGAACGGATCCTACAAAGTTTCGGATTTAAATTTGGGCTGCAAAAAACGGTACCCCGCAGATACTGCCGGAAATAGTTCACGGCTGCGAGTCTGCGATCGTGATATTACTTAGATAACATACCGCGACTCCGGAGGGAAGTGTATAAGGATAAGATGTCACCGATGGTGCGGAATTAGTCCTGTTAACGAAGCGACGAGCACTATCCATTAATAAAATAGTCCGTACGGTCACCACGTCATTATCACGTTTCGGGTTCCTTTCAACGGTAGCAGTACTACATACTCCCTCTCAATCGGCGCTCGGCCTTCACCTACACTCTGCGGTAGAGATTCGTCGGAGAACGGTACAACTCGGAGGCAACCTTGTCGGTAATTCAACTCGACCATGAGGATCGAAGAGAACCACGCGCTTAGCCGCAGGCGCATAGGTCGATGGGACGGAGATTTGTCCGAAGTGCAGTTCACTATGGGGTATGGCATCCCGTTGATGGTACCAGTAGTAGCATGACGTGCTCACTTCGGTGCCATCATCTATGGTCACTCTTGTACTAACGGCAGTGTGACGGTTCAGTTATCCCCAGTGGATCGGGCTCACACTGCACAATCTCCATAAGGAAGCCATCTACATCACCGGCGTGGGTCTGTTCTGGGGGAAGCTTTACCGGCAAGGCAACAAGGACGAGGAAGTGCCCAAGAATGAGCTGCTCGGTGTTGTCATCGAGGGTGGGGCAAAGTATACCGTGTGGGCGTGTGGACGCAGCGGTACTTCTTCCGGTACCGAAGGGCAGATCGAATTGTCGACCAACCTACTGGAGCCCCCCCACAAGATTCCACTCGTGAACATTTACTGGAGTGTTCCGTGGGGATCGAGTGCAAATAGACTGGAGAAGAGTCGGCAGAATGAGGAGTGGCTGGTTGATCTTCCGCCGATCAGTCAAGACGGAGCTATTGGCGAGGTTACTGTGAGATTTCAAAAAGTGAGTAGGCTTCGAGTGATATCACGTGCTTTGATGTATGTTTGAACTCGGCTGGATTCAGGCTGACCTACAAACCCCTCTTCTTTCAAGATTAAGGGGTAATTCTAGAGGGTTGTCTGTATATGGGTTGGATGATTGGTTCATTCACGGAACTGGGTGAAAGATGGGAGGCAGGTGATTGTTGGGGATTGTGCATGATTGATTGGTTTCTGTTGAGGGTACTTTTTTCATATTGTTTTTCAGTATGTGCGACAACTGCTCTCAATACGACGCACGGCGTTTTCATGCTTCACGACGATTCCTGAGATCGGATTCAAACAGCCAATCTCGTCCGGCGGCCGCCCGGATTATTGAACTTGATATGTGAACCCGATGATGACGTGACAGTGAATTTGCCTTGGACGAAGAAGCGTTGGGGTGATAATTCATGTGTTTCGGCCGAAGTCATGTGACGATGAACAACAAATATGCGACAGACATTGCTGCCAACAGTTCTTCCGCGCGCTATTTGGCAGCATTACCCCCAGGGACCCCCAGGATGTATGCGTGATTATACCAGTCGGTCTAACCATCGCTGTTCAAGATTCTGTTTCACCTGGTCGCTCATGAAGTTGAGCCATGCGTCATGAGTCTTCCCTATTGAGTCATAGGAGCAACGCCTCAAACTTTCACTGAACTTTCGTTGTTCCTGCGCTGTATATAATTCGTCTCCCTCATTACCGCATACCCCGAACGGCGTTCGCCAGTATCTAGTCCGTCCATTCGACTGGAATCCGTCCAGTCTCGACTCTCAGCCCTCCGTAAGACTGCCTCTAAGACCTGCACACGTTACACGTAAGGTCGGCGTCATGTTTTTAATGGGAAGTGGTGTGCCAGAGCCGGAAGTTCGGAATGTGTCGATGACGATCCCAGGAATGCCGGAAGAGTTACGCGACCGGAATCGGTCGTAGCAATGCCGGCAGTCCACAGCAATGCTGGCAGACGATGTATTAGCGCGTATTGTCATCGGTATGCTACGCCATGAACTATGGCAGGGAGGCAAGATTGTGTATATATATAGGACCTCCGGTTCGGATAGATTGTGCAGTAATTGAACATCATAAGCATCGAATTCCACTTCTATTTGACAAGGTGTAAAATATAGTGAATAGGGGTTTATATTTACCTCATGCTTTGCAACCTTACAGATACGTGCCGTAAGCTTTGCTTGTTTATAGGGACGTTAGCCACCGCTTTTTTTGTTTGAAGCCTAGGAAGCGATGTCAGGTTCAAACATGGCAGATCATTTGGCGTTATTCATGTCGTATATCCATTGCTGATGTTTCGGAACCCGTGACAGTGAGTTAAGAACTCGATCACTGGGAAGTCCGAAATGAAAATTCGCATAAAAACGTCTGCACTGGCGACATATAACGACTGGCGTTTGTTTTGGAAGTCAAAAGGCTAGGCTCAAAACCGCTAGGGTTTAATTGCGGCTAATATATTCCCGTCGACGGGGCCTGATTCTTAAAAATCACCTCTCTCCGCCATCAAATTAACATCTCCTTACCATCAACCTCAACCTCTTATCCCCCTCAGAGAGGTGCAGATCGCACAGCTTCAACAACACGAACATGCGTATGCATTCCTCCATCCTCATGGTCCTCTGGACCATCTCCAGCATCACCACGGCGGCTCCCTCCGGCTTCGACGTTTCTCCCGAATTCTCCGGTATCCCTGAGGAAGTCGACATCTTCAAGCTCGCGGGGGTCATCGACCCGACCTCGAAAACATTGGCGTACTCTCCGGCGCCGATCGCCAGCTTCACCCACGGAACGTACAGCTTCTCACTTATATCTCGCATCGCCGGCACGCCGAACCCATTCTACTCCGTCACCTGCGAGACCTCGGAGGCGTCGCCGTCTATCGACGAGATCGACGGCTGCATCGCGATCCTGGACGCCAAGGAGGCTTGCTGGCAAGGAAACCGCTGGGACTCAAAGTGCAGCAAGCTCGTCACCATGAAGGGCGGAGAAGTCTCGCTGTGTGGATCCATCACCCGCGTCGACTGCAAGTTCGTCGTCTGGGCGATCAGCCGCGTGAGGAATGTCTGTGCTTGGTCGGAACTCTCGAAGGCGGGTGGTTACTTCAGTTTCGATGTGACTAGCAAGTTGAAGGTGCGCGCGGTGGTTCATTAAGATTGCATGCTTGGCTGGAAAATGGAGTGGCGGGAATGATGGTGTAAAAATTGGGGATAGATCAAGGCTTTTACATTTCACCATTACAAGCTTCTTTTCCATTTTTGCTTCTTGCTCGTGAATCGGTGATTAATAGTGAGGATGTACCTATATGGGTCACGATGGTTGGTCGTTCGGGAGAAGATTCAAATGCCGCATCCCCCACAATTCGTAACTGCTTACAAAAGCACTGTTACTTAGCGTATTCGCAATGGGTTTTGTTTGATCATTGATTGCTTGTGACCAATCTGGATCTTGGGGTTTCATGGCATTAACCAGACATACACACTCTGGTTACATGCCACTGTCGAACTGGACTTTCATCGAGTGGCCCGGTGTGGCTTTTCCTGCCTTTTCGTCCCAGACTGTGCCAGCAGTAGAAGTAGAGAGTCCTAAGCAAACAATCGTAACTAAAAGCAGCTCCCATTCCCTTCTCCACCTTGCCTCCTGCCTCCTGCATCCTCAGGAGAAACCAGATCATGCCATGAAGGAGGGTGTGTAAAGAAATGGCGGGATTAGTCACGGTTCTTCCACTTGAGCAGCCTCATTGTCCTACTCTAGTGTCAGCTCCGCCTATCTCTATGCCGGCGTCCTGTGTCAAGTGCGGACCCGCCAAATCAAGGTCACTCCTGTCATAAAATCACGAAATTGCGTGTACCGCGTGATACAAGATCACTGTCTATGTTGAGAGACTTCCAGTATCCGTTCTCACGGGAGTTGGCGAGAGGCCTCTATCCGAGGTACCCCCACCTTCCTCTTCATATGCCTTTCTTCCGGCTATGTCTATGAAACTGTGCACTATTTCAAAATACCACTTTATTCTTGATGTAATATCTCAATCGTCTGCTTAGTTCAGGTAAAAGGCACGGGCCTCTACCCCCTATTTCCTACACCGTCGAGCTCTCTATCTTTCTCTCCATCTTCCATAGACATAATACGATACATCTATAATATTATATTTTTTACCATTTCCAACAGGTTATGAGCCCGGGATAAGCCATGCTAGAAACCAGGTTCCTCACACATCCTCCCTGACTCCATCCTGATCCCCGAAGAAACAAACAAAAATACCCTGATACTATCCACTCGTACCCACTGGCCTAAACACGAAAAAATGGCAACTATCGACAACAAGAAGGAGTTCTACAAGTCGAACCATGGCAATTTTGAGAAGCTGAATAAGCTGAACTACATTGACTGGAAAGCCAATGTTAACGTGACCCTCAAGTCTTTGGGCGCGTTTGCGATCGTCACGGCAGAAGAGCAACAACCCAACGCAGGCCGTCCCCTTGCAGACTACAATATGTGGCGGGCCGAAGGCGAGAAGTTAATCCGCTTTTCGGTGGGCGAGAAAATTATGCAGCACATCACACGGCTTGATGACACAGCGACGATGTGGACTGTCCTAAATTTGGAGTTCGATAGCTCCAGCTCAAAGGCGAGCCGCGCGAGGCATGCAGGAGAGCTGTATACAGTCCGGGCCACCGACAGCGAGAAGATATCCGACTACTACGAGCGCCTCATCCAATATTGACAACCACGCGATGGAAGTGACGAACAAATCTCCGACAACACCCTCATTAGCCACATTCTCACCTCCATATCCAAGTCATTCAACGTGATCGTCCATCTCCTCCGCAAACTCCCACCGGCAGAGCTCACCTTGCAACACGTTATAGACGAACTGTCGGAGTTTGGGCGTACAGTCAAAGACAGCTCAACGAATATTGGCGATCGCAACCTCGCCTCTACATCGGGAACGGCCCTTTATGTCCGAGGGGGGCGAGTCGGACAATCCGGAAGAGGTCGTCAAGGTGGCTTGCGTGTCAGAGGTGGACGAGATGGGCAAGGAAAGCAGCACAACGACGAGCCAAAGACGGACCGGTGCACAAACTGTAGTATGGACAACCATAATACTGACGAACACCGAAGGGACCTACCAGCCAGACAGAATCAGCAACCCCAGGTCCATAGTCGAAAGCATGCTCGTAGCAGCAGCATTGTATGCTTCTACTGTGGGGAAGCTGGTCATACTAAGCGGTGTTACGAAGTTCGGAAGCGGGGGGAAGATGTTCTCAGACGATACAGGGCAGCCACCGCTTTACAGGCGAACACCGAGACTGCTCTGGTGCGGGCAAACTACGAGAATGATGACAATATCGATTGACTAGCTGACATCCAGCAAGGCCCCGGGATTCCGACTGACCGGACGCAGCTGAATCCGGTCGAGGAGCTCCGCGATCAACTGAGTGCTCTCCAGCTAGGCAACATTGATATGGCCTCTGAAGTAGCCTCATCCACATGCATTGTCGACTCTGGAGCAACCCACCACATGTATAACGGTGACAAACGAGACTTTATCAGTTACCGCAAGCTAGCGTTCCCTATCGAGATCAAACATGGGAGACGACACCTGCACTCGAGTCGAGCATCACGGCTTCATATGCGTCCAAAACCACCGCCTGAACGCCTTACAAACACCAACCTTCAGGTACTCGCGATTACCGGTCGGAAGCCTAGATGTACGCGGCTAAACCACCGAGTTTGGCAACGGCAAATGCACCGTATCGGACTCCCATCGCAACGCGCTATTGACTGGTCGGAAGAATGCGAGGTTGTACCAACTCGACAGAATTATCCATTCCGCTCCTCAGGCTTTACTCGGCACCACCCCTTCAGAGTCAGTTCCCGTACACGCATCGAGACAAACTCCACGTCTGTCAACCATGGAATCCAGCCTCTGGCACAAGCGGCTCAGCCACTTACACGCAGCCGCAATGAAGACTTTAATCGACGGCTATACACACGGTACAGATATCTGTGAGGTATGCGTGCTTGCCAAGCACGAGCAGAAAATCGTCCGTATTCCGATGCAACGCAGAACGACTCCATTCGAACTGGTTCACTCCGACTTATGCGGTCCGTTCTCAACCGAGTCCGTAGATGGGGCCATCTACGGACTTGGTCTTCACGCCTATGGAGCAGACTGGGAGCAAGCCTATTGGCTACAAAGGGGTCTATAAAACTAAGAGGAACCCAGATGGTTCTACCCCCGTACAAGACCAGACTTGTGATCAAGGGCTACAAGCAAGTCTAGGGACACAACTATGATGAGACCTTTGCTCCAGTTGGTAAGCTGATTACCCTGAAATATCTGCTAAGCTTTGCTGACTAGAACGGTTGGAAGATCTATCACCTTGACGTTGTTACCGCATTTCTCAACCCTGCAATCGATGCTGAAGTCTACATGCAACTCCCGGATGGTATCGAGTGGCTTCACGAGACACCCAGAAACGGTTTCCTGCGCCTGAATAAGCCCCTAAATGGTTTAAAGCAGGCACCCAAACAGTGATACAATAAGATCAATGACTACCTTCTGTCGCTCGGCTTCATACAGTCCAAGGCCGACATCAACCTCTACATCCGGGACGATGCAGTAATGATACTACTGTACATCGACGATATCATTGTTTTCCATGGGGACTCGGCCTCCGATAGGGCTATGGACGTCAAGAACCACCTCATGCGGCAGTAAAAGATGTCAAACGTGGGCCTAGAGAAGCAGTTCCTCGGCATTGAAATCGATCGGAAAACGGATGGATCCATCACCGTCGGTCAAAGTGCATACATCGCCATGATTCTAAGGTGCTTCGGTATGGAAGATGCTAATATGGCCCCGACTCCTCTTCACGACAAAACCAAGCTCGACTGCATTTCTGACGCCGACTCCGAGGCAGACTTAATCATATACCGTCGCATTATCGGCAATGTGTAATATGCAGCCCTCGGCACCCGGCCGGATAACGCATTTGCTGTGTCCGCCCTTGGTCGCTACAACCAGACACCCTATGCTACACAGCTGACCGGAGTCAAGATAATCCTACACTATCTCAAGGGTACCGCAACTGCCAAACTTATGTGGTGGGTGCATAGGGAACGGTGGAAGGCCGTTCCACCCTAACATGAATGATGTTCCGTGAACACGACGTTAGGTGGGGTTTGCCATATAGTTTTATTGACTGATATCACGTGGTTCTTTGACTGGCCCGTTACGCAAACTATTCCTCAGTATCGCCCTTGACTGGTCCGTTCCCTCTGCTCTTCCTCAGACTCGTCTTTGACTAGATGTAATTCCCCAGGTTGGCCTGGTTCCCTAGACCGTTCGCCGGCCTCGCCCTGCCTCACCGTCGACTAGCCGTTCCCGGAACTTGCCCCAGCCTTGCTCTGGCTTCCTTTGCTCTGCCGTGACCTCTAACTCATCCCCAACACTGCTCCAACCTTGCCCTAGCTCCCTCATTTCTTCCGCGACCTCAAAATATTCCCACCATTTTGCCACGTCCTCGCTCTTGACTGGCCAGTTCCCTCAGCTCTTCCCCAGCATCGCCCTTGCTCTCAAAATTCTTCCCCAGCCTCGACTAGATGCCCGGTCTCCTCTCTGGCCTCGCCGTGCTCCATGGACTCGTCCAGGACCTGACTGGCTTCCTGGGCTCTTCCCCTGCGCTGCCCTCGGCCGGCCCCTTCACTCGGCTTCTGTAACACCGGGGTGGTTCACAGTTGGCACGCTCACAGCAGCGGGCAAGGACAGTCTACTGATCAGAAGAGAACAGCACCTGTACAATGGCGGTGAAGTGAACGTGGAGGCCCAACTGATTTGCACGGCGGCTTGTTCTTGGAAACAACTGAGAAGGGTTGATGATCGGCTAATCACGAATAGGGAGAGAGAGTAAATCCAAGAGTAACAAAGTCTGATTGTGATGGCTTAACTCCCTGTGATGGTAGTCGATGCCTTCTCTGCGGCGGAAAGTCGTCGGTCTTTATACCGACACGACTCACCACGCCTGATGTCTAACTATGAGCGCTCGGGAGAGTATTACCTAAGTAATACACAAGAGTATCTCGCACGAGATGTGGGTGATGGCTCTAGGCACTGGGTTTTCGGGTACCGAACCCTTGTCTACCTTCGATTTTGGTGTTTCCAAGCCGAACTCGTATGCACCCTTGAGTTGGTCGGCGACTACAAACGACTGAGCCGCAGCCTATTGGCTCGATTACTTCGGTTTCCTTCCGGTGACTACTATCTCGCAGATAGCATGCGTCTTCTTATTGTTTATGACGTGCCTCAAGTGCCGCAGCAATCGCAGAAGTATGTATATGCAACTCGACGAGTTTTAATCCAAACTTCTCCAAAGTGCTGACAGATGACAGGCTTCCGCCCATATATCCACCGGGTACGTTTCGCCTCGCCTGTCCGGGACGACCGTTGGAGGATTATTTTGACCCCCAAATAAAACTTTATTTGTATCGGAACCGGCAACTAGTATGCTTTTACGATGGCGGCCACGGAGGATAACCTTCGACAACCTGCAAGTCTTAGTGAGATTCTCAACAGATTTTCCTAGGTGATTGCGCGCACTCCCGAACTCACCAATGAGTCCATAGCCACCCTCCACGAGGTTCCAGCGGCTATCTCTGTGAGGTTTGAATCTCGATCACGAGATATTGCTCGTCCCAAAACCTCGGATTCTGGCCGAGTTCTTCCAATGACTGCCCATAGTAATGGTTGACGATGACCGACAGCGGTACTAATTTATTCCCATATGCCTGAGGTATATTGCCAGCTCGCTGGGTGTAACATCACCCCGGCTCACGAAGCGTGATGTATTAGGGGAACCTAGAAGTCCCCAGCGTGCTGGAAGTAGTTAAGCATCTCCTCGAGCGGCATGGCTATCGAGAAACCCCTTTTATGTCTGCGGGTGTTGAGATGATCCACTTCGGTACGATATGAGACTGATTGGGTTCACTTATTTCGCTAACATGACCGGTTTTTAGATCGTCGCCCAGCTGTGGCCGGAAGCCAATCAGCGGACAGGCTTGAAAATTGACTCTGAAGTCAGCAAAGTGGACAACCTGAAGTACGTATAGTGATATCCTGCTCCGGAATGGGTTCAGGAAATTATTCTAGTTGCTAAGACTACTCCGTACGCGGCGGTGCATATCAAGAGTGGCTACAACACCAACCAGTCGAGCTGGATCTCGACTGCGCTGAACAGCATCGCGGAGCTGTATGGTCTGAACGACCATAGAAGTGCTTCCGAGCGTCTGGTGGCGGTAAATGAATCTCTTCGTGATGATGCTTTCATATACCGCGATAGTGACCGCGGGCTGCCACTGAGGGTGAGTGCTCCAGGCCTGTGCCATTACCGGTGTATCTGTCTGCTGCTTTGGATCGTCTCACACATCTTGTAGCGGCGAGTAACCCCTTTTTTTGCCAGTCAAATTCCACGGTTCCTCCATCTGCACTTTTCAACAGGTCCCGTAGTCATAACGCCGGACTACACAATTGGTTATTGAAGGAGTAACCTCCCTCCTTGCTCGTGTACGTGGTGACAGCCGTGCACCGTGCATTGCAGGAGTGGTAGAAGCGTGGGGGAGATCCGCCCCCATGGAGGCTACAATAACTGTTAGCAATGCTTGTGAAATATCAAAGACTACTTACGGGCATAATTTCTGCAATTGAAAACATAAGACCAGCCTGCTGAACGGCTCTTGGTACCCTTGTCAGTCTTTGCCGATGGCAATGTACCGTAATTTCATGTATTCATGGAACCTTCTGGATCATCGGATGCAGGAAAAGGCGGTGTTGACAGTACGCAACGCGCTGAAGATCAAGATCAGGTCCTCTATCGATGAGGACGACAAGGCACCAGTGGTGCACACGGAGTCTACTCGCGAGTTGGATCCTGCTGTAATGGAAGCATTCCGTGGGGAACCTCTTCCTAGTGATCCGGATTTAGGACCATTGGTGATGCCAAATGCCAGGAAAGACTTCCCCAAGGAGGGAGAAATCCCGCAGGAGGGGGCCATTCAGGAGAAGGGGGAAAGCCAGGCGGAGGGGGAAACTCAGGAGGAAGGGGAAATTCAGGATTAGGGGGACATCCTGGAGGAGGGGCGTTCGGCGACTAGTCCTATTCTGCTTAAGCTTCATGCTGTGGAGACTGATGACAAAAAGGGTTTTGACGAAGAAGAAGAAGACGATGAGCTGAGATCTGAGCTTTCGGAGGAGGATTCTGTATGATAGGAATTACAGTATTTATCTATATATGCAATGTTACGTGCAGGTGGTAGATATTGCGAACACAGTATGGGTTCCCTGTCTTTATTCCGCAATCCGCATTCCGACACGGGTAGCATATTTGAGACCCAGACAGCTATAAATCTAGGCACCGTACCTACTCAGTCAGAGTCTTCCGTTGTGCGCGGTGGATGGCGAGATGCGATCGCTCAAGGACTGCGATCAATCCAGGCATCGTGCCAGTCCAGTCGGAGTGTTACGCTGTGTGCACCACCTGGCTAGCTAGGGCCAGGCCTGGCGAGCTGCAGTTTGGCATGCAGAGCTTTGGTCCGGCACGGACCTCTGTGGTCACATGGCATCGTGCCTATCCAACCACCATGTTACGCCATGCGCAGTTCACGCAGTACGAACCTCACCCCGCGCCCAACGAAGTTTTTTTTCTCCTGATGTGGTTCCATTTCCTCCAAGGGTCGAGGCCCACCTACTCCTCTCGCTTCAACTCCGGCTCCCGCTGTTCCCGCTCCCTTGGATTCCAATCGGAAATCCCGCTTGGACAATCTTTCTCGGCGACCTCCAGGATTCGGCTGCCCAGATCGGTGACGGGTAGAAATTCTAGAAATCTAGACAGGCTGTTCTGGTCGTCTGCCAAGAGATCTGTAGTCCCGGATTTAAAAGCCATCCTCTCCCCTGAGTCACCGTCTCCGTTCGGACCTCTACCCGCACAATGATCTGTTGCCTCTCACCTTAGGGTAACCTCGGAAGACTTGCTCCTCGGTCTGGGGCGGGATGTCGTATCGGCATCATCCGCAGAAGGCGACGGGCGACATCTCATATACCAGAGGTGCTAGCCGGTGAGGCAGTGTCCCATCTACGGCCAGAGCTAGAAAAGTGGTATCCGTGATTCCTCGCCTCTGGTAGGCAAATAGTGGGAGTGGCAGGGAGCCTAACACCGGTTCCTCCTGGTGAGGAGATATCATCAAGGAGTGGAAGGATGTCGGGAGCATCTTCGTCTGCGGCCTCTGGGATTCGCCTGCCCACGTCAGTGGAGGCAAGGAGGTCGTCTGCAGAGAGGTCTGGGAATTGGAAGCGATCCATGCCCCTCTGCGTCTCCATCTATTCCTTTGGACATAGTATCTTCAGCTTGTTCATCCATTCGAGGAGGCGGTGTTCCTGGGTCTGGCCCTTGTAGCGACACTATTCGCAGTGAACGTCGGAGTCGATCTTCTTCCTCGGGAGGTACTCGCTAGTGAGGCAGTACCCTGTCTTCAGCTTGTACCTAGGTCTCCGGGGTTCCGCACTTCTGGTGAGCGATTGACGGGGGTGGCTCTGACCTGCGCCGCTCTTTGCTCGTCAGCGGATGCCGTGAAGGATCATAATGGCGGAGGGGGCGGAGGGAGTGGCTACTGGTTACTGGTGACTGTTCGTGGTTCCTCAACTTCATCACCCTCGTAAGATTTGAACCTCCTCGGACATCCTGTTCCCGCCTCACCTCACCCTGAGCTCCACCTTCGTAAGCTCCTGCGCGGACACCTGGCTACTTCTGCTTCTCGGGCGACCTCTAGGATCCGCATGTCCACGTCTGAGCCGAGTAAAGAGGTGGCTGTAGTCCGGTGCCGCAATGATTGAGCCGGCGGGGGTGGGTCAAACCGCGGAGGGGTTGTGGTTTCAGCAGCCCATGTGACCGATTCTTCTGCCTTCTCGATTGCGGTGAGGTCGGTATGTGACGGGCGCGATCGAATCATCTCAATGGTGATCGCTGACAGCATCCGCAGCGGAGGTCGGAGAGGTTTCACGTCGCCTGGGGGTACTGATCGGCCGCCGTGAAGGAATGTCCTCTCTTCAGCGTGTAAGTTAGCCGCGATGACTCCAGGACTCACGTTGGCTAATCACGGGGGATACTCACCTGGTGCTGTGCTGACTCAGGCAGCCGGGGGGGCTTCGACTTCGAGGGCGGTGGGCTTTTCGGCTACCAGCTTCGCCACGGATTCGTTGGGCCTTCTCGTTTGGGGAGACGTTTTCATGTGTCGGACACCGTCTGTGCTGGGTGGCGATGATCTCAGGATTCCTCCGGCGGAGGGAATGTGGCGCTGTGCGTTCGGGCCTGATAGGCTTCTTGGGCCGCGGCCAGTGTATTCATAATTTCGCCTGTAGTCCAACGTCTCGAACCGAATTCCAGCACTTGTTGATGCTCCGTAGGCAGACTACGGGCATAATGTGGGGAGTTTTCGTCAAACGGAATGATGTAGAGGCAATCGGTGTAGCTGTTGAGGTGGAACTTCGCTCAGTTCGTCAGCTTCTACTCGATGTCACTGTCAAGCCCTGTTCGCTCCTACGTCGCTGGATTTGGCGCGACTCCACGTAGGTATCACGGCTTCGACCCCTCGTGGGTGGCGACGCCACCGGTTCTACGTGACGAGTGGCTCCTTCAGGGATTATCTCCGACTCCAAGTTCTAGATGTGCAGGCCACGGAGTATGGGATGATTAGAACACTCGTTTGACAAAGTATCACAGAAGAAAAGCGAAAGTCTAGCGACCCGATGTTTGTATTCCCAGATGCCACCTGCGACACTCCCCAACGATCATCAACTCCCAAGTCCGAAATAGAAACACCAGGCAGCCTTTGAACACGAAACACCAGACACCCTTGAAAGTCATGTCCGAAAGTAAGCCTATCGGCAACAGTGGATGAGGTTTCGGTACTCCCTTAACATCGTCAGTAATTGCGCCATATAATACATACCAGTGTACGTACTCATCGCGCTTGTCGTAGGGCTTGCCTTCATTGTTGACCGTGGCATAGTAGGGGCCAACCCAGGAGAGCCCAGTGCTCAACTTTGTTTCGAGAGATATTGGTTAGTCGCTCCTGATATAGAAAGGCCAAAGCAGGAGGAAGGGAACATACGAAGCAGTACGAGTACACGGCGATGACCTGGGAGGCCTTCGCCTCCTTGCCGAAGCGCTGGGCGCAGTGCTTGCGGAAGACGTTGAATAGCGACATTGTGATGTCGGTAGAGTCTTGTGGTTTGGGGCTTGAGGTGTTGTGGCGATTCAGTTCGAGTCGTGGGAAGTCGTTTGAGTCTTTGGTTGTGTGTGGTGTAGAAAGGATGCGCAAGAATGTCATGTTGGGAATCTACCTGGGGTTCTCTATAGTCGCTATCAGATCGTCTCCGCGTGGCTTGGGAAACCCTCTGTTGCGCAAAAGATCTGATACACAATGGACTGCTGTGACGTCGGTTGGGACAGTGCAAAGAAGGTACTTTGGCCGAATTCAATGTGCCGCATCATTGAGCGATGTGCGCGATCTGTAGGACATGATCGTCTCAAAGCTGCTGTGTGACGGCAGGCGATCTCTCATGCTCTCGCTTCCCCTAACAATCAGGTTGTCCTCATGTGCAATCCTACGAGATTCGCTCTTCGGAGATCAGTCTCACTAAACTTCCCTACACCTTAGAATAATCCAAAGCTAGTTATAGCTCAAGATCTTCCCCCTTGTGGGATTGTTCTGCAACCGCACTCGTATTAGTGCGTAGTGGTCCGGCATAGTGGACGTACGATGACTTCTTCCTTTAGTTTGTATCACCGGACGGTAATGGTAACCTCGCGGCTCGGTGGCAGTGACTTGTTCCGCACGGCCGCCCTTCTATGCATGAAGTGAGTCCTCACGTACTGACGTATCTACTGCGTATATAGAGTATCCGTAGCGCAGGAAAAGGCTTCTGATATTTATAATACCATCTATCTGTCTATATACCCACATTTTTGGTACATGCATCGAAGTCGTAGGCCATTCGTTCGATCGCAAAACGCCTCGTCGTAACATCCATTTTCATTGGATCCGAATTTCTATGCTCGATATACGTACTTGGCGACCACGGTGTAGCAGTTGCTCTCCTTGATACCCTCGCCATCACGCTGTGGTTTGTGTGGAAAATAGAGTGGCATCGTAAAAACATATCAATTTCGTTGACTCGTTGTCCTTGTGGGCGCCCATCTCTGCACGGATCCCATTCATGGAATTTCCTTTCTTGAGGTTCGGAGGTTTCTCTCGCGTCAATTTTATAGTCACGAGAGGTTGGAGGTCTTCTTGCGTTGAAACTACTTGTACCCATTTCTTCGCGAATTCCGTGTAGTAGCGGCCGGCAAATCGTAAGCGGCCACTTCTTCAGGAGCGATTCCATTCAATGGAGGTCATGGGGGAGTCGCCAGCGACTGGGCTGGCATCAGCGTGTCGCGGAGTCGTCGCAGTCTAACATTCGAGTCAGTTCCGATTCCCAGGTTCGAACCCCGACACGGAAAGTTCATGCACATCCACCCTGGTGAATCAGATTTTTCCGAATTCCTGCCCCTAATCAGCGTAGATATGCCATTTAAGGCTCGTTATGAACTGATGTAACTTGACGACGCACTCGTGGTCGTATCGATTGAGGCCTCGAGTCCGGTTGGGTAGAGCATCCATCAGCTATCCGTGCGCAGGTTGCGCTCCTCATTCTTGTTGTAGAATGCTTAGATCTGGGACACCACCGCGTAGATACTGGTTACGACAATCTCTCAGACAGGAAGTGCATTACGTTACCTGCCGGTATAGAACGAGCCCCTCCAGTAATTCCATTGATGCCCTCCTCCACTGGCAGGACGGCACTTCTAACGCATCGTAGATGAGTCTTGACCTCACCGGTAAACGATCTTACCTCCATGAACTCAGGTCTCCCATCGTTTTCCTCTGCTTGGTGATAACGTTACTGCGGTACCACTTGCCATATCAACTACCTCATAGATTGGAGTCTGATTCGTCTTCTTCAATCCTGCCGATGAAAAAGGTTAGCCACCGGAATGAACGGTGCCAAGGCGGCGATAAGAGTAATTTGAGCGGGTATTTACATCCACAACAATCTCGAAGCAAAGACTTTCTTCATTCAAATGTTAATGATTCACTCGAAGTAACCTTCGCTGTCTGGTGATCCATTAGGGGAACCCTTCAACAATTTGACGAAGCCACTGGATTGGTATACGAAAGACCCGTACCATCCAATATGGAGGAAACTCTTCCGAGGCAGCCTGACTGCTACGTTAGATCATATAGAGCGATATGGTTTGAAAATAGAATAGAGGGTGCTTACGCCGTCTCCTATTGCTTCCACCAAAAGGTCTTCCGCTTTGGACACCTCCGAGCTTCAAGTGCTGATGAGGCGTAAACCGATGGATGGAATGACGCCGGTCATGGTTCAATCGTGCGAGCGGTACGGCTAGGCAAAGCACAGGACTTCGACCGGGTGTAAACACCGAGAATTACGTCGATGCAATCTTCCTGGCGAACGGCAAGAAGGCATGACTTCGCAATGGGGTAGACCCATGTGCGGAAACCACTTCGCTATGGGTTAGAGCCATGTTCGGGGAAGGGGATTCGTGTGCGCAGCAGCCATATTCTAGGGTTGGTTGCTGGAAGACGATTGTGCGATGCCCGTTGGGGAGAAGATGAAGTTAAACGGGCGAACCACTGAGTGGATGATCTGTTGATGTTGCAGAGGGAGGTAGAATGTATGGTGAGTCAGCATAGTAAACTTCGAGTGGAGCGGTGTAGTTTGTGTAGGCGTGAGGGCAGATGGCGCAAAGGGGATCGGCCGGGTATGTTACCTTTTTTCAATGTCTTTTCCGAATCCCGATTTGCTTGTCGACATCAACATAGCCGATCCACAGAGCTACAACGAGACCGCTACATTGCAAAGCGTTTATCCAAGGCACCGAATTTCATGAGGAGCAAATAAACCACCATTACCAGCCCCGACACATTTATTTTCAAATTTAACCCCACAAACGCCACTTTCAACATTCTCAATCTCCCTTCAGTGGCCACCGACTGTCAGAATGACAGGTCAAATCCGGAGCCATAATTCGTCGCGGCCCGCAGGAATATCCTAAATAGGATTGCTTCACTGCGAGATATATCTTTCCGGCTCTCCGGCAGCTATGATTTCAGTGATCTCCGTTGCGGCTTATTCGCATAGTATGAGGAGAATGTTGCACTACGTCGAGAGCAATTCCTCTCTCTCCACCTTCCCCGGTCGACATCATGAGTAGTAGTAGTCGCTTCCCTCTCTCTTGGTTGCATTTACTCGTGTCGTTAAATATTGCTTATCCACCCAGATGACAGTGGATATTCGGATAAATTCTTCTTTTGTGTTTATTCGATCAGGGAAACAAAATCAACCCTTATTTACTGGATTTCCTTTTCTCATCGGTGCGGCAGAGGAGAAGATCATGCGAAAAGAATCGCAATTATTAGAAACTCGTAAGGAAATCCGCAGGTGTAACATTTAACGGCCTTTCAACGGTTGATGTTTCAGCTGGAGTTCCTGAGAAATATAGACACGATGAAAACAGATCCACTATCTCCACCACCAAAACGAACATAACTCGTTATGGGTGCGCCCGAACGCAACCCCATGCAGAACTTCGATTTCAGTATGCGGTTAAAACTGGTCAACACTGAGAATTGGCAAAACGGTGATCACATGATAGATGGTGGGCATACAGGATGCGTACGCGGGATGGAAGAACAGTAGTAGTATGTAATAATAGTTTTTAATTGCGGTCCCAGTAACTTCACCAAAAACCCCAAAGCTTCATATATTCGGAGAAAGGTCGTTCCGGCCCTGGCTCCGCCATCATTACACTTAACGTTTCAAGCTTCCGCATGCCAATGTGCCTTTATTGTCCGTTAGGTTAGCACCATCGGGGTGTCTCTTCCCTTGTCGATATTGTCCAACTGCGAAAACCTATTAGTCTAGTGGAATCGAAGACTAGAATGAATCACTTACGACGGCGTCTTTTGGAATCACCAAGCCGCCCGAGGCGGGTTGGGGCGTGTTCGATCATTATCTTCTCTCAGGGACCGAGGATGTGATAGTCTGCGCGAGCTTGACCTCGCCGCCGCAGTTGTGGTCTGGCACTATCAACAATCTGTTCTGACTGGAAAATGCTTTGGCGATCTTACGGTCGTGACATCCTTCCCCCAGCGGGGTGCACAGGCGAAGCAGCGCTCTGTTGGACGGCATTCCAATAGTGCCGGGTCGCCGAAGTTTAATACATTCCCGAGGGAATGGCGTGGTAATTCCCCACCACGAGGTTTGGCGGAAGGCTGAAGTATATTTCTAAACCTTCCAGACACTGTTGATAACAGCAGGTAACAAACCTCGAGAGCAGATCCTTCACACGGGATCTGGGCTTAATCCCAAATATCTGCTTCTGGCCAGGTTTGTCGGCAATGGATTTCTGATGCAAATGTAATCTGTGGAGCTTGTCAGTGCCCGCAGGCAGGATGCAGGGACCACGTTGGTCCTATGCAGTAGCACCGACCATTTGGAGGTGCAGTGACATCACCTTTTGGCAATTGATTGCATGCTCAAACAGTTTTCCAGACGGGAAATTATGAAGAACTTACCCACGTCAAAAGATCCTCGAACCACGGCAAGCCGCTCATCAGTGGAGCTGGCAAAGCACCCAGCAGTTGGATCTTGTAGGCCTCTTCCATCTTTTCTTCCCATTGGGAAGCACCACCCGCGTTGATATCCGCGAACCCACCAGTGCTCTGGGGGAAGCGGAATGGAGGGATGTTGAAGGGCCTCTCCAGGACGACACCGGCCGCCCAAAGCTGCGAGTCGGCAATATCGATGACCGCCGACGGGTCCTTCTCCTCTCCCGTCCGGGTCCAGGCGGGCTATGCTTTGTGGGCCGTCCGTCCGGCCATTTCCTGCTCTCCCAGACGCTCCGCACGTCTGCGTGCATGTAAGCCTCAGCATGGGCTTCAGCACAAGCTTCTTCCGTAACAAAGGTACTGTTACCTACCGCTCCGCCGGAGATGCGGGACAGAGAAGCGCAGTATATGCAGATACAGTCATTGTTTTTGTCTATGACGCTGTTTACATTGTTCATCGAGTTCTTAGCAGCTAGGTAAAGCATGTGGGGGAGGAATGCAGCTGACGAGCGGAGGAGGTGCAGCATCAATATTGTCGTTCCTGATGGTCAGCTTGCCTCGGCTCATAGAGCTGGTGAAGGCTTCACACCCCACCGAGATATCCTCGGGTGCAGGTGTCCGGGGCGCCGAACCTGTCCGACGCTCGGAACCTGCTGGAGGCGGCAACGCCGCACATCGGCAAAAACCCACTCCTACCTTTGCCTATTGAAACAAAACACATTATCAATCCATTGCAGAGCTCACCACACGAAGAAACCTGATTCTTCAGAAGACGGGGGATAGATGTACGCACATGTCTCATCTCTGCGACCAACGGAAGAGGGAGAAAACAGTGATCGAGGGTCATTTCTGTCAGAATATGGCAAGTCCGGAGATGACGATGCCCCTAGTGTACTCTCGTGGAGTATCCGAGCTCGGCTGACGGTCGACGGGCGACGGAACTATTTCCTGAACTTATCGATGCAGATATCTCCTACAAGAGTTATGGGGGGGAGGAGTTGTGGGAGGGAGGAGGAGTTGCGGAAGAATAAAAAGAAGAAGGAGGAGATGGCTAAGAGAGCATACGACCCCGCTATACCCGCCATGCCCGCTGACGTTTGTTCGCTCTGCAAACCACATCCGTCTTCTCCCACCGACAGCAGTCCTCCTTCACTTCCGCCTCTTGACGACAACCCCTCCTACAGCTCCTCCACATAACCAGGAATTAGGATCGCTGAGTATGAAGGTGTGAGTATCTGTATAGGAATTCAACTTCATCAAAACTGCCGGCTCGTGACGATAGTTGCATGTAAGGTGTGGATATTTGCGACGAGTATTTGCAGGCGCAGCGGAAGAGATGAGTTGGCGAGGATGTAGAAGAGATGAGTTAGTGATGCTCCGGCTCAGCAGTTCTTTCTGACCTACGGCTAGCTTTGAATATCTCCAACTCTTGTACAGTAACGCTAGTTGTATGGCAACGCTGGTTTTATCACAATTTACGACTCACATGGGCTGTGTTTCGAAGTGCGCAAGAATTCCGCTGCAAGCTCCCGGAAACCTTAGCTCTCCCCAAAGTTGACTGCGTTATTGCCTGCATCGGAATACCGACTTTTACTTCACTGCCGGTTCAAATGAAGCCAGTAATAAGCTAGGGTTGCCCACAAATCAGGCTGTCTACATTCCAAGTTTTTTTAAGTGGCACGGTGTACATCAAAGCCAGCCGCATTACCGCTACTCCCCACCAGCCGTTTTACTGTAGTAAGAGAAACTCCTATAGCGTTGTTAGTGTAGTCTATGAACACTGTGCATGGAGAGGGAGAGAGCTGCTCGCGATATTGCTACTGTATTGAATACTATTGTTGTGTTTATCTACCCCTTATATTCATCATTTGCAAATGGCCCATACTCTCTCATCAACTTTCGATCCATCACCAGCTATCACAGCCTTGATACCATCAACCTCAGTGCCATTCCGCCCTCACCGAGCTCGGCCGTTTAAACTTATTGTCTTTGGGGTCATCTTCGTCCGCCTCGTCATCGTGGGACTCATCTTCAGCCAGCACAGCCTTGATATCCTCGTGCGTCCTTTCCATTGCACCCTCGCCGAGCTCGGCTATCACCGACGCACGCTTCCTATTCTGCACCTCCAACACGCGCTCCTGAACGCTGTCCTCAAAAACAAGCTGTACACGATCGAGGCGCCGAACCTGTCGGAGGCGGCAACGACGCACGCCAGCAACGTCCCCCTCCGGCGTCCACCTATTGAAACATAACAGATTAGTTATCAATTTCAGAGCTCAGTACTTGAAAGAACATGATTTTTCAGAGGAGGAGAAACATATGTACGTACCAGGTCGCATCCATGCGATTGATGGACGCTGGAAAAAACACAGCTTGTGGGAAATCTGAACGTCCATGCCCTACACGCACTAGACAGCATTCCCATGGGCGATGACGAGCTGGCGAGCGAGCACGAAACATATCGTCCGCGAGTATACCCCCGGTGACAAGGTGTGATATGTCCATACTGCGCCATCCGGTTACCGTCTGTATGTACAGGTGATAGTCTGTTCTCATCTTTTCCCACAGCTTTACTTCCTTGTCAACTGTGGGAAAGTCCGGATCTTCCTGCTACAGGAGCCACTCGAGACCCTATAAGAGTAATCGGACACGTCAGTTTCCCCTAAGATCTAGATGCACGAAACCCGGGCGATGAAACTTGGCTTACCCGAAGCTGGTACGGAAGAAGACGTGTTTTCCGATAGACGTGTTCGGGACGCCGAACGTGTCGGAGGCAGCAACACCGCACACTGACAACGTCCAGCTCCTGCACAACCTATTCGAACAAAATACATTAGTAATCCATCACAGAGCTCAGTATGCGAAGGAACATGATTGGTCAGTAGAGGGAAGACATCTATACGAACCTGACCGCATCCCTGTAGTCGAGCAATCGATGCACGAGAAAACATCGCTTGAGGGCCATTTTTAATGGCCCAGCCCAATGACGAGATTAAGTCGTCATCAGATGTCACCGAAATTACTCTTCGGCAGCTTTTTTCGAACGCTGTCGCGGGAGAGTGCAGGTGAAGCCGGAATAAGGGGGGTGTTGAAAGGGTGGAAGTTGTGGGAAGAGGACAATGTAGGGAAAGAGTACGGGTGGTAGGCGTAGTTGGTGTAGTTGGAGTAGATGAATAGTGGAACTAATGGGAGAGAGGGATGAGTAGAAGAGTGGCAAGAGAGATGTGATTCGAGGAAGACGCGTGTGGGTTTTGTTGGGGTGCGGGCGAGACTTGGCATGGTTGCCAGTGTGCGCTCGGTTAAAATTTGTGTGTGCGTTGATTTATGTGACTGCTTATAAGCAGATAAGTGTGAGTAGACGTGATATGATTTGCCCTACCGTGCGGCATATTTGTAACACAAGCCCTTCGAAGCTCCACTTCTCGCTAGCGACTCTGTTTATCACGTGACGTTGACCGCGCTTATGCCTTGCAGCGTGACCTCTGTGCTTGTGACGGTGGCGATATCCGCCTCACTCAGTGTTCTGCAAACTCCCCTAAGATTCAAACTTCAGTACCTTCTGGTCTTCTGGTAGACCTTGCCATGCATAAATTGCGATTATTCACCACAATCCTTCGAACCACCACCAAAAATATGATTTTGATCGCGCAAATCCCGGAATAGTAACCGACTACCTCGCTTAGTTCAGGCGCGATTGCGGGGCTAGCGTGGACCTACTTCCCGCAACAACAGCGAAGTGCTTGTTCCCTCATTTTTGAAATATCTTGACGATTCGAGATATGTGATCCAACAAGAACACGGGTGATGGTATTGATGATGGAAAAGCTCGATAGCCGTAAAACTCCATCAGGGGTGACGCTGCAGTGTTTCATTGCTAGCAAAGTAGGGGAAAGGCGAACGCCTCTTTGCGGCCTTCCACAGCGAATCGGCGATATAGAGAAGCGGGTGTCACTAGTCTGAGGTCGACAATATATTCAACAGTAAAAAACCCGAACGCCGTGACCTACCTATTACCCTATACCACACACGACAGGCCGAGCGCCAACTACTACAACGGTCGCCGCCCATCAGACCACTCGAATGCGCCAGCCCCCTCATGCCCCACAGTGTGAGTGGGATCTTCTCAGCGACTGCCATTGTACAAGCCACAATTCTCTCACATCCCACCACCGTATCCCACCACCGTACCGACCGAGTCCACCGTGTAACAACTCACAACCATGTGGAGCAACAACCCTTCATTTCCGCCACCAGGACAGTGTCGGCCTTCAGAGCCTGAGGACGATGATAGACCTCCTTCCGTCCCTCCACACCGCGTACCATACATTCGCAGAGCACCGCACTACCTAGCTGAGATGGGATATGAACACAGCTTTTCCAATGCGGAGCGCCTTCGCTCGGCGTCCGAGCCTTCCCCCGCAATGAGCAGTCCCTACCCGCTGCATGACATGCCTATGCCTCCGGAGGCTTTCAATGGCGGTCCCTCGAGGATCCGAATCCAGCGCAGCGCAACAAACATAGCTCCTCCAATCCGTCCTCACAATTATCAGCAGCCTTATCAGCTTCCGGAGGAAGCGCACTGGTACCATGAGCCTCCGCGACGTCAGCTACAGTCGGCGAATGAGGCCATTAGCCGCGTCCTTTCCGGCCAGGATGGTCATCCTCAAATCTATGAGGGCAATGATCTGTTCGGAGACGCCAATGCCAATCGCCTGCGTTCAATCTCAGCGCCATCGCCGCCGTTGACAAGGCCCTCCATGATTGCCGCACGCCAGCTATTCATCGAAGGCTATTCACCACGTCGCATGCAACGGAGCTCCACATCAAGTACTGCCCGCATATGCTTGCCTCCACCCCCTCCACCCCCTATTCCCCCAGAGACGGTCCCATTCGACTACCCAATCGTCGCCAATGCCAATCCGCATGACGCCGACTGCGCGCTTCCGGTGGACGAATACCACAACGCTCTCGCCGCCGCCAAAGCCGAAATCGCCAACATCCTGGTCCCCCGGGGCGCACTGAAACGGGCGCAAACCCTGAGCAATCTCGGTCCTCCTGTCAAGTCTTTGGACCGTCGCAACAGGCATCGTGCGGGGACAGCGTATTCGTACGGACGGGCGCGGCGCCAGGCGGTATTATTCGGAGACCCGACCGATCCGGCTATCCAGGGGCTGAGAAAAATCGACTTCGGCGACGAACCCGAGGTTCCTCGACGGCCACCCAGCCCTGTATTCCCGCATGAAGACTGCGTTTACTCCTACACCACCAACTTTCAAGGACTGTACGGCGAACTCGGAACCAAATTTAGGAATCGCCCGATGGGATGTTGGTCCATGACCACACAGCCGAGGTCGGATTACTTGCATACGTGTCTGCACTTCAACGACATGCTGATGCCAGAGAAGCGGCCTGCACACACAAAAGCCCCGAGAAAGGCGCCGATGCCAAGGATCTATCCGAGCTTCTTCCCCCCGCGTAAGACGCTGGAGGAGAGATTTACTTTCACATTGGGCGTGGACGAGTGGGAGGCGGAGCAAGGGAGGTTGGCGGCGGAGAAGGCTAAGAAGATTACCATTGGACGGGGTGTAGGTTTCATGGCTGATGATCCAGGAGAATGAAGTGATAACAGTAATGCTAATTATGTGGCAGATCAAGAAGGTCAAGAAGATTTTCGAAGCTTTGACTCGAAGCAATGAGCCTGAGTTGGAGCGAGATGACTAGGAGCTCTTACCAAGGGTCACTGGGCATGTCACTGTTCGCAATCGGGGTTCAAACGTCATAGTACTGGCGAGAATGGTAGTAACGGCGGAGAAGCCGGAATAGCGAGGGTTGCAGGAAAAGAAAAAACGATTCGATCTCTATCTGCGCGAATATAGCAGACATAGGCATCTTTACTGAGCTTTAATTGCTGCGGCTTACATTTAGGCTTCAGGTGAATGTGTAGAAAGCAGCTGTTGATTTAGGTATTACTAATTTGATTTTACACTAATCCTCACAGGTATCTAGCAGCTCTCATCGCTGGTACTACTGCAAAGCACAGGTTTTAGTAAGATTGTCATCTTGCGTGTAAAAGAGTCAGCTGTGGGCTACACACGGGTGAAATGGCTGTCCGTCAATGGCAGCGACTGTATGAATGCCTACATTTAAGCAAAAGGTTGTAGCATCAATCTCGTATGGAATTAGCATTCGATCAGGCGGGCCTGGTTGGGTGGGGCCGTGAGCGGTATTGAACCACGCGATGACAGTAATCCTCCAGCGTTGAAACCGATGTCAACCATCCCGCCTCATCAGGATCACCTTACGATCGTCTACAGGTAGAAATACAAAGTTGCGAAGTCGACATCAAATCTTGTTCGTGGCAGGACAAGGTGTAATAAAGCAACAAGTAAAATTAATTACTACAGCAGAAAGCAAAAAAACAAAAACAAAAACAAAAACAAAAAGCAAACACAAAAATTGAAGCCCGAGCCTTCAGCCCAGGCCGCGACCTCCTCAAAAACAAAAGCAAAAACAAAAACAAAACAAAAACAAACACAAAAAACAAAAAGCAAAAATAAAAATAAAGCCAGAGTCTTCGGCCCAGGCCGCAGCCTCCTCCACCAACTGGAAAGGCGGCCTCGCCAATCATTGGATACAATCTCGAAGATGAAATCCCACACGGCGCAATTCAGCCGCTTGGTTATAGGAGTTGGGCGGTTATATTACTGCCGTAAAGCGGAAGCCCCGCAAATACAGTAGCGGTGATTTCGGCAGACGTCACTGGGACGCCTTGCCGTACACCTTCCATATTACAGCTTGTAGGTACCGGGCAAGGCAGTTTGCGGTTGTACGGTAGTTGGTCAGGACGAACGGTTCCCTGACGTTGTCTTGGTTGAGAGCCGAGACAGTTTTCTGTCATTCGGCTCCAGCTCCGCAAATCTCTGCGTGGCCCGTTCGATGCGGTAGTGCATTTGATGGTGCTTGTGGCAGCTCGAGCGTGTCGATATTATGCGTGCAGCACCGCAGGAGCAGGCCCCGGGGCCCGCTGTGTGAACATCCGCATGAACACGTTGTTCTGTTACGCGAAACATTAGTAATTGGATACCTGGTGAGAGAGTGAAGAGCCCAGGGGAGGAGTGAAGAGTAGGTATATACCATGAACACGACGTTTTTGCAGTTGCCCGACTTGATGTACTCGGCGACAACGATGAGATCGCGTCGCGAGAGCTTCGCTGGGGGCATCGACTGGTCGAAGGGCTCTGTAGACTTTTCCTCTCATTTTGGCGTCTGGTAGTAGTTGATAGAAACGAAATACTGGTCTCCGACGTCGTGGACGCTTTCGCAACACGAGGCAGGAGAAGGTAACTCCGACGAGACGTCTGAGAGGCGAGAGTATTCCCCATACTAGGAACATCTATTTGAACGCAGTCGTGTCGGGCCAGATGCGAATGGGACTGTTGATATTAAGAGTGGGTGACCGAGGCGCAGTGGGTGCAGCGTAGGTGGCTCAGACATGACTCTCTTGTCCGTCTTAATCTAGACAGACATTTTCCAAATGCGGAGCGGTCGCCGGTCTTCGAAACGGTTCATTGTCCTAATTCAATGCCGAGACAATTTTCTGTCATACGACTGTTGCTCCGCAGATCTCCGCGTCGCACGTTTGACGCGGAAGAGGGTTTGATGGTGCTTGTGGCACCTCGAGCGTATCGATGTTTTGCGTGAAGCAGCGCAGGAGCAGGCCCCGGGGCCCGCTCAGCAAACATCCGCATGAACACGTGGGTCTGCTACACAAAACATTAGGAATTGAAGACCCGGAGAGAGAGTGAAGGATACACACAGGCCCGGTAGCCGGGTATATAAACCCAAAAAGCTGGAGGTTCGGACATGCTTGTCTTGTCAGACACCGTGGGACCGTTGAGTGGCTGCCACCTGATCAGTCAAAACGCATCGCTTAATGAAGAGGAGAAATCTGGGAATGACATACTTCAGCGGCGGTGGAGTGACTCCGTCGAAAGCCGGACTCCTTTTTTGAACCGCCATGGTGGCGACCATGAGTTTGTGCTTTTGCCTGATTGGACCGGAAAAAGGGATACGCCCCGGAAGGCTGTAATCATGTGTGGTTGTGGTTGTCGTCGTTGTTGAGCAAAGGAGGTTGATGAGGAGGAAGAGAATGAGAAGAAGAAGGATAATGGGAGAGAAAGGATGAAAGACGGGGTGGTAGTCATGGTGATGAACGTCCACGCCACTTCTAGGCATTGAAAAACGTTAACACTAGTTTAACCTTTAGGGTTAGACCCGCGACGGGAGCACATCACGTGGCTAATGCAGCTTGCCATTTCTGTCACGGGAGCCAAGACAGTTGTAGCTTGGGGAGCGCGGTACGCAAAGCTTTCGAGTAGCTGTCAGAGAAATCCGATTAGCAGGTATCTACGTCACTTTCTCAAGGGTCAGCCTGCTTTTTTGGCTAACCTTGGCCGGCCCCGTTTCTCTCCCATCATCGTGCGGTATACCTTCACACGTTTTGCTCCTCCGCTTCGCGCTCGACTCCTTCATCCTTCCTGTGCGCAATTCTAAAACAACCGGGGTCTACGCAATCCTGCTCTATTTCTACCATACTTAGTTCGCGATGGAGATGCTGGCCTTCGATTGCGGAGATTGCATTCCGTTAAATCAAACGCTTATATTTGGTTATGCTGTGCGCAATATACAATACGTCGCGAGCTTGCGGATTCTAGTGTGCGAGCCACTATTCGAATCATTTTTTTCGCTCTTCATCCCGAGTTTTCGGCAGCGGTCCTCGACTCCTTGTGCGACAGGTGTTACGCTCGCTTAACTAGGCGCCCTTAGTTTCCTGGCTAGTCGAGCATAGTCCATGCGCCGGATCGACGCACGAAACAAAGCTAGTAGTACGAATACGTAAAAAATATTCACCGCGCTGAGTGAAGTTCCAGTATGCAGCATCCCGAATCATTCGCCTGCAGGATCCGTTTGACCACGCACGATAGTTTCGACCCCAGCATTCATCCCTCTGTTTTCATACAGTTGGAAGCAGACATGGCGAATGTGGACCTCTCTAACTCTATTCGTGACGGACTCTGGTCTATCACGGCCGGAAAGAATCAAGATCCAGTTTGGCTTCATAAGAAGCTATTTGTACAGGGTGACGGTTGACACATCACATTCCGATTACGGTAGTCCTGGTATGACCGTGCATACGACCACAACCAAGGTGTGCCTTCGGCGAGACTTCCGTGATCTTTGAGAGTCTTCGTGGCAATCAGATTGCAATTCGCATGGTGATATGCTTTTGTAGCACACACGAGCAGGATACGAGAACCGGAGATGTTCGCTGGGGTTCGTCGAAAATCAGAACATCGCGAATTGGCAGGGGTACTTCCTTCTCATTGCTGTACGGATTCGAGATGGAAGGATATAAAGACATGTTGCGATAGATCACGTATTCGGATAGAACATCGCATTGGAAAGCAAAATGAAAATTCTACATCGATGAAACTACTAGGCCGCCGGATTACATGTATCGACCGAGTAGCGACCGGAAGAAAGCACCAAAAACCTTCGCAGTACCAACAATCGGCCATAGAGCGGAGGAGGTAGATCTCCCGCGAGGTCTGTATGAGGGTATGAACAGACGTCCGAAAGGTAAACACCGTTACTACGTGCTGAGGAACGAGTCTCTACGGTTTGATTGTTTTTACACACATATCTACCAGGGGATGATTAGAACTGACAGCACACGGTCGCACTGCAGAGATTTCCCTCCGGTGTAGACAGCTCAAAATCCTCAATTATTTCCATCATAATGTGCAATTGGCTAGTAGCCGTTCAGTTTGAATTCAGGACAAAAACCCTTCTCCTGATCATCAAGCCTCCACCTCCATACCAGAAGATATATTCTCAGCAGCAGCCACATTTCCGTAACAACAGCCCACCGCTACAGTAGGGGTCGGGAAGAGGCGTGAGGACATGAGCATCTCCCATCAAGGAGGCAACTCCTAGCATCGTCACCATTGTGGTGATACACCGATCCCCTTCGGCAGAATAATGTTCATTCCTCCGCACAATTGCGGAAACCGCACTGGATACATCAGTCACGGCTTTGATTAAAGGGGGAAGTGGGGAGATCGGTTGGGGAGGGGACATACTATCGATTGCCTGAAGCACTGAAATCCGCGGCCAGAGTGGAGTAACTTGTTACAACCACGTCGTAGTCGGCGAAAATTATCGAGTATCTCCGTGGCCCATGGTAGACCGCGACATTGATGGGATTCTCCTTGGATACACGGTGCGCAATTGAGAAGGCATGCATCCGCCGTGCTGCCGCACCCATATTACAGGCATAACCCCGAAGAGCCGTTCATACCTGCTCGGTCCAGGTGGACATCACCGACACCGGGGCAACAATCAGCGTCAGGTTTTCGGTCGATTCCTTCTCGTTCGTCCCGGGCGCATTGTACCTGTAGGCATCGACGCCGCAGACAATTAACGCGATCGTCCGAAGTGTCTTACGCAAACCCCACACCGAGCCGTCAGTATTTCCATATTCGACGGTGGGCGGGCGTGCACGAAACCCAGGCAATGGAAATTGACTTACCTAAATTTGATACGGGAGGAGGCGTGTCACTAGACGGGTATGTTGGGCAGCGTAGAGCATCATAATGAGCTGCTGCGTCGTCCTTCCAAAGTTCTGCATCATGTGGTCTGATCCGTTCGGATCGGGCTGCTGGCCTTGGTCGACTGGCTGACTAGCCGGCTGCGCTGCACAGACAGCGGCAGGAAGAGCGGTTGGTGAGGGCGCATCAGGTACAGCGGCAGGATTTGCCGCATCCTCACCGTCGCTGTCCGACGTCTTTCGCTTGGTACCAGAACTCATCTTGTTAGTGCGGGTAATACACGGTAGGTAAGTAGCTGGATTGGATTTCGAACGTTAGGGATGATGACTAAGTGCGACGATTAAGGAAGAGGAGATCTACCTTTCGATTGTCGGTGGAGCTGGTGATGATCTCGTAGCAGAGTTCTAGTTGCCAGATGATGAAGGAGAAAGGAAGGAGGAGTGAAAGTTGATCTAGTAACAGACTTACCCCCGCTGACATGGGGCGGTACATATGGCGGAACTGTGTCCGGGAATTGAAGGGGGCAAAGGAATTATCTCCCTTGGCCCTCCTTCAACAACCACTGTTTTGCGTCAGTTATCATAATAAACAGCATTGAGATGTGTCGCCGCGGTTTGGTGAAGTTAAGAAAGGATTAGTAGCGTTATTCTTAGTGTGCGCAATTACATACCTAATCGTGGTCCTTGAAGGTGTGTGCGGGTATTCTCCCAGATCGCTCCCCATGGTAGCGTGGCACGGTCGTAGGCAATGATGTGCAGGAGAGGGGAAATTTGTGGGAGAAAGAATGGGAGATAAGGGGAGAGAGAAGGCAGGTAGCGTCGCATGGACGTCAGTGATGATGAGTAGGAGAATCAAAATGTGTGGAAGAGCGAAGGAGAGATGAGGGGAGAGAGAAGGCAGTGTTTGCATGGGCGCTTGCCGACCCCACGTGGTATTACGCTAGCGTCAAAGAAGCCATTGTGCGGGCCATTCAGGAAATACCAGTCACTGCCCACACGGAATTGTGGTGAGTGCTTGCAATTACTAATGCCCTAGCGGGTTGCAGCCTGGTTTCTTCCTCTTCGTCCCTTCTATCTCTCCCTCCTTCACCCGAACATACCACTTCAACTATAATCCTCCAATAATATCACTTTGATGAATCACCTCCAAAACCATCACTATAATGGTATATCCAACTGAGTATGTCTTGAGACCGGAGACCTCGAAAATCCTAGCCTTTCCGAGGAACGTATCGCCGTTCCACAAGCCGTTCACCCAAGGGACGAGCCAGGTAAGTTCAGTCTTCCAGCTGCGGTGGCGTATGGGTGACTGGCGTATGGGTGACTGGTAATGCATGCTGCGGTGACTGAAGAGCATTACAACGAAGCGACATGTGCAGTCGAAGACGGTGACACCATCGGACAGGGAGATGCCACGGACACGTTCAAAGACGATAACGAAGCCGAAGAGTCACCCGCGCCCCGGCGCCCTCACTCTCATCACTACTGTTGCATTTGCAGTCACGATCTCAAACTCGGTGAGTAGCTCATGGTTGCGCATTCTTTGTGTTCCTCCTCTGCTCGTAGCTAACGAAAGTTAGGAAACAAGGACAGAAAGGAGGATATGGAGGTCTGATATGACCTAGGTAGTGTCAAGCATATGGAGGATAGAGATAAGGATGGATAGATGGATAGACAATTTTGAATCGATTCTCTACTTCTTGTCGGGCCAGAGATGCCCTCTATATACACGTTCGTCTTGCCCAAGGCACAATACATATACATATAAGATAATCAGATACGTCGGGTTCTGAGATGAGCACGGTCCGCGTCCGCTTCATGAGGTGGAGCATTTGGGATCTTGAATCTTCTAGCCCCTTCTGGACGTCAATCTTGACACCCATCGCCGTCGCGTTTCGCGTCGTCGTTTCAATCTGAAGAGTAGCTTATTATTCCGCGTTGCTGGTAGTTTTCACCTCCCAATAGCTGACCGAACCCAGGAAGCAAGGAAAGCAAGGAGGATAGTCGAAGGTCCGAACACAGTTCGGAAGATTCAAAACGTTACTGCATAGCAATGAGTTAAACTTCTATCGTCTTTCGCATTATTTCGTCCATTTATGCGGCTGCGAATGCGATCAGCTTAGCGAATCTAGTATCGAGTGTTTACATGTATTCCTACGTCCATGAAGTTACATCCCCCAACCAGCACAGCCTCGCCTTCAACCCCGTATTGCCCTATTCACACTTATCATAGAAACTTTGCGGGATCTGTATCCTGTCGTCGACACACGCGTGTCAATGACGTTGTTGACCTCGATGCTCAGCCTACTTCCTCCCAATACTATTCGGGCCCTTTTCGATTCTATCATCGGGAGAACCATTTCCCTCTGGTGCATTGCCCAACAGCGCTCCGTGAGTGCGTCATGAAGAGAATATATCCTGGTAACGTACCCGGATGCGAGTATAATGATTGCTACGTCAGTCGCGCCGAGTGCGTTGGGACCGTCTGACCGGACCCGCGCCCCCATATTCGCTGGGAGCGACGTCTGCTGGAGGTCTCGAACGTCGAAACGTTCGTTGGAACGCTGTTGCGCAAAACGCACCCAGAAATCTGTGTGGTTTTGGTGTTATTCATTGCTTGCATGTTTTCTATCTGGAAAATGGCAGTATCGACACCCCGTAGGCTCCCTCACCTCTTTCGTGCTCTGAATCTTATGCCACCTGACTCTTCCGGGGTCCTGCCTTGCACCCTAGAGTCATCTGCGGACTGGACATGATCCCAAAGCTCCTCCGCGCGGATGAGTAGGTTGTTTTCACAACTCATCAGGCCCCTTGACTCTCCCGGGGCCACAAACCTTCTTCGCCCCCTCCCTCACTCTTCCGGCCTTGCTCTTCCGTCCTCCCACAACTGTTCCGGGGCCTTGACCCTGCCTCTACGTTTCTAGTCCGCGACGTCGGCTTCCTCCCTCATGTCTTCTACTCCCACAACTATTCTGTGTCGTCAAATCGTCCTTGCTCTAACAAGGCTACCTTATCCTCGCCCGTCGCTGGTCGGTTTTCTTAACTCTTGCGCTCCGACAACCCTTCCGTTCCTTGACTCCCGTCCTGTCAACTATCCCGTCCCGTCAACACGTGGTGCCAACAACTCGGGGGTGACGTTAACTCGGAGGTGCCCTCAACATATGGGTGCGGTTACATAGTGTGTTGAAGACGCCGGCCCGCGAAATCGCCCTGGTGGGATAGGTGCTGTTGGTAATAGGTGCTCCGGTATGATGGGTGGGAGACCAATATTGTTCGTGACTCATGTCGATAGAAGGCTGTTAACATTGGGGCCGCGCCATGCTGACTTGACCCTGAACAACAGATACCTCGCTGGCACCGCTGTGAATGCCTTTTCTCTCTACTGCTCCTCACCTGGATCTCCCCGACCGGGGACTTTCTCCTCACCCGGAACCTCTTGGTCGTCCTGCTGCTGAAAGAATCCCCTTGTGCTGCTCGTCCTGGTGCCGAAACGCTCTCGCTGCCAGCCTCGTTTCGATCGAATACTCTTTCCGCGTGCTGCGAGCCATTCCGCGGAAAGAGTTTACTCTCCTTGCCCTTCTGGCTAGAAATACCTAATACCATGTCTCCCTACTGCCACTCGCCGTGCTGTAACTGCCTTCCTGTAACTGCCGCTAATCCTAACTTCTCTCTAGATGCTGTTGCTCGCCATCAGCCATCTCCTCTATTTACTCACCCTGTCAGATACCCTCTACCCCTACTTCGCCTCATCCCCCGACCTCCGCTGCAGATGCATGGTCGTCCTATGATCCCCCGTCGAATTGCGCCCTCGCCACCATGCATTGGATTCTCCTGCCAAATGCTCTCCCGCCGGCAATAATGGATTCGCAGAAGAATTGCGCTGCCAATTCCATGAGCTCGCCACTGGATATGGAGTGTACACTGGACATATATGTGGCTCATGGCGCTTTTTGTCGCAATGTTAGCATGTGAATATAGAAAATCTACTGCTACAGCAAGACAGGGAATAATGAAGGCTTTCTATCGTCACACTCCCGCTGCAACCGCCTGAACTGCCCACTAGCTATCGGGCAGCCGGGGCTGTTCATGCACAACGTGGTGATGAGAAGGGATAGGCAGCGAAGGTGGAGGAGGAGGACGACGAGGAAGATCTGGAAGAAGGAGGCCGGAATCAGCCTGGATGACGGCGGAGATGGTTTTTCTAATGGTGGACTCTACGCGTCGCGAATTGTGTCAGGTGTAGGGTTCTTTGGGTTTATTAGCACTGGCGACAGCACTCGCCATCAGTCTGACCTCATCCTCACGCACTCAAGCCTGCGAGGCGAATGATGATATGGAAGGTCACTCACATCGTAACTCTGATTGCTTTTTCTGTACGTTCGACATCGTTCCTCCCCAAATGTCTTACTCCAGAAATGTATGAATCTGTCACGCCGACTACCTACAAGTCGCCCAACGCCACTGACGCTTCTCCGTACCCCCTGTGATCCGCTGAAAATCCCCTTTCTCCCTACTACTACCCGTCCTGCCGGAAACGTCGCTGACACGGTTTCCTCCCTAGATACCGGCTCCTTCCTCGATACGGCTAACTTCCTCGATAGCGCCACCCCCCTACATACCCGCTTCGCCCTACCTACTGCTACTCGCCGAACTTCTCTTGGTACTGTTTCTGGCGCTGCTGGTGCCACCGCGGATACATCTCCTTCCCCTGTGCCATGCCAGCCTAGAAGAGGAGTCGGTGCTCCTACACGCGTGAAGCCACGAAGGAAAGGGAGAAGGGTGAGGAAAGGGTGCAGGGTGAGGAAGCGCAGGATCTGGAGAAGCAGGACGGGGGATGAAAAGGATGTATTTATTAGAATATAGTTTGATGCATGTGCATAGTCTATGAAGGGTATATAGTGAAGTTGGAAGAGAATAGATGTTCTTACATACGAAAGGAATGTTACCTTAAATAGACCGTGAACATTTAGAGATTTTCAACGGTTATCCATTTCAACAAGAAGTTACGGTGGAACGAAAGGTCACACAGGCACATGGGTTTTCCGGCATCTCTAATCATACACGGAACAGACAGCGCATTGTTATTTCCCAGCAAGCCTAGATCATTGGATGCGTTACGTAGTTCGACTGGTATCGCATTTCTAGACACGAGTAGGCATTCATTCTACGCAATCGTTCGAGAGCGTTAGCAGCGTTGCCAGCGTCAGGACAACCTACTCGCACCCAACGGATTTTATTCCTTCCTGATGTGCGCTAGCGTCAAAGACGCCATTGTGCGGACCAGTCAAGGAAATAGCAGTGACTACCCACACGGACTTGTAAGCCTGAAGACTCTGAAAAGGCTACTATGACCTGCTACTACTGCACCAAGAAAAGCCACAAGGCGAGTGAATGCCACGTTACGAGAAAGGCGGCTGCGATCAGAAAAGAATGAGACGAAAAGCGAGGCCACCAGTCCACTTCCGGACATCATGCCAACATTACCGTTGTAAACGGTCTCTCCGATAATATAAGAATCGGCAAAACTACCTCCACATGTAGCAGGAGAATCGACTCCGGCCCCTCGCATCACATCTCCGCTGAACTTTTGCCCTTCCGAGAAGTTTGAGCTCTCAAAAAACCTCTGGAAGTCGAATCGGCAGACTCACTAAGTCTTGCCACAGCAATAGAGACAATCGAATTCCAGCTTGACTGTGGGCTGACATTGATGGTGGAAGCTTTATA